AGGCAGTCGTGAGTTCGATCCCGGGTACCGATAAAAAGGATAAAGACATAAATAAATAAATAAATAAATAAGGCACTCGGGGCTGGGGATTTAGCTCCCCAGTACCAATAAAAACGAAAAAGCCAAAAATAAATAAATAAATAAGGCATTCGTGTGAATATCGCATTGTGTGAGTACCTATATGTATATATACATATGTATATAGAAAACAGTTAAGATAGTTATATTACTGATTTCTCTGAGTTCACTGAAGAGAAAGATTTGTACTGGTATTGTTCAGACAGATGTCTTGTGCTCTAGTGAATGATTTGAGGATGACAATGAGCAACGTATGTACCACTGTTGCCCCCTAATGGACATGTTTTCAAATTGTTTTAGCTTTTTTTCTTTTTCTCCTTAAAATAAAATGAATTTCAGGGGGAAAAAAATATACAGAATATAAGATGGTGTCTTAATATATAGTCCAGGCTGGTATTAAACTCAGTACATACCTGCAGAGATCCTCCTGCATCAGCCTCCCAAGTGGTGGGAACACTGGTGTGCTTCACCACATCCAGCCTGCTTTTTCCTTGCCAGGAAAGCCAAAGTTCCTTTAAACTCACTCTCCTCAATTTAAATATCTCCTTCCCATTGGAGAACAAAGTATCAAATTATATTTAGCAACCTCCTAAATCATTCCTCTTCAAATTTTCTATCAATTTCTCTATATTCTATAATCCTTTTACTAATGTATTTTTAGAACCTCAAAATTTCCTTTCATAAATCAAGTCTTTCAAAAGAGCTTTAGCCTTGACATTTTAATCACCCTCAATTATTTTAATCATTCATCAACATCAGTTGTACCAGTACCTAAACTCCTATACCTTGTAAAAAAAATAATTCTTCAAACACTAACAGAAAACTACAGTAACATGAATAATGTGTGTGACAAATGAAAAGACTGTGGATGCTTCTCAGGGCTGCTGGGGTCCTGGCCATCCTCAGTCTCATCAGGAAGTCCAAGCCGTCTGCCTGTGGCGTGCTTGCTCTGAAACGGCCTTCCTTTGCATATCCCATGCCCAGCACTTACCTGAGTCAACCTTTTTTTTGTAAGATACAAAGAGAGAACAGAAGTCTCCTTCAAAGGTAGATTCTATTTCTGTGTCCTCACACAAGTCTAAAGACAGGTTTTGCTGGATGTGGTCACCAAGGCTTAAAGACTTCAGCAAGGTTGGATGTGGAATTAAGAGGCAAAACGCATTCCTGAGCCTCCTGACTCTGGATCCTTGTGCTCTAGTGTTCATCACTGATGACTTTCAGTTTGTAGGGTAGGAACTTTACATCTCTTTCAAGTGTCTCATACATTTGCTACCGTACAGAAAATTAAAACACTAAATGGCCAGATACTTACTGGAGGCCTCTCCTGTGGATGTCTCTTTATCCTCAGATTTTGACAGCCTTCTTTTGGAAACCATGTTGATCAAAGTCTTCTATACTTTACTTCCTAGAGCAAAATGAGAACACTGAAGTTTACTTCTAGAAGCTAAATGCTGAAGAACTGAAGCTATGGCTGAGGAAAACTGTTCTATGCAAAAACCAAAGTTTTTGATCAGGCATGGTGGCACACACCTGTAATCCCAGCAGTTGGAGGCTGAGGCAGGATGATCACTGAGAGTTTGAGGCCAGCCTGGGCTACAAAGTGAGCCCAAGCCAGCCTGAACTACATGGCAAGACCCTGTGTCAGAGGACAAAAACAACGAAAACAAAAAAAAGTTTTGGTTTTTAGTGGTTTTCTCTTTCTTTCTTTCTTTCTTTTTTTTTTTTGAGGCAGAATCTTGCTATGTAGTTTAAGCTAGCCTGCAACTCTTAGCAATCCTCCTGTCTCAGCCTTCTGAGTTCTAAGTATTTTAACCTTTATATTAATGCTATTTAAATCCAGGTGTTGTTCATGCCTGTATTTAGCCAATACCCACTACCTTTTTTTTTTTTTTTTTTTTTTGTCTTTTTCCTTTTTACCGGTACCAAGGATCAAACCCAAGACTGCCTGCTTGCAAGGCAGGCACTTATGCCACTGAGCTAAATCCCCAACCCCCACCCACTACCTCTGAAGGACTGTTTACCTTGTTGTCTCTTTACAAAACTACAGCCCTGTTGCTAAGTTAAAAAATAGTTCTTCACCTGAGGTTCAAGACCTGGTATCACACAGCTCCAATTCACTTTTCTTAAACTAATTCAATACATACCAACGCCTGTGACAGGTGCTGGGGCAAAAAAGACATGATTCTTGCTCTAAGGGATCATATTATATTAAATACTCAACATATCTAACTTCAGTTGTATAAGTGACAGTAAAGTACAGGTCTACTGGTGAAGAAAAGGAGGAACAAACGTTCATAGAGACTTTTTAAAAGAAAATTTTATATTTCATGTTATTTTATTTTAATTTATTCTGGTGGCACCAGGGATTGAACCTAGGGCCTTGTAACACGCTAAGCAAATACTCTAACACAGTATTACACCCTCAACCCAAAAATCACTTTAGTGCTTGTTTGTAATATGGAATTTAACTTTTCTTGTTTTTTAGAATGCTTTGCAGAGTTCATCATGCATATAACATCTCGATCATTTTCAATGCCTTTATCTTCTCTTTCTTTCCTCCCCGTTACCTTGGTCCCCTTCCTTCCCATCTCAAAGCCTCTGCCATCTAGCTTCCTTATAATCAGAGAAAGTGTTTTGTTTTGTTTTTCTTGAGACAAGGTCTTACTGTATAGTGCAGGCTGGCCTTGAGTTCACCACGTAGCAGAAGCTGGCCTCAAACTCAGTGATCTTGCTGCCCTATCCTCCCAAGTGCTGGGATTACAGGTTAAGCACCACCATGCCCAGCTTCAGAAACTCATTTTTAAACAAGAGACCTGAGTGCCAAAACAGGACTCTACCAGTACACGTGTGGGAAGAAACTTACTGAAATAGGTAGGAGAGAGTCTACAGTCAGAAATGACCGCACAAACATGGACAGCCTGAACTACTACATGGTACCAGAACCTTCCAGGTTTCACTGTCTTTGCACAAGCATTTTCACCTGAAATGTTCTTGGCTGCCCAGAAATTTCTGCTCATCCTTAAAGAGTTAGTGTTCCTCCAGTACAGCCAACAAAGGAAGTCTGCTATTCCAGCTTCCCTGTCCAGAGTCTACCTACAAGCCCATACTGCAGAGCTCCTTGACAAGAAGCCAGTCTTATTTACATCACTGTTCTCTGTCCCAGCACAATACCTAGCATAAAGAAAAACAAATTTCTTTTTGTTTGTAGTACCAGGGAGTTTTTTTAAATTTTGAGACAATGTTTTGCAATTCAGCCTGGCTTTGAATTTGTAATCTTCTCCCAGGTACCTGAGATTACAGGTGACCAGAATCATGCTTAAGGAAAATTGAGAATACAGTATTCACCGAGTAAGAATGGCTAGCAAGGGGCTGGGGATTTAGCTCAGCGGCATAAGCACCTGCCTTGCCAGCAGGCAGTCGTGAGTTCGATCCCTGGTACCGATAAAAACGAAAAAGACAAAAAAAAAAAAAAAAGAATGGCTAGCAACCAGGCATGGCACATGCCTGTAATCTCAATACTTAGAAGGCTGAATCTCAAGATTGAGGCCAGTCTGGAGTTGATGAACAGTTTGAACTACATAGCAAAAATAAGCATTAATAAAAAATAAATAAAAAGGAATGGCTTCAGACCAGGTAAAACACTGACAGCTAACAAAAACTGCCCTTAGTGGTTCATAGTTAACATTTAGTCCTCATGAAACATTTCTAGTAGGTACCGCTGTTAGTTTTGTCATCAGTGGCAGAGGAGATTCTAAGAGCGGCAGTTTGGCTCCAGAAACCTTACTTTTAACCACCACCAAAACCGACTTTCTTTTCTTTTCTTCCTGTAATGGGGATTGAGCCTAGGGCAGTGCTGCAGTGTCACTGAAGCTCTGAAAGGTTCGCCATCACTGACTTTGGGCCTTCACACTGAGCAACATCTTCAGTCCTTTTTATCTGAAGACAGGATCTCCCTAAGCTAAGTTCTACCTTGGGCTTGAAAGTGCCATTCTCTTGTCTCACCCTCCACAGTGCTGGAATTACAGACACATACCACCAAACTCGGCTCAACACTCATAGGTCCCTTATAGGCTACGTTATAATGTACACAGCACCGTGCCTTGTTTAATGAGTGTAAACACTGTCAGCCATTTTGCACACGTAAAAACTAAGGCAAGTCAGAATCAGGGGATCTGACTTCTCAACACGTGTAACTTCATCTTGCTTTTCATTTTTAAACAAAAATAATTATTTTTGAGACAATATTTCACTATGTAATTGAGACTGGCCTTGAAGTTGCAGAGATTCTCCGGCCTCAGCCCCCCAAATACAGAGATTACAGGCGTTGCTCTCCTTCCTTCTCGCAAAACCAAGGCCTTCATCCTCCCAACCCCCACGGTGCAACATTTTATTTTTTAAGACATAAAAATTATTTTTTATTTAGCCAGGTTGCCTAATTACCCAAACTGGCCTCCAATTCGATCCTTCCGCTTCAGCCGCGCGGAGCGCTGAGATGATAGGCGCTCAAACCCCCACGCCTGGCTAAACGCCCGCCTCGGTTCGCCTTTTTAACAACAAAAAACAGTACCTAGACGATAGCCAGATAAGGAAGCCGAGGTTCAGGGCCCAGAGCCTCGGTGGGAAAGACCACGCTAGGCCTGAGCCCGGAGACTGCAGGGACGCAAAGCTTGGAGACACCAAAATCACTTCTCTCACCAGACAGAAAACGTCCCCCGTCTCAGTTTTTCTACTTTCCCGCCCGACAGACGCCGTTGTGACGCCACGCGTGTTCATGACGTCACGCTCGCGCGCCGGAAGTCGGCGCCCGGCGTCCCAGCTGGAATCGGGTACTTCAGGACTCCGGTTGCTCTAGGGCCGGGGTTGGCCTTCCAGACCAGAGGGAGAAGGCCCCGGAGCGGAATCGGAGGAAAACTGCACTCCCAGCGGCCGGCAACCTGCTCTCAGCGAAGATGGCGGGGCCAGAGCTATTGCTGGACTCCAACATCCGCCTCTGGGTGGTCCTTCCTATCGTGATCATCACTTTCTTCGTAGGCATGATCCGCCACTACGTGTCCATTCTGTTGCAGAGCGACAAGAAGCTCACCCAGGAACAAGTGTCTGACAGGTCAGCTCCCTTCTCCACCTGACCGACCTCACCCTGCGGCTCTGGGCAGTAAAGTGCAGGGCTTTTGTCAGCCGAGATCTCGCGCCCTTGCTGGCAGGGTGACCTCGGCCGCTTCCTCTGTTTCTTCTTGTCTTCTATAAAGGATAGTAACAGTGCCCATCACACAGAACAAGCGTGGGACTGAATTAGGTGGTGTCTGTGAAACCCTTAAAACGGGGCCTGAGACCAGGGAAGTGCTTAACGGAGAAAAAAAGAACCCTTTGCTAATAGGAGGCTGGTCGCCAACCCTCGGTAAGGTTGTCGGGATTGTCCCGTCCCGCCATGTGGTCAGGCAGAATGGTTGTTATGGGCTGTTAGCCTTTGCTACATCCAGTCACGTGGACATGATAATCCACACAACCAGATCATCTACTTGGCAGCGGAGACGCACAGAAACAGTGCTCTGCAAACTACAGCTGCCTCAGAAATTCCAGGATTTCCCCATCTGAGGTGGAACCAACTTCCTTCTTATGTGCTTTCTTCCAGTATGTATCCGCGGAGACAGGCATTTGAGATGATTTTGGAGTATCTAGATTCATGCTCCTCTATAATGAAATAGGTAACAATCTTTTAAACACCTATTGTTAACTTATGCATCTCTCATTGTAATAAAGAGAGCAAGCATCAAGTTTAGAAGTTTCCACATGTGACAGTATCTTGTGAAAAATTACTTTCTTGGAGCTGGGGATTTAGCTCAGGGGCGTAAGCGCCTGCCTTGCAAGCAGGCAGTCGTGAGTTTGATCCCTGGTACCGATAAAAACGAAAAAGACAAAAAAAATAAAATAAATAAATAAAAATTACTTTCTTTTCAGCTGGGGATATAGCTCCAATGAGTGTGAGATCCTGTGTTCTATTCCCGATGCCCCCCCCAAAAATGGCAGATAATACTAGATTTCCACTTGCTGGTAATTTAAAGATTACTTTACATTAAAAAGTAACATATAAGAAAAGTCGATATGTAAAAATGTTAAGTCAATCATAGTGGCACATGCCTGTAATTTCAGCCCTCAGGGAGGCTGAGGTAGGAGGAAAACAAGCTTGAAGCGGCCTGAGCAATTTAGCAACATAATGGACCTGTCTCAAATTTTTGAAAAGTATTGGGGATGTCACTGCCTGAATGAGCTTTCTCTCATATTCCCTGTTCTTTTTTCTTTTCCTGTACAAGGAATTGAACCTAGACTGTAGGTTCAATTCTCAATACCATTCCCCCTCCTCCAAAAGGTTAATTATATAATAGTACAAGTGCTAAGTAAGTGAAAATGACTTTAGTTTGGGGAGCACTTTATCATTTTCATGTCATTCCCAATTATCTGAGAACAATGATAGGCCAACATTTTTCTTTTTTTTTTTTTTTTAATTGGTACCGGGGATCAAACTCACGACACGCTCTTGCAAGGCAGGCGCTTATGCCGCCTGAGCTAAATCCCCAGCCTGAGGCCAACATTTTTCTAAATACTTATTCTATACTAGGCACTATGCTAAGCACTCATATTGATTAGTTGATGCAGAACTCAAAGAGACTCTTTAAAGCATGCACTCTTTTCCTGTTTTAAAAAGCTGAAGCATGGGGGCTGGAGATTTAGCTCAGCGGCATAAGCACCTGCCATGCAAGCAGGCAGTCGTGAGTTCGATCCCCGGTACTGATAAAAAGGAAAAAGACCAAAAAAAAAAAAAAGCTGAAGCTTAAAGAGGTTCACACATGGTAACATTTAGGACTTCTCACGCCTCAGGCGCATTCCACTGTACCAGTGTGGCCACTTTGGTAAGTGCGTGTGGTACATGTGTCGTAAGTTTCAAAACTAAGCACAGCCAGTCATTTGGAGCTAACCCTAACAAATCAGTTTACCCCAAAAATGAATCCTGTGGACAGATGCAAAGTAGAAAGTGCTCTACTTGATGCACATGAATTACTCACATTTTTAATATATCCACAGTATATTAGTACTGAGGTAGGTAATCTTATACCCATTTTTACAGTTGAAGAAAAGGAAGCTTGGAGTTTGCCTTCCCAAAATAACCAAAGTAATAAAATGTCGTGCATATACTTGAACCTAGAGTGACTTAGCTGATCTACTGTCATGATTTCTTTTCGCTTTTTTCCCCGTACCAAGGATGGAACCTAGGGCTTTACATATGCTAGGCAACTATTCTAACACTGAGCTATGTCTCCACCCCTTGTCATTTTGAGGCTAGTCATTTTGGGCTAAGTTGCTCAGGCTGGCTCAAAACTTGTGATCTTACTGCCTTAGCTTCTGAGTATTTGGAATTATAGGCATGTGCTGTCTCACCAGGTTTATGATTTTTACTATGATTCCTGCTATTATACATTGTCTGCCACAATTTTGGGGGCTGCTTTACCATGTTTTTTAGAGTAATGATTCCAAGTGCTGTCAAACATACAGCTCTTTGTTAACCCTAAAATGTAGTTGATGCAGTCTACATACAGGATTTTTTTTTCCACCAAGGTCTCACTATGGAGCTCCGACTGTCTTTGAACTACATGATATGGGATTACCTTGAACTTGCAGTGATCCTTCTGCCTCAGCCTTTCAGATGCTAGGATTACAGCTTGTGCCACCACACCTGGTTAAGAACTTTTTAAAAAGTAGGGCTAGGGTCAGGGATTTAGCTCAGTGGCATAATCACGTATCTGGCTACTATGAGGTTGTGAGTTCAATCCCCAGTACTAATAAATAAATATATAAATAAAGCAGGTCCCAGGATATAGCTCAGAAGCATAAACACCTGTCTGGCAAATGCAAGGCCCTGAAATCAGTTTCCAATACAAAAAAAAAAAAAAAAAAAAAAAAAAAAAAAGGCAACATAATGCTCTACTTGTAATAAGCAGGAGAAGTAATTTATAAGATAAATTATATGTGCTTTATAAATATTTGTGTACAGCTGTCCTACAGGATGTGATATAGAAGTCCTGTGCATTCACCTGTCTGTGAAATCACCATTATTGGGACTGGTCAATTGTAGGCTAAAACTGATGAATATCACAAAAGTCAGTGCTATGCTGTCTCTGTGATTTTGTTTGTCTGTTTGTTTTCTTTTTTTTTTTTTTTTTCCTGGTACCAGGGATAAAGCTCATGACCTCACACTTGCCAGGCAGGTGCTTATGCCGCTAAGCTAAATCCCTGGCCCCAAAACTTTTTTTTGTTTGTTTGTGAGGAATCAAACTCACAACCTCATGTTTGCCAGGCAGGTGTTTATGCTGCTGAGCTAAATCCCCGACCCCTGGCTTTTTCTTCTTCTTCTTTTTTTTTTTTTTTTTGTCTTTATCCTTTTTATCGGTACCAGGGATTGAACTCATGACTGCCTGCTTGCAAGGCAGGCACTTTATGCCGCTGAGCTAAATCCCCAGCCCCCCTGGCCTTTACTTAAAGGCCACTCTATAAATTCAACAAAACAAAGAACATTTTTTCCTTGTTTGTACTTTGTGTTACTTCACCTAGAAGTTTACTGAATATAGAAAGTATGACCCTATCACCACCAAAGCAAATGGAATTAGGTTTGAAGCTTAGATAATTAGAAAGTTTGGTGAGATACTAAAAAAATTGTTTGTGACATGGGATAGTTCTTCATAATCAGTATTTGAAACTCACCAACATTGAAGGAGACTTAAACATGTTTTTACCCCTAACAAATGGCACTCTACCTGCCTTTCCCCCTCTACTCCATCATTTTAACAATCAGAAAGTTCCCACCTCTTCTCACAACTGCTACCTGAGACAGCGCCCCCATAGAGAATCACTGCTCCTAGGCCTGTGCCCCTGGTCAGAACTGCTCTTTCTCCTGCCCGTGAGGGGTGGAATTGTGCCTGGTCTGGCAGGGTGTGACTGTCCCCCACAGTCATCACTGAACCTGTGTAGAATGCTATATATTCTGAAGCAGCCCAAGTCCAAGGCAGAATAGGAGATTTTTAGTTGTAAAACATTTTTCTAAACACAATATGGATTGACATTAGCCCAAATGAGCACAAAATGGAACATTTGGTTCCATAAATTATTAAGCTCGTACTGCTTCCAGACTTAACTAAAATTATTCTAAAATGTAGTAAGTTAAAAGTGAAATACTTAATAAAATTAATATTAGACTTTTTAAAAATTACAAATTCTCTCTTGGGGGTCTGGGGGTTGAGACCACGACCTTGGGCATGCATGGCAAGCATCCTACACTGACCAATCCCCCATTCCTACATACTCATAAGCCCAGGAAGCTCCATTTGAGAAGTCTTAACTTTAAAAACTGAAATTTTACTCTAAGAAAATGTCTTTTGGGTTGCAGATTACTAAAGATTTATCTCTATATCTAGTACAAGGAATTTTTTTTTTTTTTAGTTAACCACAGAAATGAAAACAAAATTGAATTATGAATTGTTCTGTGTCTTATGAATGACCTACTTTGTGCCCTTCACTTTGCCCTAGACAAAATGAGGCACATCTGCACATGCTATAATCCCAGCTACTCATGAAGCTGAAGCAGGACGATTGCAAGGTCAAGTCCAGCCTGGGCAAATTAGCAAGAACTTGTCTCAAAAAACAAAAACAGTTGAACATGGGGCTCAGTGGTAGAGTACTTGACGGTGTGAGACCCTGGGTTCATTCCCCAGCACCATGAAAAGAAGGGCTGGGGATTTAGCTCAGTGGGAAGTGCTTGCCTGGCAAGCACAAGGTCATGAGTTCAACCCCTGTTACCAAAAAAAAAAAAAAGATCTCATTGACCTAATGCTTAGGATGTTTTATATATAGTAGTAACTGCTTTAAATGAGATAATGCATGTGAAGGACTTAGTTTAAAACTCTTCACTAGTTTGCTTTTGCTCATAAAATAACTGATGGAAACCAGAGATGAGATGATAGCACATGTCTATAATTCCAGGAATGTAATCCCAGGCTGAGATTGGAGGATCACAAGTTCAAGCTCAGCCTGGGCAATTTAGGGACTTAGCAAGACCCTGCCTTAAAATAAAAATTGAAGGAAGGGCCAGGATGTAGTTCAGTATGAAAGCGCTCAGTTCAGAGATGGGTGTGATCACACACACCTGTGATCCCAATACTTAAGAGGCTGAGGCAAGGGAATTGCAAATTCCAGGCAACCTAAACTACATAGTGATCCCCTGGCTCAAAAAACCCAGCAACAGGCTGGGTGTGGTAGCACCTGCCTATAATCCTAGCACTGGGGAGGCTGAGGCAGGAGGTTTGCCAAAGTTCAAGGCCAGCCTAGGCTACATAGTTCAAGACTAGCCCAGACTACATAACAAGACCCTGTCTCTAAAGAACAGCAACAAAGACTGGAGTACAGTGGGATTCTTATGGCCTTGCTTAGAATGGTTTGTGCGTACCATTTCAGCCCTGTTTTCTGGGTTCTCTTATGTGGCCTTTTCTTGGGCCCTGAGAGAGATAGCATTTCTTCCTGCTGCAAAGCATGTTCATAACATTACCCCCAGCACTTTAGGAAGGTAATTCCCAGCCCTTCTTCAGATTGCAGCTTAATGCTACATCCTCAACAGTTTTTTGTCAGTCCCTGACTTCCCAGAATGGGTCAGCTCCCCGTGTTAGACATGTTAACACCCTCCGTCCTTCTTTTCTAGGACATGCATAACTGCTGAGTTCCACTTTGATTCCTGTGGTCGTTTACTTCCTTTCTGCCCCACTAGACTAGCAGTCATGCCATATTTGTGTGTTGATCATTGTCACAGCTCCTGATACGGTACCTGGCACGGAAGAGTTTGAGAACTGTTTGTCCAGTGAAAGTGTCAGTCTCGTATAGCATGGAGTGGGCGTGACAGTGTAGGAGATCTGAGTGACTTGCCCAGGATCACATAGCTACTAAGTGGCAGAGGCAGAATGTGAACCCATCTGTCTGCTTAACTTTTTACTCATTCCACATCCAGTATTTCTTAAACTTTCAGTGCTACAGGCTAGTTTAGGGGCTTGTTTTGTGATTTTCAATCTATTGCAGGCTTTTGTAAAAAATATTTTGATCACAAATTTAGAATGTCGGTGAGAAGGTCATATTATTCTGAAAGTTTAAACCATTGCTCTCAGCGACTGTATTTCTCTTGTCACAGAGCGGCCACCTTTCAGGTCACCTGTAGGCGGGAGGAGGGAAATGGCAGAGGCCACAGGCCCCACATAGGAAGACCTGTGTGGAAAAGAAGGCGTCTAAGGAAGGTGGGGCTGGCAGAGGAAGCTGGAGTGTAGCATGGCATGGAGCCCGGCGGGGAGAGGGAGAAAGCACGTGTACGGTTTCCTTGGGTTTGGTCTGGCTGTTTTTCACTTTGCAAGATTTCCATTAATTTAAGGCCTTTTTCTTCCTTTGAACAACTTTTGAAAACATAAAAATTGTATTTTGATCTCTGTTTTGTTTAATATCTGTATCTTAGTGACACTCAATATATAGCAGTCTGTTACCTGTGGTGATCAGTTTATACTCAAGCAGCACAGATACTAAAATTGGAACGATACAGAGATTAGTGTGGCCCCTACTCAAGGATGACATGCAAATTCGTGAAGCGTTCCATATTTAAAAACAAAGTGATCCACTTGCCCTAAGATCACTGAATAATTTCACTTATTTAGTAACTATATGGAGAACTGACTAGCATTCTGAATCCTAGTAGGATTCCTATTTTTTGTCTGTAGATAACATCCTTCTCAAGGCCTGTCTTCATATCTCTGTTTTATTTTAAGAAGTTTCTTCAACTTTCCCTTCCTGCCTCCCAGTCTTTTGAACAATATCCAACGGCTACTCTTTTCACTCAGAAGAAATTTCTTCGTAGCACATTATAAAGTAAGAAAAATTACGCCTTCCTCAGAAATATTTGTTTACAATCAGTTATTTCCGAAGACTACTTTTTCTGGAACTCTCAATGTTAAGTTAAATTTGTTTGTTTTTAAGATACTGAATGTTGGAAGAGTTCCACACATAGTTGTTGCCAAGTAGGTCCTCTCTTGTTTTTAAATAGGTCTTCTACTTTATTCTCTCGTTTTCTTCTAGTGTTTCACTTTTTAAAAATCTCCTTATCTTGGTTGTCTTTTTCAGTCAAGTCTTAATTCGAAGCAGAGTCCTCCGGGAAAATGGAAAATACATTCCCAAACAGGTACTCATTTACAGTATCTTTTATTAAAAAGCTCTACCTTTCACTGTTGAGCAGTAGATAGCTGAGTGTTCCATAAGAGGACTCTTTCGGGAGAGCTGAAGCTGGCAACTTGGTAATGAAGTTGTGGCTTTATCATTGTCATCATTGTGACCTTAACCTTCTTAGGAAATTGTTTTTAAATCTGACTCAGCTGAAGTGTCACGTCAGCTGCCAAGTAAGTTGTCAGCTCTGAATGTCACCTTCTATTCCATGGGCTTTCTGATCCGCTCTCCAGGGAATTGTGGGATGATTTGCTATGTCACGGTTCTTGGACTTTAAAACTTTTGTTTTTCCCCACTAGTCTTTTTTGACACGGAAATATTACTTCAACAACCCAGAGGATGGATTTTTCAAAAAAACTAAAAGGAAAGTAGTGCCACCTTCTCCTATGACTGGTATGTTCATTCCCATCGCTCACCATTGCAAAAGATTCTTAACCTAGACTGTTGGTGGGGGCAGGGACAGAGACTATAGATTCTTAAATATTAAATTATAGGGAGTAATATGCAAAGCATCTTAGAAAAAATATCTAATATGGGGATCTATGAAAGCCTAGGGTTTGGGTTTTGTTTTTTTTTTTTTTTTGTACCAGGAATTGAACTCACGACCTTGTGTTTGCCAGGCAGACTTTATGCAACTGAGCTAAATCCCCAGCTACCAGGGGTTTTTTGTTTTGTTTTGTTTTGCTGTTGTTCTTCTTTGTTTGTTTGTTTTTCTGTTTTTGGTACCGGGAATAGAACTCAGGACCTCGCACTTGCCAAGCAGGCACTGTGCTGCTGAGCTATATCCCCAACTCCCCTCTTTTTTTTTTTGTTTTGTTTTGTTTTGTGTAGGTCTTTTTTTCAAATAAGTCTTCTGAACATCCAGTGAAGAAAGTAGGTTTTGAAAGTGCTTTCAGATGATAGAGTGAGAGAAGGCCAGGCCCTCCTCCTGGGTCTCTGTGCTGTGTATACCCAGGGGCAGAGCTGGAAGTTTTTCCCCTGCGCACCACTGCTCATGGACTGCAGCTGACAGGTGCGCGCGTGCATATACACACACACACACTCTCACACACACTGAAGTATCACGTCAGCTGCCATGTACCCACACCTGCCTGCCTGAGTGAGGCAGAGCTCTAGAACTCTTAGGCCAACCAGGTCATGACTGGTCCCTGCAGTTTTTGCTCTGACAGATTTCTGACTTCTACTCATCCCTATCTTGTAAAAAATACATTTTTAAAACAAAATTATTTCTCATTTTAGTACATTTCTTCAGCTCTTTTAAAACCATACAGAATGTACCGGTGTTAAGAAAATTTAGGAGAAACCAAGTGTGGTGGCACATGCCTGTAATCCCGGCACACAGGAGATTGAGGCAGGAGGGTCCCTGCATATCAAGGCCAGCTGGGCTACAAAATGAGTTCAAAGCCAGCCTGAACTACATGGTAATACCCTGTCTCAAAAAAACAAAAAAAGAAAAAGTCAATACTTATACAAACATATTTGACCCTACTAATGATTCGTGGAATACAAATAAAATAAACAAAGACAAATAAAAACAAGATGTCTTTTTTAGCCCACTAAATTGGCAAAGATTGAAAGATTGATCCAAGCCACTATTTGCAAGAGTAGTCAAGCCATATGATCAGGCCTTGTTGAAAAACAGTTTGTTAAATTCTGAGTGATTTATAGACAGGTGTGGAGATGCATGCCTGTAATCACAGCACTCTAGAGGCTGAGGCAGCAAGATTGCTGTGAATTTGAGGACAGCTCGGGCTACAAAGTGAGTTCAAGGTGAGTTGGAATTGCATTGCAAGGCTCGGTCACACGCACACACAAAAAATGTCCGAGTGATTTTTGGTAGTGCTGGGCATGGACTTAGGACCTTACACACACATGTAAGCAATCTGCCACTGACCTGTGCCACAGCTACTAATAGCTATCAATTTTAGGGCTTTACACCCTTAACCCAGAAGTTCTTATAACTAAATGCTGTGGTACACACCTATAATCCTAGCTACTCGGGAAACTGAGGCGTAAAGATTACAAATTGGAGGCAGCCTCGGTTACATAGTGAGACTATCTCAAAAAGAAAGACTGGGGATACAGATCAGTGCAAAGCCCTGGATTCAAACTCCAGGACTACAAAAACAAAAACAAAAAAGGAGCAAGAAACTTCTCTTACAGTAACAGATAGCCATGCAGCTTTGTATACAAGATAACTATATGCTGTATTGTACTGTTTATTGGCAAAAAAGAGTTAGAAAACCAGATGAGGTGGCACATACAAATAATCCCAGCTCTTGGGAGGTTAAGGCAGGAGGATGGCCATGAATTTGAGCCATCCTGGGCTACCTAGGGAGTTGAAGGCAAGCAAGACCTTGTCTCAAAAACATTAAAGAAAAAAAGTTGGAAATACCCACCCAAAAGTAATTCTTCATAGCAGGAGGCAGATATTATACCAACATGGAAGTATCACCCACAAAATTACTAATTTTAGAACATAAAGTGAGATGTGATGGCACATACCTATAATACCTATAATGGGAGGCTGAGGCAGGAGGATCATTATGAGTTTGAGAGCATCCTGGGTTATGTAATGAGACCCTACAAAAATAAATAAAAGAGTAAGTAAAACATTAGAAAGTAGAATATAAGCCCAGCACTCAGAAGGCTGAGGCACAAGGAATGAAAGGCCAGCCTGGGCTGCATAGTGAGTTCAAGACCAGCATAAAGAACCCTGTCTCAAAACCCAAAAATGGACACAGTAGAATATGTTAAACATAGAATCCCTTTACGTTGTGTGTGTATAAAGTGAAAGATGGAAGAATATGCAAGAAATAACTCAGTGTTTAGTGAATGAGCTGAGAGGAACTATTTCTTAATTTCTGTGCCATAAATTTCTTTTTACAAGGAACACATGTTCCGTGAATTGTCCAACACTTTAAGTTTACAGAAAACAGGAAAGGTAAGCCTGTGTTCTCTGTGCTTGCATCTCAGATCCCACAATGCTCACGGACATGATGAAGGGGAACGTCACAAACGTCCTCCCTATGATCCTCATCGGTGGATGGATCAACATGACATTCTCAGGCTTTGTCACAAGTGAGTTGCATGCCGGCATCTTTACCTGTACCCATCCTGTGTGCCCCTTGGTGACTCCTGTGCTTCAGAGACTTAACGTCACAGCTGAGGGTTTCTTACGGAAACTGACAACATTCTCTAAGTGAAACATATTACTGTGTTGTGATTTTATGATTCCTGATTTGAACTGACTCTAAATTCAAAATGTGGATGCTTTTATAAATTTTTAATTTTTATTAGTAATGTTTGCAGTGGTTGATCTTTACATTAATTATGGGGAAGTGGTACATGTATAAACACATCTCTTTATTTTTTTCTCTTGTCCACCCCTTAAAAATTTTTTTGCCAGTCAGGTATAGTGATGCACACCTATAATTCCAACACTCAGGCAGCCGAGGCAGGAAAATTGTGTGAGTTCAAAGCCAGTCTGAGCTACTTAAATGAGTTCAAGGCTACATAGGTAGACCCTGTCTCAAAAAAATAAAAAAAAATTTTTGCCAGTGTCAGATACATTAATATATTTTTAAGTTCTTACCAAGTCTGTTATCATAAGCACAGATTAATGCCTAGGCCAAATAATATATATAATATATAAGATAATTATGCTGAGTCAAGGTACACTTATATTCATTGGCCATGCTGGGTTACAATAACTTTTCTCTGGTGGCCTTCCTATTATCTGCATTTTAGTTCACACTTCATATTTAAGCTTGTGTGTCTGATACTTTTTGCTAGGAGAGACTCAGGTGAGTGACTTCCCCATTTGCCTACACAACCATGTATATGGTATTCCAGGGAGGAAGAATAAAGGGAAGCGTACTTCTATTTCGATTTCTTTTGCTGGATGTTGGGATTAGTTTTCTGTCTGTTTATTAGATGATTTGATTTTAACCAATTTCATTTCTTTTTTTTTTTTTTTTTTTTTTACCACTGCTGAGAGGAGAACCAATTTCATTTCTTATTAATAGAATTCTTGGTGTGTACGTGTTCCACTTTGGATTTAATAACTAGATAAGTACAAATTTTTTCCACACTTTAGGTGACAGCTCAGTTTGAGCGTGCTTCCTCAGCAATCTAAAGCTGGTATTATTCAAGGAAACTAGAACAGAGCAACATTTTTTACCTTTTCTTCAAAAATTGCCTCATGTTTCCTTGTAGAAGTCATTTTCTGAGGCACATATGGCACAGAGTTCCCAGCTTCTTGGGGAAAACTCTGCACTGGCACTTCAGCTGCTGTAAGAATAGAACAGTGTGTGGCACTGTTGAATGTTTGCTTTTTCCCTGCAGCCAAGGTCCCGTTTCCTCTGACGCTGCGCTTTAAGCCCATGCTGCAGCAGGGAATTGAACTACTCACCTTAGATGCATCCTGGTAAGAACTTTCTAAGATCAAGATTTCTGACCTGCATATTTTACTGACAGTTCTTTACAGGTTTATTTTACTTTGACTCTACTTGAAATAATGTTGCTGGCTTCTGGCAGCTTTTCCACAAGTCTTGCAAAGTAGAGAACTTGCCAGCCTTTTTCATTGGGCCACAGGGGCACAGGATGGATGTGATAAGCCTCTCAGAAGCAGAAAGGTTAAGCCAGAACTCTGGCCAGTTTTTGGGCACAGTGGCACACGCCTGTAATCCCAGCATTCTGGAAGACTGAGGCAAGAGGAGTGGCAAATTCGGGCCCAGCTTGGATGACTTAGCAAAAAGGGCTGGGGATGTGACTCAGTAAAAGGCCCTGGGTTCAGTCCTCAGTGCTGAAAAGAGAAAGCGAGGATTTCTTTAGGCTTGGATTTCTTCACAGGAGTGGAGGTTTTGGTCGGTGGCTGCTTTGGATTGGGGTGAGGCAGATAATGAGTGCGTGTGATGAAGGAAGCATCCACCACATGGTTGAGACATGAAAGAAAGGGACAGGCCAAGGTCCCACAGGCCTTCTAGGACTGTGACTAAACCTCCTGAAGGCTCTGCCACATTCCCAGAGCTCCTCAGGCTAAGCACCAAGTGTGAATCTTTGGAGGACATCCACATCCAAACTGTAGAAATCTTTGTGTTTTTCTCTAAGATATGTTAGTTTCCACTGGTTCTAGTTGTTGTTCTAGGGTTTTCTGTTTATTACTTTGTCCTCATAGCAACCCTATGAAGTTGTGGAAAATTAGTATTTGATCAGGTACGAGGCTATCTGCAGCCAGCACCTCAGACTTACTTCCACTCTGTTTTTTTTAATAGCAGAATATTAAAACCAAAAACCCAAAATGCTTGGGAAACATTGCTGCTGTACCTACAACACAGTAATGTGGCTCACGTGGTCTCTGGACTCTCCACACCTTCTGCAAAACTGGCCTAGAAAGCAGCCTCGAGAGAAGAGAAGGAGGGCGGGCAGTGGTGTGGCCAGCGGTGATTTTGGCTTATCTAGGCTAGCAGAGCCATCTCTCATTCTATAGCAAGAACAGGACAGGTCCTGTGATAATATTGGCTGAGAAAACTGCGTTTTGTAGGAGCGGCATGATTCTGTTTAAACTTAACCTCCCAAACCCCACTTGGGCTAGGGGAGAACTCTATGGGTTGGAGGAGAGCTTTTCTCATCTCAGCATGAGGTCAGGCCTGTGACTGCCACACTCACATGCACAACATGGGGCCTGGACCTGAGTGGACTGTTCTGCTGCAGAACAGACCTGCAGTGTTGTACCTTCAGACATCACTGCCTGGCCTGCAGTGGAGTAGACCGCTCCTGTTACCTGACCTCACTTTGTGGCATCTTTCCATGTGAATATCATTTTCCTTATTCCCTCTAGTTTGTATTATATGTAAGCATATTCTACGGGAGATGGGTGGGAAACCACTGCTGAGGGCTGAATAAACAAAATTTAAAACTTGGTATACTTTTTTCTTTTTTTCTTTTTCTTTTTTTTTTTCTTTTTTTTTTTTTTTTTTTTGTCTTTTTGAGACAAGGTCTTGCTATTCAGTTCATTCTGGCCTTGAGCTCACTTTGTAACTCAGGCAGGTCTCAAACTTGCAATGATCTCAGCCTCCAGAGTGCTGGGATTACAGGCGTGTGCCACCATGCCCAGCTCTATAAATTTGACCTACTAGCATATATTAGGTGCATGATTTACTGTAATTTTTTTTCTTTTTGTACTGGACATTAAAATCACAACCTCTCGCTTGCCAGGCAGACACTTATACTGCTGAGCTAAATCCCTGGCCCTATTATAAGATTTTTAATAACTTTTTGTTTTTTTTTTAATTTTTGGTACTAGGGTTCAAACTCATAACCTCACACTTGCCAGGCAGGCACTCGTACCGTGGAGCTAAACCCCCAGCCCATGGAACACTTTTCTAATAATTTACATCTTCAGCATTGTAAATACTTGCTTAAGTCTACCTTTGGTTCTTTCCTCTAAGCATGAACACACTGGCACTTGTGATTTCCTCCAGACAGAGGATGCCACAGCCAGAGGTGTGGGTCCGTGGCAGTGTGCTTGCCTGGCATGTGCAAGATCCCAGGTTCTGTCCCAGCACTTGGTCGAAAGGGACAGCAGGCAGGGAGTTTCTTTCAATTTTAATTTAATACATATTTTAGCTATATATGGTGGCGCATGCCTGTAATCCCAGCACTCAAGAGGCCAGCCTGGGCTATAGTATGAATTCAAGGTCAGCCTGAATTGTGCAGTTAATAGCAGACACTGTTTCAAAAAGACAAAAATTGGTTAATTAATATATTTCTTTTAATATATTTTTATAGTAGTAAAACTGTCTTAACAGCTTATTTTTCTTCGTGGGATGTTAGTTGAATATGGCTTATACCAAACAACTTTGCAAATTATGCAACTATCAACACTTTCACTTTTGCTTTGCTAGGGTGAGTTCTGCATCCTGGTACTTTCTCAACGTATTTGGGCTCCGGAGCATTTACTCTCTGATTCTGGGCCAAGATAATGGTAAGAATGTCTGCTATGATAAATGAATACTTCGATAATTGAACCACTCATGCTAGAGCAAAAAAATCACGTAGGTCATGCCATCAGTGTAGTCAAACTCATTGTCTTCCTGAAATTTCTGAAGTTTTAATGATATATGTATATATGCAACAAATACCAGTGCACCCAACTATATAAAACAATTACTAATGGACGTGAAATATCAAATAAGCTCTAATACAACTATGTTGGGAGACCTCCATACCTGACTGTCATAAAAAGACAGATCAACTACACAAAAAAATGAATAATGAAATATTAGAGCTAAGTCAAACTTTTTAATAAATGGACCTAGTAGATGTCTATAGATGTTCCACCCCACAACATCATAATACACGTTCTTCTCAGCTACACATGGGACATTCTGCAAAACAGATCATGTACTAGCTCATAGAACATGCTTAAGTAAATGCAAAGGAATTGAAATTATCCCATGCATACTGTCAGACCACAGTGCAATAAAATTGGCAATGCATGCCAAACAAAACCACAAGAACTTCATAAACATATGGAAATTAGATAGCACCCTACTGAACAACCAATGGGTCATAGATAAAATTAAAAAAGAAATTAGCTTTTACAGTTGAATGATAATGACAGTACAACATACTGGAACTTGTGAGACACAATGAAAGTAGGCTTAAGAAGGAAATTTGTAGCAGTAAATACCCATATCAGGAAAACAGAGCAAGCACATATAAATAACTTAATGTTAAACCTCAGAAAAAGAAGAGCTGGCTAAACCAAAAGCTTGTACAAGGGAGGAAATTACAAATATCAAAGCAGAAATTAACACAGTGGAGACTAAAAAAATAGTACAAAGAATCAATGAATCAAAGAGTTGGTTCTTTGAAAAATTAAATAAAATTGACAAACCCCAGAAGTCATCTATACCTACTTTGAAAACTTGTATGCTAACATGATGAAAAATACAGAAGAAATGGACAGATCCCTAGATATGTATGAATTAACAAAGCTGAATCAAGAAGGTATAAAAATACTAAATAATCCAATATCAATGATAAGTGAAATCAAAGATTCAGTTAAAAACCTGTCAACAAAGAAAAGCCCAGGCCTTGATGAATTCACTACTGAATTCTACAAGAAATTTAGAGAAGACCTAACAGCACTGCTTCTCAAATTCTTTAATGAAATTGAATGGGAAGCAGTACTTCCAGATTCATTCCTGATACCAAAACCAGAGAAGGACCCAAGTAAGAAATAGAATTACTGGCCAATCTCCCTAATGAACATTGATGCAAAAATCCTCAGTAAGATACTGGCAAACAGACTGTAGCAAATCATCAGAAAGATTGTACGGCATGATCAACTGGGATTCATCCCAGGATGCAAAGATGGTTCAACATAACTAAATCCATACGTGTAATACACCATATTAACAGAGCTAAAGTCAAAAACTGTATGATCAATAGATCAGTAGATGCATAAAAAACTTTTCACAAATTCCAGAACCCATTCATAATAAAAATCCTATGAAAAATTGGAATAGATCTGATACAAGCTTTATCTCAATCTGATACAAGCCATCTCTGACAAACCAACAGCCAACATCGTACTAAATGACGAAAACTGAAAGCTTTCACTCCAAAATCAGGAACAAGACAAGAATATCCACTGTCTCCACTCTTATTCAACATAGTCCTGGAAACTTTAGCCAGAAAAAGAATAAAGATAGGAAAGGAAGAAGTTAAACTATCGTTACTCGCAGATGTCACAATACTCTACTTAGAAGATCCCAAAAACCCCACCAAAAGACTTCTAGATTTAATAAGCAAATTCAGTAATGTAGCTGATTATAGGAGCAACATTTAACAGTCAATAGCCTTCCTGTACTTGAATAACAAACTCAGAGAGAAATCAGGGAAACAATGCCATTTACAATAGCATCCCCCAAAATGAAATACCTAGGAATCAATCTAACAAAGGATGTAAAAGACTTCTACATTGAAAACTACAGGGGCTGGGGATTTAGCTCAGGGCATAAGCATCTGCCTTGCAAGCAGGCAGTCATGAGTTTGATCCCCAGTACCGATAAAAAGGAAAAAGACAGAAAAGAAAAGAAAACTACAGTACTCTGAAAAAAAAAAAAAAGATTGAGGAAGATATTAGAAAATGGAGAGATATCCTGTTTGTTCTCTTGGATAGGAAAAACCAATATAGTGAAAATGGCCCTACTTCCAAAACTGTTACACAGATTCAGTGCAACCTCAGTCAAAATTCCAGTAACATCTCACAGAATTAGAAAAACAATCCTAAAATTCATCTGGAATCAAAAGAGACCTAGAATAGCAAAGGCAATCCTGGACAACAAACATATAAGACAGGGCATCGTAGTCTCTGACTTGAAATTGTAGTATAAAGCTACCATGATGAAAACAGTGTGCAAAAAAACAGACCCAAGATCAATGGACCAGAACAGAGGAGGGAGAAACAACTCCAGACACACTAAGCCATCTTATCTTTGCCAAAGTTTCCAAACACATTTACTGGAAAAAGACCACCTCTTTAATAGTGCTGGAAAAACTGGCTTTACACATGCCAAAAATTGAACCTGGAGCCATATCTTTTACCATATACCACCAAGCTAAAATCAGAATAGATCAAAGATCCTAATATTAAAACAGAAACATTAAATCTGCTGGATGACAGAGTAAGTAAAACTCTTGAAGACACTGATGTAGGCCAAGATTTTTTGAACAAAACCCTGATTGTACAAGAACTATCACAAAGAATCAACAACTGGGATCTCACCCTATTGAAAATCTTTTGCACAGCAAGAGAAACCACCAACAGAGTGAAGAGACAACCCACAACCTGGAATAAAATGTTTGCCAGCTGTTCCTCAGATAAAAGATTACTATTGAGAATATAACTCAGAAAAATCAGTCCTTGGGCTGGGGATTTTCAGCAGCATAAGCGCCTGCCTTGCAAGCAGGCAGTCGTGAGTTCGATCCCCGGTACCGATAAAAAGAAAAACAGAAAAATCAATCCTCCCAGTTTAAAGACCCAATCTAAGAATGGGCATCTGAGATGAATATACACTTTTCAGATGAATAAACATAAACAGCAAATAAATATATGAAAAAGTGTTCAACATCACTGGTCATTTGAGAGATACAAATTAAAACACTGAGATTCCACATTCCACTTCACCTCAGAAAGAATGACTGCTATCAAGAAATCAAGCAATAACAAATGCTCGAGGGGCTGTGAGGAAAAAGGAACACTTCTCCACTGTTGGTGGGAATTCAAACTGGGCAACCACTGGGGAAATCAGTGTGGAAGTTCCTCAAAAAACTAATGCTAGAGGTCCCATTTGACCCAGCTATTCCCCTTCTGGTTATCTTCCCAAATGAATTAAAAACAACATACTTCAGTTATGTGTGTGCACCCATGTGTATAGCAGCACAGTTTATAATAGCCAGATGGTTTTTTTTGGTCTTTTCCCTTTTTATTGGTACCGGGGATCGAACTCACGACTGCCTGCTTGCAAAGCCGGCACTTATGCCACTGAGCTAAATCCCCAGCTCCAATAGCCAGATGTTTGAAACGACCTAAATGTTCATTGACTAAAGAATGGGTAAAAAAGGGTGTATTTTTGTATGATGGAGTACTAGTCAGCCTTAAAGAAGGATAAACTGGGGACTTACGGTAAATGGATGCATCTTGAGAACATACTCATTAGTGACATAAATAATACACGTGTAAAGATTTTATGGTTTCTTTAGTGTGACAAGCAGAAAAAAAAGTGTGTAAAAATAATAGTTAAGATAATTACACTACTGATTTCTCTGAGACACTGAAGAGAAAAATTTGTGCTGAGATTGTTTGGACCATTGAATGCAGATTTCTTGTCCTCTGGGTGAATGATTTGGGATGACAGTGTGAAATGTATGTATCATTGTTGCCCTAAGTAACATGCTTTGAAATTTTATTGTAGTTTTTTCCCTTTTCTTCCTCTTCCTGTTCTTCCTCTTCCTCCTCCTCCTCTTCTTCTTTTCCTTGAAATAAAATGAATTTAGGGAAGACATTTTCTGAGGTTTTTGAAAGTCTCGAAAATTCAGCACTCACAGTTCTGGGGATTTAGCTCAGCAGTGTAAGTGCCTGCCTGGTAAGTGCTAGGTCATGAGTTTGATCTCTGGTACCTAAAAAAAAAAAAAAAAACTAGCACTCACACTTAAGATCTGAATTTTCCCCAGCAGCCACAGAGTTGGCATGTTATTTGTCTGCCCAAAATAATGCACCTTCCTTGGGGAAGAGACCGTGTCTGCTGTGTTGGCCTGTCATCCTGAGGAAGAGCTGGTTGGTCAGTTGTGGCCAGTCGTAAGCCTGGCTGTGTCTGTCAGGACAGGGCTGGCTACTGCGCTCCACTCCTGTGGTAAAGTGGACACAGACTGACAGCAGCCCTGTGTGTAACAGTTGCTCAATATTTTGTGGCTGTTGTTACTGTTGAAATAAAGTTCAGGGCTTCCTCTAGTCCCCTCTCTTCCCCAGCTGTAGTTACCTGTTTTTCAGGGAGGGTACAGCACTTTACGTAGTCACACAGCCAGTAGGTGACAGGTGCAGTCTGTGGGCACCAAGCGTCTGTGAGTGCTACAGCTTGTGGGCCCAGCACTCATGCAGCCGTGTCTCCTCTGCAGCTGCTGACCAGTCCCGAGTGATGCAGGAGCAGATGACAGGAGCTGCCATGGCCATGCCTGCAGACACCAACAAAGCTTTCAAGGTATGCTTCACTCACCTTGCAGGGCCACAGGGTGCTACAGGTACAGTGTCCTCTTCCACCGTGCTTTCATTCTCTGCAGTTTACTATGCACAGACAGTTGCAGTCCAGTAATAACTAACTGCACTTTTTGTGTTGAAACTATATAATAGTGACAGAAAAACTCTGTGAAGCTATTTTTTTTTTTTTTTTTTTTTTTTGTCTTTTTCATTTTTATCGAACTCACGACCACCTGCTTGCAAGGCAGGTGCTTATGCCACTGAGCTAAACCTCCAGCCCCTGTCTTTTTCCTTTTTATCAGTACCGGGAATCGACTCACGACTGCCTGCTTGCAAGGCAGGTGCTTATGCCGCTGAGCTAAATCCCCAGCTCCGAAGCTATTTATTTTGAGACAGGGTCTCACTACATAGTTCAGACTGGCTCTGAACTTGTGGCAGTCCTCCTACTTTGGCTTCCTATAAAGCATTTTTTAAAAACTAAGGCATATGCAATCAGACTAAAATTCTAGAAATTTGTTTATCTCAACATATTCATGGCTTGGGGCCAGGGATTTAGCTCAGCGGCACAAGCACCTACTTGGCAAGTGCTAGATTGTGAGTTCCATGACTTCAGTCCCCGGTTCCAAAAAAAACCATAGTCATAGCTTACAGCCAAATAATTATGTTTTATACTTTAAACTCATCATGTTTTTCCAGTGATGACCTCATTAGTACCAATTATGAGACTCCCACAAACTGTACTGAATGCCTTTGTGTGTTTAACCATTCCTAAGGTGAGCAGACATGTTCTTAGGGCCTTGGAAGCTATTTGCTGCCTTGTAAAAGGCTCAGAATTCCCACATTAGGCTGTCTGTCCCATGTCCCTTGGAAGTTGTACAGGACCTGAAGCGGGAGCTTCAGGAGCATGAACTCAGGGCTGGGAATTTATCTCAGTGGCATAAGTATCTGCCTGTAAACTCGAGGTCATGAGTTCAATCCCTACTACCAAAAAAAAAAAAAAAAAAAAAGAGCATGAGCTCATGGCCAGGAGCCCTGGGGCCTAGGAGTCCCCTGCACCTAATTGAATCTTGGCTGCATTAGTTTCTGAGCCAGGGACCTTAACTTGTGCTGCAGCATCCACACTTTAATCTCCTTCCCCATCAGATGTAGGATGAGTAGGCGGCAGCACAGCCCAGAGCACCTACCAAGATGGGCTGCACCCCCGGTGGCTCAGCCCATTAGCAGTAATGCTGTCAGTGACAAGCCCTCTCTCCCTCCTGCCTCATCTGCCCTTGCAGACAGAGTGGGAGGCCCTGGAGCTGACCGACCACCAGTGGGCCCTGGACGATGTTGAGGAGGAGCTCATGACCAAGGACCTGCACTTTGAGGGCATGTTCAAGAAGGAACTGCAGACATCCATCTTCTGAAGCTGGAGCCAGGAGCAGCTGCGTTGGGAACCTGCAATTGCGCCTAACCTTGTACTTTGACTGAAACCAGAGCCTCAGGATGGAAAGGAGGATGCAGGGGCTGGCAGGATGTTGCAGGGCTCGCTCTTTTCTGGGCTGGGCTCCCCTTTGTGTTGGAAACTAGAGGACAAAAAGGAGTGCACTAGTTCTGGCTATCCAAAAGTGTTCTTTCATCTAGTTATAAAAGAGAAAGGGGAAACTCAGGCTACGAATACCATATAAAAACGTAGCAAGTTTCAGTCTTTGGAGGAAACGTCATTTGTAGCTGGTTATGTTCAGTCAGTGTGACTTCTAACCACAGTAAACTCCTGTCTTCTTGGAATCCAAACACTTCTGCATTTACCTTTAATTTTTTTGTTAATATAGTTCACTTTCTTTATAACAGTAATACATTTCATTTCTAAAAATGTAGGAAGTAGGAGTGAGCAAAATGAATCTCCCTGCTTTATTCATTTTGAGCCTATCGAATGACACAAAGCAGTGTGTCAAGGCCTCGCTCACATGAGCCCTTCTCATGGGGAACACCAGGACTGGCGGGCGTGGCAGAGCCTTCCCCCTTCAGTGACATCAGCCACCCTCGGGCACTGCCAGACCCCCAGGTGCCTTCAGGATTATTAAGACAGGTTGAGCAATATAAGTGCTTTACCAGGCATGGTGGCACACACCTGTGATACCAGCAGTCGGGAAACTGAGGCAGGAGGATCATGGTGAGTTTGAGGCCAGCCTGGGCCCTGTAGTGAGTTCAAGACCAGCCTGAACTACATTGTGAGACCTGTCTCTGAAAAACAGAGATCTGAATCCAAACTTTAGAATATATCAAATTCATTGGCAAATCTATGGTGCTGTGCTGTACATGGCTCTGCAGGTGGATGGAGATCATTTCCCAGTCACTGGGCAGGTGCAATGTACCTGTCATTGGCAAGAAGGAGCAAAAGCATTGCTGGCTGACACATGAATCCAGGTCCCCAGCAACGCCTTTGTCTAGACACAAGCCAGGGATGCGACTGGGTCTCATTACTATATCTAGGTGGATGTAATTTGCATGTTGAGCACTGTAATCAGGAACAAATGGCTCTTGACTGAATTAAACTGTCCAGTTTTCTCTCTTGCCTGTGAGATGTTGCCTCTGTGCGTGCTTGGCAGCCTCTGCCAACATCCTAAGTAGTGCTGGAGGGGTCAACTCAGCCCTCAGGACTCCCCAGCAGCAGGTATCAGAGATTCTAGAACCTCCAGGCACCTGAGGGCAGGAGGCGGATGAGCCTGTCACCTCCCCAAAGTGGACGTGGCCTGGCAGCATCCCAGGGAGCCTGGGGGGGCTGAGGGGACAAGGTGCTGCTGGGCAGGAAGGGCAGCCATGCAGACACAGCTAGGGGAGCCAGTCCTGGCTGGCTGTGTGGGTGACTGGCACTCCGCATGGCCTTTCCCTGGCTCCCATCCACCAGCAGTCACAGTTGTAGTTTATGGGGCAGGGGCTAGTAGTCGTCAAAAGGTGAGACCCGAGGTTTCACCGTGACCCCACAGACCTGCAGCAGACACAGGCATGGGGCGTGGCTCACCCAAAGGGCAAGTGTGCCCGTGGCTGAGTGGTGACAGACTCGTGGAGGCCCTCGAGTTGGCCTTGTTTCAGGAAAATGTTTCTGAGTTTTAAATACAGATAAAAGCCTTGTTACTCTGGTCAGTGCACAAATGTTGCCACACTGATATATTCCAAGAGCCATACAAGGGGGTGTTTATCACTGTCTGCCAGCAACTGCAGAGCAGGAAGGGAGAACAGCACGGTGCACACACCTGTCAACAGGAAGCCGATGACGAGAAGTCTGTGAGAACTTAGCACAGAGTTCCCTAGTGGTGTTGCCTAGACAGTCCCAAATGAGGAAATGCTAACCCCTTGTCACTGGACAGATACAGTTCAGTTCAGTATATCGGCAGGATGAAATACCAGACAAGCAGAGGTGAAATACGCCACGTCCAAGTGACAGGCCAGTCGGGCTGGGCTGGGGCTGAACACATGCTTGGCATGTGCGTTACTGTGAGCCATCCCACACCCTAGCATGTCTTCAAAATGTCCAGAACTGGGTCAGTTTTTGATTGCCAGGACTTGGCCGACTATGAAAGTGAGTCTTCCTGGAGTAATGCATGAACAAGGTTTCCATCACTGTGACACAGTACCTGGGATGAGTCCCCTCACGGAGAGAAAAGGTTGATTGTGAGCTCTTGCTTACCTCACAGCTGCTGAGCAGAAGCAGATAGCCCTGTGAGGGCCGCCTCCCTGAGCCTCAGCATTCCTAGTGTCACCAGCCCTTTCATGGCCTGTGGGAGCCCCCTACCCCCAAACTATAGCACATGCCTGGATGTTAAACAGACTGTGAGGGGCCCAGCAGGCGCAGGGCCTGCAAAAATAACAACACATAAAACCAAATATGGAGCAACCTTTTCTGGACCCCTTCTGTCTCTCTCAGACAGAAGCTTTTTTTTCTCTCAATATTTCTGCTCTTAAAAAATAAAATCAAATAGGAAAAGGCTGGCAGTGAGTGCTTCCCGTGGCAGAGCACTTGGCTCGCATGTGCAAGAGCTTGGATTCCATCCTCAGCCCTGAAACAAAAGCAGAGCACATCATCAGGAATGTGATAGACACTGAAATCTGCAGATATGATAAAGTCCAGAGCAGCAGGCTGTTTATTTTATTTTATTTTATTTTTGGCCATACTGGGGATTGAACACTGAGCTACATCCCAGCTGTTCGCTATTTCGTTTTATCTATTTATTCATAGTGTCTCACTAAGTCACTAAGACAGTGTCTCACTAAGTTGCCTTGGGTTGGGGTTTAAGGGGAAGACTTCAGAACAGCACAGCAGGCACTAACCCCAAAGTACCCCATTCCCTGTGGAAAGAGAGAAGGCAAGGAGGGGTGTGGCCTCTTCACACAGGCAGGTGCAGCAAAATTAGGGTGGAGCAGGTGGGAAAAGTGCCAGTTGCACCTGTTCTGCGCTCTGACAGCTGTCCCTGCCCCTGACAGCTCAGGATGTGAATCACTGGACCAGCCAAAGTAAGACCAAGGGCTCCAGGTGGCTTCCCTTGCTCTTCTTCTTGGACTTTAGTTGACACCAACACCTACTAAACAAACTTGATTTGTCTGCCTTTTAAATCTTTGCTTTTTGGGTTTTGTTTTGTTTTGTTTTGTTTTTGAGACAGGTTCTCACTATATACAGTGTAGGCTGGTCTTACATTCATTATATTACAAGCTGGTGTCAGATTTGGAGGGACCCTCCTGCCTCAGTGAAGCAGGAATCACAGGTGTGTGCCTCTACACCCAGCTCAAAAAAAACCTGATCTTAAAAAAATATATATTGTTATACTAAATCTCATACTGTAAAATCAGTGGTTACCTGGCAAATGTGAGGTCGTGAGTTCAGTCCCCATTATCAAAAAGAAAGAAAGAAAGCAAAGCAAAGCAGTGATTCCTTACTTTCTGCCCTCTCACTTCCAATTTCAGAAGCAATCATTTTCAATTCTTTGTGGTATTTTTGGTTACTTCTTCTGGTATTTATATTTATCTTCTTTTTTTTAATCTTCTAAGCATCGGACTTACCCTGCTAGTATAAGACTTTTTCCAGGTTTACATTTTATCTGTTGACTATTCTGAAATTTAACTCTGGCCCCTCTCCCTAGGGGTCTAAATTTCCCAGGCTGGGTTCTGACTGGTCATCCTGCTGTCTTAGCCTCCTGGAGTGCTCAAGTTACAGGTGTGTGCCACACCCCTAGCGCAACTTAGCTCTTACATTTCCCGTCACATTTTCCTTCATTGTTTTCCAGTCATTCTATATTAACAACAGCAGAAGTATGAACAGTTTCAAGCTGACTCAAAAAGTGTGCCATGCTGGATATGGTGGCACGTGCCTGTGATCTCAGCACTCGAGAGGCTGAGACAGGAGGATCAATGCGGGTCTGAGGCCAGCTAGGGCTACATAGGCCTTCAAGGCCAGCCTGGACTACATAGCAAGATCCTGTCTCTAGGAAAAAAAAACAGATGTACTGGGAGTACAATTTTTTTCCTAGACTTTTTGTTTTCCTGCTGTCAACATTGCTTGATCATCCTCTTGCAAATCTTCTGCACACCTGTCACAAATGCATTCTTCCTCATCTTTTGTTGAAGGGAAACGTAATCTGAAGGTTGATTTCCCACCCAGGTTCCCAGAGTTCTACAGAAAATAAAAAGACCACAATTTCTTTAACAGATTAACTCGAAAAAAAAAAAAAAAAGGAGAAGGGAAGTATTATAAAAGTAATTTAAGAAACAGCCACCAAATGCCGCCTTGTTGGGATCCTCACTGAAACCCACTGTAAGGGAGACACTTCAGGACTCCCAGGGGACACAGGAACGCAGATGTGTCCCAGAACCTGAGAAGGATCTGCCTGTGCACGTCAAGCAGCCTTGCAGGTTATGTCACAAAATCCCCATTCAAGCCCTTTACTGAGATGCCCATGTGGAAATAATGTGATCTCTGAGATTTCCTTTTGAAATATCCCACTCCTGTCTCCCCACCAGAGTGCACTTGGGAGAGACATACAAATGGGGAGAATAACAGTAATTATTGAAGTGGGCTGACAGGCACACGTGAGTGCATTACATTTTTTCCCACTCTCATGTGTGTTTGAAATAATCTATTAAGAAAGCTTTAAAAATTACGAGATTTGCTAAGAAAAGGGACAGTGCTACCATCTTAGGAGCAGCGGTGGGAGGTGAGAGGGGAGGAAGGAAGCAAGCAGTATGCTAGGTGTTTGCTGGGCCTGCGTCGCACACAGCACCATCCCAGCCAGGGTTCTGAACTGTGCCATTTCCCAGGCTGACTCCCCTGTGAGGTGGAGCTGCTGAGAGCTGGGAGCAGCAGGACGGGGGAGCAGGGCCAGTGCCAGGGCCACAGCACTGAGGCTTAGTCATGGAACATGCTGGCGAGGAGGCCACAGTCACAGGTGGCTCCCTGCAGCCTCCACCTACAGGCCAGGAGACCTAGGAGAGGGCACCTCTCCCCACCAGACTCATGGGAGACTCTGTGCCTACTGTGCAGGGCTCCCCACAGCCTGTCTTTTTGACAGGTTGGAGGTCTAATTCATATGGATTACTTGTTTTAAGGTGAACTGTTCAGTGCCCAGTATGGTCAGCATTCTGGGAGGCTGAAGCAGGAAATTCAAGCACACCCCGGGCAATTTAACAACTTAGTGAAAATTTGCTTCAAAAATAAATGATTATAAAGTGCTGGGAGGGGCTGAGGATGTGCCTTAGGGGTAGAATTGCCCTGTATTCACAGGCTCTGGGTTCAATCCCCAGCATCAACAAAAGTAGGGGGGCTAGGAATGTGACTCAGTGCAAAGGCCTTGGTTTCAGTGCTCTGTATAAAAGCAAAACAAAAAACAATAATGTGGGGGGCTGGGGATTTAGCTCAGCGGCATAAGCACCTGCCTTGCACGCAGGCAGTCGTGAGTTCCATCCCTGGTACCGATAAAAATGAAAAAGACAAAAACAACAACAACAAAAAAAAAAAACCAATAATGTACTTTGGTTGTGTGCCCAGCTGGTGGCAGGGTGGCATGCTGCTGTGGGTGCAGAGGCCCCCTCCCAATGGTCCTGGGTCTCCAGGGTGGTTGTGGAGCCAGACGCCCTGACCCACTCCTGGTGCCGTTGCATAAGGTTAGCCAAAGGCTAACCTTCACTCTTGCGCCAGGCTCCTCTTTCCACAGATCAGCTTTCACATCGGCCTGTGGCTAAGGGATCCTAATCACTCTGGCTTTTGTCTGGGATCTCAGAACTGTGCCAGTGGGTGGCCAGGAAATGGTGAGCTTGGTCCCTGCCCTCCTTGAGAGACCAAAGGACAGACCAGGCCAGCTCTGAGCTGCAGGACACTCTTGACATCTCAGCAAGGGTCCATCAGCGTGAGGGGACGAGTCAAGGGCTGGGCTCTCTCCTCAGTGACTACCCATCCTGGGAAGCTGGCGCTTGCTGTCAGGAGGGTTGCACGGCCGGAAGGTGGGAATTGGAGCTAGCATTTCCCTTTCAGATGTTCCCACTGCAGATCCTGTAAAGCAAAGCACTGACCCAGAATAACACATATGATGTGATCACACTTGTGTAAAAGAACACACACATGCATGTGTTTTTGCAAGGAAGGGAACAAGGCAGTAGCCACAGTTGGTGCATCTTCGAGGACAGAGTCACAGAGGCAGCTAGTGAGACAGCTTTTTCCCTGAACGTTTCTATGCTACATGAATGAAGACAATCAGCATACATCATTTTTACAATCCAAATGACTAAAATAGATTGCTCATTTGTTTGTTTGTTTGTTTGTTTGTTTGAGACAGGGTCTTACCAGGTTGCCCAGGCTGGCCTCAAGCTCACAGTGACCCTGCTGCCTCAGCCTCCTGAATGCTGGGATAGCAGGCGTGCACCACACCACACCCAGCTAACCAACTAAAGTTTGACTAACAGTCTACCACTGAAGCATATGTGGGCTTTGATATCTCAAGCATGACCCTTGCAGATGTCCCTGTCTGAGCTTCATGATAGTCTCACAGGTCAGGAGCTGTCTCAAGAGCAATGCGGACATCTGACAGTGTCCATCTGACCTGAGGATGCAAAGAACCATAGCTCCAACCACATCTGGGCTAGGAGCTGATCCGATAGGGGCTGTAGTGCCTGTGCACAAGGACGGAGAACCAAGGTGGCCCCTGCCTTGTCACCTTGCCACCAAAGCCAACTGCTGGAGGCAACCTGAGTCTCAGCCAGGAAGGAGGGATATGTGAAAACCACCCCCTCACCCTGTGCTGGAATTCTCAACAACGTATGCAGGAAAGAAAATAGATGTGTGGCTGTTCGCATAGGATATGGGCCAGGATATGTTCTGCAGCGCAGAGAAAAGGCAGGTTATTAAAACCGCACAGACAGCGTGATTTCATTTCCATGTAAGGTATATGAACCTGCGCTGAAAACAGGTCTGAAGGACACTCAGGCAGCTATAGGCAAGCCTGCCCACGGGTGCGCGCACGCGTCCCCGTGAGGATGCAGGTCTGCAGAGCCGCAGCAGCGAGCTCCCCGTCGCGTGAGGTATGTAAGCAGAGGGGAGGCTGCCCCACCTGCGAGGACCCTGCGGGAGGTTTCCCCGCAGCGCTTAGCAATGAGCCTGGTCCAGTGCTGGGCCCACGGGTCTCGAGCAGAGGGGTGCCCTGGCAGGGAGCGGCGTTGCTGGGAAAGGGTTAAGCAGCCGCGGTGGGCGGGCTCGGGATCTGCAGCGCCGGGCTCAGCTGGCCGCGCCTGAGCATCCCGGAGGATGCGGGCGGCGCAGGGACCAAGGTGAAGCCGGGCTCGCGCGCCCAGGTGAGAGGACCCGGCCTGCACAGCGCCCACCGCGCCGCCGGGACACTGTGGGCCGGCGCGGAGCCAGCGAGGCGACAGAGGTAACGGCACGGCCACCAGCCCCTGGGCTCCAGCAGCAGCCCTGCTCAGCCTGGGGCCCTCCCTGACCTGCAGTGGCCGGGGCACGGGGCGGCACACTTGTCACCGAAGGCCCAGCACAGCCTCTCTGCGTGGCTCCCTGATTTCCCTGTGCGGGAGCAGCCGTCACTGGCACCGGAGCCGAGTGTGGCTACCCATCGGGCTGTGTGACCTTGGGTGATCTCATCAACCCCTCTGAACCCAGTTTCCTTCCCTTGAAATCCAGGCCTTTTGGGTCTCTGTGCCCCCTTCCCATCGCTCACCTCTAGGCCCAACCTTGGGGCCCAGGTCCCTTTATGGGCGGGGCAAAGGGCGGAGCTTGGCAAATATGGGAGAAATGAATTAGCAAGCTTAAAGGCAGACTGACTAGCTTTGCGGCCTAAGAGATCTTTGAACTCCAAGAGACTGCCCACAAGCTTTGGTGAGATGTGTATTTAGAGTTCGCTGCGGTTTCCTAAGGTGTCTGTGACCCACCAACGACCAGGAGCCAGGAGCTCTGGGGACCGCAGCAGCCTCCATGCAGTCTCTGTGTCCTGGCCTGCCCTGGTCTCCATCTCCTTGGGTCATTCAGGGGTGGGAATTTTAGGGATCAGCCAGTAGGGCCACATATGCCAAGTGCTGGAGTCTAAGAAACAGTGTGGTGGGGGGGGGGGGCATGATACCTACTGCCAGCACAGGATCACTGGGTGGCCAGAGTGAGCAGTGCTCAGGAGGAAGCCTTCCTGGAGGAGGAGGAGGAAGAGAAGCAAGAGGAGGAAGAGCAGGTGGAGGCTGGTGAGTCTTGCTGACCCATCTACGGCCTCACCTCCCCTAACAGCTGCACCCATCTCCCTCCCTTCCAGAACACGGTCAGACCTGGCCACACCTGTGAGTCTCATCTCCAGTGATTTCCAGGTACTCGGAATGAGGTGCAGGTGCCGTGGTGTCTGGCCTCCCCTTTTCAGTCAAGCTGATTGGCTGCTACTTTGTCCCTTGCTTGCTGCGCCCAGTCGCTTTCATTTTGTTTTATAGTGGGACCTAGCCTGGGGTGTGGTTAGCTACACCCCAGCCCTTTTTCATCTTTTTGGAAGAGTCTCCCCTAGTTGTGCGTGCTGGCCTTGAATTTGTGATCCTCGTGTGTCAGCCCTGAGTCCTGGAATTAGTGTGTGCCGCAGTCCCCAGAGTGTTGTTTACAGTACTGGTGATTACACACAGGGTCTTCCCTCCGAGCCGCCTCCCAGCGCTTCCGCACTCAGCATTTAGCCAAAATGTCCTCTCCGGGAGGACTTTCTGGGTATCCTGTGTGAACAGGTTCTCATCCCTCTGTTTCTTCACATTTTATTTTCTTCATAGTTGACCTTATATAAAATTATTAGAAAGCCAGTTCCCCAGGGGCAATCCTGTCCCTCTTGTCCACTGCTGTGCAAAAGGTACACGTGTAGCTTCTTTCTGCAGCACCTGTGGTGACTGGAGACAGGAAGCTCTCTGGACTAAGGGAGAATGAGAGCTGTCAGGCCTCCTAAGTGCCTGCCAGATGGGGACCATTTCTGCTTCATTGGTGAAGCCCCACAAGTCCCTTAAGGTAGTTGCTCAGTTTTTAGAATGGCAAAGCCACAACACAGAGAAGTCAGACAACTCACTCAGGAAATGCCCAACCTGGGATGTCAGTGCAGACCTGTCTTCCAAGACAGAATGCCCATTCCTCTTCCTCTCTACCCATCTCCCAATAGAGCTGGACTTTCAGAAACAGGGTGCCAGGAGGTAGAGGAGGCAAACAGAGAAGGATTCTAAAATGAAGGGCAGCAGGAGCCTTGGCTCCAGGACCAGCATAGCCTGGCAGGTGTTACAGAGTGGCTGCGCAGCCTGGATGGCCAGGGAAGGAACTCATGTTCTCTTTTGAGAGCAGGGGGGAGCCATGGAAGATTCTGAAGCAGACCAAGTGGTGTGACCAGTGCTGCAGGTTTTGAGGGTTTTAAGCAGAGAAAAGTTGCTGACTCTGTTTTCTGTACTCTTCCCCCAAGCCCTTTAGGGAAGTCCTAGGAGCCCCCGCTCTCACCTGTCATTCCCTCTCTCCTGTCTTTCAGGCTCCTCCAGTGAGGGCTGGCATTTGTGGGCTCTACGTTAGGCACTAGAGTGGACCATGGCTTCTCCGATCCTGCTGCTATTGCTGCTACCATCCCTGGGGGCCAGCTATTCCCTGGGCAGGGATCTTTCCAGGCCCCTTGAAGACACAGAACCCTACCTTGTCCCCGTAGCCCACAATGAGCACCCTGTGGACTCAGAAACCCAAGCCTCTGGCCTCCTGTGGTGGAGCCGCACACACTTTGACAGCCTCCAGGGCCCTGCTGCAGTTGCCCAGAGGCCTGCAGACTCTACCCTAGGCCCTGCCCTGCCTGGACCCCATGCAGCCCCTGGGGCTCTGGGAGTGCAGCTCCCTATGAGGGACAACCTCCAGCTCGCCCAGAGGCCCAGCTCCCAGGGCTGGATGGGACCCCCAGATACCCAAGGCCCTTGGGAGCAAGACACCTTTGCCCCCCTCCCAGCAGGCGCCTCCCACCTCACGGTTACCCCCATACCTCCCAGCCTTCAAGTCAGGCCAGCCACACTGCCTCCTGCTCCCCAGGAGCCCCAAGGCCCAGCAAGGCAGCATCCTTCTAGAGATCGGGATCCCAAGGCCAAATCTAAGACCAGAGCTCCACCAGCTTCTCCCCTGGACCCCCAGGGCCCTCATCATACTCTCATGCCACACACAGGTGCTGTCAGGGAGCGAGTCCTGGGAGGACAGGCTGGGCATGAGGGTGATTTCAAGGAGGCAGCCCAAGGCCTCCAAGTTACCCAGGACTCAGTAGCCCCCAGTGCCGACTCCAGTTCCCCAGCTGACCCCAGCATCCAGCCAGACCTGGCCTTGGCCAGAAGACTTCCTCCTGCTGAGGAGCTGCCACCTGAGCCCCGAGAGAAGACCAGTGCTGGAGACACCTGGGACATCAGTTCTTTGGGCCCCTGGCCCAAACAGATGGACCTTCCTGACGTCGAGGGTTCCCAGGAACTTCAGCCCACACACACTGCAGCCTCTGAAGCTCTGGATGGGCAACTGAAGCCAGGTAGGCACCAGTGGGGTGCCAAACCAGGCCGCTGAGTGCCCCAGTTCTCTGTGCCCTCTGGTCCCTTCCCTCATTCTGACAAATGAGGCTGACTGTGCCTCTCCTGAGGGAGGGGATTTGGGGCAGGCAAAGTGGTGATGCTCTTTGTCATTTCAGAGACGGCAGCAATGAACGGAGCAGACCCCATCTCCCCACAGCGGGTGAGAGGAGCAGTAGGGGCCCCGGACACGTCCAAGTCTCTCGTCCCCAGCACCTCAGACCCTGGCCTGGCTATAAATGGAACTGAGAGCCCTCTGAGGGGCCTGCAGCCAGGTGAGGGCACAGCTGAGGATTTGGGCAGGGGGAGGCCGTGTCTGACAGCCAGGAACCTGAGGACATCTGTGTGAGGGAGGGGTCAGGACCTCTGAGGAAATGGAGACAAACATTGCTTAAACGGATGGCCGGAACTTCTGTGTCACTGAGGGCAAACAGCAGATTCACTGGCTGCCCTGGAAGATGGCATAGGCTTTTTGGAGCTAGAACATTTTTCAGTGTAACATGGCTACATCTGGTGCAGTGACTCTCCACCCCTGGCAAATCACTAGAAAACCTTTTAAAATTTTTATCTGGGGTGTGGAAATACACACCTGTAATCCCAGCTCTTGGGAGGCTGAGGCAGGAAAATCACTTTGGAGTTTGAGGCCAATTTGAGGCACATAGTAAGTTCAAGGCCAGACTAAACTATATAGTGAGACCTTGTCTCAAAAACAGACAAACAAAACAAAAAAGGCTTAGTCCTAAGAGAGTGTTGATGCCAGGTACCACGCTAAAGTGACTCCATAATGTAGGGGTTCGTTGCATTTGAAGGTGTATTTGGAAAAAGTAAAGGAACACAGTAATACTACAGAAAGCTGAGAAATCAAAAGCACTTTGCAGAAGCTATTTTAATACTGTTGTTATTGCAGATAAAGCCGAGGAATGGCCTGGGTGGCCCCAAAGCCATCCCCCAGCACCCCCAGTGCAGGCCCCCTCAACATCTCGCCGAGGCCTCATTCGAGTCACCACACAGCGAGCCCTGGGCCAGCCGCTCCCTCCAGAGCCCTCGGCGAGCTCCACGGCCTCTGCCCCGGTTTCCAGCCCCCCAGCCAACGCCACTGCACCCCCCCTGCGCTGGGGACCCCTACGGCAAGTGCTGAGCTTTTCCTGGGAGCTGCACGTCTACGGGGTGGGGGTGCTCTTCCTGCTGCCCGCTTTATTAGCTCTCGCCACACTGGCTGCAGCCCTAGCGGGACCCCGACTAGCACTGGTGGCCACTGCGCTGGTGCTCCTGGCCTCTGGGCTGCGTTCAGCATACATGCTTACTGACCCTTACGGTTCGCAGGCGCGGCTAGGCGAGCGCACGGGCCTGGTGCTCTACAACCTGCCCTTCCCCTTGCTGCTCACAGCTCTGGCAGCCCTGACCTTGCTCGGCCTGGGTGCGGGGTTGCCGCCAATGCTGCAGAAGCCACCACTGCTGGGGTCCTTGGCCCTGGTGCACGGTGCAGGACTGCTGGCCGCCGACCTGTTGTCAGCGCGGCCCGTGCTCAACCTCCTGGTGCAGGGCCTGTCATGCGCCTGGGGCGCATCCGTGGCCCTGGGCACGCTCTGCCTGTGCCGGCGCCGCCTGCTGGACGCGCCGCGGGGCTGGGACCCCAGCCCTGGCCCGCGCCTGCTGGCTGTGGCGGGCTCGCTGGGGCTGCTGGCCAGCGGCCTGCAGCTGGCGGCCTCACTCTGGCTGTATCCGGGCCCTGGCCGGGTGGGCCGCTTCTCGTGGGCCTGGTGGGGTGTGCACTTCTGGCTGCGTCTGCTGGAGTTGACCTGGGCGCTGGCACTGGCGCTGTCAGCCATGGCCGCTGCGCGCCCCTGGCCGCCCACCGAGCACGCCTGCTGGGCGAAGCTGCTGCGCCTGGCGTGCCCTGTGCCGCCGAGCAAGAGCGAGGTGCCTGAGCGTCCCAACAACTGCTACGCGGGGCCCAGCGGCCTCGGTCAGGCTGGGCTGGACATCAGCAAGAGCCTCATCCGCAACTCGGGGGAAGGGGGCCCGCCCGCCACGCCCAGCTCTGGCGCCTGGGGTTCAGCTGCATCGCTGGGCCGCGCAGCCCCTGGTGGCCCGGGACGGTCCTGCAGTAGCATGGGACCGGCGCCGTCACTGAGCGAGCTGGACCTAAGGCCGCCATCGCCTATCAACCTGAGTAGAAGCATCGACGCCGCGCTCTTCCGTGAGCATCTGGTGCGGGACAGCGTGTTCCGGCGCTGCGGCCTGCAGAACCTGACCTCCCAGCCGCCCGGGGGCGCGCTGCGGGTCCGCCGGGGCAGCCAGCACGACGCTGAGCCCAACACAGGGTGCACGCTGCTCCGCACTCGCTGCCGCTCCTTCAGCGATGTGGGAGGCCAAGGACCAAAGGGCGCGGCGGACCAGGCGGGCCAGGCTGCAGCCTCTGGCAGCTCCCTGGACAGCTTCTCCCGGGGTTCGCTCAAAATAAGCTGGAACCCATGGCAGCACGGACTGTCTTCGGTGGACAGTCTACCGCTGGAAGAGCTGCCCAGCACGGTGCAGCTCCTGCCCGCCCCGGCCCCGGCCCCGGCCCCGGCCCGGCAAGGGGAGTCTCAACCAGAGGTCCCGCCCGGAAGCAAAGCCGGGAACTCCCACAGCGCCTCCAGCGACACCATCGAGCTCTGAGCCGTCCACTGAGCGCAGCCGCCAGGACAGCCAGCTTTACACACTGGCCACCATGGCCCTAAGAGCCAGATGGGAACCCACTTCAGCTTTTGTTTTTAAAATCTACTTTTTTCAATCAAGTATTCTGCATAGGGCCGTGACTTACACGGAATACAGGGTGGCAGGGCATGGATTTGGGCATGGGCAACAGGGTCCACACTTCCCAGAATGGAGGGAGGAACAGTGCTTGTCCCAACTGTCTCTTGTGCCAAAGAAATAAACCTGTGAGGTTTGGCTCCTTCCTCCCACAGCTGGGAGGTCCTGCCCTCAGGATGCAGACTTGGAGGTGGGGAGGGGACCCTGCAGAGGAAAGTACTCCAGCTTTGGTCATTGCACCTACCAGTGTTTCATGGCCCACTTCTCATTCAGCTCTCGTGGCTGTGGAGTGGAAAGGGTCACTGCTCACAACAGGAATCACAGTGCAGGGCTGGGGATAGTTCAGTGGCATAAATGCCTGGCTGACAAGTGCAAGGTCCTGAGTTTGATTCCCAGCACCATTTTAAAAAAAGGCGGGATCAGTGTAGAGGCAGAGGTCATTTGCCCAGGTTCTCCCACAAATGACAAGTGGGACTGACTGCAAAAAACTTCCACTCCTGAACTGTCCCTCTGTGTCTCTTCCAACACTCCTTCAGGGCCAGTCTTTCCTCCTTAGGCAGCTCTCATTTTCCCAGGGTTTAAAATATCCCCCCCCAAAAAAACTTCCCCAAAGCGGAGATGATTCTCCATTTTCCAGACCTTTATTTCCTGAGATGAATAAATAAGTCAGTGGCCATAGGAACGGGATGAATACAGAGACAAAGCTGGCAGCATGCAGCTGGCAGGAGAGCTGTGGGGGCCCTGCCCCTGCAGGGACCCCTCTCATCCTGGGCAGGGACCAAGGCTCACAAGAAGCTACCAAAAGGAGGAACCTTCCCAAAATTCACACACTGTGGCCTAGGCAGCCCCACAGGCCACGATCTGGTGGCATCCAGCTTTGGGGCTCTCTCACCCTTGGGGAACACACGCCCACACCTGGTGCTGGGCTGCCCTGCAAGCAGGCAGGCTCTGTCACCCCAGCCGCAAAAACCAACCAAGTGGTCCTGAGTGTCCAGCAAGAGAGACACTGACCTCAAAGCAGCCTAGGTAGGAGTGATTATCTGCCCTTGATGAAGCCCTCCAGCACACGGTCACTGCGCTCTGACAGCCAGTAGCCAGTCATGGCTGCTACAGCCCCAATGAAGATGGCTGTGAACACCAGGTCACCCTTGGCAGCAAGCGTGGCCAGGGCACAGATGATGATGCCAAAGAACATCTGCTGCAGCACCACCAGCTCATCCTCCGTCATCTCAGAGAAGAAGCCTGCTGACTCTGTAAGGAGGACGGCCTGTCACTCCCAGCCCTTCTCACAGCAGGCTCACGGCAAGTGAGGGGTGAAGGCACCCACGCCTGCATGGCAGGCAGGTTGCAGGTCAGGCTGTCCATGTGAGCCTAGGCCGGCTTCAGAGCCAGAGGCCCACTGTGAACGCCAGCTCTACACCTGCTGCTCTGTGACCCTGGGAAGTACCTGCACCTCTCTGCATCTTAGCTCCTACAAGAGGGCAGGAACAAGAGTCCCCATGGGGTTCGGTTGTCTCTGGGTGCTGACAGGTGACTGATGGAATGTGCTTGGAACAATGTGGCACACAGAAAGAGCCATGGAAGTGGTCTCTGTCTTCACTGACCCTTTCATCTCACCACACATGTGGCCTACAATGGCTCCCAGCTCCCAGTGACTGGTGTGAGGGTGGGCCCGCTGGGGACAGAAGGCAAGGAGAGATCCAGGGCACATCGATGTCTTTCCATCCTGGGGGTAGGGCTGCCGCACGGGTGCAGGGGTCTCTGCAACCTCCAGGGCCTGGGAGGCTGTCAGTGCTGCAGCTGCCTGGAGAGGGAAGACCCCCCGCTCACCTGGGATCTGCTCCTTCACACAGATGCCTTCCACCTGCTTGTAGCCCTCGGCACAGACACAGCGGTAACTGCCCTCAGTGTTCTGGCACTTCTCATTCTCTCCTGGACATACCACTGTCTCACACTCATCCACATCTGGGGGAGGGCGGGACAGGGTCAAGTCAGCACCTTGTCCCGTCACTACACCCTGCCCAGCACCCCGTTCCACTCTTCTTCCCCTGCTCCTGGGCAGACTCACCGAGACACTTGGAGCCCACCTGCTGGTAGCCAGGGCTGCACTTCTTGCAGCGGCCTGGCCCTGCCCCCATGCAGCCCAGACAGGCCTTGGCACAGTCTAGGGAAAGGAGACACAAGATGGAACCTGCCCGAGGGCCAGGACAGCCCTGCTCCAGAGCAGGCCTGGGGCTCCGGAACCTGAGGGGTAGCGATCTGGAGGGACAGGCATGGAGCCACCACATCCTTTCTGCAGGAGTGGACACTGACCTCGGCACTCGTAGGCGCCTTCTGTGTTCACGCAGAACTGGTCAGCTCCGCAGCTGGCTCGCTCTGTGCCACACTCATCGATATCTGCAGAGCGGGCAAGGGGGAAATTTCAATCCCTGCTCCACTAGCAGAGGGCCAAGGCCAGAGGTTACAGGCTGCCAGCCAAGGACTACAGTATCCGGCCTGCCTTGCAGCGGACTGGGACCCTGGACTGGCCCTGCCCGCCTGCGGTTTGGCCTAGACCATATATGACCTTGCTCACATGCTGAGCACAGTGCCCATGCCTTAGCATCAGTCATGTCAACCATGCCCAAGAGATGACTGTGCAGGGAGGCAGAAGATTCCTCAATGACTGACAAGCAGAGCCCCTGCAAGACTGTGATCCGAGAAAAAAGAAACCTCTGTCTTTGATTCACTGTCTTTTAGGGATGTCTCTATCACAGTAGCTTAGCCCTCCCCTGGTCTACGCGAGTGGAGACAAAGATCCCAACTCCAGACCCACATTCCTCTGGTGAATCCTCCTCTCCCAGTCCTCACTGCCACCTACAGAGTGACAGCCAGGCTGTCTGGCCCATGCTTGCTGCCCAGTGGCTGGGCTCTGCAGTGAGGCTCACTCACCCACACACTTGAGGTGATGCAGGGCCCAGCCCTTCTTGCACTGCAAACAGTGTGATTCCTCAGGTCCTGAGCAGCGGGCACAGGGGCCAAAACAGGCTGTGTGGGATGGGGACAGTATAAGGCTGGGCAGCAGGTGCCCTTCTGGCCCTGCCCAGCACCAGACCTGCCTTCTACCTACCCAAACATACCAGATGGCTGCTGTTGCGTTCCGCTTCAAAGTAACCAAGACCACATTGGCCACAGGCCTCACCCCCATAGCCAGCCTGGCAGTCGCACTGCCCACTACCTCCTCGGGTCCCTTCACCTTGGCACTGCCCATAGCCACCACAGGGTCTCTCTGTACCTCCTGGACAGGCTGCAGGTCGACAAAATCTAGGTGAGTACACACATACAACACTGACAACAGAGCGTGTTCTACACACTGTTCTAACATATCCACAACGGAAAATTAATTTTAGCCAGGTAGGTGGTGCATGCCTGTAATTCCAGTACCCTGGGAGGCTAAAACAGGAGGATCATGAGTTCAAACCCAGCCTGGTCAATTTATTTTATTTTATTTTTTTTATTTTTCATTTTTATCGGTACCAGGGATCGAACTCACGACTGCCTGCTTGCAAGGCAGGTGCTTATGCTGTTGAGCTAAATCCCCAGCCCCTAGCCTGGCCAATTTAACAAAACGGTGTTTTAAAAATGTAAAAAGCAGCCAAGTTTGGTGGCTCACATCTGTAATCCCAGCACTTGGGTGGCAGAAGCAGGAGACTGCTGTGAGTTCAAGGCCAGGCTGGGCTACAAAGTGAGTCTAAGGCCAGCCTGAACTGCAAGTGAGACTCTGTCTCAAAAAGACAATAAATAAATAAATAAAATAAAAATGAAATAAAATAAAATAAAAATAAAACAAAATAAAAATTTAAAAAGGGCTAGCAAGAGGCCCTGAGTTTAATTCCTGGTATTAAACAACAACAACAACAAAAAAGTTTAAAAATAAAAATTAAAGGGCTGGGAATGATGCTCAATGTGAAGGCCCTGGGTTCAATCTCCATGACAGAAACCAATCAAGTCATCAATCAGTACCTCATAAAGGCTGGAGATATAGCTCAAGGAGTCAAGTTCTATTCCCAGCCCCACTACCAAAAACCAAAAACAAAAACCTGCATATATTTTGTCACTTAAACAATACCTATTGTGGATCCAATCAGGTTGTTTAAAAATTGCCTCTCTGTGTGCATGTGTTGCTGGGGCTTGAATCTAGCATGTCAGCAAGTGCTTCATCACTGAGCTACACTGCCACCCCAAATCTTTCTCTTACAGACTGAACTGACCATCTCAGTAGCTAATCCTTTATCTGGAGCTACAGGAAAGATTTTTCTAAAAGAAGTGAGTCCAGCTCCTGTGCCAGGATTGCAGGTAAAGTCCCTGTCCCTCCACAAGACGGTCTGGCACCCGAGGTGACCTGGAGGCAGCAACTCCCTTGAAGGGTTGCTAACAACCACACTGGCTCTGGGCTCAGTCTAGGCCGGCCTTGTGGCACTTGCAAAGCCTTGACTCATTTACCTGCCTGGGGAGGCAGGTGCGATCTGAGCCAGCCAGAAGCCAGCCAGGGAGAGCCACAACTAGAGCTCGGGTTTCAATGATCCCGCCCATCCCTCCAGAGGCACTGGGAAACTCACGGAGACAGGAGGGTCCGAAGGTGCCAGCAGGGCAGCAGAGCTTCAGAGAGTCTGAGCAGAGCCACTGGAAGAGGTCAGGGGCTTCCTGCTGCCTGAAGCAGAGGCAGGTAACAGGGAGAAGCACTGACCTGGTTCAGAGATGCTGTCCACCCTACCTCCCAAGAAATCTGCCATTTGACCCTTTTTTTTTTTTTGAGACAGGGTCTCAAGATATAGTTCAGGTTGGTCTTGAACTCTCATCAATCCTCCTGCCTCAGTCTCCCAAATGCTGGGATTATAGGTGCTTGCCACCACGCCCTGCCAATTTAACCTATCAGGAGCATAAACCCCAGAGGGCCACCTGACCATGTCCTTTGCCCATCTGGCAAACAGGTAAACACACTTAGAGCAGGAGTTTAGATGCCCCCAGAAAGTCCTCAGATGTGGGCTTAGCACATGCCCAACCAGGCCCTGGCTCACTGTGCAACCCTCTGCTCTTGCCACGCTGGGTCCCAGGAGGCCCCTTGCCACTCACTTGTGAAACCACCAGCTCTCCACCAGCTCCTCACTCAGCTCCAGCAGGCGGTGGCACTGGAAGTCCGACTTGGCACACACAGCCTCCAGCACTTCCACCAGGCGCGTCTCGCTGAGCAGCGGCAGGGCAGATGGAGGGAAAACACAGGAGAAGCCATAGACAAGGAGGAAGGGAGAACCGGTTCTCAGACCCACATCAGGCTCAACTCTAGCTGTGTAAACCTGGGCAATCACTGTACCTCTCTGAAAGCCATTTCCTCATCTGTAAAATGGGGAAGACAACCTCTTATGCAAACTTGTTGAAAGATACAGCAGTTCTAGCTGGGCACCATGGGACTGACACCTCTAATCCCAGAGCTGGGGAGGTTGAGGCAGGAGGATCTCTGAGTTCAAGGCCAGTTTAGACTACACAGTAAGACCCTGTCTCAAAAAACAAACAAACAAACAAAAAACCCTATAAAACTATTGCAGTTCCCAAATCCAAATAAGAATACACCCTTAGTGGGTAGATGTGATTAAAAATATCCCAAATATCTTAGCTACACTGTTTGCCTGACACATATGAAGCCCTGCGTTCAGTGCCCAGCACCACCAAACACACACACACACTCATAAAACAAATACTGGCAAGAAGCCAGAAATGCCAAAAAAAATGTGGCAGATGTTTCCAAGCAGAAACCTGTGCACGGATAACAATATTCATAACAGCCAAAGACAGAAACAATCCCAATGTCCATCGACTGATAAATGTTTGAATAAAATGTGGTACATCCATTCAATGGCATATTATTTACTTCTAAAAAGGAATGAAGTAGACAGGCACAGTAGTGCGTGCTTGTAAACCCAGCTATTCAGGAGGCTGAAGCAGAAGAACTGCAAATTTAAAACTAGCTGAAGCAACTGAGACTTTATCTCAAAACAAAAAGGGGGCTAGAAATGTAGCTCAGGGGCACAGTATATGCCCACTGTGTGTCAAGGCCTGGCTATAATCCCCAATATTGAAAAACAAACGAAGCAAAACTACACAGTAAACTAGGTGTGTAAAACAGGCACACGCCTGTAATCCCAGCACTCTGCAAGCTGACGCAGGAGGATCGCTCTGAGTTTGAGGCCAGCTTGGGCTACACAGAGTTCAGGGCCAGCCTAAACTACAAAGTGATATACTGTCTCAAAAATACAAAAAACAAACAAACCTTCCAAGAGCTTCCTATCACCCTGAAAACAAAAGCTAACCTCCTGGCCCTGGGCCTGATCCACATACACTGTGTTCACTCTATTCTAGCCACTTTTGAGATCCACCAAGCTTAATCCAAACCCTCTCCCAAATCCTTTCCCACTCACTGTACCACATCAGGCATCAGTCACATTTCACACTGTGAAACCCTTGTTTCTTCCTCTATAGGCTTCTTTTAAGGCTCTTCAGAGACGTAATTTATACATTCACTGGTCATATCTGCTACGACTGTCATAAAGATGGGTTTGCTTGTGGTTTGCTGATCTACTACGAGACACAAGGATAGCTGCTGAGTAAGTGCTCTCAGAAGGCCCCAGTCCTCCATCAGCTGAGCAGAAACCGGAAGATGGGATATACACCTCCTTACCTGTCCTTGTATTTAGATAATTTCTCTTCCTCCCAAGCAGTGTTTCCACCTCCAAAGTTGTCCCGGATGGTTCTCTCTAGGCCCTGTCCATGGAGTAAGTTAGCAACAGCTGAGTACAGAGCTGGCATATTGCAACACTTTACTATGCACAGACAAGCAAGCAGCCCACATTCACACAGCCAGGACTGGCTTCAATTCACTCAGACTGGCATCCTGGAGCTCTGACTCCTCACTTCGGTATCCGGAGCCCGGCCCTCCCTCGAGGCACTGACGCACCCACCTTGTTGAAGCTGTCCACCAGTGCCCGACATGTGTGGCAAGGATGGGGTTCAGACGGGGGAGGAGACTGGGGCGGTGGCGAGGGCTGGAGCCACGCGGGGCCTGGGAGGCTGAGGAAGAGGTTCAGGTCCCAGAGAAGAACTGAAACTAGGACCCTAGGGGTCTGTGGGACCATCTTTTCCCAGGCTGAGGACCTGCGGACAGAAAACATGGGCACGGCTCAGCAGAGGGGCCAGACTCCAAGTGAGAAAGGGGAGCGCAGACCCACCAAACTGCCAGTGACGGAGAAAACCGGGGCCCTGAGGGGGCAGGAGTGGGGTGGAAAAGGATCTACAGTTCCACAAGTTATCCCCGTTACCGTGGTGAGGGGATGGGCAGGGTCCTGGGGAAAGGGACAGAGCACAAGTCAGCCCATGGTTTTAGTCTCAATAATTTATCAGGAGCAAGGTCAGCAGGATTTGGGGGAGGGGGTCAGATTCCAAATTTTGGAAGAGACTGGTCCGGAAACCGGGTCCAGCAGAAGCGCGGATCAAGGATATGAAGAGAAGGGGTTCCGAGCCTCACAGGCAACAAAAGGACTGCCCAGGAGCTCGTCGGGGAGTATCCAAACCCACTCAGACCGCGAAAGAGGAAAACAGGCCCGCCCCAGCCCTCGGGCGACGTCTGCGTCCCCGCCGATTGCGCAAAACGTACAACCTCCGACTGCTCCGCAGTTGAGGGCTGGGCTTGCCTTCCAACCAATGGGAGAGGTCCATGTGCCGGGGCGTCACTCCACGGCAGCCAACCAGCGGCAGCGCCGTGCGGCACCTGCCCGGGTTTTAAAGGGGAGCGGGCAGGCGGGGGCGGGGGGACGAGGCTGCCCCGGCATGCGCTGTGCAGTAGAGGCGAGAAAACCAGAAGACCCGGGCCTAGAAAACCAGTTCTCTTTATTCAAGTCCCGCCCCCGCCTCTGGGCCCATCCCGAGCCGCGGAGGCTGAAAGCAGCTGTCCAGGACCGGCCGAAGGGCGCGGGCCACCTGTTCTGCGCTATCCTCCAGCCGCCCGAAGCGCGCGGCATGGGGCCCCTGGAGGGCGCCCAGGAAGCCGCGCAGCTGCGAAGGCAGGGAGAAGAGCGGCGCGGCGTGGAAGGGCGCGGGCACGGCGTCCGGGGCCAGCAGGCCGTCGAAGCAGGCGCCCACGTAGCGGCCCGGCGCCCGCCCCTGCAGGAAGTCGGGTAGCACGCAGCTAAGCGAGGCGGCGAAGGCGTCGTGCGGGCCGTGCGCTCCTGGCACCGGCGGCCCACCCTGCAGCCACTGTCGGCACAGCGCCACAGCGCCGGGTGAGAAGAGCAGCACCACCACGCCGCGCTCCTGCAGAGTCTGCCGCCGCCGCGCGTGTAGCCAGGCCACCGGGCCCTGCGCGCTCAACTCGCGCCGGCTCCATAGGTCCACGGCCACCCCCAGCGGCAGCCGGCTCAGCGCCGACGCCAGCGCTCCCACCAGGCGCTCAAAGGCCGCGTCGTCCGCCGAGTAGAGCAGCAGGGCCGCGCGGATCCCGGCGGTAGCTGCAGGAGAGAGCAGAGCAGAGGACGGACGTGGGGCAGATGCCAGCTTCTGAAGCCTCGGCCTTGCAGGCAGGAAAAGGCGGGCAGCCTGGAAGCCGGCGCCTCCGAACCTGCTGCGGATAGACCGACGCTCACCTTTCCCGCGATCCTTCCGGAGCAGCAGCAGGAGGAGAAACGCAGCAGCGAGGAGGAGCAGGGAAGCCAGCCACACCAGTGCCCAGCGCTTGTGGGTATCTGCCAGACCCAAGAGAGAGACAGGCTGTTAGGACCCCTGCATTTCACTCTGCTTCGAAGAGGAGAAAGGCTGAGGCTCCGAAACAGCGATTTACCCACAGCATAGAGAGTAAGAGGCCTGGATAAGGACTTCTGCCTTGGTTTTCATATCTGTAAAAGTTGGACTAACACTACTACCTATGTAAACTACCGAACACCATACCAGTAGTCCCTGGTGCTCAATTGCAAGCTAGTATTGTCCGTCCGTAGGCCTGAGACTGGTTTGATGCTGGTGTTTCAGATGACTGCTCTGCCTCTGAACTGCTATTCCTGGCCATTTCCCCACCCTCCAGTCTATTCACAATTCTGGCAGCTGCAGAGATCTTAAGATGCAAGTTTTATTAAAACCCTTCAGGAACTCTGGCATGGCATGATGGCACATGCCCCTAATTTCAGCTACTGAGGCTGAGGGGTACAGGGGGATGGTGTTGGTCACAAGTTCAAGGCCAGTTTAGGCAACTTAACAGACCCTGTCTCAAAAAGGGCTGGGGATGCCGGGGATTTAGCTCAGCGGCTTAAGTGCCGGCCTGGCAAGCATGAGGTCATGAGTTTGATCCTTGGTACAAAAAGAAAAAAAAAAGGGCTGGGGGTGTAGCTCAGTAATGGAGCATGTCCTCAGCATGCAAGAGGGGCTACATTTGGTTCCCAGCATCATCTTTTTAAAAAGTCATCTCTGCTCCCTTCACCTAATTCAGCCTTCAAAGTGCAGCTCAAAACTCCCGAGTTAGCATCTCACCTATCAGGTCTGCCTGGTCTACATTTACAGCACTGAACACTTTCTCTCTCTCTTTTTTTTTTTTTTTTTTTTTTTTTTTTTGGTCTTTTTCATTTTTATCAGTACCAGGGATCGAACTCAAGACCGCACACTTGCAAGGAAGGTGCTTATGCCGCTGAGCTAAATCCCCAGCCCCCCACTTTCTCTTTTTTTAGACAGGATCTCATTATGCAGTTTTGGGCTCACCTTGAGCTCACTTTGTAGCCCAGGCTGTCTCAAACTCAATGATACTCCTGCCTTAGCCTCCCAAGTGCTGGAATTACAGGCATGAGCCACCATGCCTGGCTCTAGCACTGAACACTTTTAGCTTGCTTGAGAAGTTACATTATTGCTAGTTCACACTCACTAAGTGTAACTGATTATTGGGCTTATGTGCTTTTGCCTTCTATTGGTGGGGCAGTGGTCTTTTCTCCATCAAGCTCTTGTGTTTTCAGTGACTAAAGGAATGGCCCTATGGGTCACTGGAGCCCAAGGAAGGACAAAGCTATTACATGTGTGCTCTTTGCACTACCAGAAGTGTTACTGTCAAGATTCCAGCTCCTGGGCTGGGTATAGGTGGTCCCACACCTGTAATCCCAGCACTCAGGAGGCTGAAGCAGGAAGATTGCTGTAAGTTTGAAGTCAGCCTGGGCAACATAGTTCAAGACCAGCCTGTACTGCATAGTTCTGCATAGTTATACACTGTCTCAAAAAGACCAAAAAAAAAAAAAAAGATTCTAGCTCCTATAGGTGAAGGAAAGGCAATTCTTACATCTTCATAATACTTACACTTGTCCAATGGGCAGGCCCACAGTGCTCCCACATCATCATCCCATAACTGTAAGACACAAACAAGCCCCACCCTGAACCAGCCTGAGCTCCATATTCTTAGCCCCAGCTATGAATATGTCCCACACCACAGCGTGTTACTGTGAGCTGCTCCCCATAACCAAGTCATGTCCACTGCCTGGGGACCAACTTCTGTGCCCATAGCGGTAGGGATTTAACCCAGTGGAGCCACAGGCTTACATGGTCTGGGTCCTGACTTTGAATCGTGACCCCACAAGCAAACAAATTGGCTCGAAGGAAGAGATCCTTCTTTATTGTTTTAAATTTTTTGTTCTTGGGCGGGGGGTTTAGCTGAGCAGTGCCTGCCAGGCAAGTGTGAGGTTGTGAATTCAGTCCTCGGTACCAAAAAATAAATAAATTTTTTGTTCTTTGAGACAAGATCTCTCTGTAGTTTAGGCTGGCCTTGAACTCATTATGTAGCCCAGGCTGACCTCAAACTGATAGTGACTCCTGTCTCAGTCTCCCAAGTACTGGGACTGCATGCCAGCATGGTAGGAGCTCCTTCCTGGAAACTATCTGGACCACAGTTAGCACCTAGGAGCATGGTTATTGTGTACTGGTCTAGCCAGATGTGAGCTCTGGCGGTACAAGGGCTGTACTTGCTTAAACTTCCTCAGAGCTGAACATAAATCAGCATGGCCAATAGGTGAGGGCTAGTATTAGGCATATGTTCTTGGCAGTGGGCAGAGGCCTCCTCCCAGCTTCTCACCTGCAGACACTGGCCTGCATGTAGGTCTTGCAACAACTGCTCTCCCAGGCGAGCTGCCCTCTGCCAAGCCAAGGGTGAGGGCTGTCAATGGCGGGAAACTGCTAACTGCAGTTGGGGAAGGCTGGGAGGCTCGAGTGGCTACTGGATAGGGCCCAGGTCTGAGTCACACATGTATGCACACACACACACACACACACACACACACCATCCCCAGAGACCAGCTCAGGACCTAGCATAGGGCCCAGGTCTGAGAGACACACACACACACACACCATCCCCAGAGACCAGCTCAGGACCTAGCATAGGGCCCAGGTCTGAGAGACACACACACACACACCCCATCCCCAGAGACCAGCTCAGGACCTAGCACAGAGTAAGGGAATCGGGGTGAAAGTGAGAGGCCAGGTTTGAGATGCAGCTACAGAGATCTGAGGAAGAAGGTGGCCTCACTGTGGCAGCCCTGCTGGGCAGTGGAGTGCAGCCACTAGGTTCCAAGGCACAGAGAGATCTGTTGTCATGTGGGCCTTGGATCTCCACCAGAAGCACGTCATCCTTGAGGGGCCCCAGGGAGTCTGGGAAGAGTGAAAGGGTACAGCTGAGCCTGACCCAGGCCTCTCTCACACCTCTGTTTAGCCCCCAGGCCACCCTCCAGGGAGCACCCTACTACAGCAGCCCTGCCCCAGCACCACTCACCAGACCACAAGCACTCATGGAGCTGAACCTTCTTCCAGCTGCGCACCTGTCCAGAAAGGGCCCGAATTAGTAGCCCAAGAAAAAGCAAGAGCTGGACTTTAAAGACCAGAAAAGAAGGGGCAAGCAAGGGAAAGTCTGTCCAGTAGGGAATCTAGACCTAAGTTTAGGCAAATTGGAGCCCAGGGCTTCATGATTAGGAGCCACCCATCTTCCTCCTCTGTCTTAAGCATGAGTGCTTCTGTGCTACTAGGTGTTCTAAGTCTTAGCAAAGCACTTACAACAGTCCCTTCTCATCAACCACCTTCCCAAAGAGAAAAGTCCCTTCTCCCTGACTACCCCACTTAAAATCACAACCCTACCTTTCCTGTGGTGTTTGCATATGATGGATTCTTTAATTTGCGTAAGATCAAATATTGTTTGCCTTTCTCCATTAGCACACAGGTTGTCTGAACACAAAGATATTTGTTCACCTACAGATAATAAGTGCCTAAGACAGTGCCTGGCACAAAGTAGATGCTCAATAAATCTTTAGCAAGGGCCAGAGGTTTAGCTCAGTGGCACAGTTGCCTGCTTGGCAAGCACAAGGTCCTGAGTTCAATCTCCAGTACAAAAAAAAAAAAAAAACGATTTATAATCTATGATGTTAGCAACCTGTTCCACAGATGGAAAAATAGGGTAGTGATAGCAGTGATCAAAGCAGCTAACATTTGTAGTGTTTAGTCCGTGCCTCTCCCGAAGGCAAGCACTTCCCTCAATCTTCTTCACCAGCCACTCCCTGAGGACCTATTATCATCTGACTCCTTGGGACAAATCTCCCTGAGGTGATATAACTCCCCTAGGGGATCCCACACACTGCTAAAAGTAGTGGAACTCACAGAAGGCTGCTAAGCACTACACCCCAGGGCCTGAGAATAAAGAAGATGCAAAGCTGTGACTCAAATGGGGGTCTGGTGGTCTCCTGCCCCTGGTCCAGTGCTCTGCACTGCCTTCTGACCTGGACGCAGAGGTTGGGGTGGCCCTTCAGCACCGGAAACTTGATAGCAGTCTGTGGAAAGCAGGAAGTGGTGAGGTCATAAAAGGCACCCTGAGTACTGAGTCCCTTTCCCTGTGCCCGGCACCACCCTCTGCCTTGCTTACATTCACAGTGACATTCTCCGGGGACAGTGGTGGGGTCAGCGGCTGGCAGGGATCCCCTCCTGGAGACTGCCAGCACAGTGTCACCTCTGCAGGCAGGGAGCATGGCGCGTCCAGCCGCCAGCTTCTTGGAGACAGCAGCCGCAGATGGGCTGCTCGCCACAGGTTCCTGTGTGCTCGAGGATCTGTGGTAAACCATGCGGGTCACAAGCAGCCGGTTGTCGCTCACCCATACAAACCTCAACTGGTCTCTGGCCATCTGCTCACCTTCCTTGAAGGGACAGATGCTTGTCCTGACTGGGTCAGGCTGCAGAGGCCACACCTGGAAAGCAAAAGGGCTCTGCATGGATCAGTTGCACATAGCCAGCTCCCTCTACCAGCAAGCACCTGCTCATATAGGTACCCAGGACACATGTGGTCCACTGAGTGCACAGGTACCCACCAGGGTGCTGGCTCTTTACAAAGCTCACACTCTGCTAAAATGCATTCAGCAAACACAATGCCTGGCACAGGCGCATCGTCAGTAGCCTTTCCTGAGCATTGGCTGTGCCTTTGCAGTATGGGAGGCATTAGACAATGGATAATACTTCACCCATAATCACTTTATGAAGGTTTTTTTTTTTTTTTTTTAGTAGGGGGATCAAACTCAGGACCTCATACTTGCCAGACAGTCGATTACATCACTGAGCTAAATCCTTGGCCCTATGAGCGTTTTATGTGCTGGGTGGTGAGGGCATATTGATTTATGTTTTCAACACACTTTGCATGCATGTGTGTGTGTGTGTGTGTGTGTGTGTGTGTATGTGTGTGTGTCTGTGTCTACTAGAGACTGAACCCAGGGCCTTCACAGTAAGCTACATCGACACCTCTTTTTATTTTATTTTATTTTTTTGTCTTTTTCCTTTTTATCGGTACCAGGGATCGAACTCACGACTGCCTGCTTGCAAGGCAGGCACTTATGCCGCTGAGCTAAGTCCCCAGCCCTGACACCTCTTTTTAAACAGTTTTTTTTTTTTGTATCAGGGATTGAACTCATGATCTTGTGTTTGCCAAGAAGGTACTTATGCCACTGAGTTAACTCCCTGGCCCTTGACACCCTTTTTAAAATTTTTTTTTCTTTAGTTTTTAAATCACTCAAACTAGCTGGGCATGGTGGCACACACCTATAATCCTAGCCATCCTGTAATCACAGCACTCAGGAGACTGAAGCAGGATTATTGTGAGTTCAAGACCACCTTGGGCTACAAAGTGAGCTCAAGGCCAGCCTAAACTGCATAGTGAGACCTCTGTCTCAAAAGGACAAAAATAATAAATAAATTACTCAAGCTGGGCTCAAAATTTTGGTCTTCCACCAGCTGCTAAAATGCAGATATCTACCACCACACCTAGCTCAACAGACCCTTTAAAACTAGTCTAGTGGGCTGGGGATTTAGCTCAGTGGCATAAGTGCCTGCCTTGCAAGCAGGCAGTCGTGAGTTTGATCCCTGGTACCGATAAAAACGAAAAAGACAAATAAATAAATAAATAAATAAATAAATAAATAAATAAATAAAACTAATCTAGTTTGGGGCTGGGGATTTAGCTCAGTGGCATAAGCACCTGCCTTGCAAGCAGGTGGTCGTGAGTTCAATCCCTGGTACCAATAAAAATGAAAAAGACAAAAAAAAAACTAATCTAGTTTGGGAGGCTGAGACAGGAGGATCGTTGCAAGTTCGAGACTGGCCTGGGGTTACGCAGTAAGCTCAAGACCAGCCTGAACTACATAGTGAGACCCTGTCTCAAAAAGACAAGATGGGGGCTGGGGATTTAGCTCAGCAGCATAAACGCCTGCCTTGCAAGCAGGTGGTCGTGAGTTTGATCCCTGGTACTGATAAAAAACGAAAAAGACAAAAAAAAAAAAAAAAAAAGGACAAAACAAACAAAAAACATGCAGAGGGAGAGGAAAGAAAGAACAAATTTTTTTCTCTCTTCCTTCCCTGTTCGCCTCCCCTGGCTCCCAGCTGTACTCAGCCTCTACCTGGATACAGAGACAGGGAACCAGGTCAGTGTGGTTCAAGGTGATGGTCTGGGGCCCAGTCTGTGGAACAAGCAGAAGAGGAGTGTTGAAGATAAGAAAGAGGAGCAGGCAGCCTGCGAAAATGGCAGGCAGAAGCCCCACCAGGGCTCCCTTGTTCTGGGTGTGTCCCCTTCAAGGGTCCCTTTGATGCTAGAATGGAGATCAGCCTAGGGCCCAAGTGGATCTGGGGACAGGAGGGAGCAGCCTCACCAGGTTCCTGTGCCACCAGGGTTTTAGGGGACCCTGGACCTGACTCCAGTAGAGTAAGAGGCCGAAACGTTGCACCCTGGAGACGTTGAGCACCAGCTGCACGTTGTCACCATCTGCAGCCACGCTGAGCCAGGGGAGGACTGGGGGAGAAACGGGGTGGGGGCAGCTTGCACTTCACCTCCCCTGCACACCCAAGCCTGGGCTGTGCTCACCAACTCCCCTTGCACCTGTAGACTAGGAGCCCTTGAGGGCTAAGGCTGTGTCCCCAACTCAAATGAGACTGTCCTACCCACTGGCTGAGCACCAGCCCCAGAGAGCTCCCAGCATTTGGTCTTGGGATAGCTCTTCTCCCTGGTCTCCCTTGCAGCCAGCAGTTACTAAAACAAATCACTCTCAAAACCCTCTTATCCTGCCTCCCAATAAAAGCTATTGTCCTTAAAACAGCTTGTAAGGCCCTACACAAATTAGCACTGTGACCTCTTGATAACCTTATCTCTTAGCACCCTTCTCTAAGCAATTGCTCTCTTATGGCTCTTCCACTCAAAGACCCTGTCACACTCCTGGCCCAGGACTTCTGTGATGGCTCCTCTCCCACAGGGAACCCTGCTTTCCCGCACTCATACAGCTCCTCCCTTGGCAGGGTGAGGCCATCCCACTGCTGCAGTGCTCAGCCTTGCCATCCCTCTTCCTTAGGTCTTTCTCTGCATCACTAGTCACTAGCCAGCTTACTGTATGTTCAACATCTCCCTGCATTTATCATGTCCTTCCTCAGCCTAGCCCTGACCTGATTCCCCATTCTGTAAGGACAAAGAGTCTTGTCAGTTTTGTTCGCTGATTCACTCCCGTGCAGGGCTATGCCTGGTGCAGTGTAATCGCTCAGTACATATCTGTTGAGTAAGTAAAGAAATGTCTACTGAGTGACAAGAAATGAAATGTGTGTGTGTGTGTGTGTGTGTGTGTGTGTGTGTGCGCGTGTATTTTCAAGGCTCAGGCACTGGAGATGGAACCCAGGGTCTTAGCACAGAGCTATATTCACAACCCTTTTTACTTTGAGACTGAGTCTTGGTAAATCACCCAGGCTGAGCTCAAATTTTTGATCCTTTTGCCTCAGGCTCCTAGTGCTAAGCTTACAGGCTTGTACCACCATTCCTGGCTCTGAGTGGTATTTAATGGGTTGACAAAGGGGCAGGCCAAATTTAAGTTAGAACAAAAAGAAAATGGAGTTGAAAGAAATTAGTAGTTTAAAAAATCAGTGTTTATATCTTGGTATGAGTGATGCATATATACATATATAAAAATTAACCAGCCCAGACATAAGATTAATGCTCTCATATACTTCCTGCATATATGTTATGCACACAGAATAAATAAAAAACAAAAGTAAAATCCAAATAGTACGTAAGAGAAAAACCAGAATCTTGACTTTCTTAGCCCTTGTTTCAGGTTTAATTTTTTTTTTTTTTAAATCGGTACTAGGGATCGAACTCACGACCACCTGCTTGCAAGGCAGGTGCTTATGCCGCTGAGCTAAATCCCCAGCCCCTTCAGGTTTAATTTTATTAAGAAGAGGGTACCATAATGTTGAGTGTACTTTTGGCCTCTATATATGCCTGGTATAAATAAATATTTATTGTGAGAGATTCACCTTTTTATTTCCAGTGCTGGCCACAAATAGCAGCCACTGCACTTCATACATTATGAATGAATGGACAATTGAATGAATGAATGATCATGCTCTGTAGGTGTCCAGAGTGTGGCAGCCCAGATCTGCAGCTAACTCTATCCTAACCCTAACCCTAGCTGTAGACCTGCCTACCCTCCCCCCAGTCCCCTGGCCCTAGCCCTACCCCAGCAGCTCTGGACGCTGTCCCGGACTTGGAGACCCCTGCAGTCTGGGGAGAGATCACAAAAATGCCTCCAGTGGGCCTGGGCACCAATGAAAGAAGGGAGCATCCGACACATAAAGGTTCTTGCGCCTGAGAGAACACCCACATCTATTCAGTCACAAAACGCCTCTCGCAGGGAAAGCAAGCCATGTCACCTGGGGGAAGGAAGCTCAAGGGACTGACTCAGGAGGAGGCCAGCTCAGAACTCTCCCCACATGGAGAGGATAGAAATTGGGGGAATCAGGAGGGAGAGGGCGAGGGACAGAGACCATGGGTCCCTGCGGGGACCCCTGAGGCTCTGGGGCACTTACCAGGCAGCTGCTGCGTGAGGTTGAGTTCCTTCTGGTACCGAGGCTGAGTGTAGGACCAGATTTGAACCTCAGCTCCAAGAGCAGCCTCAAAGCAATCAAATACCAGAGAGCCCTGTAAGAAAAGATGGTAGAGCAAACCTCAGAATCTAGGCCAGGCATAGGTTCCTCTGCGTGGACCACTCTACTCACCAGCTCTCCTCCCCCATGCTGTGATCACACCACTGGATGCCCTCGGGTGTCCCCGGCCCACAGCACACTCCCTCTGTGAGGGTGTCTGAGTCCTTGCCCCAACTCTGCTGTTTGGGATGCCCTGGCCAAGACCAAGCTGATGAGACACCCCAACATGGATGCAAGAGGGGAGCCTCAGAAAGGTTGCAGCCCCAGTGCCTCAGCAGTCCTCAGGACTGCCGTGGGAGGCGGCTGAGCAATTCTTTCAGCGGACGGTTTGCTAGCTCAGTGCAGAGTTGGGGCTGGAGGGCATGTCAAAGGCCCAGAGTATCTGGCCCCAGTGAAGCCAGAACTTTGGCTGTACAGGCCTCCTAGTACCGGAGTCTGCACTGCCTGAGAACCCACAAACTTTCCTTCCAAGACTCAGTTTCACTATCCAGAAAGGGAAGGTAATAATAACGCACAGTGTATGGGGGTCATTTTGTGAATTACAAAAGAAATTAAATTTATTGAAACTCTTCAGTGATAGGCATTTCACCAAGTGTTTTATGGTAGGACTTTTGTTTCTTTTGTGGCACAGTGGACTCAACCGAGGGGCGGTCTACCACTGAGCTATATCCCAGCCCTTCTTTGTTTTTATTTTGAGACCAGATCTTCCTGAAATTGCTCATTTTGGCCTAGAATTTCAATTCTCCTGCTTTTGCCTCCAGGATAGGATTACAGGCATGGGCCTGCGAGCCTGGCTCTTGTTTTGTTCAGGTTTTTCATCCTCAGGATGTTCTATTGAGGGTCACCCTTGATAACAATCTGGCACACACATCTATGTCCACCAAGAAGGGAATGGTGGAGGACACAAATACAAAAACATTAAGATTTGGGAAAATAACAGCTTTCCATGGGACAGGTGACCCCAACAGCTGCACAGGAATCATCAGTTATTTATCTGTGTAAACTGCCCCTCCCACTACCTATTAAAGACCCATTAATCTTCAAAGAATATGATATGCTGTGACAGAAATACTGTACCACTGGCATAGAGAACTCCTCTTGCAAAGACCATGGCAGCTGCAGAGCTCCAGATGGGTGGAAGGGTCATAAAATGTGCCCAGTCTCTTCCCTGGGGCTTCCTACACAGTCAGGGAGGCTGGGGTCTGCTTTTTTTCTTTTTTAAAGTGGTCAAAAAATGTTAACAGATATTTCATAAAGGAAGTTATACAGATAGTTACTAAGCATGTGAAAAGGTGCTTGACTGCATCAGTCATGAGGAACTTACAAGTCAGAATCATGATATGTGCTGGGGGTTTGGCTCAGCCCCTTGGTTCCATCCCCAGACTACAGGAAACAAACAAACACACCCACCCAGCAATTTACCACTCCATACATAGGTAAACGGGCTAAAATTTAAAATTTCAATCCCAAGTGTTGGCAAAAACAGAAAGCAACTAGAACTCCAGGGCCCTGCTAGTAGGACTATAGAATAGTCAAAACTTCCTGGGGAAAAAAAAATTTAAAAATCTCTTTGATAGTTTCTTACAAAGTAAAACACGTGGGAGAAATAATTCTTTTTTTTTTTTTTTCTTTGGTTCGATGGATCAAACTCATGACCTTGCACTTGGCAGGCAGGCCCTTACGCTGCTGGGTTAAATTCTTGATTGGGAGAACTAATACTTAGTCTCATTTTATTTTATTTTTATTTTTTTCCATAGTCTCATTTTATAGACAAAAAATCTGAGCCACAGAGGGCTGAAAGGTCTGGCCTGCTGTGATTAGAACCAGTACTTAAAGAGATAATGCATGTGAAAGTGATGCATATACCTCATGTCTAAGAGGTATTTCACATACCACGGACTGACCGGGTCGCACCCGGGCTGCGGGCACTTGCACCTCCAGCAGGACGCAGCGGGCAGTGGGATAGGCCTGGAAGGACAGCACAACCTGGGCCTGGAGAGAGGCTAGAAGCAACAGGCAGGGGTTAGCGCCAGAAGCTATGGGCCAGCCCTGTACACAGTAGTGGGGCTGCTGGCTCCTCACCGTTCCCAGGCTCCTTGAGCTCTGGCTCAGCGGTTCCTCCCCACTTCTTGTCTTCAGGCTCTTCCCGGTGCCCTGAAAGGACTGGGGAGCAAGACCCAGGTCAGGCCCTGCCCTGGGCTGGCTTAGCGCTTGGCTCCCTTCCAGAAATCCCAGTGCTGAGAAGCAAAGGGTTGGCTAGCCAGTGCCCTCAGCTGAGGGTGCCCAGTGCCACCTCAGTCCTCACGCCCACCCTGCCACGCATACATGCGCAGTCACAGAATGCTTGCTTACTATGCACAGCCAAGTGGACGGTCACGCGCACACAGAGATCACAGCTGGTCTCCTGATGGCACCGCAGCACCAGCTCTGTCTGTAGGTATGTGGGCACCAGCACAGGGCCTGGGGCAGACTCGATGCTCCCTGGGAGGCAGAGCACGTCGTTGTCTGTGGATGAATGAAGGGTGGGGGAGCTGAAGCTGTTCAGAACCCACGTGGGTGCACCTGCTACTCCAGATAGCCAATGGGCCTGGCTCTTCCTGGGTGCCGAGGTGGGTGGGGTGGGCCTGGAGTAAGGACGGCTTTTCATCCTTCACCAACCTGGGAAGTTCTCTTTTCTATGGAAGTGGTGATACCTACCCCAGAGGTGGCAGGAGAGGCCCTGAGAAGGAGGAAAGGATAGTCAGTCTATGCCCCAAATTTAAGCATCTTCCTCTGCCCAAGACCTGCGTCTGTCTTGTGGGGTTCGCTATCCCAAGCTCCTTCCAGAGCAGACAGATCAGCTCCACCCCTTCAGCCACTTCACCTTGCCCGACACCAGACAGACTAGCAGGGGTGGTTCTGCTGGTGACCAGGGTGAAGAAACCAGTCCAAGGCTCTGATAGGCCTCATTCAGAAGTTTGAGCCCACTCCACCCCTCCCAAGCCCCAAACTCACTGGAGAACAGCGGGCAGTATCCTGAGGCCCCACAGTCCTCTCCAGAGAGATGACTACAGGGTTTCGGCCCAGTGCCAAGGACAGCAGGAACCAGGGCACAGGCATCTTTCAGGTGCCAGGCAGCACCCAGGCCTGCGGCCCTGTCCTGCCCCCCCCCGTGGGGGGGGAGCAGATGCCTCCTGTCTGTCCTCACTCAGCCGGGGGCCTGTGGGTGGTGAGGGCTGGAGCTGCTGCTCGGCCTTCAGGACTCCAGTGTTGGAGAGCTCGTAGACTCCATACTCCCAGAGCCCCGACTCCCAGTCCACTTCCAGCAGAGTACTTTCGGTTTGGCTCCCAGCAGGCAGCTGCTGTTCCCACCCCGCCCTGTCCCGCCCTCCAATTCCAAGCCTGGGAGCCAGCAAGCAGCCTAGGCCGGTTTGAGTTTTCTCTCCACTGCTGACACCTGACTGGGAGGAGCCCCGGGAGGGCAGCGCAGCTTGGCGGCTGGGCTGGGAAGAGTCTGAAGAAGGGCTCCCACTGACACAGCCCAGGGCCTGGCCAGTCCCGGATAATTTCCGCTTCCCACGTGACCCTCACACGCAGGCTCATCCAGTACTCTCCCAAGGTCCCGGTCGCATACTTTCTTGGCCTCAATGACAGGGTCAAAGGGCAGCAGAAAGTGTACTGTCACCATTGCCTGGGCTAGACTCAAGGGCGGTATGGGATGAGGAACCCAGGAGCCTGAGCCAGGCACACTGGGGGTCCTGTGCCACTGCCACAGCTGGAGGAATGAGGCTGGACGGCCTGCCTCTCACGGCCTGTTCTCTCTCCGCTTGGAAGGATCACAGTGAGGCTTCTCCTTTGCCTTTCCAAGCGCAAGGGATAGGGGCCGGTGCACACGCAGAGGGGGTGGGCTCACAAACCCACACAAACCGTGCACAGGTGACTTGCGCAGACCCTCCGGAACAGCACTGCGTAGGGGGCCACATGGAGAAGCAGCTACGTGCCTGCATTTGTCACAGTGCTTGCCTTTATTGGTCTTTCTAGGTCTCTGTTTTGCCCCCATCCCCTTTGGGCCACGGCCAAAGCTGCTTTTCCCTAGCCAAGTCTGTCCGCTTTCTCAGACGTGGGCAGGGTTAGCCCCAAGGGGGTCTTTCCTCCCAGCTCCCCAGCCCCAACCAGATACCCCAACCACCCACCCACCCCACCCCCCTGGCCCCAGCAGCTGCCTCCCCAACCCTGCTCAGGCTCTCCGACCCAGGTCTACAGAGACGCAGACTGGTCTCCTTTAGGCGCTCCGGGGAGAGGAGTCCGGGAGACAGCTCTCTCTCGGTCAGAAGAGGGCTCCTGGAGGCAAGGATCCCTGAGGCGCACCCCAGCGCCTGGCTCGGCCTCCTGGGCTGGCCTGGAGGCCTCAGGGGCGCCTCGAGGAGGATTTGAGCCTGGGCTCCAGCCAGCGCCTTCATAGTGGTGGCTTGGAGCCCCCGGGACCGCGGCGGGGCTCTGCGGGACCTCGGGCCAGCTGGGCCTCGAGCTCCAGTCGGCGGCACAGTTCCAGGCGGCGCCGCAGGCCCTGCTGCTCTCCGGGGCGGCCCCCACGGGGGCCCGGGGAGCAAGGGCGCGCGCCCAGCGCTCGCAGCAGGCGCGGCCAGTCTCGCAGCAGGCGGTAGCGCGGCAGGGCGCGCAGCGGCCGGGGGATGTCGCCCTTGGCACAGAGGCGACTGAAGTAAACCAGCAGCAGCCGGCGCGGGGCGGCGCGGAGCAGTGTGCGCAGGGGCGCGGCGTGCGGGTCTGGGTCTCGGGCCGGGCCGCGGCCGACGCTGCTCCACAGTAGCAGCACAGTGCCGCGCTCCCGCGCCACGCGCTCCCGCGCCGTCCAGAGCCAGGGCAGCGGGCCCACGCGTGCCACGTGCGTCCCCTCCCACAGGTCCACGATCACGTCGCGCCCACCGCCCAGCGCAATCCGCAGCAGCTCGGCCAGCGCTCCCACCAGGCGCCGCTGTGCCTCGGAGTCTGCCGCGTGCAGCAGCAGCACTGGTCGCACTCGGCCGGGGCCTGCGGGTAGGAGCAACGTCTGACCGGGGCTGGGGGACTGAAGGGGCGACCGACCCAGCCCCGTCCTCTCCACCTCTCCCACTTCATGTCGGCACTGAGGGGTCAGAACCAAAGCAGCCTGAGCCTATTCGGTGCTTTAGTCTAATCAGACAAAAATGCCTCTTCCGGAGCCAACGAGCGAGGGTCAGGGCTTCAGGGCTAGCAAGTGCGACTCAGGCTGGACTTGCGCGCCTCTGGCCTGCTGCTAGTGTCCGCTGTCCGAAGTGCAGAGACTACGGGCAGAGGCCCTTGGCGCTGCCAGACTACTTCTGTCCACTAGGGGGCTGAGGCCCACCCTCGCGAAGGGCTGAGACTGGAGCAGCCGCAGGGGGCGCGAGGAGGAGGGGAGGGCACCTAGACTAGGAGCCGGTAGGTGTGAGTCCCTGGCTACCCTGAGGCCTCCTTACCCGACAGCAGCCGCCGCCGACAGGTGAGGACCGCAGCAACGCCCAGGAGGATGGAGAGGCCGAGCAGTGCCAAGGTCAGGAGCCCTAGGCGTCTGTGAGTGGCTGAAAGAAGCTGCTTGAAGCCAAGCCCCACTCTGCTCTTGGGTGGCCAAAACTTTCCTCACCCCGGCCCAGGAACTCACCATCCGGACACAAGAGGCGCTTCCTGGCAAACTGGACGTCGGATCTCCACACCTGAGGGCACAGAGCACCGCTCCAGTGAGCATAGCTCCCCTCCTTCCAGGGCCCCTCAGGGGAGGCTTGAGGTGAAAAGGGGATCCACGGGGATTCCCTGAGCTAGGGGATTTCTCTAGCTCAGGCTGTGCCTGGTCCAGTTCCAGGGCGGGCACAGAACAGATCAAGGGCAGAAAATGCAAGTGTGATGGTGGCCAGGAGAACAAAAGTTTGTGCTCAGCCTGAGCAGTTTAGCAACTCAGGAATGCCCTGTCTCAGAATTTAAAAAATAAAAGGACTGAGGATACAGCTTAAGAAAAAAGTTCTGGGTTCAATTCTCAGCACTCAAGAAATAAAGAAAAGTAATCGTATATTGACCAACCAGACTTTTTGCAGAGTGCCTTTTCCATATGTGCGGCCCACAGAATAGGCACAGGGGTAGCAGTGGAGCGGGACAGGCTCCTTACCAGTACACAGCTCCCCGGCCTCGGGGAGGGGATGATGAGAGCCCCCGTCACTGGGCCTGTGCCCTGGGTCTGAAGGAACAAAGAGACAAATGACTTCTCACAAAGGCACTCTGGCTGTGTCCAGCCCATGTCTCTGCCATGCTGGTCCTTGCCATCCTGCCCTCTTGCCCACCCTGTGCCACTCATGCTGAGGCCACAGGCCACCAGGACAAGACTTCCAGTACTTCAGCCCCACTGATCTTTTTTTTTTTTTTTTTTTTTTTTTTGTCTTTTTCATTTGAATCGGTACCAGGAATCGAACTCACAACCACCTGCTTGTAAGGCAGGTGCTTATGCTGCTGAGCTAAATCCCCAGCCCCAGCCCCACTGATCTTTCACAGGTGTCAGCTTCTGCTGCAACTGTGGCAGCGTACACCACACGTTCTCGGAACGCCTGTTCTGTGCCAAAGCCTGTGAAACGTGAACAGAGACCCTGCCCAGCCTTCTGCAGCTCACAGGCCAGGAGGGGCAAATCCTGTCTGTCCCCTTAAGTCCCAGCTCTTCTGAGGAGGTATCCTGTCCCTGGGAAAGAGGTGAGCTGTGCCATGGGGAGACATCATCTGGGCCTGACCTTTCCTTGCAGTTCTAGCCTTTGTCTGAGCCTCTTTCTCTTTCTGAGCCCCACTTCTTTGTCCGTGTGTGGAGGGACAATAATCTGTCTTTTTTTTTTTTTTTTGTCTTTTTCCTTTTTATTGGTACCAGGGATCGAACTCACGACTGTCTGCTTGCAAGGCAGCCGCTTATGCCGCTGAGCTAAGTCCCCAGTCCCTAATAATCTGTCTTTTAGAAGGCTGGTGAGAACAGTGTATGCGTGCACAATGCAGTGTGCGTGCCAATGCCAGTAAGCAGTAGCTGTTATTAGACTGGGAGCCGCTGGGAGGCAGAGGCTGTCACACACTTCTTATCTCTCTCCCAGGGCTGGAATGGGGTAGGCATAGAGTGCACTCGATGAATGCATGCTGAATTCTACAGAACCAACTTCTCCGTCTCCGGTAGAATGTGGCTCCTCACTCATTCAGGTCAACTGTGAGCAGACACTAATGCAGTGCTCTCAAATCCTGACTGAAGCTAGTTTTTTCCTAGGTCACAGAAGCAGATGAGTCAGTAGATGTAGATCTGAGATTTAGGTTATTGCACATGGCTTGGTCTTAAGTCTTTTTTTTGGTCTTAAGTCTTAAGTTTTTGCTACCACCAGCCTGTTTGCCAGCCCCTTAGGATACAAAACAGCCAAGCTGCGTGTGAGCACTTAAAAAAGAACTGGAAAAAGCTAGTCACCCTTAGCTTGGTGCTATGGTTTTATGGGTGTATTTGATCATTGATTTTTTTCTTTCTTTTTCTTTTTTTTGAGACAAGGTTTCATTATGTAGTTCAAGCTGGTCTTGAATTTGTAGCAATCCTTCTGCCTCAGCCTCCTGAGTGCCAGGAATTTAGGTGTGCACCATCATACCCAGTTTTGATTATGGTTTTGGATGCACAGAAGAGATTTAGCTAGTCGACTGCTCTTAATCCACATAATGCAGTTAAATGTCTTTACAGTATTATACTGAGCACTTCAGCTTTTAGGGACTCTTGATTTTTTTTTTTTTTTTTTCAGTTTGGGAATTGAACTGAGGACTTCACATCCCCATTCTGAGTGCTCCCTTTGAGAGCATCAAAGAACTCTGCATGAATGCTCTGTGGAGGCAGGAGAATGGGGAGAGGACAGCTGGGTCCAAAGATGGCATTGGCATCAAACATGGCAGCAGGTCAGGTGGCTGGAGCACAGCTGGCTATGGGTGGGGGAGCCCCTTGCCTCTGTCACCCTGCAGGTGCAGCTGTCTCATCAGGGACCACCACTGACAGGCAGCAGGCCAGCAGGACAAAACCAATCAAGCACAGCAGATAAATTAACCGGATGATACAGGTCAGGGCTTTGTCCCCACTACCCACCCAGGGTCTGTTGCACTTCAGGAATGAGAAGACTGAGGGCCGTGCTCTGAGCAATGGGGCCTCACTGGGACCCAGCCCTGGCTTGTCCATACCTGGCTGATGCTGTACACCGGGGACATGGAGGTGTCCAGCCCCAAGCCTGGGTGGCTCCAGGCAGCACTGAAGGTGGCATGCATCCTTGAGGAGAAGTGAAGGATCAGCTGCTGAGCCCCTGTGGCCATGCTTACATTCCAGGACACAAGCGCCCCTGTTTGCAGAAGTGAATCAGAGGTGGGCTACAGCAGGCTGGAAAGTCAGGGCTGGGCTGGAGTTTGCTTCATCACAGCAAGCCAAGGGTGGAATGGGGGTTTGAGCTGAGGTCACATACTGGCTTACCTCTCTGGTGGGGGCATTCAACGTGACTGCTGTTTTCAAAGTAGAACTGAGAAATACAGGAGAAGAAAGTCAGCAGGACCCCGGCACCAGCGTTCCCTGTGTGCCTCTCTTGCCTGTGGTTGTACCTTGAAGCAGAGCTGGGGATGCAAGTCTACCTTCTCCAAAGCGTACCACTGTGAAGGAGAGGGTGGTCAGCCGGGAGAAGGCCCCTGATTTTCACCTAGATGGTGGGGGCGAGGTATACAGTCCTTACTCCGTCTGACTCTCGAACTGTGGCATTGGGGAGGTCTTCACAGGGGCCATGCTGGTCCTGCCTCTGGCAGAGGTAGGCCTCCAGTTTTAGTGGGCAGCGCAGTGTGAGGGCCATGACCATCTGATTGTGCTGGCTGTGGTCAGTGAAGTGCACTGACTTCCAGAGGTCGGAGGCATCTGGAAAGCAGCCAGATGGGGGGAGGCCTCAGCCCTGCCCCACCCTCTCCTCGAGTTCCCATCCCCAGGCCTAGACCATGAGAAAGTGCCAGGAACAGCTCCTGGCCCAATTAGGTGCTGCTCAGTTGGTAATTGTTTCTTTGTTGTTTTTGTTTTTGTTTTTTAACCTCAACTTGTGAGAATGGAGCTCAGTTGGTAATTGTCCCCACTTGTATCTCCTTTGTTGTCTTTCTACCCAGCAGTCTTCTTCCTGGCCATCTCCATGCTATGCCTCTACTCAGATCTGCTTAGGCTGTTTTCAAAACCTGGGATGCAGGGGCTGGGGATTTAATTCAGCAGGCAGTTGTGAGTTCGATCCCTGGTACCGATAAAAAAGAAAAAGACAAAAACAAAAACAAAAACAAAACCTGGGATGCATTGCCCTCCTCCTTCCCCTTCCAAATCCTGCCCATTGCTGAGCCCTGCTCCTGTGCCAGCTTCCCTGAGGGGCCTTTTCAGCTTGCCACAGGCTTTGTAGGCTTCTGCCTTTCTTAAGTTCATGTCTTGCAAGCTAGTGCTTAATATCACCCTGCCCCGCGTGTCCTGCAGTCTGCTGGGTGCTCTGCATCTGTGTCTCAGTGCACTGTCCTGGAGGATTGCAATGGGTACAGCACGGTAGACTCACCTGTCACTTGCACTTGGAATAGTTCACTCAAGCCCCATAAACAGTTTGAAAGATCAGCAGAGCAATCTCACAATTTTACAGATGAGAAAAGGCAGCTCAGAAGAAAAACAGTGCAGAGCTAGAGGGGGACCTGGTTCTCTGGCCCATGCCCCTGGAATGCCACTTCCTGCACTGTTTCTCTCTGATCCTATCACAGCTGCAGTGTTTAGTGCTTTTGAGTTTGTTGGCAGGCAAATTGTTGTAAATATACTGTCCCTTCCCCTAGTGATCCAGGGAAAGTGCCTACTCAGGGCTTCTTCCAGCACAGGAACAAGGTGGCAAAGTGGGGTGTGTGTGTGTGTGTGTGTGTGTGTGTGTGTGTGTGTGTAAGACAGAAACAGACAGCCATAAACACAGAGAGGGCGCATGTGCACAGGAGTGCATGCAAGCCATACTCACAGGCTTTGGGCCAGTTCTGGAAGGGACATTTTTTGCGCCTCACAGTATCCTCTTGCAGGTAGGCTGCCTGGGGTAGGGTAAGGGAATAGCAGATGGGCAAGGAGGGTCAGGAAGGGCATTTCCTGCAGCACTCATTCGGGTTCCTGCTTTTCCTTGACACAGTCTGTCTGCACAGGAAGGGCACAGAAGAGGGAAGCAGGATGGGATTTGGGGAAGGCGGGGAGGACCTCGGGTGGAGGAGCGGCTGCTAAGTGAGGGGCTGACTCTTCTCCCTGGAGAGAGCTCTCAGCAAGAAGGAGCTCATGAGGCTCGCAGTCCTGGTTTAGCCTTCCCTGGCCTCCACGTCCAGCCATGCTCACATGCCAAGGGCCTGTGCTGCCCTACCCTGGACTGCCCACATGCTGGCTCTTTTTATTTTATTTTTTTACCTGTTTCAAATTTTAGGTTCCTTTATTAAAACACTAAATTGAGATGGACTAAGTCTTTTCTCATTCAAAACAAACCTCAGGGTCAGAGTAATAATTCAGCTTTTCAAACATCTTCAGTTTTCACCTCTGTGCTCTGCTCTCCTCTCCTCTGCACGGCGCTAGCTCTTGTGCACTCTGCCAGTGGCTTGGTGACCAGATCTCTGCCGGACCCTCTCCTTGGCCCGCCTTTCCTAACTGGGTCAAAGCAGTCTCTCTGCTGGCTACCTCAGAGGGAAGATGAGGAGGACTGGACTAGAGGGCGGAGGGCCCAGGGACATGGAACATGCAGGGAGGCCTCTGTCCATCTGTGCCAGGTCTTGTGCGGGGAGACCTGGGGCTGAATGGGGATGAGGCAGGAATCTCACTAAGCAGGTTCTGTGCGCAATAGGACCCTTCTGCCTCTAGGCATGTGTGGCCACAGCCAGCTGACAACAGTCTTCCTGAGCATCTCTTTGACAGTACTTTTTTCTTTTTGTACCTGGGGTTGAACTCAGGGCTTTTGCACTGAGTTTTTTGTTTATCTGTTTTCTTGAGACAGGCTTTCACTATGTAGTTCGTATTCTTGAACTCACCTTCTATCCCAAATTGGTTTTGAACTCATGGTGATCCTCCTGCCTCAGCCTCCCAGAGTGCTGCTATTACAAGTGTGTGCCACCACACCTCGCTAGTCCTTTTTTGTTTGTTTGTTTGTTTCTATTTCGTGGTGCTGGAGTCAAAACGAGACCTTGTGCATGTTAGGCTAGTGCTCTATCACTAAGCCCCACCTCTAGCTCTGCCTTGTCTCTTTAAAACCTGACTTGGCCAGGGATGTAGCTCAGTGGCACTGCGCTTGCCTGGCAGCACGAAGTCCTGATTTGATTCCCAGTACCAAAAAAATAAAACTTGGGGCTGGGGATTTAGCTCAGCGGCATAAGCACCTGCCTTGCAAGCAGGCAGCGGTGAGTTCAATCCCTGGTACCGATAAAAATGAAGAAAATGAAGAAAAATAAATAAATAAATACAACTTGACTTACGAGGAGTATGTTTGACCGGGGACCTGGGGACAACCTACACATCTTCCTCCACTCACCTCTACGCACAGACAGGGCAGAAGGAATTCATACGGCAGGTCTGAAGTGTGACCCCCAGCCACAGTTTTCTGTTGAGGAAGCAACAAAGGGCGAAGACATGAGGGACCAAGTGGGAGGACACTGGGACCTCGGCCCGCACAGTCTGTTTTCCTTGTTTGGGGCATTTCCCTTCCACTGAGAAGCGCCCTCACAATGTCTCTGCTCCGCATGCTGGTCCTTCTGTCCTGGTGCTCAGCGTGGGGTCGGGTAACAGAGACACTGTTTCCAATGCTCCCGCTGTGCTTCCTCAGGGTGTCTTCACTCATCACAGTGATGTTGTGAGTGATCATCACCAGGGTGAAGGGAAGAGAGCTGGGGACCTCTGCACAGGGCCAGTCTCCAGCACTGGCACCAGCTGCATGTAATGGCATGTACGACAACTGGAAGCCAAGGGGAGATTTGGGCCCAAACCACGGGATCAGGGGCTATTCTATTCTCTGAGGAGCAGAACGAAGTGTGGGAGAGGGAGGGTACCAAGACATGAGTCTGAGTACTTTGTTCTGTTCTCAGGGGACCCGCCTGCAGGGTGAGCTGAAAGCTGACCCACCCTGAGGGCCTCTCCTCTCACCATGCTCATGCTCGGCACTCATTGCCCTGGGATGCTGCCTCCCCATTCCTTCCTCTCCTCTCAAGTAACAGGACCTTTTCTCTCCTGCCTGGGGTGCAGACGCCTTGTCTGGAAGGAGTTCCTCTCCCTCATGGGTAGCCCCTGTGCCTCAGCAGTGTGAACTGGCTCTTTTCAAGAGTGACACTCCCTACCTGGGCACCAAAGGAACCGCTTAGCTCTTCACACTCAAGTGTCCACTGGTGACAAAGACGCACGCTGACCTCTGGGCCTGGAGGAATGGTCACCCGAATAACCCGAGCCTCAGGCAGCAGCTCAAAGGTGAACTCAGGCCCTGTGGAGGTGTGGCGCTGGCCTCAGTACACACAGCACTGCTGAGCTGAAACCACTTCCTGTCACATTCCACCTACCTCCATGCCTCTGGGAGCCCACTTCCCCTGGAGCTGAAGGTTGGGTTCTCCTGTAGCGTAGCCTCTTGTGGGGGAGGTATGGAGAGGGAATGGAAGTCGGATGGCTCTTCTCAGACCAATTGTGGCTACCTAGCATCTTCTTCTGTAAGCGGAAAGCAAGACTGGCTTCAGGCCATCCAGGAACCTGACTTCTGTTTCTAACTTCAGAACCTTGGAACCACGGACAAGGTGGTCCACCTCTTTTGGCCTCTGTTTCCTTCACTGTGTAATCTCCACACGTGCGACCTCCTCACATGTCCGGAGAACAAAATGAGAGGCTGGAAAGAAACAGACTAAGAGATGTAGGGTAGGGCTGGAAAGGGCAGGGAGAGTACCTGAGGAGAGGCTGGCATCCTGTGTCCCTGGCAGAACTTGAGCTGGTAAGACTGTCCGGATCTGTGTACCAGGAGGTGGAACCAGCCCCACTGAAGGCCTGCATAGGGAGGCACACATAGCCTTCTGCCCCTCGCAGCCCCTCGATTGCCTGGGATATAACCTAACGTCAGATAGAAAGAGAGAGTTTCACTATGAGGTTCAAGCTGGCCTTGAACTCACTATGCAGCCCAGGCTGGCCTTGAACTTGCAGCAATCCTCCTGTCTCAGCCTCTTGAGTGCTAGGATTATAGGTGTATGCCACCACACCTGTCTGGAAAGTCATTTTAAGTGAAAGTATGTGTCGAGCAAACTGAGTCCTGAAAATTATGATGCAATAAAAAAATTAATATCTTTTTTTTTTGTCTTTTTGAGACAGGGTCTCACTGTGCAGTTCAGGCTGGCCTTGAGCTCACTTTGTAGCATAGGCTGGTCTCGAATTCACAACGCTCCTCCTGCCTCAGCCTCCCAGATGCTGAGATTACAGGCGTGAGCCACCATGCCCGGCTAAAAATTAATATCTTAAACAGAGAAAAAGCTGTATGTATTTATGTGTGTACAGGGTATTCATTATTTCTAACAAGTGAACATTTAGAAAGTACTAATTCTGGTTTTGTTTTGTTTTGTTTTGGTTCCAGGAATCAAACTTACAGCCTCATACTTGCCAGGCAGGTGCTTCTGCCACTGTGCTAAATCCCCAGCCTGAAGCTACTAATTCTTAAGCAGTAAGTGGACATTTAATATGGCAGGGAGAGCAATGAAAATAAAACAAATAAGAAAAAAATATCCAAAAAGAAAAAGAATCCTATTTTTCAAATAGAATAAAAATAAGTTCATAAAGACTAAAATACTTAAGAACTTATACCACTGAAAAGATGAACACTGTCACAGAGGTATACAGTTGTACCCAGGTCGGTCACAGTGTGCTCTAAATGAGCGTGTGCTAAGTCCCTATCAAGGTTGAAAATGGGACACAAATCTGTGCTAGGACAAGGCCCATTGTCTCAGCCAGATGGCTCCCTAAACAGCCCCTGATTCACACCTCCATTGAGAGTGGCCAAAGCCTGTGTTCCACATCTGAAGGACCTGACACCAGATGTAGCCACAACAGCAGGGCCAGGACCAGGCTGAGCCACAGGATGCTTTGTGGAGACAAGGAGGACCAGCTGGGTGTGACAAGGACTATGGGCACAACTTCCCGTGTAAGACGAAAAGGAGATAAAATGAGAGTCTAAAGAGAGCGCTCCTACCTCGGGCCAATTGAATCTGAGGCTGAGCTCTGACCCATCCTGGAGCTAGGACCTTCGAGGAATTATGGACTGTCTCTACGTGTCAGCTTCATCACTCGCAAAGTAGGGCTATTGCAAGGGTGACGTAAGATAACGTGCCTAGAAATGCCTTGTAAGGTCCAATTTTACCAGTGGAATATAAAATATGAAGAATTACTATTGCATTTGAGGCCAATGAAGGGAAGGAACAAACCTATGTACAGAGTGCCTAGAGATTTGCCTACATCCCTCAGTAAATCCTCCCCACAGGTCAGAAGCAACACTGGCTTCAAGGTACACTCAGTTCTCCATTCCTCAGAAGCTGAGGGTGGGGTGGAAAAATGTATTCTCTCAGGCTGCTCATGGAGTCTGGGGCAGAGCTGCTGTGCAAATCCAAGCTTGTTCTGTACTTTTTCCATTGATGCTGTGCCACTTCCCACCCTGGGAACCGAAAGTTGCAAAGGAGAGCTCCCTAAGGAACAAGGCACGAGGGGAGAGTGGGCCAGGAAGTGAGACTCACCAGGGAACCTCTGGTCCTGACAGCAAGGGGTCCGCGAGGGAAGAGAGAAGATAGCTATTATTAGAGAGGACTCCTGTTTGCTTCAAAGCATCCAATCCAAGGCCCCAGCCAACAGCCATGTGCTCTTGTCCTTTTCTCCCAGTTCCACGCTGCTCAGGCCCTCAGCACACCACAGTCCTAGTGATCTATCCGAGACTGTAGAGGACACACAGGGGCTTCCCGGAGCACAGGAGAGGGCAGGCACCTGTGCCAGGTGGCGTCTCTCCCAGCAGTGGCACCTTACCATGTGAGAGGCCAGTAGACAACGGGTGATCCTAGGAGGCAGGTAGCCACAGCCAGTGTCAGCAGGGGCAGAGAGGCCAGTGGGCAGCAGGAGGACAGCCAAGAGCGAGGCTGCCAGACAGGGGCTCCCCATGGGCTTCTGTGGGATCAAGGCACCCGGAGCATGGCTTTGTGACCTGAAGGTGGGTAACAAGCCTTGCTGTGCAGCTGCAGAAACCCTGGCTCTATCCTGCCCCAGCCCCGCCCTACCCCAGAGCTCCTCCTCAACCCTAACCAGCAGGCCTGGCCACATTCCTTTTCCAAGCAGAGAAACTAAGGAACAGAGGGGCCAGTGACAGATGTACAGATGGACCTTGTTCCCTAGAAAACCGCATTGCTCCCACCTGAAAGACGCAGGGTTCTTGATGTGGCAGAGAAATAACAGGAAAGGGCTGGCACCTGTTTGGGGTGGTGCACCCATTTCTTAACCAAAACAGCCTGCAGATCTGACCTGCGCATTAACATACTCTTAAACTTGAGTCTCCCCTAAAGACACTGCTTCATTCCCTCACTTAAAGAGGTCACAGAGATACCAAGCACTGTACTACACAGTGCTGGAGACAGAGGTGACTGATACACCATTTAATGCTATGCACAAAGGAAAATGCACCACAGGGTGCAAATAAACCTCTCATGACCCTGTAAGTACCCTCGCTCTCCACCTGGCTGATTTCAGGACTATAATGCAGTTTTCTCTCTGTACGCTACAGCCCGATCCAGCTCTTTTGGGCAAAGGGCTGCATGCCAAAGGTTCTTGTAGCTTCAAGGACCCGCAGCTCAGACAAGATCAGGAAGCCTGAGCTCACAGTGGAGCCCTGGAGCGCAGGGAGTGGGCCCCATGCACTGACCTGGTTTCCTGTGGTTTCCGGAACAGGAGAAGGCTGCCCAACTCCAGCCTGTGTGGGGCCTCTCGCCAGCATCCCACAGCTTCCTCCTCACAGGGAGTGCTTGAGCAGTTTCAGCCTTCACCTTACTGCCACCCACAGTGGAAGGAAAGATGTGGCATCTCCACTAGGCCCAGGTATCGCAACTGGTACTGCTCCTCTACGACTCAGTCCTGCTCAGCCTGACCACAGCCTGACCACAGCCTGCTTTGGGCCATTTCCATTTCCAAGTCCTCAGTTCCATTCTGTGAAAGCCCCATCTTAAAAACACCTGCCAGCTTGTGAGTTCATTAAAAGATACTCTTTCTTCTTTATTTTTCTCTAATGCTTGGAAATTGTGACACACACTCTTTAGATTAAAAGAGTAAATGTAGATTATGACACATTTTATCCAGTTTGTCCCATTCACATTTTTCAGAGCACTTTCATGTTAGATCTTGATAACCACCCGATGAGACAGATGAGAATCACTGTTTGCATTTCATAAAGACAGTAACAAGGAAGCAGAAGGGAAAGTGATTTGTTCAAGGTCAAAGTCTGTAGCCCTGGGTGCTCCACTTCTGTGGGGCCCTGGAAACCCAAGGCTCTGTCACCCTGTGGTCATCCTTCCCAGGGCTGCGTCCCGTTAGCTGTGGAACCCATCTCTGCAAACAAGTTAGTGAGAACCGGAGAGGCAAAGGTGGTCTGCCCACACTAACAGTGTCCCATAGTCTCTCTAACGCATAGTGGTTTCCATCTAGCAACATAAATGTGTTTTCTTTCCTTTTTTTTTAGAGACAGAATTTTACCATGTTGCCCCAAGCTAGCCTTCAACTCATTCTGTAGCCCAGGCTGGCATCAAACTCAAGATCCTCCTGCCTCAGCATTCAGTGCTGGGACTACCGGTGTGTACTACTGTGCTCAGAAATAATGAGCATTCTTTCTCTGTCTCTCTCTCTTTTTTTTTTTTTTCACTACCTGAAAGAGTTTTCAGCGCAATGAAAGAGAGAATATAAAGTAAAAAATAGCCTTTATTTTAAGGATGTGGAGAGACTGCCAGGGCCTGGCTTTCTCTGCTGGAAACGTGGGGCATGGGATATACATACAATTTTCGACTGGGGTGGTGCTTAGGGCAGGCATTGCTGACATGTTCTTCATGACAAACAGGAGATGAGGAAGAACTAGGAAGTGGTAGGTGTTCCCGCTTTGGCCTTCTGCCTCATTAGACCACTGCCATAATTTCTACTGAGGCAGGAAACTTCAGTACCAGGACTTGAAGCCAGGACCTCATGCTTGCTGGGCAGGTGCCATTATATCCCTGTCCCTAACAATAGTCGGATGTTGGGTTATGCAGCAAGAAACTTGGCTCGATTCTAGAACATGTGTCTTTCCCTATATCCTCTGACCTACCTTGAAACAGGGTTTTCCTAAATTGTCCAGGTTAGGCTCAGGTTTGCAGTCTTCCTGCCTCAGCTTCCCAGAATGCTGGTTGTACACTTGGCTTTTTTAGAGGACCAGAGAGTGAGGGAGGGGAGATGGGAAGAATGGGGGGAAAAATACCGAGGACCAAACCCAGGGCCTTCACGACAAACTACAGCCAGCCCTTTCTTTAGAAATTATTTTTTCAGGGCCAGGGATTTAGCTCTACAGCACAAGTGCTTGCCTGGTCAGTGCAAGGTCATAAATTCAATCCCTGGCGTAGAGAGAGAGATTGGGGTGGGGTGGGGATTGGAAAAATCATTTGGAAAATCATTGGAAAAGATCATTGTGGAAGGAGGCTGGAGTGGTGGTACATATCTATAATCCCAGCACTCAGGAAGCACAAGCAGGAGGATCATGAGTAGTGTGAGGCCAGGCTGGGCTACACAGTGAGACCCACTCTCAAACAAATAAACACTTGCTGAGTCGATAAATTCCTTAGGGTGAACTCACATTTGTAATCCTCCTGGCTCAGCCTTCCAAGTATATCTAACTCTCAAAGCCAAAATACTCGGTTAATTGCTCCAACTCTGGATATTTTGTTCCCAAATTTATTTTATTTCAAGGATTGACTCTGGTTATTGTATGAGAAGCAAAAAAATTTTAAAAAGAGCGATAAGAGGAAAAGGAAAAATAGGAAAGAAGATGGGAGGGAAGAGGAAAGGGAGGAGAGAGGGTATGGAAGGGAAAATAGAAAGGAATGAAAAGCAACACATAAAAAAGAAAAAATAAACGAATAAACCAGGTGTGGGGTACATACCTATAATCCCACGATGCTGGGGAGGCTGAGGCAGGAGAATCACAAATTCTAGCCCAGTTTGGGCAATTTAGGGACTGAATTCTTGTTCCTTGTTTTGTTTCCTATCAGCGCTGCTTAGGGAAATCAGCCAGAAATCAGAGGATTTTTGCATGCTATGGTCCAGAGAAGGTGCTAGATGTAGGTGTATGAAATAACGGGGAAGGTGAATCATGTAGGGAAAGAAATCAGAGGGCTGGAAGAAGGGAGGGAAAGTGGTTTTATGATGGTAAGTGACTGAGGGGACCCTGCAGCACATGTTGACAGGGAGAACCCAGAATTCAGGAGTGAAGATACCAGGCTGTGGCTTAGGGGCCCACACAGAGAACCTGTGCCCTTGGAAGGAAGGAAGCCCTTGGGGCCTGGCTTCCAAATGAGCCAACCCAGACATCGTGCTTTCACAAACGAAGTGAAGGACTCGCCAGGAGCTTGGGAGGTCTGGGCAGGCTGTGTGCTTGGGCAGACAGTGTCCTGTCATAGTGCGTGGGCACTGCGTAGACCACAGAGCAGTGGCTCCAGTAATGGTCAGTTCCTATGGCCAGTTAGGGCAACTGTGTCCACTGTCAGGCATACAACTAGGGCCAGGTGAACCAAGCCTGAGCAAGTGTCCTTCCCTTCTACTTTATCCAGCAAATATCAGCCTCCAGAATTCTGAGGCTAGGAATTATTCTTAAAATAGAGGCAGGGACTCCCAGTGAAGAGGGAAAAACTGCTTATCCAAAAAATGGCATTTTGATATTAAGCCTCAATTATGTACTAAACATTTCATATCCATTATTTATTTAAGCCTCACAACAACCCTGGGAGACAGCTGTGTGTCAGATCAGGTGTCTCACTCAAGGCAAATGTAGTAAAATGCCTGGCTAGAATGCCAAACCCAACAGATTCCTGTCAGAAACTGCATTTGGTTCCCCGGAGCACAGTGCTTTCCCTGGACGGGGTCTGTAACCCCAGGGAAGAGTCTTCCTCACACATTGCTGGTGCTCACAATTCACAGAGCGCTTTTACAGTCCTTCACATCTTCACAGGGATCCATGAAGGGCTTTGGTCTCCATCTGTGCTTGACAGGTACTTTGGCACTTGACCCAACTTCTAATCCAAACAGTTTTCTTCCCACCAAAACAAGACCTGAAAGGGGGGACCTTGTTTGGTTTTGGGAACATAACTAGGAGACAGGAAAAATTGTAGGAAAAGACTAGAAAAACAGAATCCCAACAACCCAACAAGCAAAAAGCTAACATAAGCAAAAAAATTTTTTTGGCATCATTGACAGTAATTTTCGTGAGTCTTAAAAGTACTACAAGACTATATACAAGACAGGTATGGCGGCACATGGTGGCACATGCCTGTCATCCCAGCTATTTGGGAAGCTGAGGCAGAAGGATCCCACATTCATGGCTAGCCTAGGCAACCTAGCAAGACCTTTTCTCCAAACTTAAAAAATAAAGAGTTAAATGCAGATGTTTTGTGCTCAGGGTAACTGATTTGGGAATGGCAATATGCAGTATATCACTGTTGTCCCCTGATTGTTATGTTCTGATCTTTTTTTCTCTTTGAAATAAAATGGATTTGGAAAAAATAAATAAAAGGTGGGGATTGGTGAGGGCGAGCTTGATGTGGTACAGAGAAGGTAATAATTTATATTAATAAATTGGTAAAAAAAAATAGTCTGTCCTAGGCCTCCATGACTTGTGGCAAGACCCTAGCTACCTTAAGGACAGATTACTTTTTTTTTTTTGGCTTTTTCTTTTTTATCGGTACCAGGGATCAAACTCATGACCACATACTTGCAAGGCAGGCACTTATGCCGCTGAGCTAAATCCCCAGCCCTGGACAAATTAATCTTAAAGCCAATGGCCAGAGGCGAGACTCCGGTGTGAAGTTCAGGTGCCTCAAAGCAAGGTAACATGGAAGCTGAGCACTGGACTTCTGCAAATTCTGTGTAGCTCAGTAGTCACAGCTAGGAGACAATCAGGTTGCTGGTTAATCCTGATCTGTTTCTGTGTATTTTTCCAAAAATGCACTGTTGCTCAGTCCTTAATCCTTGGCCTCATCAGCAGTTCATCCCCACCACGTCCTGTAGCCCACCAGCTCTGCCCCCTGAAGATGTGGCCTAATAAAGGTCAAGGACACCATGTCTCATGGCCCTAGCCCATCATGGGCTTTGACCATCCTGTTGCCCTCATAACTAAAATACATTTTGTCTGTGTTTTATTCTGTTGTCATACCTCTGAGCAGATTGGTGGTCCTAGGCCAGGGCCTCAATAGGGCTCTCCCTGGGTTCAATCCCCAGCACCAAAAATGTGTGGGAAATAGCACTGTAATGAGAAACTTTTAACCTCCCTTCCCATACTATAACCCATAGGTACCCTACCTTCAACCTTTTAAAAAACTTTTTTAGGGGCTGAGGATTTAGCTCAGTGGCATAAGCGCCTGCCTTGCAAGCAGGCAGTCGTGAATTCAATCCCCAGTACTGACAAAAAGGAAAAAGACAAAAAAAAAAAAAAAAACTTTTTTATTTTTTTGGTACCAGGGGTTGAAGTCACAACCTCACATTTGCCAGGTAAGTGTTTATGCCAGTGAACTAAATTCCCAGCCCGACCCCACCCGGTCCTTTTTTTTTTTTTTTTTTTTTTTTTTTTTGAGACAGTATCTCATTTGGCCCTGAACTCTGTGTAGCTCAGGCTGGTCTCAAATTCACAATGATTCTCCTGCCTCAGTATTCTCAGTGCTGGGATTGCAGGAATGCACTATACCTGGCATTTTCTTATAACTAGCAATTTTTTTTTTTTAAATCGGTACTGGAGATAAAACTTGACTGCGAACTTGCAAGGCAGGCACTTATGCTACTGAACTAAATCCCTAATCCTTAACTAGTAAATACTTACATTCCAATTCTTGAAAATTAGCAATCCATGCCTGGCACACATGGTAACTCTGCTACCACATATTTCCATCTGCTTCTCCCTGTCCTCCAAATTTTACCCATTTCAGTTTAGTCTGTCCTCTGTGAAATACCTTGGTTTTGATCTACAGTAGTTACTACATTCAATAAATCTATTAGAGCTGGAGATTTAGCTCAGCGGCATAAGCGCCTGCCTGGTAAGCGAGAGGTCATGAGTTCCATCCGGTACCAACAAGAAAAAAAAAACCCTTTTTAGAGTGCACTCACTAAAGCAGGAGGATCATTACAAGTTCAAGACCAGCCTGGGCTATAAAGTGAGTCTTAACAACAAAGCAAGTGCCTATCTAAAAAATCAAAAACAAGCCAGGCGTGGTGTCTCACGCCTGTAATCCCAGCACTCAGGAGGCTGAGGCAGGAGGATCGTTGCAAGTTCAAGACCAGCCTGGGCTACAAAGTGAGCTCAAGGCCAGCCTCAACTGCATAGTAAGACCCTATCTCAAAAAAAAAAAAAAAAAAAAAAAAAAAATCAAAAACAAAAACAAAACCCAAAATCCTTTGGATTTTATTAGTTCTAGATACATATATGATAAACATGAACATCCAACTAAAACATTCCATAACCCAAGCTAGCTAAATGGGAATGGACCATTTTAATGTAGAGAAATTAAATGTCTATGTTGTGATAGCTGCTGCCAATTAGCTACAGGGTAGCAATTATGACATAGGTTCCCTATGTCAAGTCCAGATGTCAAAGCCACTACCAGGTTTCTCAGGGAGCTTCTACTCATTTCTAGTCTAAAACCACTGCAATCCCTCAGTCACTAGAGTAACACCTTTTCATGTTCTACTAATCCCAAATGCAAGGCACAGGGTGGACAGGGTAGTTTTCACTTTATTATTTTTAATTAAAATGTTCTGCAATAGAAAGCACATCCTGCAAGGGGAGCAGCTTCCCAGGTGTTTCTCATCCCATGACCTACAAATGGAAGTACAATTTGTAGTCCTGGTGGCTAAGGGTGGTGAAGTGGGGCAAAGGGCCAACGGCAGGCAAAGGTGAGGACCCCACTTAAGGAATAATTCTGAAGAGCTTCAACTTCACCTAGCTGAAGTCTGTTTCACAGCTGGTCTATCAGATCCAGCCCACTGGGCATCCATTTGATTTTGCCACTTCAATAGATGACAACAGAATTTACATAGCAGCTACCCAAACACAAGATTTTAAGAGACCGTCTACCCTTCTCAGGCTGCTCATGGAGGCCCAGGCTTCACCCCTCAGAGCAGTTCATTTGTGTTTCTTCTCCTGTGTGCTGGTGAACCAAGAGTCTAGCAGTTTCTTGCTATAGTACAATTGCCAGGCATGTACTTGGACTGCCAGTACCAACACCAGGTACATGACAGAGACAGCAGAGAAACCAAAGAAGAAGCGGTAGGCCTTGCCATGGCGGTAGAGTTGCTGTGCAGCAGGGAACATCTCCATGCTGCCATAAATGAGAGGAGCGATGGAAAAGAGCCCCATGCTGATCATGGAGAGCACCAGGTAGCTAATGTTGTTGCGGGGGAAGGAGAGAAGGCCCAAGAGAGATGGCACAATGCTCAGAAGATATGGGTACTCCCACTGGTAAGGCATGGCCACCTGATCATGTGACAAGAGCCTCAGGTGTCCCACGATCATCTTGGCAACCAGCAGCAGCCATATGACCAGATGCACGTAGATCAACTTCTTGATTTCATACTTGAGGGTCACACTGTGGGGCAGAGCAGAGGAAGAAGCACCTTTCATTGAAATTTTTCTGACCACCAACTATATGCCACGTAACTGTACTTGACACAGGGATACAAACATGAATGATACAGTGTCTGGCAGGGGATGAACCTCAGAAAATAGACACAATTGAAAATTAAGTGAAAAACAAGCTTTCCAAGATGTACTGGATCAAAGGAGGGAGAGATCAATTTTGCATGGACAGAATGTCAGAAAAGACCAAATAGGAGATACGTGAACAAGGTTCTTCTGACGGACAGCTGGAGGTGTGCATTCTCAACAGAGGTAACAGTACACAGGACCAAACCACAAGCATTTGTATCTAGAAAATAAAGTGGCTGAGTGTGGCACAGGTATGATGGTGGGTAAGTGGGCCATAGAGTAACAAAGATTATGAAATAGTTGGTGTAACAGAGGACTATCTCTGAGCTATATTTAGAAAGATGCCCGCATCACAGGAGTACAGCCTGAAGAGTAAGAAGGTATTTGGCAACAGGAAAACAGCTCTGGCTACCCATACTTCTTTAGCTGTAGATTTTCCTCTAAAGGAGGTACACAGGTTTTTATTCTTTTGATTCTCTTAAGGTCCTAAATGTACTCTTATGTCCTTTTCCAATTCCTGAGGGCAAGGAGTCTGCTCTATATAGGAACTAAAGCACTTGCTAGGGTTGTGAGGCTCCCTCTTGCCATTGTATAAATCTCTTGTGAGAGAGATGTGGAGAACATTCTGGGAGAACTCAAACGTATTTAAGGACAATAAAAACTTTTAATTTTTTAATTTCACAACAGGCATTATAAAAGATGTGGAAAATAAAAAAACCTAGCCGCTCACCCCCACCCCCAAATTTAGGTTCCATGAAGGCAGGGACCAGTTTTGTCTTTCGGTTGTGGTGGTGTTTTTACCGAAGGCTGTATAACGTGCAAGTAAAGACCAGGTTGCTTTTCCTCCGTTTTGTATCCCCAAGTGCCTAACACGACCCAGGACGGCTAGGAGCTCAGTGAGAATCTATCGAATGTAGAAACACCCCTGTGAGAGTGTTAATAATTGAGGAGACGGAGACTCGATTAAGCATGAGGTTTCCAGTGTCACACTGCTGTGACTCCGGAGACCACACGGGGCACACACAGGGTGGATCGGGGTGGAGCTGTCGGGGCTACCGGGCCACCGGAACCTCCGAGGGACGGAGACAGGACCGAGAGGTGGCCTCGCGTGGTCGCCCGTGCCCTGCAGGCTCCGGCCAGAAGGGCCTCCACGCTCCTAGTCTCGCTTCATACCTCATCTGGTAGTGCATGGCGACACGTTCCCGGTGTTGAAAGTCGCTGCCGTCGGTGCCGGCCGCTCGCGGGCCTGCCCTAGACGCCATCGGGCCTGACCAGAACCCTGGAGCCCCTCACTCCTACAGGGCGCCACAAAACAACCAGCCCCCCAAACAAAAATTGCTCGAGCTGTCTTAGCTCTGCAAGAATACAGCCCGTGAAAAGCACTTCCGGCCGCTCTATCTCGCGAGGACGGGCACCGACTCTGTGGTTACCCCTCTGCGCATGCGTCTCGGCCCCTCTTCCGGTCCTCCTCGGTGGAGCGCGCCGGAAGTTAATCTGTAAACCCTCGAGCTTCCCGCTTCCTTTCTTGACCTCCAGTATGGATTAAAGGCGCGACGGTCTTCGCGTCGCAGACTGAGAAACGTGCCTGTAAGCGTTTTGCGCATCTGCCCCAGCACATAGTCATGCAGGAGGCAGTTTCTGGTAGGGAGTCATTTCCCAGTTTACAGCGAGGAAGCTTGGCGGCCCGAGCCTTTCTGGCTGCTGGAGGAAGGCGGCTTCACCCGGAACGAGCCTCGCCGGCGCGCCGCGCCGCTTCCATGAGACTCGTGCCGAAAACGCTCAACCCGAACCGACTTATGGAGAAACCGCAGGAAGACCCAATCGAAAGGACGCTGACAGATAGCTGGACTGCGCTTTTCAAAAATGTCAAAGCCAGAGAAGACAAAAGTGATTTCCGAGTATAAAGTTACGTTATCCGTGGAGACAACATGTAGAACAGTGGTTACCTAGAGTAGCAAGCAGACCGTGGGGCATGGAGGAAACTTTGTAAAACTAACAAGACAAGCCCCAGTGGACGTTCCTTGTAGGATGGAGCTGAGGGAGACCTCACCTGAGGAACACCCCCATCTATGTCAAGCCCCGCAGTTCCCAGGGGCAGCCCTGGCCACACACCTGGAAAAGGCTAACCTGACCTGGCACAGATAACTTCCGCTGGGGGCTTTTTCTTAGCTCACTGACATTTGAAAGCACGCAAAAAAGGCTGGATAGCCTATCAAAAATTATGTAAAGTTTAAACTTGTATTCGTTGCAACTGCCACTTGATCTCTTAGGGGCATGCTTTTCGCCTTGCGTGGTTTCATTTTGCAATAAATCCTTCCTTTGCTTTCGCAACAGCTTACATCAAGAACATAGGGACCGGGCAGGAATGAAGTAGATAGCTTGCCTAGCATACAGGAGGCACTAGGTTCAACCCGCAGTAAAACAATAGTAACAGCAAAACCGACGAGGACTGAGGATTCCTTCACTGTGGCTGGAGCATATGATGGCTGCTATAAAAATTCAAGACTATTTCAGGATGTTGAGGAATAACTGAAGGGTTTAACCAAAAGACTGGTAAAGCTTTGGAATTTTATTTATTTTTTTGAGACAGGGTTTCATATATAGTTTAGGCTGGCCTCACTGTGTAGCTCAGGCTGGGGTCAAACTCACAGTGATCCTCCTGCTGCAGCCTTTCAAGTGCTAGGGTTACAGGCTTCCACCACCACACCAAGCTCAAGTTACGTGTGTGTGTGTGTGTGTGTGTGTGTGTGTGTGTCTGTGTTTGTATGTATGTTTTAAAGGTGCTGGGGATCAAACCCAGGGGTTTGTGCATATGAGGCAAAAATTACCACTGAGCCACATCTGCAGGTTGGCTTTGGAATTTTAAAAGGCAGGTCTAAAATCAGGGGTACAAAGTTAGGGGCTGGTATAAAGTAGGATTAACAAATACAGTGAATGTTTAAATGAAAGTTTAGTATACTTAGAGACACGTTGTCACTAATCCCCCTGAAGATTAACCTTTTACTTTAAACAGACTTAGGCCATCACTCTTGTGGTTTTTTTTTTTTTTTTTTTTTTTTTCTTTTTCCTTTTTATCAGTACTGGGGATCAAATTCAAGACTGCCGGCTTGCAAGGCAGGCGCTTATGCCGCTGAGCCAGCCCCTAGGCCATCAGTCTTACTTTTTTTTTTTTTTTTTTTTACTATTTTAAAGGAAAAAAATAAAATGGTTCATCCTGTGCAAGAGGAGGGCAAGATTTTGTGAGTACTACACTTTCCCTGAAGAGGGTGTTGGCCTGTGTACACCATAAAAGAGAAAAAGAGACTTGTTCTTCCCCACTTTTGCTCTGGCGGCTGCCTTCAAGTGTTGTGCTATGCCATACCACCTTGCCTCGGAGTCAGCTGATTATGGACTGAAACCTCCACAAACAGTGAGCTAAATAAACCCTTTCTTCATTTTGGGTATCAGATATTTTGTCTCAACAATTGAAGAAAAGTAACCAAGATAGTAGCTGAATGTATCAATCCTTTATCTTCTGACTCCTCGGTTTTTTCTTTAAGACAGGGTCTTGCAATTTTTCCTAGGCTGGTCATGAGTTCCTAAGCTCAAATTATGATTTTCATGCACTTCAGAACTTGAGAACTATGATCAGACATCACCTCCCTTTCTAGAAGGCAGGGACAAAAACACTTGTCTGTGTCTGCAGTATCTCACAGTGCCCCACATAGTGCAAAAGGTAAGAAATGTTTGTGAGGAGTCTCAGATCACCCCCTACCCCAGGCGGATTTTATCTGGCTTTCAGTGGTGGTACGGCTGTTGTTTCTCTGCTCCCTTCCCGTGATGCATTTGGAGTTTGCAGGGGCCAGGCTGCTTCTGAGTCATCCACTAGCCTGTCAAGAGATACCAAGTACACAGGGATTGGTAAAGAACTGTTTCAGGCATGAATGTTCAAGGGAGGAGACCAGCCCTTTCCCCCAGAATGTTTTTGAGGTGTTTTCCCCTGGTTCTTGGTCTGTCTCGAGGTATAAGCTATTTCTGCCCCATTCCCTCAACCTGCTCCTTCCCCTGTTTCATTGCCTTGATTTTGCTCCCAGGACTTCAAGATTTTCTTTTCCTCAGCTGGAATTATGTTGAAGCACTCATCTCCTAGAACACCTGTGAGGCCATCCCCAAGATGGCTCCCTAGTCATGTGCTATTACACCATCCAGTTCTGTTTTCTTTTCAGAATGTCATTATTTGAAATATTTTGTTCAAATGCATATTTGTTCCTGCTCTGAGTTTCCCCTTACCCAGGACTGTGTCCTTGGGAAGAAAGCTAGCCTGAGTTGCCAGAGAGCCCCTGCCAGGGAAGAATTTATATGCAAATAGCAACAACTGCTTCTTATGGAGACCTGAGGGTGAATACGCTCTGAAACCAGCACATGTCACTATTATCTCACTTAATTCCCATGAAAACCTGAGGAGCAGGAGCTAAAACCTCCGTTAGTCAGGCTTAACTTAAGCTTAGATGAGTTAGAGCATGGAACTGGTGCCAAACCAGTGTGTCTCACAGTGGGGTCTTCAGCTTCAGCTTCACCTGGCAACCAGTTAGAAAGCAGCAGTGGGACTGAGAGTGGGCTCAGTCATGAGCAAATGCTGGAAGTTCAGTGTTGGGTCCCCGGCATAGCCACCACCCTTACCACCATCCCAGCAAGGGCACAGAAATTTTTAAGCCCTGTTCCAGGCATCCTGAGTCAGAAACTCAGAGGAAAAGCCCCACAACCTGAATTTAACAAGCCCTTGGGGATTCTGATGAACTGTAGTCCAAAAGCCCATACTAAAAGAAAAACATGTTTGGGGGCCAGGGATTTAGCTCAGCGGCATAATTGCCTACTTAGCAAGCACAAGGTTGTGAGTTCAGTCCCTGGTGCAAACTCATGACCTTGTGCTTGCTAGGCAGGTGTTGTACTCCCCAAACAAGACTCTTTCCAAAAAGAAAGTGCTTTATTTAAGCTGGTACCCTGTGGCACAGTAGCATTGGAATTTGCAAAACTGTGCGACTAGGTTAGATTTTTGGGAGACTTATAGGAAAAAACTGCAAAACAGGGATGGGAGGGGATAAGGGTGAAGAAGACTTTTGTTCTCTTATTTGGATTAGGGACAGAGTTCCTTGCTTAGTTGCCTTTACAGAGATTTTTGTAGCTAGTGATCAGCAAGTTCCTCTTTTACAGGATCTTGGCAACTTATGATTGGCTAATTCCAGGAAGAATTGTCTTTCACATAGGGGGACAAAGGTTGAGACAGTACAGGGTTACCAGGGTAAAGACACATACAGAACAGGATGGTGGCACTTTGGTTACAGCACAACAGCAGGCACTTGTGCTGCTGAGCTAAATCCCCAGACACATTTAACTCTTAAAAACACCTACTAAGATATACTGTAATGCATAGGCCATTCCAAATCATCCATCTACTGAAGTGTAAACTCAAGTGATTTTAATATATTTATAGATTTCACCAAAATAGATTTTGATTAGAAATAGATTAGAACATTCTGTCTCCCCTAAAGGAAACCTGCATCCATTAGCAGTCCACACTCTCCTCCCACTTGCCATCCCCAGCCCTAAGCAACCCACTATTTTCAGACTTTGTATTTGTGTGTTCTGCACATTTATATAAGTAGAATCATACAGTATGACACGATACATTATGACTGGCTTTTTCCATTTTCCATAATGTTTTCAAGGTTCACATGGTAACATGTATCTTTTTTATTGACAAATAATACCCTATTTATGGCTATACTTTGTGTGTGTGTATGTGCGCACGCGCCTATGTTTGTGTGTCTATCTGATCAAATCCAATGCCATTCAATCACTGAGCTACATCCCTGGACCTTTTTTATCTTCTGTTTTAAAACAAGGTCTTTCTAAATTGCACAGGCAGGACTCAGACCTGTAATAATCCTGCCTCAACCTCCCAAACTGGGAATCCAGATATGCACTACTGTGCCTGTTGTACCCCAAAAATGAGACCCTGAGATGTTGTCCAAAAAATGGGGCAAGACATTTTTTAAAAGAAAAAGGAGCACTTTATTTAAGCTGGCACCAGCGACACAGTGCAGTTGGAGTTTGCAAATCTGTGTAACTAGGTTAAAATTTTGACAGACTTTTATAGAAATAACAATCACCAGTAAATGTTGGTGGGGTAACAGGAATGAGGAAGACCTTTGTTCATCCTTGCTTGAGGGCAGAGAAGTTTTGCAGTTGGTGGTCAGCCATTTCCTTCTTTACAAGAATTTACAGCTCTTTGTCTACTAATTTCAGGATCAACTATCTTTCACAAAAGGGGGACAAAAGTCAAGAGGAATATAGGTAACTCAAGGTCGACTGATTCCAGGAACAGTTGACCCTCAGAAGGGGAACAAAGTTTAACACAGCAAACAGGTTACCAGGGTGATTGCACATACAGAACAGTATGGCTGTGCTTTTTAGTATAACAGTGCCCAGCTGCTTCCTTCTCCCCACCCCTCCTCCTCTTCTTCCTCCTCATCTTCTTCTTTGCTTTGTTTTTTTTTTGTGTGTGTGTTTTTTGAAGCACTATGCAGCTCAGGCTAGTCTTGAACTCATTCTGTAGCTTAACCTGGCTTCAAACTCAGATCCTCTGTTTCACTGTACTTCATTTTTTGGTCCATTCTCCAGTTGATGAACGTTGAGGTTTGTATTCATCAGTTTTTCTGGTTCCAGGACAAAATATCTGACATACACAATTTAGAAAGGTTAGCCAGGCATGGTGGCTATGGTCCCAGCATTTAGGAGGCTGAAGTAGGAGGACTGTTGCAAGTTCAAGACTAGCCTGGGCCACAAAGTGAGCTTAAGGCCTGCCTGAACTACATAGTGAGACCCTATTTCAAAAAGACCAAAAATAAAAAGATAAAAATAAAGTAGAAAGGTTAATGGGCTCAGTTTCAGAGGGTTCAGTTTATGGTCTGCTAATATCAAGGCGAAAACTGTTGTACTCTAAGAAAAACAGCTTTGTTATATTTGTATCATAACAAAATACCTGTAATGTGGTCTACTGCTCTATATGCCATTTTTCTTTTCCTCTGGGTGACCCAATTGATATGTTAATCAATGCTCTTCTGTAAAGAATTATAAAACCTTACCTAATTGATATGTTAACCATTGTTGCCCTCTACAAATAACAGATGCGGTGCTAAGATAAGTTAACAGGAGTTGTTAATTACTCCTAAGCTTCCCCATTCTCTGCTGAAGAAAACCAGTATGTTTCCCTGATTTAAACTTGTTTGAAGTAACTTACTTGTATGCAGGGAGACTTGCTTGTTAGCACAACCCTTACCTGACCTTGCTCTCCCCAAGAAATGTAATCTCACCTTATTTTCTGTTCTATAATGCGCCACACTGCCTTCCCCCTTTCCCTGCCCAGTGGTAGTCTGTCATAAAATGTGCTTAGTGTGCTAATTGTTCTTAAGAAATGCTTAGCTTCAAAGAAATTACAGGAAGAATGTTGTGGCTTAACCCTTAATACACCAAAAGGGTTAAGTTCCAAATCCTTTTAAAAACTTAAGTTTCAGCTTCTTGTAACTTTTGACCCCTTCACACCTGTTAGCAATAACGAGCTGTCCTGAGATAATTAACTTTCTACCTTCTCGAAATGTTGTTGCAGATGTGCTATTGTAAGATAATGCGTATCTGCAGGATGGGAGTAACTTGAAAGGCAACAAAGACTCCCGAGGTTGTCAGAACTAAGTGGACAGCTTTACAGTTTCCAGACTTGAGTCAACAGCTTGATGGCTCTGCGAGTTTCTTTGTTTTTCCGCCCCCGCCTCCTGCTTTTTAAATCCCCTTCCTTCAGTCTCTGGGACACAGTCTCCAAATTGGCTCCCGGAGACTCATCGCCAGGCCTGGCCTAAATAAAGCCTTTGCTCCCCAAATTTCAGTCTCTTGCTTCCTTGGATTTTGTACCAGGGTCCAAGCTATCAGAAAAACAACATGATGGAGGAAAGCTGCTTAGTACATAGCAGACAGGAAGCAGAGAGAGGAAAAGAGCCAGAGAGGAAGAGGACAAGGCCAGATACAGTCCCGAGGGAGGGTCACACTCCCATAACCACCCAGACATACCCAGCAGTGTGCTTTATAATATGGTCAAGGCACCTCAAGGGAAGTAAGTTGACATTCTAGGGTTTTGGGAGCCATCAAGCTGGAAATTGACCTAGGACATGACCCAGACTGGACTCTACCAGAAAACAAAGAGAGAACTGGGGTCAGCCACATGAAGAACTTGCTACAACCCAGAAAAACACCAAGCCCCTGGACAATCCAAGCAATGGGTTGCTAGGCAGAGGGGCTGAAATTGACATCATCTTTCCCAGTATATAAATAAACATACTGCATTGGTTGAGCAGTACCTTTCCTCCTATCAGGAGGGTTAGGGCTCCACCTGACCCCAGCTTTGTCTCTCCTTTGTATTCTCATCCTCACACAGTTCTTAACCCCAAGAACCTCAGGAGCTGCATGGGTTGCGGCACGGGGTTATAGTCACAAGTCACTTTTAGGGTGTCATGTATACTGCTCTGAACATTTGTGTACCAGTTTTAGTGCAAATCTGTGAACATATGTTTTCATTTCTCTGGGAAATGCATATGTGTAGTGACTAGGTCATAAGAATTTATACTTTTTTTTTTTTTTACTGGTACCAGGGATAGAATTCACGACCACGTGTTTGCAAGGCAGGTGCTTATGCCACTGAGCTAAATCCCCAGCCCCAAGAATTTATACTATTTTGAGCTGAGTGTGGTGGTAGGTGCCTGTAATTCCAGCACTTCAGAGGCTGAGGCTGAGGCTGAAGGATCACCTCGAGTTTGAGGGCAGCCTGGCTGACATAGTGAGACCCTGTCTTACAAAAAAAAAAAAGCCCCACAAACTTATACTCTCTTTTGGGGAGGTAATGGGGACTGAACCCAGGGGCTTTGACCTAAGCTACATGCCCAGCCTTTTTTTATTTTGAGGTTTCACTAAATTGCTCAATTGTTCTGACTGGGCTCAAATTTGTAAACCTGCTACCTCAGCCTTCCAGAGTGTTTAGATTACAGGCATGCATTACCACACCTGGCTACTGAAAGGATTTTGCCCTAGATAGGATACTGCGGCATTGGGAGGTGGGACGAAAGAATGTTTATCTTGAGGTCACTTTCCCCGTCCCTATGCAATTTACCTGTGGCACGAAAAGAGTCCCAATCAGCTACTCGCTCATCAGCGATGCCACCTTTAAGCACCACCCCAGTCGGAAGCTATTTGTATGCCCCCCACACCATGTTCACAGCAGAGAAAGCCAGACCCCCAGTGGTCATAGGATTCTCTGCGTGTTCCGAATAAAGGCCATTTTTACTTTATATTCTCTCCTTTACCGCACCGAAAATCCTATCAGCTACATCTTACACTCTCAACTACTGCACATTTCAGCTGGTGTTAGTCTCCACTAAAGGTATTTATTCAATACATTATCAATAATACTAATAGTCATTTCCATCTACTGTCTAAATTGCAAGGCCTTTACTCTGATAATCACAAATCCTCAACCCTATCAACAGGCACCCTTATTGGTAGAGAAAAACTGTAAACTGATTTGCCTAAACTCAAACAGCCAATCTGGGGAGGAGCTGGGACCACAGCCTCATCTGCTTGCCCTTTTGCCTGATACTGTTTCCCAAAGCTTTCGAAACATGCCTTCTTCCCTCCTTTTGGGCCTTTTCTGGAAGTCGGGCTGGCTCCAAATCCCGAGGTGGCAGGTCCTTTTGCTCTTTTCCCCAGCTGGGGCTGAAGGCCAGGGGCGTGCCATCATGGGAGCTGGAAATAAAATGAGGGAGGCCCAGCTGTGCATGCAGTGCGCCGCGGAGGCTGTGTGGGGGAGGTGAGGATTGAGCTTTTTGCTTTTATTTTTTTAATTTTTATTTTATTTATTTATTTTTGGTACTGGGGATCGAAGTCACAACTTCAAGCTTGCCAGGCAGGCACTCATGCTGCTGAGCTAAATCCCTGGCCTGAGAATTTTGCTTCTGAAGAGCAGACCTGCCGGGCTTGGCCAAACATAGGGCTAGGGAAGGAGGACTAGCACTTCTCAGGGAAGAGGGTTTTCAGCCTCTGCGGGTCTGCTTGAAAGAAAGGGTGACCTTACCTGTCTGTGCCTTGTTCTGTGGCCAGCTCTCCCTCTACAGGGAGCTGAGACCAGGGAAGGTGCCCACTGGCCAGGTGCCTAGAGGCAGGGAGCTGGAATAGAAACAGGCACAGAGGCACACTTGGTGAGGAAGGGCAGGATGAAGAGAGTCATCTCAGAGAGCTTCAAGGGATAGAAAGCAGTGGAACTGGGACCCAGAGACGGCAAAAGTGGTGTTCTAGGTCTGAGAAAGAAGTTGCATGTGGAGGGAGCTGCTGCATAGAGGTGAAGGAGGCTCAGTGTGGCAGAGGATGAGTCCAGACTTAACTGCCTAGATCTGTGCTGTTCAGTATGGGTACCAGGAGCCCCCAGGCACAGTGGCTATTTAAATGAAAGTTTAAAATAATTTAAAATGGAGCTCCTTAGTCATATTAGGCACAATTCCAGTGCTCAGGAGCCACCTGTGACTAGGAAACGTGGTGTACAGCAGCATGAACCCAGTCTGTCAGCCTGGGAAGTCTTCTGAGCCAGTGAAGGCTCACAGCCTGGGGTTGGGGTGACTGTTCATTGCTCAAGGACTTGTGGAGTGAGCAGCTCAGACTAGCCGGCTGGCTGTGAAATTTCTGGAGTCTAGGTGACCTTCAGGTCTCCAGAGGTATAAGGCAGTGTGACCCACCTCCTGCCAGCATAGAGTGGATCCTGACCCCAGGGACAGCAGCAAACCAGGCAGGGCCTCTTCATCCCAACTCAAGATCACTGCTCACTGTGATCAGAACCAGGGGCAGAGAAAACATGGAGTGAGTGGGGCTGTGGGCAGCTGCTGAATGAGGCCACCTTGCCACAGGGTGGGGTGGGAGACTCCAGCTTGGCCATGTTGCGCAGACTGGACTGAAGGACTGGGGAGGAGTGTGTGGGTGTTTGTGTGTATGTGTGTGAGAAAGACCAGGGCAGGGCTCCCAGTGTCAAAAGAGAGACGAGAATGCTTCCTCCTCACCCTAACCAGACCTTTCCTCCTCATCCTCAGGGTCCACGCAGTCCAGCTGACAAGGATGGACTATGCCATGAAGTCCCTCAGCCTTCTCTGCCCCAGATCCCTGTCCAGGTGAGGACAACTTGGGGCAGAAGGCAGGGGAGCTCCCTGTGAGCTTGGGGTTGTGAGTCCTATGGGGATCTTATTAGAGTTTGACTTCTGACTCACAGGACTGGAGCGGGAGCTGAAATTCAGACCCCACCCCACCCCGGGATGTTAACAGTGCCATTACCACTGCTGGGAGCAGGAAAGGGAGGGTTCTGTGCTTGGCATTTCCATTCCTGGTCTTATACCTCATGACAACTTTGGGAAGTGGGACTGTTACACCGAATTAACAGGCGAGGACACTGAGGCGGAGTGGGTGCTCTCAGTTACCTAGAAAACCTGTAACAGCAGCAAGATTTGAACGTGGGTCTGCCTGCATGCAAGCTCTAAGTTCAAGATCCAGAACATTGACAGGCCTTGGGGGGTGTTAGGCACCTGGATCCCAGCCCCACCCAGATCTACTACATTGTCATCTGCATTGGAGCCAGGCCCTGTGTGCCTGTCTAGAGTTTGGATGCCCTGTGCTAGCAGGCTTCTGTTGGCTAGAGCATGGTGGAGGAGGGAAGGTATTGGGGGTCCAGGAGTGGGGGAGGGAATCTGGGCGAGAGGGTCTGAGTGCTGACACTGTGGGGCCATGGTGCCTCCCGATGTCCCTGATTGCCCAGGCACATGACGGTGAGCACCTCTGTGGTGAGGACACAGCAGCTAGTGTCTGAGGCCAGTCCAGAGGCCCCCAGGGCTCGGCCCTGCCGAGTGAGCACCGCAGATCGTAGTGTGCGGAAGGGCGTCACCGCCTGCAGCCTCGAGGACCTCCGCTACAAGGTAGGGACCCCTCACTTTCCAGTCCCAGGGGCTATACTGGGGTTCAGCAGGCAGGGGTCAGGTCCTAAGTGGAGGCTTTCCTTCCCCATGTCAGCACCCGCAGGTTGGTCGCACCTACCTAGAGCTGGGTTGGTGCTGACGTCTACCTGGTGACAGGAAGGGCAGTGTGCCGTGATCCTGCACATTAACAGTAGGCTGGTAATATTCTCAGAATATAGTTCTTGCTGGAAAAAACCCCTAGATTCCTTTCTCCAAAGGTTTTTTGGTTTGTTTTTGTTTTTGATTTTGAGATAGGGTCTTACTATATAATCTAGGCTGCTTTCAACTATGATCCTCCTGCCTCAGCCTGCTGAGTGCTGGGGTTATAGGTGTGCACTACCACAGCTGGATAGTAGTTCTTAAACTTGTAGAATTGCTCCAAAATTGGAGAAATGAGCCAATTTTAGAAGCTCTCTCAGGTGAGGGTGGTAGCTTCATGAAAGGTTTTGTCCTCACCATAGATTAGAGAGGCTGCTAGAAGGGAAACAGAGAAATCACACAGCTCTCGTGGGTGTATGGCAGGCAAGAACACGCGCCAGTCCCGTGCTCCTTTCCTCTCTCTCAGGGTTGCTCCTCCTTCCGCCCTGCTGCAGCCCTCTAACCCTAAGGCCACTTGCTTCCGGAGCCCAACACTTGTGACACCTGGGGCCAGTGCTGCCAGCCCAAGTGCCTGGCACAGGCAGGGCATTGGGTTAGGCTTCCGGTTACTGGAGTGTGTTTAGTGCACAGACATGGCTGTTGACTGAACCCTTCCTGGTCTCCTCCCCATTCCTGAGTTAGCTCTGGTTTTCTGGAAGCCAATGTCCCGTTTTGGGAGGACCCTGGCTATGCCAGATGATGCACCTGGAATCAAAGGTGCTCACTCCACTTTAATGTTGCTATTGTTTTGGGTCCTGGCTCTGGGAACACCTCCGCATGACAATGCCCCTCGGTGCACCTGGCTTCCCAGACTTCACCCAGAGGCCAATTAAAGCAAAGGGCTAGTGGAGGGCCCTCTTGTCCTTTCTGGCCATGGTTGTTGGATTGACTGTTTTTTCTAGTAAGTTGTGCTTTATTTCAAAAAGCCAGGGTATTCAGAAGTCAAGATCTGGGGACTCGGTTTGTTCCTTGCTGTTGGTGTGTGAGTTATTCTATACCCTCCCCGCTTTTTGAGACAGGGTCTTATGTAGTTCAGGCAGGCCTTGAACTCATTATGTAGCCCAGACTGGCTTTGAACTCACAGTGATCCTCCTGCTTCAGTCTCCTGAGTGCTGGGATTGCTGGTATGTGCCCTGTTTGAAGGATTTTACCCAGCAAAATATATTCCCTAGTGAATCCAGATGAGAAAAGGAAAGTGAGAATTCTGTGATTCCAAAATAATTAGCAATGTGTTTGTATGCTCTAAGTATATCTCATTTAAATGAGGTTATGTACTGTATAGCCTGACTTTACATTCTATGACCTGTCATAGGTCTCTTTTCTTTTCTTTGCTGCTGAGGATTCATGATGAGCTGTATCATTTCATTTCATTTCTTCTTCTTCTTCTTCTTCTTCTTCTTCTTCTTCTTCTTCTTCTTCTTCTTCTTCTTCTTCTTCTGCTGCTGCTGCTGCTGCTGCTGCTGCTGCTGCTGCTGCATTTATTTATTTTTTGAGGTGGTAGACAGGGTCTCTCCATGGAGTTTAGGCTGGTCTCAAACTCACCATGATCTTCCTGGCCAGGAATTTAGCTCAGCAGCAAAAGCACCTGCCTGGCAAGCATGACGTCATGAGTTTCATCCCCAGTACCAAAAATAATAAAGTTAAATTACAAAATAAAAGTGAAACTAATTCATAGAAGTGAGATAAGATGAATCAAAGGTATAAATGAAAGGGGCTAAACAATATATGCATTTGAAATAATATGCTAATTCCATAAATATCTATAAAATTATGGTGTATCAATTAAAAAAGATTTTCAAAAGTAAAAAGAAAACTGTAGAATAGGAAAAATATTTGCAAATCATGTATTTGATGAGGGCCAAGAATATATAAAGAATTCTTTAAATGTCAAAAAATATGGAGATATATATATACATATATATATATACACTCTAACAACTCACCAGTAAAAAGATAGACCAACTAAAAATGGGAAAAGGATTACAAACTCCATCCCAGGATGGACAGTCTGTCAATTTAGTGAGACCCTATGTCAAATATAAAAGTACTAGCTCAGTGCAAAGATCTGTGCTCAGTCTCCAGTAACACAGACACACATACGTGCGCACACACAAGTACACACATATCTGCCTGTAACCCCAGCTATGTGAAGCTGAGGCAGGACGATGAAGATTCAAAGTTCAAGGTCAGATTGCCGGGGGTTTAGCTCAGCGGTGTAAGTGCCTGCCTGGCAAGCACAAGGTCATGAGTTCCATCTCCAGTACCAAAAAAAAAAAAAAGTTCAAGGTCAGCCTGGGCAACCTGAGACCCTGACTTGAAGTAAAAATTTGAAAGGCCTTGGAATGTGGCTCCATGGTAGGGGGCTTGCTCAGCACATACAGGGCCCTGGCCATAGTGCCACCCATGCAGCCTGGTCACTGAGGAGATGTGGGATGGTGTGGCTCTTCCCCATACCAGTGCTAGGGCTCCATGGGGTGGCAGAAGCATCACTAACCTTCCTCCCCAGGTCCGGGACATCTTGATGCTGAAAGATAAGCCCTTCTCCCTGGTGCTGGAAGAAGATGGCACAGCTGTAGAGACAGAGGGCTATTTCCAAGCCCTGGCAGGGAACACAGTGTTCATGGTCCTCCAGAAGGGGCAGAGATGGCAGCCCCCTTTAGAACAGGTAGGCGCCTGCTGTGAGGGGGAAATGGGGAGCTGGGACAGAGTCCCGCAATCCCTACAACGTGTTTGTCTTGCTGCAGGGGACCCGGTACCAACTCTCCCTCTCGGACAAACCCTCTAAGAAGATTGATGTGGCCCGTGTAACCTTTGACCTGTACAAACTGAGCCCCCAGGACTTCATTGGCTGTCTCAATGTGAAGGCGACCCTCTATGACACATACTCCCTGTCCTATGACTTACACTGCTACAAGGCCAAGCGCATTGTAAAGTGAGTGACCTGGGATGGGCTGGGGATAGGGTGGGAATCAAGCAAGGGCAGCATCCCTAGCCTGCCACCAGGGTTCAGCCTTCTCAGGGCCTGGGTCTGGAGTCTGTGCCAACGAAGCGTGACAGTTAGCATTTGTGCAGAACTTGTGACTTACCTATGTGTTTTGGATTATACCCCTGTATAATGCAGTATGGTATGTTTATCATTACCTTCTTTTTGTTTGTTTTTTTGAGGTAGGATTTTCCTATGTAGACAGGCTGGCCTTGAACTTGCACAATTAGCTTGCCTCAGCTCCCGAGTCCTGGGATTATAGACATGCACCACCACATCCAGTTTTGTTTATCATAACCTTCTACCATAGAAAATTATAGTTTTTTGCGTAAAAAAGGAAATTTTCCAAAGTAGTCTTCTAGTGTGCTCCTTTGTGGTTCTTTTGGGTTCTTCTTTGGTTCTTGGGATCAGACCCAGGGCCTCACACACTAGGAATGTGCTTTACCACCCTCCCCTGCCAGCTAGTCTTTTACAACTTTTCTACAATGAACATGTGTCGAAGATTTTACTCAGTGCCTTCATTCATGACAAGACTAACAAGAGGTTACAATCAGTTCAATTCAAAATCTCACACATATACGGATCCATCACTGATGATGAGTTAATAGTGTAGATTCTTGCCAGGCCCAGTGGTGTGTGCCTTAATCCTAGCACTCGTGAGGCTGAGGCAGGAGGTTCACCACAAGTTCAAGGCCAGCCTGCACTACATAATGAATTCAAGGCCAACCTGAAATGCATAGCAAGATGATGTTTCAAAAAAAAAATGTACAGACTTTTTTCAGGGGGAAAGGAGATACTGGGGAGTTAAACCCAGGACCTTTACCTTAAGGTACTTCCATACCCTTATTTTTTTTCTGAGACAGAGTCTTGCTAAATTGCTCAGGCTGGGCTGGGATTTGTGATGCCCCTGCATCCATCTCCTAATGTGTTGGAGTGTGCCACCACTATGGCTTTCTTAGTTTTCCTAGTCTCTGCTAAGAGGACTGAGGCTGCACGGCTGTTTGCCAGAACCAGCAGTCAGTGGCAAGCTGGAACCTGTTCTATGGCTGGATTCCATCTCCCTCCATCAGGATCAGCCTATCCCGCCACCTCGGGATCTGGCAATGCCACCAGCATTTGACAGATTTTAAAATCTAGAGCAAGAGGGGGCCCAGGATGTAGCTCAGTAGCACAACGCCTGCCTAGCAAGTGCAAGGTTATGAGTTTGATCTCTGGTAAAAAAAAAAAAAAATCTACAGCAAGAAATTTCAGTCTTGAATTCAGTCCATTTAGGAGTGAAACTGGCAGAGCTAAACAAAATAGCTATAATGCTATCAGAAAGCAACAGCACAAAGTGAGTTCAAGGCCAGCCTGAACTGCATAGTGAGACCCTGTCTAAACAAAACAAAACAAAACAAAACCCAGCAACAGCAAAGGCAATGGAGGTATATGCCTGTAATTCTAGCACTTGGAGCCTGAGGCAGGAGCACTACAAGTTGAGCCCAGCCTGGCAATTTAGTGACTTAGTGAGATCTTGCATCAAAATAAAAAATAAAAAGGGCTAAGGACCCTCAGTGTAAGGGTCCTGCTTCAATACCCAGTACCAGAGATTTTTTTTTGTACCAGGCAAGCTGGAACCACTTAGCAACAGTGGTATCACTGTACTTTTAAAGACATTGTGGAGAGCTGCCTGGCAAGCATGAGAGCCCGAGTTAGAGTCCAGGCTGAAAAATAAATAAATAAAGACACTGTGGAAGGTCTGGTATGGTAGAGCATGCCTGTTCCAGTACTCGGGAGGCTGAGTTCCTGGCCATCCTGGGCTACAAAGTGAGTTCAGGGTCGGCCTGAACTGCGGAGAGAGACCCTGTCTCAAAAAGACAAACAAACAAACAAAAAGAAATTGTGGTAGAATATGTATAGCATGACTTTATTTTCAGTGCTGGGGTTATGTTGAGGGCTTCATGTTTGCTAGGCAAGTTCTCCACCACGGAGTTACATCTTTAGTTCACCTTTTAAACCATTTTAAAGTGTGAAATTCAGTGGCATTAAGCACATTTATGATACTGAGCAACAATCGGAACTATCAATTTGCAGCACCTTTTCATCATTCCTAACAGAAACTGTCATCATTAAATAAGAACTCGGCTCCTCTGTCCTAACCCTGGGAACCTCTGTTCCACTTCCTGCTTCCACCGTGCCCCTTCTTGCTACCTCACAGGAGGGAAACCAGGCGCCATTCGACCTTTGTGACTGGCTTTCTTCACTTAGCATAACACAGTACTGCTTGTTGTATCATTCCTTTTTGAGGTTGGTCAACTAGGTTTAAAGCCTCAGTTTTTTTGTTTTGTTTTGTTGTCTTTTTGAGACAGTGTTTTACTATGCAGTTCAGCTGGCCTTGAATTGGTTTTAGCCCAGGCTGGCCTCAAACTCAGTTACTCTCCTCCCTCAGCCTCCTGAGTGCTAGGACTGTAAGCATGTACCACCATACTTGTCTGAAGCCTCAGTTCTTTACTTTGAGAAAGGAATATGCTTCTCAGGGATAGCCTTCAATATCTCACACATATATACAGTATGGGGCTTGTGGGGCTTGTTTTCTTTTTGGTACCAGGGATTGAACTCATGATCTCATGCTTGCCAGGCAGGCGCGTTAGCCACTGAGCTAAATCTCTGGCCCTACAGTATAGTTTTTTTTGCAGTGCTGGGGATTGAAACCAGGGCCTTGTACATGCTAGGTAAGTCATAGACTACTAACTTAGACTACTAAAAGCCCTAAAATATCTTTGTTTGTAAGTATTCATAGTTCTGAGTATCTTTCTGATCCCCCCAACTCCAATCAGAAAATAAATTCACTTATTGATTGAAGGTTAATAGAAGCCTGAAATTCTGCAGGCCGGAGCGCTGCAGGCTTTAATCCCAGAACTCTGGGTGGACTGCAAATTCGAGCCCAGTCTAGAAAATTTAGCATCTTGGTGAGAGTCAGTCTCAAAATAGAAGAATAAAAGGACCAGAGACATAGCTGGAGAGGTAGCATCTGCTAGGCTCCGGGTTCAATCCCCAGTACTGCAAAAGGAAAAAGAAAGCCAGGAAGATTTCTTTTCCTGTAGTATTTCCCTTCCTCACTCTTTAGGCCAAGATCCCTCCAGTGGCCTGCCCCCGTGGCTTTTTAACAGATGTGGCAGGAATTCGGGTAAAGGTGCCCAGCATTTGGCCAACTGCTCTTCACCACCACTGCCCCACTTTGTACGCCTCAGGCCGCAAGCTTATGCTATTTCAATCTCATAACCCATTTTATATGTGAGAAGCTGATGTTCCCAACTAGAGAAATTTAGATAAAAATAAAAGTAAAATCAATGTAGACTTTAAACAAGAACTTAAGCAGTTTGCTAAAGTTCACCTCCTTAATAAGACTGGATTTAGAAGCCAGGGCTGGTAATGTGGTGCTTACCTAGCACATTCAAGGCCCTGGGTCAAGCAACACAGAGCCTGGACTCTTGCTCTGGCCTTTTGGCTCAAAGACCTTGTTCTCAGTAAACGTGCATAAGTGACTTGGAAAGACATGATCTGGAGCAGAGTGTCATGAAGGATAGAACCATGTGACCTAGGCAAACCTGGTCAGTCTAAAGGAATATTAAGAAAAACACAGGGCTGGGGATGTCAGTCAGTGATACAACACCTGCCAAACTTGGGCCAGGCATGGTGGCACACACCTATAATCTCTGTCCCCATACTCAGAGGCTGAGGCAGAAGGATCATATGTTCCAGGTCAGCTTGAGCTACACAGTAAATTCAGGGCTGACCTGGTTGACACAGCAAGACCTTGTCTAGCAAGGCCTTGTCTCAAAAAAACAAAACCAAACCAGAAGAATGCTAACTTGATAGTTTTTTGTTGTTGTTTTCTGTTTTATTTTTTATTTTTGGTACTGGGAATCAAACTCCCGACTTTGCTGACTTGAAACCAGTTCCTCCAGGCCAGGGGATGAGGGGGACACCAGAGGAGGTAGGTATGGGGTGTTCTTCCGGTGTTCATTGTGCTGCCCCCCAGGGAACTGCTCCGCTGGGCCCTCTTTGGCATGCGGGCCACCGGCCACGTGCTGCTCGGCACCTCCTGCTATGTGGAGCAGCTCCTGGACGTCACCACCACTGAGGAGGTGCAGCCTGCCCAGGCCTCTTCTCTCCTCTCGGCTGGCCTGAAGCTTCTGCCTTGAGGACCAGGGACTGAGCTGTGCACAAGCTGGAGCTGGAGAGCTTCTTGCCTTCCTGAGCCTCATTCCTCTCAGCACAGGAGCACACCAAGCAGGGAGGATGACCCAGGAGCCATTGCAGGACAGCCTCCTGCCCAGGCAGCTCAGCTCACCACCCAGGTCACCCAGGAGGTGGCTGCCGTCCCTCCTCAGCCATCAGTCATCACCCACCCCAGGACACTGCAGCAGCATGAACCACCCAGCCCACTGAGGCATCACATCCCAGTTCAAAATACACCTTTCATTCGACACACCTATGCCTGTGTTCTTTGGGGAGAGGTGGGTTCTGCTGGAAGGTTAGAAGGGGCAAGCAAAGGAAGAGGAATGAGCTGTCCAGCAACCCTCCCTGATGTGCTGACACAGGAGACAGACCTTGGTGACTTCAGCAGTCTACTGAATTTGTACCCTGAGCAGGCCATATAATCAACGGAAGTGCCAATCTCCAAATGACATTTCCCGGTCAGAATAGCTTCAGCACAGCGGGGGGATGAAGTCACTCCGTATTCCGCAGTGTCATATGTTGTTATACCCTCTTCGGGTTAGGCCAGGGAGTTCTAGGAAGTATAAGGGCACCACTTTCACTAAAGCCTGCCCTCACTTGCCTTGCACATTCAAAACACCCACAGCTTTCAACTCAAGCTGTGATCAGTGGCAGAGCATTTGCCTAGCATGGGGGAAAGTCTGGGTTCCATCAGCAAAAGCCCCAAAACAGTGAACCAGTTGGCAGGTAGCTCCAAAGAGGATTACATCTCATCAGTGTAAGCTGACAGCATCAACTTCAGGCAGTAACATACAACAAGCATGAAAGTCTGTGACTCTCAGGCATGATAGGGCACACCTGTAATTCCAGCACTTGGAAGGCTGAGTTTGAGGCCAGCCTGGGCCACATGGTGAGTTCAAGGCCAGCCTACACTGCACAGCAAGACCCTGTCACAAAACAAAAAGGGCTGGAGATTTAGCTCAGCAGCATAAGCGCCTGCCTGGCAAGTGCAAGGTTGTGATTTCGATCCGTGGTACCAGCAAGATCAAAAAAAGAAAGCAAGCCTGTGATTCTCAAGATTCAAAAACTGTGTCATGCCATAACCCTTGCTATAAAGCCTATTTGGATTTAGCAAATACTAAGACAAAGGGTCAGGTTGCCCAAGCTCGCCTGGAAAGCTGTTGCTGGACATGCCCCACGCCCCATGCAGGAAGCACTTGAAACTCAGAAGGGCATGTTGTGCTGCGGCTGCTCAGCTCTGGGGTGGGTCTTCTGGCAGGGAGACTCATGGTCTCCACCGACTGGAAGCCACTCCAGTGCCCCCTACTCCTCCTGTGGCACTATGAACAGTGGGCACATGCTAGTGTCTGTCCTCAGCTGCACTCCTCATAAGACCAAGGATTTCTCAAGTCTTGAGCAATTTGTTAGCTGTTGTCTCTTGGACCTAACCCTCTCAGGCAGGGGAAAGTTATTTCTCCCTCTATTTCCGTGAGCTTGGAGTCCAGGGAGTTAACACTGTGAGAAGTGAAGGGGAAAGTGTGGGTCTGAGGAAGCTGGAGCTCAGAATGGAGAGCCAAAGATACGGGGTGCCTGAGGAGGGCCGGCCGAGCTGCTGGGCAACGGCATCCCTGGGCTGGCGCTGCCTGTGGAGCAGCGTTTGCAGTGCACAAGGTGGGCTAGGAAGCAGCTCCTCGGCCTCCGACGCGCCTTAGTCCTCGCTCTAACTGCGGCGGGAGTGTGAAGAGTTTCAGAAGGTTCTAGGTACTGAGGGGCCGAGACAGTCATCCCCCGATGGACCCATGAGGAAAAAGCTGCAGGCAGTTTGGCAGATTTCTTGCCAGTCCTTGTCTAGACAGACAGGGCCTTGCTGTGTGGTTCAGGGCTGGCCGCAAGCTTTCAGGGACCCTCTCGCTCAGCCTCCCAAGTACTGGCATGACAGGCATGTGTACCACACTCAGCCTATACATATATTTGTTTTATTTACTTTTAATTTACTTAATTTAATTTTACTTTTTAATTATTTTAATTTTATGAGCTTTATTATATTAAACAATAAGTTCTTTTTCATTTTAAAGAGAATAAAAGTAGAGCAGAGTAAAACAATTGTCTCTTGTTCTTTTTTTTTTTTTTTTGTCTTTTTCATTTTTATCGGTACTGGGGATGGAACTCACGACTGCCTGCTAGCAAGGCAGGTACTTATGCCGCTGAGCTAAATCCCCAGCCCCTGAGTTCTTTTTTTTAATCCATTTTATTTCAAGAAAAAAACAAAATTTCAAAACACATCAATCAGGGAAACAGTAAGTTCTTAACAGGACAAAAATCACAAAAATAAAATGCTGAATGTTTAGCATATTGAATTTTATAAAAAAGCATCAAAAATTTCAACACTTTTTTGGTGCTGCACACACACACACACACACACACACACACACACACATTTTTTCAGTACTGGGGACTGAACTCAAGACCTCGTGCTTGCCAGGCAGGCGAGTATGCCGCTGAGATAAATCCCCAGCCCTGGTGCTGCACATATTTTTAAAACATCTATTATTTAAACCTATGTTTTTTGTACTGGGAACTGAACTCAGGACCCTGCACATACCAGGCCATTGCTTATGCCCCTGAGCTATATCCCTGACCCCTCAGCTCTGTCTTTGTTTTGTTGTGTATATCTATGTCTTTATTATTTGTGGTACTGAGAACAAACCCAGGACCATAGGCTGAGCTGCCCTTCAGCCCTTTATTTTTTATTTTGAAATAGCATCTCACTAAGTTGTTAAATTGCTCAGGCTTTAAAAAAAAATTTAAAAACTGCCCAGGCTAGACTTGAACTTGTGATCTCCTTGCTTCAGTTTCCCAGAGTTCTAGGATAAAGCATTTTAATTTTTATTTTTTAGAAGCGTTAGTGATTGACACCAAGGCCTCAAACATCCTAAGCACACAATTATCAGTGGGCTTCACCTCCAGTCAAATCTGTGATTTTTAAGAAACTGCTTAGTGTTGGGCCGGGTTGTGGCTTAGTGTGGTAGATTGCTTTCCTTGCATGTGTGAGGCCTGGTGCCATCCTCAGCACTGAAAAAATTCATTATGATTATAATTTACATACAACAAAATTTTAACCATGCTTAAGTTCACATCTCTGCTCTACGTTGGCTTCCAGGGGAGTTTCGATTTGTTCTTTACCATGCAGCAGCACCCTCGCCCCCCTACCTCCTAGAAGCCTCTCTCCCGACCTCACCTTTGTTCCTCTGTGCCCTTTCACCCTTTCAGATGGGTTGTCACACACTATTCTGTCAACTCCCAGAATCTCTCTCCGGAGCCTGAGCCTTTCACAAGGGCCTGGCAGATAATCTCCACCTGGCGTTTTCCAGGTTTGGTCTTAAGTCGTCCAACCAGAGAAAATGGCTCAAAGGCTCCAGTCCCTCAATTTCCCCAAAACGCAGGTGCGATCCCGCGCTTTACCCTGAAGGCCACAGGCCAGGTCCCACATCCTCCCGGCTCTGAGCCCCGCCTGCTCCGCATTCCGATTGACAGTCATCTTGACCAATCAGCATGCGAGCGGGGACCGGGAGGCTGGACGCGCAAGTGCAGATCGTCTCCCGGGAAACGGGCGCGCTCATGGCGTGGCACAGGGGTGCGGGTGGCTGGCGCCTGTGGCGGGGCGCCCATCGGCCGCCCGGGGACGCAGGATTCGCCACCGGGGCCGGGTGACTGCGCGCCCCACGTTTGCGTGGGAGGAAGCTGGGAGGGAGCGGGGCCTGGGTCTAGGTCTAAGCTTGGCCCAGACACCCTGACGCTTGTCCTTCGGCTTCCAGGCTTCTGTCTCAGCACCGAGGCGGCCGCGAGGCGCTGTTGCTGGAGCTGCGCGCGGCCTTGCTGGAGCGCAGAGGTGAGGGTCCCGGCCCGGGCCTCTCACCATGGCTGACTCCTGCGGCGGTAGCGCCGTTTGCTGATTGCTAGACGCATAGAGGCCCTGTGCACGGCTGCCATGTGGCTTTGGGAAAATGAGCTTTGAGCTCAGTGTGCATTTTCTTTTTTGTTCTTTTGAGACGGTGTCTCCTATGCAGTTCAGGCTGGCCTTGAATTCACTTCGTAGCCCGGGCTGGTCGAATTTGCAACAATCCTCCTGCCACAGCCTCATGAGTGTTGGGATTACAGATGTGGCCTGCCATGCCCGGCCTCGGTGTGCATTTAGTGACTTGCTCATTTTTCTGCACCATTTGTTGAGCGAGTATTTTCTAGGCGGGCTGCACAGTGCTGGAAGGGACAAATAGAGTTCCTGTCCTCAGGCCAACATTCTAGTGAGATTAATGTTCCGATTACTGAGAAAATAAGTCACTAGTCATCAGTGTTCTGATTAAGCTCAGGTTGTTAGAATGGGGTCTACTCCTGGGCAGATGTTATACTAGAGCCAGGATTGTGACAGGGACAGAGGAAACAGCAAGTGCAAAGGCCCTGTGTGGTAGTGAGCTTGGTATATATGAAGTGGTGTCCACTCATGTCAGAGTCATTGTGGGACACATGTTAAGATGAGAAGGTCAACTTTGAAGTCCTGGATACAGGTTTGCCAGGGTTTTTGCTGATGGCCATGCAATATTGTGTTTCAGGACCTCTAGTGACGCTGAACAAGCCACAGGGTCTGCCGGTGACAGGTACGGGCAGCAGTGAGGGCAGCAGCACAGGTTTTGGGGGCCTCAGAGGGAATGGTGAACAGGCCTTGTCCTCTGGAAGTGACCCAGCCTTTGCCCTCTGGTTTTCCAGGAAAACCAGGAGAGCTGACTTTGCTGTCCGTGTTGCCAGAGCTGAGCCAGGCCCTGGGGCTCAGGCAGCAGGAGCTGCAGGTTGTCCGAGCACCTGGGAAGTGAGTGCTGGGGGCTCGTCTTTGACAGGTGATGGGCTGTCTGGCAGATGCTCCACAGCTGGCGGCCATCATGTAGGCTTGTAGGCTTTTGGCTCCAGCTTCCTGGGGCCAGAGAGAATGAGCAGCACCTGGAGCCATACAGTCTCGGGCCTTGTGTATAGCAGGCTTGGATTGTAGTCCCAGTGGTTCTGTTGGGCTGCGTGCAGGTCTGTGCGCCTTCCTAGGAACTTGGTAAGCCTATGGGACTGACTTGTCTCTTTTCCAGGGAGACTTCTGGGCTTGTGCTCCTCTCCAGTTGTCCCCAGACAGCGAGCCGCCTCCGGAAGTTCTTCATCCAGTCGAGGAGAGCTCACAGACCCACAGCCACCTACTGGTGAGCATGGCTGGGGGGCTCCTGGGACAGTGGGGTGGTCTCCAAGACCACTTTGAGACTCTTCTGCCCCTTTCCCAGGGCTGTCACCAACGGGATCCCAGCTGCTTCTGCGGGGCAGATCCGCGCAGCACTGACATTACAGCACACCGACGGTGTCAATGTCGTGAGTTGGGGTCAGTGGGGAAGATGCGGGTCCCTCCAGGTACACCACCCTCCATGGGCAGGTGAGCAGCTCTGCCTGGGTGTGACTGAGTCCGCAGGGAGTGGACAGAGCTGGAGTGCCTTGCTGTGTATGTGAAGCATACTCATTTTTGGGTCATTTATAGGTGGTTCCAGTGAAGTCCCCATCCCGAAGGGACATCCTGGAGGGTGTCAAGAGGACCCTCAGCCACTTTCGTGTAATGGCCACAGGCTTTGGCTGCGCCCTGATCCAGCTGCAGCCCCTCACAGGTGGGTCTGGAGCCCCAGGCAGCCTTTAGAACACTTGGGTGAGGGGCAGAGTGGGCAAGTGACTCAACGGTCGTGGAAGCATCTGAGGGGCCCCACCGGGGTGTGGCTGGGAGGAGGCCCATCACCGTGCAGGAAGAGTGGCTCCATCCCTGGCAGCCTCCACAGTGCAAGGCTGTGGCCGCAGGCTAGTGGTTGGCACCCCTTGCTGGTCCTGGCCTGCTCCCCACCCCTCTGGAGGCCGAGCTGCCACCTACGTCCCTGTGACCCAGGGACAGGGCCTGTTTCCCCCAGGGAGGAAAGGCGACACTATCACCTGTCCTGTCTCTCCTGTCACCCAGCGTTCCCTAGTCAGCTGCAGGTACACATGATGTTACAGCTCTGTCCTGTGCTTGGGGACCACACCTATTCTGCTCGTGTGGGCACTGTCCTGGGCCAGCGCTTCCTGTTGTCTGTGGAGAGCACAAAGCCTCAAAGACAGGTATCCAAGGCCACTTGCCTGTCCCTCCAGGGGCAGGGCTGGATGGGCTGTGGGGCGAGGGTGGCTGGCACCTGTGGACCGGCTGTGCAGCTGGGGATTGGGAGGGGCCCTTTCAAGTCCAAGTTCTCTCTGGATCCCTCTCTTGCTGTGGCTTGGGCAGATGACCACTCAGGCCTCATGCGGCCCATCAGCTCAGTCAGGGAGTTGAAGCCTGCCAGGCTGAGTCTGTTTGGGACAATGAACAAAAGAGGTTATAGTAGGGTACCCAGCACCCTGTCTTAGCATGTCGGTGGTGCCCTAGTGTGAAGCTAGGGGTGGGGTAGGTACAGGCTTTGCCCAGCCCTTCACACAAGAACTGGGGCTGTGGCTGTCCAGCCAGGTGGGGGCAGTGGCAGGGGCCTGCGCAGAGGGCTTCCAGAAATCCCTTCTTCCACTTGCTTTCAGACAGAGACTCTGGGCTGGGAGGACTTGCAGGGTAGGGTTGAGTTGTGTCCCTTGGTGAGATGACCTGACAAACCCCTTACCATGCCCACCACAGTGAGGATGTGTGGGCAGGCAGGCAGGCAGGCGGCTGAATGCCACTCAGCCGTGGAGCAGGGACAGGAGCCAGGCAGAGGCGGCAAGTGCGCACTGCCTGGAGCTGGCATAGCCCAGTGCTCGTTTGTCCCACCCAGGCCCTGGATGACGCCCTGCTCAGACGCCTCCACCTGACCCCTGCCCAGGCTGCACAGCTGCCCTTGCACCTGCACCTGTACCAGATGTTCCTCCCTGGCAGCAGGCCTACCGATGCACCCATCGAGCTGCGGGCACCCCTACCCCAGTATTTCTCCAGGACCCTGCAGGGGCTGGGGTTCTGCCAGCAACAGGCTCCCTCTGCTGCTGCCCCCAGAGGGCAGCAGAGGGAGGCCTGACTGGACCCACGGAGATGGGGTCGCTGTCAGCTGCTCGGACATCCCAGCTGTGTGTTTAGGCAAACCTGAGAGCAGATCTTGGGATGTCAGGCAGGTGACTATTCTCTGGACTAGAAATAATAAAAATTCTGAGCTGGTGGGAATGAGGTGTGGTTGACTGTATTGTTTGAGACGGGCTCACACTGGCAGTCATGCCTTCCGATTCCTACTGAGCTCCTCCTCCAGCTGGCCTCACCCTGGCATCCATGCCTTCCGCTTCTTATGGAGCTGTGTCCTAGCCCTTCTTCACCATGTTTGAATGTAGGGCATTAAGTACACTTAAATCGCCATGTGCTTAATATAATACGTGACCATCACCTCTTCAGATCTCATTTTGTAAAACTTAAAACTCTATCCATGAAACACTACTGGCACGTCCCCCATTCCTCTTCCAGTAGCCACCATTCTTCTTTACATCTCTGTGAAATTGGCTAGTACCTGATCTGCACTGTTAGATCTTTTAAAGAGTCTGGTGACACAGGCCTGTAACCCTAGCACTTGAGAAGCTCAGATAGGAGGGTCAATGTGAGTTGGAGATAAGCCTGGGCTACCTAGTGAGTTCAGGGCCAGACTGCAGTACAAAGTGAGACTTTGTCTCAAAACACCAAAAGATCACTTTGACTTTTGTGCCGTTTCTTAACAGGCACACGAGAATCCCACGTGAAAGATGCTCTTCCTTCGAGGGCCGAAGGTAGGGAGGGAGAGGTGGATATAAAGGAATTAAGGTGCTATGTACATGTACCAGCTCCCCACAGTAAAAGTGATCACTATGTATCACAAACATACTAATATTTAAAGACCAGAAGACAAAAGGGTGCTCCTTCTACACCATCAAGGCATACCGTCTTTATCCTCAAGGATTTGAAGTCAAAACCCAGAGAACTTCTCTTTTTGGAAGACTTCACTATGCAGTTTAGGCTTGCTCTGAACTCGCTTTGTAGTCCAGGCTGGACTCAAATTCACAGTGATCCTCCTGCCTCAGCCTCCAAATAACTGGGATTACAGACATGTACCACCATGCCCGGCAACCCAGAGAATTCTTCATAGACCTTGAAATAGACCTATGTAGTGCAGGCTGGCCTCCAAGCTGTGGTGAGCTTCCTGCCTCAGCCACCATGCTTGGCTAAACTAATTTTTTAAATAAAAATAAAGCTGGAAAAACCAGGTATGGTGGTGCATGCCTATAATCCCAGCACTCGGGAGGCTGAGGCAGGCAGATCACCACAAAGTTCAAGGCTAGCCCGTACTACAGAGTGAGAGCCTGTCTCAAACAAAACAAAACAAAACAAAAACACCACCTTGCCCTTGAGAAGTAACAGTTTACAACAGTGGTCCAAGGCAATCCTTTCTTCTACAAGTGCTTATAATCTTACTGGTTGATTGTAATTCAACCCGCATTACGGCCACCCCTCATGACTTTGCTCCATAAACCTTCCTAGCTGGCAACCCCTTTGGCACTCCTGCCTCTCGGGAGCCAGTCCTATTTATTCCCCAATACATTTCCCTACTCTTAAAAAGAAAAAAAGCTGGACATAGTGGCTCACAGCTGTAATTCTAGCACTCTTGGAGTCCAGCTGAGCACCGTAGAGGGACTCTGTTGATGGGATGGAGGTGCAGAGGCTCTGGGTTAAATCCACAGCGGCACAGACAGTAAGATAAAAATGATAAAGTCCTGTCTTTTTAGACTGCCCATGTAAGTTAGTTGCCTCACAAATTAGTTATTCTCTGTCCAACCTAGCATTATAAGTGACTAATCCCTCTATGGGTCTTCATTTATGAGGAGCTTATGCTAAATAAATTTGTATCTTTTTCTATTAATATGTCTCACATAAATTTTCGGGGGGGTCATGACCTCGCATTTGCCAAGCAGGCACTTATGCCACTGAGCTAAATCCCCAGCCCTCTCTCACATAATTTAATTTCAGACCCACCAGGACTGTATGAGGATGGATTAGAATTGTTCCATCCCTACACTGCGTCTCATCTCGTCTGACTTTTTTGGGGAGGGCTTAGGGGTACTGCTCTCTGAACCAGGCCTCATACTGAGCTACATCCCAGCCCCACCCCTTTTGAAACAGTTTCACTAAGTCACCTAGGTGAGAGTCAAATTTGAAATCCTGCTGCCTCAGCCTCCAGCATGCTGGAATTACAGGCACGTACCATCACACCCAGCTGCTTCTGACTCTAATAAGGACACTTGTTGGGTTTGGGCCCACCCAGAGGATCCCAGACGCTCTCATCTCATCAGTTTAGCTGTTCCTGCACAACCCCACCCAAGCACACGCACCAGACACATTTTAGGGGGCACGGCTCCACCACTGCCACCAGGAGATACTGGACTTTGCAACAAGGGTGTGGCTTGGAGGTTTCAGTTTTAGGGGATTTGGACTCCCCCCAGAGAAAAGGAGGACCTGAGTCCTCAGGAGGAACACTGGGTTCAGGCAAGGTGACCCTGTGTTCTGTTCCAGGGCCTGTCATCCTGCTGGTCTGGCTTGTCCCCTGGAACTCCTAGTGGGCAGCAGAAGTGGCCAGGCTTCCGCTCACTGCCACAGGTCTTGGGCAAGCCGAGCTCTCCAGACTCCATCATCCAGACCCGCTTCTCCTGCTGGGGACTCCCTCCTCTGCTCTTGTCCTGGCTGGGCCTTGAGAGAGAGGCTTTGCTCCCATCCCTCCTCCACGCAGGGAGCCAACCCACAATGTTCCACTTGCTCCTTTTTATTTGGTGCTGGGTTCAGACCAGGTTCAGGGTCAGAGCGGGGGTTTTTCCATCTCTGCATCCCCAGTGGCCCCCTTGGGCCCTGGTGGGGATTGTGGGAGGCTCAGCCTCTTTAGACCGTGTGTCTCGGCCTTGGGCTTGGGCTTGTCGCAGGGTCTGGCCTTGAACTTGCCCTTGGCCTTGACTTTCCTAGGGGCGCTGGGAAGAGCTGCGGCATCAAAGAACACAGAGTGCATGGCACTTCCAGGACGGGACCCTTGAGGGCACTGGGGAGCAACAGCCTCCGTTGGAGAGGAGAGAAAAAGGGAGAGCATCAGGGATCTGTCTAAAGGGGAGTCCTGGGCTGCCCTCCCTCTGCACACTAACCCGACCCCTGGCACTCAATGCCTGTTTGAGGCCCACCTTTTTCAGCTTTGGGATGCCTGCTGCCAGCTTGAAAGCAGGGTTGGGTGGGAGGCAAATAAAAACCTTGGCTGTAGGCAGAGTCATCAGGGCCTTGCCTGTGGACGACAGGGCCTTGGAGCCCACCAGCGGGCACAGCTGCGTCTGCGGCCCCGCGCGAGGGGCTGCAGTGCAGGGGGAGGCGGCAGCCAGGCCTTGGGCTGGAGGATGGGGAAGGAGGGAGGGGCTGTGGAGCAAGGGAGGTGTGAGCGTGGCAGGGCCAGGTCACACTGTCCCCCGGCCTGGGTGGAGAGTGGATGGGAGCAGGGCACAGGGCCAACAGACCTGGCTCTGTGTCCTGGCTCTGCCCCTTCTGAGCTCCGCAGCCTCGGGCAGCTTCCTTACATTTCCTGCTACCTGGGCTGGAAAGTGGGGGACAGCACCTGTCTCACTAGGCTGCTGTGGGGACAGAGGAGCTGGGCCCAGTGCTGTGAGAGACTTTTCCTGCCACCACCGGCCATTCTGCCTAGAGGCAAAGGCACAATATACCCAGTTTGGGACCATGGCTCTCGCTGGCAGCCCTGTGACACCTGGCAGGTGGCTGCTCTGAGGGGACAATACTTACAGGACTGGGTATCTATCAAGAAAATCTGATGAGCCACAGCTGTGTCTTGTGTGGGGCTCCAGCTGGCTCAGAGGGAACTGGAGGGCAGCAGGGTCACTGTGGGACCCTGGGCTGCACGGGGGTGAGGGTCTTCAGGCGCAAAGGCAGTCTGGTCTGCTGGGGGCTGGGGCAGCGCAGGGTTGTGGCTCCTTTTGCCTTGCCTTTCTTCCCTTTTCCGGGGACTGAGGTAGTGGCAGCGGGGGCCAGTTTTTCCATGTGCTCCTGGCTCTCGGCCCCAGTGACTTTCCTAGACGCTGACCTGTGGGCAGGGGTCCCCGGGTCCTTGCCTTCCCCAGAGCCCCGCTGGATCAGCAGCCGAGGAAGTGCAGGGCGGATCCCCGTCCGTCGGTGACTCACGGCTGGGGGCCTCTTGATGGTGGAGCCCTCCACCAGGAGTCGGATGCCCACGTACTGCGGCACCTCCACTGCAGGCTGTGGGCCAGAAGGGGAGACAAGGCCACTGAGGTGGTGTCCAGGACCCTTAGCCCAGGGGTGCTGGGGCCGAGGCGGCATTTCTGAGCCTCTGATTGCAATCAGAAAGCCCACCTCTATCTGCCAGGGGTCTCTCTGGGTGTTCCGAGTCACAGAGCCCTATGGTGCCCCCCTCCCAGGGGATGTGTCTATGCTTATCCTCCAAAGCCACTGAGGGACAGCTGCCTGAGCTGCACCTTGGATTCCACAGGGGGCGCCAGTGATGACAACCATGCAGCAGGGAACCCAGGCCTGCTCAGTCAGGGAGCAGAGACTCCCTCCCAGGTTCAAAGGCAGCAGAGGGGTCAGGCATAGGGCACACACCTGCAGCCCTGGCTACCCAAGAGGCTGAGGTGAGGAATGGCCGGGCAGCCAACTCCTGGAATCTGTCCAAATACCAGCATCACTAGGCAGAGCCACCAGAGCTGCTGGGCAGCCCAGAGGACAGGAATGGCACCCTTGCAGAGCCTCCTTTAATGACCATAAAATAGCGTAACTAGAGATTGATTTGTTTTTTTATTTTTTGGTGGCACTGGAGATTGAACCTGGGTCCTTGAAATGAGTTCTCCCTCTTTATAGAATTTTGAGGCAGGGACTTCCGGGAGAACATGGCGGACAGATAACAGCAACTACCGGAGGCTCTCTGAAAGACTCGGCTCAGAAGCCAGGAATGGTGCAGACTAAGGAGACATAAGCAGGTGGAGATATGCTCTGCTGACTCAGGAACGAACTGGGCTGAGAGAAACCAACTTGGAATGAGTCCTGGCGCTAAAACAGGAACAGAAAAGCCTCGGTGTGGAGGCTGGACCCCGCGCCATTGTAAGCCGCGATTTGGGTTTCCTGCCGCGCGGCGGCTGGCTGCCTCTACAGTGGCTCGGCAAGGAGAGAGACGCGCAGAAGCTGAGAACGGCAATCTGCGAATGGCAGGGAGGCGTGCACTGACTTGTGGTGAGGTGAGTGAGAGAAACTGACACTCTACCACAGTTTGACTCCAGCAGAGGACTTTCTGGGCCCGAGCAGTCCTGCGGGAGCAGGGCGCGGTGGCGACTCCAGCCACACATCCCCCTCTCGGGCGGGATTGGTGAAAAGTGCCTGGCCTGCGTGACGCTGCCGGCGGACCTGGTAGGCTGTCCCAACCCAGATCCCAGAGCCTGACAGTGGCCGAGAGGGGAGACGCATAGGCTGCCTGGTCCGTAACTCCCTGGTGCGCAGCGGTGAGCGGGAACACCTAACTGGCGCAATTCGATCAGGCTGTGGCTGACTGGGAGAGAAGCTGGGCCTCTTATATAAGCTTGCATATATAAGGAACAGAGAAGAAGAGGCAGCATGGGAAGAGGCAGCAACAAGAAAGGCTCCTCGGCCCCCAATTCTGAGAATCAGGCAATAGCAGACACCGCACCAATACACATAAGGCGCCATATAGAGAGCCTCATAGACCAATTCAGGAATGAAGTTATCAACGACCTGAAGCTAGAAGTATGCAGAATAGTTAGAGAAATGCTAAGTACCACCCAAGAAAAAACAGGTGGTGGAATGGAAGAACAGAAAAAAAGGGGAGAATTGTTTGATGGAGAAAACAGAGAAAGCATAGAATACGTGAAGCAGGTTCAAAGGGACTACCAAGATACTAAGAAGTCTATCGAAGACTGGCATAACAGCTTGAAAGAAACTAAGGACAGACTATCTGAACTGGAGGGCAGACTTGTAATATGGGAGAATGAAATGAAAAACTTCTTAAAAATAACAAAGAAACAAACAGCAATAATACAAAGACAAGAAGATGATAAGAGGAGCCATAACTTAAGGATTAAGAACATAAAAGAAGAAGTAGGGACACAAACAAGTGAACTACAAAAGCTACTCACAGAAATAATCCAGGAGAATTTTCCTAATTTAGCAAAAGGTAAAGATACTCAGATGTATGAGGCATACAGGACCCCAGCTACCTACAATCCAAACAGAGCAACACCCAGGCATATAATAATAAAAATTCCAGAAATTCAATACAAGAACAGAATATTAAAAGCTGTAAGAGACAAGAAACAGACCACTTACAAGGGAACACCCATCAGAATTACAGCAGATTTCTCTGCACAAACCATCAAATCACGAAGAGCGTGGGGGGAAATAATTCAAGCTTTGAAAGATAATAATCTCCAGCCAAGATTGAGATATCCTGCACAACTGTCCCTGGAAATTGATGGAAAAACAAGGTGCTTCCAGGATAAAGAGGAACTGGGGGAATTTGCAACCACCAATTCAACTCTACAGAGAGTATTGCAGGATATTCTAAAAAAAGAAAAATACAAAGAATCCAGAAATAATGGCAGAGAGGCCACAACGAATGGAGCAGAGAACAAAATGAAGAAGACAAACTGACAGCTACTGACAGAAAAAGAGCTCAACAGAAATGAGGCAGAGAAGATTGGATGACAGGAACAGCTATTTTGGAGAAAATGACATCTTAATAGGTAATACTGATTTAGTATCATCTTGTTTTGAAGTCTCATCTAGCTTTTGTCCTTCTGTCTCCAATGGTCTAAATAGGTTGTATCTTATTGGATTTTATTATGTACAATAGTATAAGCAAAAACCTTTTAAAGACAAGGAGATTATTCAGAAACCATTGTTCATTTTCTGTTGGTCGATTCTAAATACTCTGTAATGCTGTCATTCTCTTGAATGGTTTTACATTGTTTTGATATACTTAATGCTACAGTATACGAAGTTGTACTCAAGGATTTCAAAGAAAGAGACAATATGGTAACTACTTTTAGGTTAGGATTATCTGGTGGTGAAACACTATTCTGCTTAAATGGTTATATTTTGATCTGCGCTGTTTCGTTGTTATGCCCTCTTTTATCTCAATCTCCACTCCATTATTTACTTTTTTATCTTTATCCTTTTAATTAAAGGAAAAAAAAATAGCAGGATATATTATAGTAACCCACTTTGACTTTTCATTACCTTGATTTAAAGCCCTGTATTACTCTCACCATCTGGTTTTTAACTGATGTTCCCCTATTCTGTTTTGCTGGATAGTATCAGGTTCGAAAGTTTAGGCATCAGCTGTGAAGATAATGAGATTCATTATGACGCCCATTCTTGTTGACTTTTATCTACTTTTGAAGACCTACAATGTCTCCAATGTTTTGGTTTTGTCAGTTTTATTCTTTACTGTTTTGTTCAATTGTATTATAACTAACGATATAGGCAATTCTATTAGAGATAGCGGGAGGCATTATGGTAACCATTGTTGATCACCTTGTATTATGTTTTTACATTATCTATTATGTCCACCCTTTTGACTTGACCGATTCTGTTCTGTTATGTCACATTTGGTTTTACTCTCTTCCAAAAAAGTAATAAGAACCGTGGGAGCAATAAAACCCAAAATGTGTAATAGTCATGGTACAAAAGAGAGGAAAAGAAAGTGCTCCAAACTATATAACTGCATGTATATTTAAGTGTATAAGATAGAAAATGATATCACAGAGTTTTATTGGATCAATGAACAGAACTGTTTGCAGTATCATTGATGGAATGTCCACTTTACAAGCTTTAATTTTGTGACTTGAACAATTATTTCTAAGATGACAATATGTAATCCATTAACTAGTGATTTCCTACTGTTCATTTTTTTTCTGTAAATCTGTATAACTTGTACCCTTTCCCTGCTTTTTTTTTCTTTTCTCCTTAAATAAAATTAAAAAAAAAAAAAAAGAATTTTGAGGCAGGGCTCACTAAGTCTCTAATGTGCCTAGGCTGGGCTCAAACTTTCTTTTTTTTTTTTTTTTTTTTTTGTCTTTTTCATTTTTATTGGTACCAGGGATTGAACTCACGACCACCTGCTTGCAAGGCAAGTACTTATGCCGCTGAGCTAAATCTCCAGCCCCTACTTTCAATTCTTCTGTATCGGCTTCCCAGAGTAGCAGACCTACAGACATCCCGTCACCATCTTTAGCTTTTCTTTTTCTCAGATGGGTTCATGCTAAGTTGCCCAGGCTAGACTGGGCATGGTGGCACACGCCTATAACCCCAGCACTCGGGAGGCTGAGGCAGGAAGATCACTATGTATTCGAGGCCAGTCTGGGCTACAAAGTAAGTTTAAGTCCAACTTGAACTGTATTGAAACCCTGTCTCAAAAAAAACAATTAAAAAAAAATTGCTCAGGCTGACCTTGAATTTGCCACCCTCCTGGATTAAAGGGAAGGTAGGGAATTGGAAATGAAAGAAGAAAGAAAGGAAGGAAGGAAGAGAGAGAGAGAGAGAGAGAGAGAGAGAGAGAGAGAGAGAAAGAAAGAAAGAAAGAAAGAAAGAAAGAAAGAAAGAAAGAAAGAAAGAAAAAAAACAAGTTATAGCATGTACAGGTGCAATTTCTCCCTCTTTTTATTTTTTTGTCTTTTTCTTTTTTATCGGTACCAGGGATCGAACTCACGACCACACACTTGCAAGGCAGGCCCTTATGCCACTGAGCTAAAGCCCCAGCCCCACAATTTCTCTTGAATGTGATTACTATGTATATCTAAAATGTGCTGATAAAATATGATTTTTAAAAAACTGTCACCCTCTTCTCTCAGCCTCCTGAGTAGCTGGGAGCACTTTACCATTCTAATAAAATAAGTAAGAAGCTGGGTGTGGGGGTGCACACCTGTGATCCTTGCACTCATGAGTCTAAAACAGGAGGATCCTTGGAGTTTAAGGCCAACCTGACTTAGACATTCAGTTCAAGGCCAGTCCAAACTACATAGTGAAATTCTTTCTCAATAAAAAAGAATAATAACTAGAGATTAAAATAATTATGTGTGAATCATGACAAGAAAATGTGTAATATGAACATAGCCAAACCATCAGCCTCATAAAGTATATGGGTTTAGCATCTCTCAAAGCCTCTTGTGTGTGCGTGTAGTTTCTCCTCGGTATAGGAAGGTGGAAATCCAGACCCATGGGGTGTTAGGAGCGGGCTTGGGAGGGGACTCAGACTGGATGAAGATCAGGAGGGGCCCCAGGCAGCTGGGTGGCTTTGTGGGAACACAGGCCTGGGCTCCCCCCTTTCTGTGCTGCTGCTGCTACGGATCCATGACAGGGCCGTACCCCTGTGCACTCAAGGCATGGCCAGCAATAAGGCCAGCGCAGACAAGCCTTGGTCTTGCACCTCCAGAGCTGTGAGCCAGGATGAAGCTCCTATAACTTACCCTGTCTGTGGTGTTAGGTTACAGCAACAGGGAAGGGACCCTTGCACAGAGCTTAACTGCAAAGAGATCTAGTGGCCACTTCTGAAACAGACTCTCACTCTGTAGTTCAGGCGGGCCTTGAACTCACAGTGGTCCTTCCTGCCTCAGCCTCCTGAGTGCTGGGATGACACGGCTACCACTATGCCCAGTGGACAGCCGCCATCTAACCCACCAATTCAGCACCACTGGTTCTGAGACACACTGATGGTGATGGATGTCACGAGAGCTGCCTACCATTGCTTCTAGTGTCTTCACTGAAAATGTTTAACCTGAACTTCATCAAGCAGTCTGACCTAACTTCTTATTCATGAGACATTCTGGTAACAGGAGATCAGAAGACCAAGTTAAACAACACCACAAGAAACTATCAGATAAATCTGGAATGTGGGACAGTTCCACAGAACAAAAAGTCCCTTTCAAGATCCAGACGATGGGAAAAGCGGTGGAGTCACCCTAGATTAAAAGATTAAGGAGACAAAATTGGCAACTCAGGGCGTGAACCCTGACCACCCTGACCTCAAATCTCAGCAGTGAAAGACATTTGGACTTTGGGAAAGTGTGCAATGGGACATCTGCAAAGTGCAGATGCAAAGCACAGTGCTCAGCCCTTAGTGACTTCCCTGCTGTCTGGTCTTGAAGACCTAAATCGCCTTCCTCATTCTGTTTGGATGTTTTATACTATGACGTTTTTTATGAATTCTCTGTATGTGAAGACATGGACGACTGTTTGTAAGAAAACAAGGACAATCTGATGGACAGTGAAGATCTCGGGTCGTCTAGCTTGGAAATTTATCTCTCTTTCGTCCTATTTTGTTCTGTTTTGTTGTGTCTAATTTTACCCCCTTTAAAATAAAAAAAAACAAAGCAAAGTCCTCAAAACAGACATGGTTTCGGGTGGGGGCAGGGCTTCCGACTCACACTCACTGTGCCCAGCTTGAAGCTACTGAGCAGGAATTTGAACCTGAGAAGCCCCTGAATCTATGCTTACACAACCCATGTAGAAGAAACATGGCATCTCTACCTTCCAGACAGGGAAAGGCTGTGCTCTAATGCTTGTGCCCAGTCTGGACCCATGAAGCCCTCTGATTCCCGGGGTGTGGCTGGGAGGGACAGATTCCCTGGAGCACCTAGCTCAGCACCTCACCTGCTTATAAATGAGCTCGAAGGCTCCTGTGTCACAGTTGCGATCCAGCCTGCGGTCGATGACCACGCGAAGAGTGTCAGCTTGCACCCCAGCACAGAGCCGCGCAGTGACAGGCGTGGAGGGTGCCATGGTGGGGCTGGCATTGATCTCAATCAACCAGGGCTGAAAGTCCTCGCCGAACACAAAGTCAGCGCCATAGAGCTCGAAGCTGGCCTTCCGGTCCTGCACGGTGTCCTGTGAGCTCTGCAGTGCGTGGATCACTGCGGCCTTCATGCCTGGCACAATGATGGTAGACCACACGTTCGGGGCTCCCATCTCCTGGAGGTGGGCCTGGAATTTCTGGCTGGACCACATGTTGTCTGGGGGCAGCATGGGGTGCCGGTGGCATGAATTCTCCAGGTGCTTCTGGATGGAGTTGTTGCACAGGTGTACAGAGCTGGGCAGAGAAAAGAGTGGGGTCAGTGCCTGCTGGGAAGGACAGGAGGCCAGGGCCGGGATCCCACACCTTCTTCCCAGCCAGAGGTCTTTCTCCCAGGCTCACATTGAGGGCTCTGACAGGGCTTGTAGGTAAGGAGGGCCATGACAGAGCGGCCTTTGGTGGCCAACTTTTCAACATCTTCACACTGACCAGCAGGGAGGTGCAGGGAGCCCCCTGCCTGGGCCCCTCCAAGGGCACAGGAGACAACAGGACCACCTCATTAGGCTTCATGCCAAAGGGCTGGATGCACCCATTACCTATCCACTTGATAACTGAGAGCTTGTTGGGAGCCACTGAAGCTGGAGGTTGACCACATATGGGGCCAAAGCAAGGCCAGCCCAGAAAAACAGATAGACCAAAACAAGCTGTGTAAACAAGTTGTTCCAGGGGCTGGGGATTTAGCTCAGCGGCATAAGCACCTGCCTTGCAAGCAGGTGGTCGTGAGTTAGATCCCTGGTACCGATAAAAAGTTAAAAAAAAAAAAAAACAAGTTGTTCCAGCACCAAGAAGGCAGGGGCCCAGGCCTGCCAGGCAATGGGTGGCTAGGCAGGGGGCCGAGATTGACATCATCCTTCCCAGTGTATAAATCAAGGTGCTGCAGTAGTGAGCAGTTCCTTTCCTCCCATCAGGAGGATGAGGGCCCCGCCTGACCCCTGCTTTGTCTCTTCCTTATGTTTCTCAGTCTCACCCATCCTTAACCCCTAGAACCTCAGGAGCTGCACTGGGTCTCGGGCATATGGCGCCAGAACACAGACGGGGTAAGAGATTGAGGGTGAGGGCACACTTCTCATGTGCGTGCAATTTAGGGAGAGGAGTGCATTGGTATAGGTCAGTAGTCATCACTGGTGTGTGTTGATATTGGCTTCATCAGGTGTAAAAAAAAGAGGTATACTGATAATATCAGCTGTCTAACTATGGGACAAACTTATCCAAAAGAATTACAAATGTATAAGAAACTGTTCATTGGGGGCTGGGGATTTAGCTCAGCGGCATAAGTGCCTGCCTTCAAGTGTGTGGTCGTGAGTTCGATCCCTGGTACCGATAAAAATGAAAAAGAAAAAAAAAAAAAAAGAAACTGTTCATTGTATGCTTGATTCCAGTGTTGACATCCTTTCCCTGGATCTAGATGAGACAGGGTCTTCATAACCTTAAGCTTCTTTTTTTTTTTTTTTGTCTTTTTCATTTTTATTGGTACCGGGGATCGAACTCACGACCGCCTGCTTTCAAGGCAGGTGTTTATGCCGCTGAGCTAAATCCCCAGCCCCAACCTTAAGCTTCTTGAGACAACCACAATGGAACTGGCTCTAGCCACTGTTTCAGAATCAAGTCCTGAGCAGGGAAAAGTTGGCAGCATGACCACCACCTTATAACCTGAACTGAGCCACTAACTGTCCAGCAAAACCTTCAACTATCTGTCCAAAGTATAGAGGATGGTACCACTGGGCCACTTGATGTAAATTCAGAACTGTTACAAAAGTAAAACTTCCAACAGGGCCTGCAGCAGCCCTATCAAAAAGCAGGGTGTGACGGCTCCCTGAGATGGCACGGCCCTTACAAAATGCTCTTACAAAAGACAATTTCAAATAACCAATACGACAACCACTAGCCTTTAAAAGTTTCAAAAACTTCAACATTAGGCTTTCACTAGCTGACGACAGGCTGCTCCAGCATATCGCTGTCTCACTATGGCTTTGTAGTGGTCTTGGTATCTGTTAACATAAGTTCTCAAACTCCCTTCTTCAAAATTGTTTACTACAGGGGTACTTGTTTCAAATTCACGATTAATGTAACTGAGTTTATTTAGGTCCCTTCTGCTTTCTTAAGTCAATTTTAGTTGTCAATATACAGCTTGATAAATTTTTTGAGTTTGTCTCCCAGAAGAAACTGTAAATTTACATATTTGGGAGGAAATTAAAAATAGCTTAGAGCAAGACTAGGGAAAAATCAAACCAACATACATCTAACTGGCCCTGTACAGACTTTAAAGGGTTATTTAATAGAACTGCTGCTTTCTGGTCCTCTCACAGGCCCCAGGCAGGGGAGGGCACCAAAGCCTCCTGGCATTTGGCCCAGACAAGAAAGGTAAAGAAACAATGTTGCTTATTTCAGCTACAAGGAGAAATCAGGGTTATGGTTCAGTCTACTCTAAACAGAGTTCAAATGTCCCTATATTATTGTACTGCTCAATTGGTTATTCTTCCCTTGACAAACATTTTTTTTGTTTTGTTTTGTTTTGTTTTTTCCGGTATTGGGGATTGAACTCACAATCTTGTACTTGCTAGGCAGGCACTTATGCCTTGAGCTAAATCCCTGACCCCTGACAATAATTGTAAAATCTATACATAAAGAAAGGGTACCTACGGATTTTGGATTGTCTGATACTTATTAGAGAGGTGGGACAGGCTCTGGCCTGCCCGAGCCACCTGGTTTTCCCTATCGCCTGTGCACATGCTTTATACATCAAAAGTTTACACTGCACTGGTGCTCAGATCCCCCGTAACAGTGGGGCTTCCAGCCCAGAGCAGGGGCACCACCTGCACGTCACAGGAGAGCCCAAGGTACCTAAATATAAAATGCAGTTTCCATTTTCTTTATACCTTACCACAAAAACTCTTTATACTATTCAGGTCTAAAAGTAAGCTAAATGTGCTCACAATTTAAATTTCAAAAACAAAAGGGAGAGTTTACCTCATAATAGATTCACTTGGCAGTATATACCATTTAAAATATTTAAATTCTAATAAAGATGTAGCTACCTCAGCAGATATAATCAAATAAATCAAATCTTAAAGAGTCCGTTGGAATGATCTTCATACTGGACAATAAAAGCACCCAGTAAAGGGGCTAGAGATTTAGCTCAGCAGCCTTGCAAACGTGCGTGCGGTCGTGAGTTCGATCCTCAGAACCAATAAAAAAAAAAGAAGCACCCAGTCAAGTGCTAATGTGGGGGTCGAGGGTGTGCTTGTGTTTTTCCAGGAAAAGCTAAATGACCTACCGGGGGCCAGTGTGTGCTGTCTGGCTATATCAGGGGCCTAAACCCAGGAAAGGAGTGATTCTGCCACTCAAGAAGCTGATGCTCAGACCTATGACAGTGATGCCTTGGAGACCATGCATAACCCATAGAAAAGGATGAAGCTAGAATCTGCCTTAATTGATCCAAGATGCCCAGAAGATGGTAACAAAAATTTTTTAAAAGGTTCACATAGATGTGATAGAAGTGCATAGGGGTTCTATGGCAAAAATACGTTATAGAAAAGATTTTGTCCTCCCAAATTCTTTGAGATCTCTGCTAACTGATCTACAACAAATCTGACTAGTCTATTTAAAATTATAAAATCTACAATTATAAAAATTTCATGTAATTCAATTTGGCTAAAATATATTTAAGTACACTTTGATTGTGAAAGATGTTTGTAAATCTGTCTGTGAATCTGTTGGTCTGTTTGTCTAGTCTGTTAAGCTGTTGCTGGAAGTGGCTAAGCTAGTGATTGCACACATGTGTAGCCAACAGCACAAGTACCCGTACAGGAGTGTCCAAGTGGCACAGGGTGCCTGAGAAACGCCCTGAGGGCATGGGGTGCTGCAGGTGACAGGTGTTCCAACCCCGAGGACACGAGGTATAGGAAGCGAGCTAGTTCAGCAAAGGGGCATGAAATAGCCCCCAGGAACTTGGAGAGTTCTTGTGGACACCAGTTCTTGTGGACAACTCCACGTCTGTTTCTGCGTCTGTTTGACTCTGTACAGATCATTTGTCCATTTGTGAACAGCTGTTCTTTTTGAGCTCAGCAATTTTCTTTTTTCTTTTGCATTTATAGACCATTTTATCAAGGCTTATTTGAGTTAGAGAATTACAAAACATGCTTCCACCTGGATTCCTAGTTAGTCAAAATGATGCTAAAGTCAGTTGTGTAAATGTAATGTACATTGTTGATTATCATAACTTGAAAGTCTCTCATTGTTCAAAAATAATGGCTGTGACTCATCTGAACAGCTGACACCGACAGAAGAACCAAGAGGTGCCATAGCTGCTTCCAAGGTGTTCCTGAGCAGACTGAACTGACTTTGACAGATCACAAAAACTGATTGTTTTTAAAACAGGTCTCATCTTAACTTGGTCTTGAATATCCTGCAGAAAATGTACAACTTCTAGAGGTATATCACACAATGCTAAAGTAATATGATATAAAAGAAACTCAAAGCACTAACATCTTTTGGCAATTGCCAGCCACACTGGTGGCTGACTACTGTCACAGATTAATGGACTGTACAGTTCAATTGCAGAATTTAGGGACTTAAAATCTTTGGACTGCACTTAAAATAAAAGATCTACAGAGCTCCCCAACATAGCTCCTCCAGCTTCAACTGTCCACCTATCATGTGCAACAACAAAACAAAAAAGAGGGCTATTTTGGGAGCCACCGAAGCTGGGGATTGACCACATGTGGAGCTAAAGCAAGGCCAGCCCAGAAAAACAGAAAGACCAAAACAAGCTGTGTGCACAAGGTGTCCCAGCACCAGGAAGGCAGGGCCAGGCCTGCCAGGCAATGGGGGGCTAGGCAGGGGCTGAGATTGACATCCTCCTTCCCAGTGTATAGATCAAGGTGCTGCAGTGGTGAGCAGCTCCTGTCCTCCCATCAGGAGGACGAGGGCCCCGCCTGACCCCAGCTGTGTCTTTTCTTTATGCTTCTCATCCTCTCCCCCATCCTTAACCCCTAGAACCTCAGGAGCCGTATTGGGTTGCGGCAAGAGCTAGTTTTCTTTGTTTTAAAGTATGGTGAGTAAAACCCATGAGCTTTACACTGAGTTAAATCCCCAGGTCCTTTATAAGTTTTTACTGTACTTTTTTGGTTTTCTTGGTACGGGAGATTGAACTCACGACTCTGCATTTGCCAGGCAGGTGCTTGCACAGCTGAGCTAAACCCTTGGCCCTCCTGGATTTTTTAAAAAAATGTCTCACTACAGAGTTCTGGCTGGCCTCAAACTCTCTGTGATCTTCCTGCCTCAGCCTCTTGAGTGCTGGGATTACAGGTGTGTGCCACCATGCCTAGCCATTTTTTTTTTTTTTTTTTTTGGTACCAGGTTTGAACTCATGACCTCAAGATTACCAGGCAAGTACTTGAAAGCACTTGAATCACTGAGCTAAATCACTGGCCCATATATATATATATATATATATATATATATATATATACATATATATATATATATATATATATATATATATATATACATATATATACTGAGACAAAGTTGCTGAGTTACTAATTTGCTGAGGTAGGACTGGAAGTTGTGGTCCTGCATCAGCCTCCTGAGTTAAAAGTGTGCACCACCACACCTGACTAAGGGTTACAATGACAACTTGAGTTTTTCTTTTGGCAGTACTAGACATCAATTTCAGGGCCTTACGCATGTTAGGTAAAGCTAAACCACTGAGCCACATTTCCAGCACTGTTCTTTCCACTTCTGTTTTGAGACAAGGCCATGCTAAGTTACCCAGACTGGCCTCAAATTTGCCATCCCCTGCCTCGGCCGCCCAGGTGGCAGGGATTAAGGCATGTGCCACCATACTGGCCAATTATGAGTTCATAGTGCTGCCTCCATTCTTCAGATGTGGAAACGGAGGCCTGAATAGGTTTTCATTTAACCAAAGGCACACAGCCTGGGAGCTGTGCAGATGCTGTAACCCAGCTGTAATGACGCTTGCTCTTACCTCCAAAATTAACACCTCTGTTGCCCCCCTTGTCTCAGATCTGTCCTGGCCCGCCTTTAGCAGCTACCCACTTCTCTCTTCACCATTAAGTCGTGCTGTTCACTATGTTTATCACCTAGGCATGTCTCCCTCTGGAATGTGTGCTTGCACTGGTAACCCATCTTGGTGGCCACGTACGGGTCCCAAGCACCTAGGATGGCACGGGGCCCGGGGTCCACTCTCAACGAGCACCCACTAAGTGGAGGACAAAGGGCCTGGAGCTGCGTAGCTCCAGGACCACAGCTCCCAACCATTCCAGGGGCCCTAGGAATCCCGAGGCGGGGCTCACTTGTCCAGGTTCTTCAGGGAGAAGGGCTGGGTGGAGAAGCGGATGTAGCTGTCTCTGTAGAACCACACGGTGAGTGGGTTCCAGTCTGTCACCAGGAACCACTGTCTCAGGTCAAACTTGGTGCCAAAGATGAGCAGGGGCCGCTCGATGTACTTCTGCACAACCCACTTGCCGTCCTTTATCACCATGGGGTTGCAGTCCACCAGCTTCAGCATCTCCTCCAGGTGGTCCATGCACATGATGCCTGCATGGAGAGGGCGGTCAGGCTGGTGGAGGACGGGCCAGGCCATGGCCATCCGAATGCTGAGAAGTTGTTGAGGGTTTTTAAATTTTTCTAAGTAACCATTTCTGTGTTTTTTTCTTTCTGTATATTAAAAAATATACACTTACATAAAGATGTAAACAGTACCAGTCTAACTGGGCGTGGTGGCACATGTCTATAATCCCAGCACTTGGGAGGCTGAGGCAGGATTGCTTTGAATTTGAGGCCAGCCTGGGCTACAAGTGAGTTCAAGGCCAGTCTGAACTGCATAGTGAGACTCTTGTCTCAAAAAGACCAAAAAAAAAAAAAAAAAAAAAAAAAAGTAGGGGGCTGGGGATTTAGCTCAGCGGCATAAGCACCTGCCTTGCAAGTGTGTGGTCGTGAGTTCGATCCCCAGTACTGATTTAAAAAAAAAAAAAACACACACACACACAAAAAAAAAGAAAAAGAAAGTAAAAAAATAAATCATAGTACTGCCCTTTTTGTGGATATATTATGTGTCCTCAATAATTACACAATTACAAAACAAAAAAAATTTATACAAAAGGGCACAGGAGACACCAAAACAAACCAAAGCAAACCCAGAACAGAACACCCACACCTTCTTTGTAAAGACCAGCCACTGGTGCTTCCAGACACTCATGGGGATTTTCCAGGGGATGTGACAGTACTGTGTGCCTGCTCCTCCGATAACACAAATGGAATCAGGTTGAGGACTTGGTCTAGGGCTTGGCAGGTGATGAGCACCTGGTGAAGGTTACTGGCATCACGCATGATGCGTTTCCAGCCGTGGGTCTGCCAGGTCCCAGGGCACCTGCATTCCACATTTTACATCGTCAATGGTTTCCTTGCCACCTCCAGGTCCAGCAAGAATGTATGAGACTGCGTGTCTGCTCCAAGACCACCCAAACACCTGACTCTTGATCGGGTCATTTTTCTGCATATAAACTGGCATCTTATTTATTTTTTTATGGACAGAGTTCTCATATGTTGTCCAGGCTGGTTTCAAGTGATCCTCCTGTCTCAACCTCCCACATAGCCTGGGGCTACAGGTGTGTGCCACTGTGATCTCTTTTTCTTTTTTGATCAAATCAAGGCCTTATACATGCCAAACACTGAACTTAACTACCACTGAACTACATACCCTTCAGCCTATTACATATTTATTTCTGGGGTACTTCAATCATTGTTTTATCTTTTCTATGAGTGAATTTAAGCATCTTATACCTACAAGGCGTAATTTTATTTTTTGAGACAGAGTCTCACTTTGTAGTGGAGACTGGCCTCAAACTCATAGTGACCTCCTGCCTCAGTCTCCCGCGTGCTAGGATTACAGATGTGCCCACCACACCCAGCCTAAGGCATACTTTGAATGCTGGTGAATTCCAATCATGTTACCAAAAACATGCAGTACTCACAAACCCACCTCACTCCTCCCTCCCTTGTCAGCCCAACTGGGGAGGCACAGAAAACTACTGCCACCTGACCAGGCCCTTCTCGGGGCCAGCCGCATCACCAGGATTCTAGCAACAAGATGCCTGTATTCTGTTCTGTTTGGGATTTTTTGTGTTTGTTTGTTTTTTTCCACTGTACTGTGGATTGAACCTAAAACCTTCATAATGATCCACACCCTCAGCACTTTCTATTTTTTATTTTGTGACAGGATTTCATTAAAATTGCCCAGGCTGGCCTCAAACTTGTGATCTTCCTGCCTCAGCCCTGTAAACAGCTGGGGTCACAAGCGCAGGCTGCCCTGCCCAGCGAACACGAGACTCTGTAAGAAGAGCAGAACTGCCACACAGCTAGGGCGAGCTCAGGACACGTAAGCAAAGGCTGTCCATGCTCACGGGGGTAGGAGAGAAAGGAAAGTGGAAAGGGCTCGCAAGCTATGGGCACGGATGTTCATCACGGCATCTCTCGTAATACCAACCAATTAACAGAACAAACCCCGAGGCCATGGACCTCCCTCAGGGGAGGCTGGCACACTCGCTCCTGCAGCCAGGCTGGATCTGCACAGAGCAGTGCACTGTATGGTGCCCAGAGCCCAGGGACAGGCACGACCCCCACAGGCCTGCAGTGCAGGATGTGTCACCAGAGTGTGGCATGAGCGTGGGTCCGGTCTGGAACCCATTCCACACCTGCCTGGGAGCCGCTTCACACAGAGCCTGCCTAGGCACACTCAGTAAGGCACGCAACACGCACTCAACCCTCCCCTTTTGGGTGGCACTGTCCCCACTCCAGCCTACAGACTGGTGACATGTTCAAGGTCATGCAGAAAATTAGAGACAGAGACAAAACTGCTCAACCTGAGCAGTCTGGGCATGTGCACTATTAACCTCCCCAGCCTCTACTGGGGACACAAGTCATGGGGTGCAGGTTTAGGAAGCAGGACCTGACCCCTACCTCGTCCACGGGACTTGGCTCCTGGCTTCACGATCCAGATGTTTCGATCCCCTTCCATGTCGATCTGGGGTACCACGGCCCTAAGCTTCTGCAGGATGTCCTCACAGCGCTGGACCTGAGTGTCGAGGTGCCTGAGTTCTGCCCCCTCACTGTGGGGAGAGTGGAGATGTGGCAGGTGGAGGCCAGGCCCCACACCCTGCTCCCTGCCACGGGCTTGCCAGCCTGGCTGTGCTCTCTCTCTTCTTGGATCAGACAGGGCTGTCCCACACCCACCCCACCACAAACCAGCCAACCCACCTTGACTTGCCCAACATGAGCAGGAAAGCCCAGAGAAGCCCTCACTCCACAGCAACTTCACCTGACCTATTCAAACTGCCTGGGGCAGAGCGCACAGCACCCACTCCGAGGATGGGTGGGGTGGGTGTCAGGCACTGGGTCAGGGGCTTCCTGTGCACCATCTGAAGCCCTTTCGACCATCCTGTCAGGGAAGCATTACTCATCCATGCTAGGAAGATGCACGTGGAAGCTGAGACACTAAGGAACTTGGACAAGGCCACACACTGAGCTGTGTGACGTAGTGGGATTCCAAGCCTGATTGGTCCATGAGAAGATGATTTGATTTTTAGGTTCACTCCCCTCTGGACCTGGACCTACTATGGCTGACAGATGGGCTCCCCCTCAGTCTAATTCCACAAGCACATCTGTGTCACCTACTCTGGCTGCGGTCTCTTCCCATCATTTACCCAGATCTGATCCAGATGCTGATCTGACCATTGCCCATCTCCCTCCACCAGAACTCTGTGTGTGTGTGTGTCTGTGTCTGTCTGTCTGTCTGGATATCAGACCCAGGGCCTCCAGAATGCTAAGCATGTTGCCAGCCTATCACTGTCTTCTCCACTCCCATCTCAAAACATCACACTGCCACCCCTCAGCTGCTCCCCGGAGCAGCAGCAGGGCATCCTCAGCAGGTGTGCGCCTCAGCAGGTGGGATGAACAGATAGAGAGGATTTCCTGGACACCTCAGGCCCCTGTTCCACACAGGATGGAACGCGTCCGGAATGAAACTAAGCCATAAAGTAGCCCCAGGGGCTGCCCATCCAGCCTCTCCTCCAAGAGGTGCGACCCTGTCTTGACCACCTCAGCCTCTCAAGTGCCTCCTGCTTGACATGAGACAGAGCAGGAACAGGGATGGCCAGAAGAGGGCTCCGTAGATGGCCCAGGGAGATGTACATCTAAATCCGACACACCCTCCCTAACCCTCTTTGGGGATAAGGAATCTGTCCAATAGATCTGGGCTGTGTCCCACAACTGTCTCACCTGGAACAGGGGCACAAGTAATCTGAAAACATGTATTAATATGGTTTTATATTTAGCAAGCTATAAACAATAAAAACAGGTCTACTCTGGGAAGCCACACCTTTATAAAAGCCTCATCGGTGAGGCATGGACATTTGTTTTGTTTTGTTTTGAGACATGCTCTCGCCTCATACCCATGCTGGCCTCCAACTCACAGGGCCCTCCGGACACTTCTCTAGGGCAGCAAACAGGGCCCTTGGCTGCCTGGAACCACTCAGCACCTCCTGCACTTCTACCCTCACAGGGGTTCACGCTGCACCCCTGAGATCTATTTAACCTCATGTTTTCCAGATCTGACCGATGACTACCGCCTTTCTTCCCGAGGAATTAGCATCTCAAATAACACATATGGAAGAAATCTCAGGGTGAAATTTACACAGCTTCCATTCCTGTTTTGTAGAGGCACCTGGGCCATGCTGAGCACATCCCTACAAAGTACTCCTACTCCACCTTCAAGGCAGACATTATTTTTAAATCTAATTTGCATTAGAGAAAAGGAAAGTTCAGAAAACAAGTGATGTTCTCAAGGTCCCAGAGCTCAGTCCTGGCAGGCCATGGTCTCAGGGCAAGGCTCGTACCCAGAGCGGGGAAAAGTGGCCTGGAGACGCTGGGACATTGGGGCCCCTGAGCAGGAGAGTAATAGGACAAAGGGCCGGCTGGGGAGGAGCGTGAGTCCCTAGCCACCTGCCTGTGCCCTGGCTCCGAAGTACTCACTGGACCACCTTGTAATAACGCTGGAGGAACAGTGCCCAGCCCGCCGGGCTCAGGTGCAGCGGGGCCTCACTGTCCTTGTCGATGTCCCTGTGGGCCAGACTGCCGAGGTGCTCCTCACAGGCGCACAGGGCCTCATCCACAAACTCTGGGGACACCACCGCTGGCTTCTTTTCCTGTTTCTTAGGCTGTTTATCTCCTGAAACATAAGAAAGGCTGTCACTGTTGTCCTCCCCATGTGGTACATGTCACTGTCCCTACTGCCTGGGGCCCTGTCATTTACCCTGGCCTCTCCTAAAGGCACCTGAGCGTGAGCCTGGATCCCCAGCTGCCCAGGCCTCCTGCTGCTTGCCCTAAATTGCCTGCAACCTGAGCCACCCCGCCCTCAGTCCCTCTACAGTTGACCCAAACATCTCCAAGATTGGCACTGCACATACCTGCAGCCACTGTGGACACATCCGCGGCCCGATCTGTTACCCCCCAGATGACGCAGACTAGGCCAGTGACCGCTAGCCATTTAGAGACCAGAGCAGGGCCCAGACCAGAACTCAGCACCCACTTATTTATTGCAACTCTGTAAACCTGAATACTGAGCTTCTACTTTAGAAAAAATTCTACATTAACATCTTTTATCTTAGAAGAAAACAACACACGTCCCATAGGCTCCCCACCCCTAGCCCTGGCAATCTGGGTATACAGGATCCCAAGTCTGACATGGCCACTTCAGTCCCAACCCACCCAATCTGCACCCCCTCCTGGGATCCTGATCTACCAGTCACACACTCGAAGGTGATGCATACACCAGGCGCTAACTCTCGCCCACAGCTCTGACTCCCCACCATCTCAGGGCTCTCCAAATCCTCCTGGTGTATGGAGGCCCTCACCTCCTGCAGCCTGGCCCACACCCAAGTCCACCACCACAGAAGATGAAGGACAGAGTCTGTTCAAAGGGGCTCTGTGCTCCCGATGCTGGTACACACAGTCTTTCTTGCAGCCAGCAGGCCAGGCCAGGAGCCAGCAACGCGAGGTGTCTCCTTTGGAAGAGGCAGGGATGCCTTTCCTTTCAGGAGTGCTGCCCCTTAGTCCCCTCAATTCCTGGCTGATGAACCCTGAATTACAGGAGCGGGGGCTTAGGGACAGGAGCTAAGTCCAGGGAGGACAGGGGTGAGCAGTAGGGGCTGGCATGTAGCAAGGGGTCCCGAGCTCCCTGTACTCCAGATGTTCTCCACGTCCTTGGACATCCGTAACACCATTTACCTCCACCTGCTCCTCTGAGGAATCCCACAGGCAGGGGTGGACCCTGCCCTCTTTGTGCACCCATCCAGGCTGGTCCCCATAGCAGCCCAGGAGGAGAGGGCTGGTGGAGGAGCACACGGACAGGAGGGCAAGAAGGTGTGTGGGAGAGGCACACGCATGTGAGAGGCAGGAGAATGGAAATGCAGGGCTGGGGCAGGCGGGCCTATGTGCAGACAGCCAGGAGGATGACGAGGGGCCGTGGCACTGACGTGGGCAGGTGGACGGATCAGAAGGGGGAGTAAACGGGCAAGCTGAGGAGGGAACAGATGAAGAAGCTGGCGGAGGGTGGATGCACGGATAGGACGCACACGGGTGCTGTGTGGATGGGCAGTGACAGCCAGACAGGCGTGCTGGGCAACCGAGCGGAACTGCCGCGGCACCTACCTGGGGCCTCCTTCCCTTCCGCCTGGACAGAGTGCGGCTCCCACTCCGACTTCACCACCAGCTTGAGAACGCTGCGGGCAGCTGTCAGCCAGAAGTCCTCTGCTCCCGGGGCAGGGGATACCCTGCTCAGCGCCCTGGCTCGAGGCCCGTTCTGGTTCTGGAACCTGATCATGACTTGCCCCATTTTGGATCCAGAACCTGACTTTACCTTTTCTGTTGCTAAATCTGGCTCCTATTCCAGTTATAGAATCAGACCCAGAATGTGACCAGACTTGACAAATACTCTCCTTACAATCTGGCCTAGACCTGCTGTTCCTCATCTACTCTGATGCTTATTCTAGTCTGAGAATCCAACCTTGACCCAAAGTATTTCAGACCTGGAACGCAGCATCTAATCCAGTTCTAAATTCTGAACTTTCTACCTTAGGAATCTTTTCTCAGAACCCAATCCAGGTAAGAGAACTTATCACAGGCCTGGAATCTACGCTGGGTTCCAAACAGGACTTCTAGAGACTGCTCTAGAACATGAGCTGAGATGTCTGAGCTTCTCTGGAGGTACAGACTGGCCAGCCCAGCAGGCTCACCACAGAAGGCACACTGAAGAAAGGAGGGGCCGGGGCAGGGGCATCTACAGAGGCTGGTGAGGGTGTGAGGAGAGGCCTCTGCTCTCCGCAAGCTAGAGCCTGACACCCTGTCCTCCAACTGAGGGCCAGTTGTGGCCAGGGCCCGCCTTACCTATGAAGGCTTTTTTATCGTCTTCAGCACCCAGGCGGTAGCAGCGCGGGAAGAAAGCGTCAGCATCAGCCTCATCAAACCAAGGCAGATTCCGGAGGTTGAGGCACAGTCCCACCTGCAGGGTCAGCTGCTGAGGAGGGCGGCGTGGGGACTCCGTCCCCAGGCTGGGCCTAACTGCTCAGATCCAGCCGGTTGCCTGCCCCAATAGCTGCTTTTGCCAAAGAGCTCCCGGCTTTCTGGTCTCCCCTCGACCTCTGTGAGGAACTGCCTCCAGTGACCCTTTCCAACCCGCACCCATAACATGACACAGACTCCACAGGGAAACCCTTCACCCTCACCACACAACTGAAAGCAGGCCTTGTTCGGATTCTCATGGCAAGATGAGAAAACCTGAGGCACACCTGGAGGTGCACACCTGTAATGCCAGCACTTGTGAAGCTGAGGCAAGAGGTGCACCATGGCCAGCACTCACCTGGGCTGCACGGTGAGTTCAAGGCCAGCCTGAATTACACAGTGAGACCCTGTCTCAAAAGTCCTAAATAAAGGGGCTGGGGATTTAGCTCAGCGGCATAAGCACCTGCCTTGCAAGCAGGCAGTCGTCAGTTCGATCCCCGATATCGATAAAAGGGAAAAAGAAAAAAAATCCTACATAAATAAAGATACGAAAACCAAAGCTGGGAAAGGCAAAGCCACTTGCTAAGACATGCAGGTAAACTGGAATAGAGCTGTCAGGGAGATTCGCCCTGCTCAGGGAGAGAGGGCCTCGCTGCTCAGTCATGGACTGGGGGTCTGCTCCAGCTCCAAGATCCCATGTGAACCCTGGAGCCCACTTCTGCCACTCTGTCAGGGACCAGATAGCCTACTTGGCTTGGAGCTGACCCTGAGCCTGCCAGTGACTCCCTTCTCACTAAAGTGTGACATTCTTACTCTCCCAAGGGTTCCCCTGCAGACTGGGAGCCCACGGTTGGGGTGTGCGCTGCCCCACCCACGTTTGGGAGCCAACCTTTGTGGTAAAGGAGCCAGCCCGGGCATAGTGGTTTATCATCTGATCCTTGGCAAGGAAGCGACAGTCCAGTACATCCCGCCGAGTGGTCCAGATGAGGTAAGGGGTCTCATTCCGAACCATTCGGGACTGGAAGGAGGGAGGAGGTAGACATGGGGAAGTTATCAGGGAAGAGAGAACGCTTCCCAGGTGTCCCTGGGGGCACACTGGCTTTGTGTAAGGCACAAAAAGACACCTCTTCCAGGGCCCACGCTTGGGGAGCAGAGCTGCTGGGCCAGCTCCGAGAAGGCCTGAGCAGTGGCTGAGCAGTGGCTTTGCTGCCCCTTGCTCTGCCCCAGGGATTTGGCTGTTGGCAGGACACAATGCAAGCAGAGAAGCACATAGCATGTGCCAAAGGCTTTCTCCTAGAGCCCACATCTCTCTCCTTCCTGCAGCCCTGGGAGTATGAAAACCAGTAACACCATGTGCCAGGCCTTGCTAAGCACTCGCCTCGTCTTAATCTCACCCAAACCCTGTGAGGCAGGGGCTACTGTAACCCCCAGCTCCCAGGTGACGGAAGTGAGAGTAACTGCCCAAATTCACAAAGCTGAACCCAGAAATGCCAATATCCTACCTTTTCTGACACAGAAACAGCAAGCTCAGCTGGGAAAGGTCACATGCCTATAATCTCAACACTCAACACTCAGCAGGAAGACTGCTACCCTGGCTACATACTGAGCGCAAAGCCCACCTGAACTACAAGAGAGACCTTGTCTCAAAGTGCGTAACAAAACAAATCCAACATCATAGAGTTCAACTTAGTGAGTAGCAGTGTCATGCTTTGAACTCCACTCAAATGCATGTGCTCCGTGCTGTCACACAGGCCTCTCCCAGAGCCCTCAAGTGGCTTCACTCGCCAGTGGTGGAGAGAGATAAACAGAGAGTGCTTCACTATGAAGGGACTACGACCCTCAGCACTCTGCTGGCCCATCCAGCCCTCAGGAAAGCAACCCAATATTTATACAGATAGGAAACTGAGGCCCAAGGGAGGACTTATCCGAGGTGACCTGCACTCTGTCCACTTAGGATGGTCCCTGCCAGCACCCTGCCTCATACTGGCCACCCGGGCCCTCACCATTAAAGCATGTGTCCCATCTAAGTCATCGAATTCCAGGAAGCCATCGAAGTCAACCAGCTGTGACGGCTGAAATGTCTCGTCTTCTTCCTCATCCTCTGTGGATGCAGAACCCAGGCCCAATGAGACCCTTGCGCCTGCTCCAAAGCCTCAGCTTGGGGGCAGTGGAACAAAGAGAGAGGACTGAGGAGAGGCAGCATTTGGACAGGAGGGGGCTGCTCACCATCTGGGGCAGTGTCGCTATCGCCCACCACTGAATTCTCAGTGTCCTTCTGGCGGGGCAGCAGGGTGGCGCCTGCATGGTAGACCATCTTCTTCTCCACCCAGCCCCTCCGACGCAAGAGACACCGGATCACTGGGTAGCGGCCTTGGATCATAAAGATCTTCTTCTGCTGTAAGTTGAAAGATGGAACTTGTCAGTATCGCTTGAGGGCCGGAGAAAGGACACAGTGGTAAGCAGTTACAGCCTCTGACTCTTCCTATAGGCAAGTTTTATAGCCCTCCAGGAGAGATGGCTTGTAAACATGGAGAGGAATGTGCATAGCATCATGCTGACGGTAAAATAATATTTACAGATGAACTCCAGAGGCAGAGGCAGGAGGATCGCTGCCAAGTTCCAGGCAGCCAGCTGGAACCTACACGGTAAGTTCAAGGCCACCCTGAACTACACAGTGAGAACCTATCTCAAAAACAAAAGTACACATTACGCTGTGTAGTAAGCATTTACATTCATTTCTACGACAATATGCATGCTCAGTGGATATGTTTGCCTCTGTCTTAGAGTGAACAGCTGGCCCAAGGCCACCTGTGGTTAAGTGAGAGCACAGGGATCTCTTCTTATGCTGGGGACTGAACCTAGTTGAGCACAGGCTCTAGCACTGACACCCGGATTCGAGGGCAGGGATGCACATTCAGGCACCAGGGCTCTGGACTCCATACTGGAGACTCAAAACCACTAAGAAATGCAGAGTTAGGGAAGGATGAAAACAAGTCATCTGGGGCCAGGGACATAGCTGCACAGCAGTGCCTGTCTAGCAAGTGCAGAATTGAGTTCGATTTCTGATACCAAAAAAAAAAAAAAAAGAAGAAGAAGAAGAAGAAGTCACCCATACATACAGGCAGAAGGAGAAGCACAAGCTTGTGCACAGAGGAACAGAAAACAGGGCAGCATGAGCAGGGTTGGGAGAGAACAGTTCCTAAGGAGTGCGGCTGGGCTGTGGAGTCCTGCAGGCCCTGAAATCTGGACTTGGATATTTTACTAGGAGTGCTGTGCAGCAGTAAAGGCTGGTGCCAGTGCACATGGTTAGAGGCTTGGAAAGTTTGCTGATCTTGCTTGTAATCTGGAAAACAGAGGGGGTACAGGGCCTTTGTGATTTGCAGAGCACTGGATAAGCCACAGTCACAGGGAGACCAGTGAGAGGGCTGGGAGGGATTTGCGGTTCTGAATGACTTGCTGATGGAATTAGAGAGGGACTGAAGAAGCAGATAGATAGTATTTCTGATTTGAGTGACCACACAAGAGGGGACACAGAGACTAGGGAGGAATCAGGTTGGAGCAGGAGAATTGGTGGGGTTTGCAAGCCTGTGCCGTCCCTGAGCAGAGGTTAGGGTGGGTCTGTGCTGTGCGAAGGTGAAGGCTGGCACTGCTGGACTCCACCAAGTGGATTCTAGCTGGAGTAGGGCAGAAAGGGCAGGCAGCCAGGGAGGTGGAGGGCGGGCTGGGGACTCCAGCCTGTCCACCTGGAGAGAGTGACAGTGGGAGGAGATGGGTGTGGTGCCAGAGCAAAGGGCCACAGGTGTTTTGGTTTTTAAGGATATAACGAAATAGCAAGTGGCACAGCTGGGCATGGTAGCACAAGCCTGTAATCCCAGTACTGGAGGCCGAGGCAGGAGGACAGCTGGCAGTTTGAGGCCAGCCTAAGTTACATAAGCAACTTCAAGGCCAGCCTGAACTACACAGTGACATCCTGTCTCAAAACAATAAATAAATAAAATTTAAAAATAATAAAAAGCACTACCCACTCCGTCCCCCCTTGCGGACCTTGATAGCTTTCTCCACGTGAATCTTGGCGTTGCGGAGCCGGCCCATGTGGCAGTCCCTGGAGAATCCCGGCCAGAGGACTAGGGGAGCTGCGGGGAGACGGGCGGGGCGGTGGCGTCGCTGCGCTCCCCAAGCCCGCCCACCCGCCCGCCGTGCACCGAGCACCGAGCACCGAGCGCGGCCTCACCGTCCTGCGGCGCGGGGCCGTCTGCAGGCGGGGGCCCGGGCGTCTCAGGGGCGCGGCCCGGACTTCGCGCGGAGGCGGGGCTGCGGGGCTGGCGGGCGCAGCTGGGACCCGGCCAGGCGGCGGCCCCGGAGCAGACCCAGGCCGGCCCGCATGCCCGCGGCCTCGCGGGCGCGCAGGGCTCCAGGCGGCTCGCCCAGGGCCACCGGGCTGGGCAGCCGGGGCACGGCCCCGGGGGCTGCGGCCAGCTGCACCCCAGCAGCCCGCCCTGGCGTAACCAGGCGGCCGAGCCCCGGTGCGCGGGCCCCACGCCCGCCGCGCCCACGAGCAGCACCACGCCGGGGCCCTGCATGCGCCTCGCCTCGCCCAGCCGCTCCTCCGCCCGGACCGGACCGGCGCCGCGTCGGCCAGCCGGCCTAGTCCAGACCCGCCCCGTGTGCTGCCGTCGCCCTGGAAACCGTTCCAGGCACAATCCCTGGCGGCTGACTCCAGGGTTCTGCTCAGCCTCTGGCTGGTGCGGGCCACAGGCCAGTCGGACCCGCCGAGGGGCTTATTGGGCCCTTCCGGAGCACAGCGACCTTGGGGGACTCCTCATGCCACCTTAGAGGACCCCTACTGAGTGGGGCCAGCAGTTGACAGCCCCCGTGTAAGTTCGGGGGAAGCTTGTAACAGTGAATGAAGGCGGGAAAGGGCGCACACTAGCTAGTGTAAGTTAAAAATATTTTCAATTGGTCCATGTTTCATTAACCACTCTAATAAGCCTTTATTCTTAGGCTTAGCTTGGGTCAAGTAGGGGACAGTGACAGGCAGGCTGAACAGACTCCAGAGAAGATGCCAAATAACTTTTCCTGAATCCTGGGAAGCTAAAAGGCCGAAAGTAACTACAAAGAGAAATAGTGGGAGGAGGAGAGAATGGAAAAGTGGGGAACAGGCATGGGATGACCTAGATGGCTGGCCCGGAATCCACTGTGAACGCTACAGCCCAGGCCATAGGAGATGGGCAGAGGGACCCCTGTGAATTCGGAATAAAACCACAGCCAGAGCCTGTCTATATAGACACCACTAGTTGGATAAAAAGCCTCAGTCTGGGGGCTGGGGATTTAGCTCAGCGGCATAAGCACCTGCCTTGCAAGCAGGCGGTCGTGAGTTCGATCCCTGGTACCGATAAAAAAGAAAAATGCAAAAAAAAAAAAAAAAAAAAAAAAAAAAAAAAAAAGCCTCAGTCTGGCTGCCGGCCCAGAAGTAAATTCATTTCAGCTGGGTGTGGTGGCACACACCTGCAATCTTAGCAGGCAGGAGGCTGAGGCAGGACTGCTCTAAGTTTGAGGCCAGCTGGGCTGCAAAATGAGTTTAAGGCTAGACTGAACTACATAGCAAAACCCTGTCTTAGAATGACCAAAAAGGGGTGGGGTGGGGAGTTCATTTCTTGCACTAGAGAATGGAGGTCTGCCCTGAAAAAGTAACCTCCAAAAAAAGTAATATCTAAGAAGTACTAAAAGGCAGATGAATCTGCACTCAAAGTGGGGAAGAGCAGCACTGCTGCCAGGGAAAGTGTCACAGTTCCGAGGAGGACGAGGGCCTTTCTGTGGGAACTGAAAGGCGGCAGTGGACAGGGGAGCCCTGTGAGGCCGTAGCAGAGCTAAAGGCCTGGCAGGTAGAGCCGGGAGGGTCTTGGGGATAAACAAAGTTGGGATTGTACATGGGGGCAACAATGCTGGGTGCAAAGCATACCTCTCCCAGGAGCCTGCAAGAAGGGTTCATCAGAGTCACAGCAGGGGAAACAGAACCACAATACACTAAGCAGCTATGGTCCAGCTGCCGGGCTGAGGCTACAGGGAGATAAAAAAGGCTTTAAGGTGGTCAAGTAATCTGCCTTAAAACTCACATTACAGGAACACTGGACCCCAGCTGGACTCCAGCCACTTATAAACATGTTTGTTTTGAGACTGGGTTGATGGACAGCTCAGGCTGGCCTTGGACTGCATAGCCTTAGCTGACCTCAAAACTGTGATCCTCCTGCCTCAGCCTTCCAGTGCTGGGATTACAGGGCTGCATTCACTGTCTGGCAACTCCTTTCATTACTGGGTATTGAGCCCAGGGAGTGCTGAGCTACACCCCCCTGCTCTTTTTGAGACAGGGTCTCACTAATCCAGGCTGGTCTTTTGATTCTCCTACCTCAGGCTCCTGAGTGGCTAATACAGGTGCAGCACCACGGCCATTTGAACACTACTCATTAACATCCCATTATCACTTGCAGGTTGCTTCTTGGGCGCGTGCTATCAAAGAGCCAGTTTGAGAGGTAAACTCTAGCAGTATACACAAGCAGAATCCAGGGAAGAGACTATCCTTGTCAAGAGCCCACCTTTATCAGTCACTGAACAAATACGTTCTTCAAGAAAGGTAGGGCTCCAACAACCTGTGCAGCTGACCCAAGATCTGGATCGGTGGTGACTGTGTCCCCCAGATTAGGTTGCTTTAAAACCATCAAAACAGGCTCAGCATGGTGGCACACTTAGGAGGCTGGGGCAGGATTGTCCAGGGTCAGCCTGGGCTTCAAACTTCAGTGAGTTCAAGGCCAGGCTGAACTGCATAGTGAGACTTTGTCTCAATAAGGGGAAGGGAATATAGCTCGGTGGCATAGCACCTGTCAGGCAAGTGCAAGGTCCCGAGTTTAATTCCCTGTACTAAAACCAACCAATCAACCAGAACAAAAATCCTACCATCAAAACAAAAAACTCAAACCATCAAATCTGATTTTAAGAACTTCAGATCCCTGCAGACAGTTCTGTGACCAGTCAGGTTCTGGTGGCCTCACCCAGGCAGGAGTGTTCGGAGATGGCTGAGCGGCCAGCGGTCATGTGTGCACAGCCATCCAGCTTCACTCGGAGCACCTTCACCATTCAAGTGCCCATGAGCAGGCATAACTCAGCTAGCCAGGTCCGAGGAGGTCACACAGATGTCACAAAGGGGCGGAGAGCTGTCCAGCTGTCTCCTGACCCTTCTTCCTTTACCATCCCTAGTTTTCCCCTTCAAGAGACCTCTCTGGTCACCTGGAGGACACTTCTCAGAAAGCTCAGCTCAAGGTTCAACCCTTACTGAAGTCTTCTGGACACCTCTTCTAAATGCCTCTAGCCACGACACCACACCTACTCACATGCCTGCCTCTCTCATCATCCCCAACACCTTGTATGCTGGGAAGCACAGCCACTGCCCGCTCAGTGCCTGCGTGGCAGGGACAATGTCAGTTCACTCTCATGGTCTCCACTTCAGATTAACAAACTGAGACAAGGGGTCCTAACGTGCCCAAATGGAGTAGAAGAGTCAAGACCCAAACGCAAGTTTTTTGTTTACTTCAAGGCATCACTTACTAAAAAGGCTTGCACTTTCTTAACTTTCTTGATGACATATATATATATATATATATGCAGTATTTGAGATGTTAGGCACGTCACTTGTAGCTACTGAATACCTGAAATGTCACCAGTGGGACAGAACCAGATTTTAAACATTTAAATGTAATACTCTCAGGCTAGATCTGCAGTGGGCAATGCTGGCCCCCAGAATCCGTTTCCTTAAACATGAAATGAGATCGCTATGTCTGGGGTTGTCTATCTGTCAGCCTGAATGAGACTGTGGAAAAGCACCAAAACTCTGGCAAAACCAGATGGCAGGCACCTGCAGAGGAGGAGTCTCAGGGCTGGGACCTCCACAAGGACCAGCAGGGGTTTCCAGGGGAGCTCTAGGCCCGGTCCCAGCCCCACCTTCTTTCTGTTCAGACACACACAGTACAGACCTCATGCAGCCCCAAAGGGCAAGAAGAGACTTTAATTAAGGGAAGAAGGAGCCAACAGAATCAGGAGAGCGCGCGAGCAGGAGCAAAGTGGGCAGAGGCCCGGCCTGGGAACCTGGTGGACTCACCTCTCTAGCACAGGCACTGCACTGACAGGTGGACAGCGCCCTCCTCAGCTGAGAAGGAACTGCAATGGCTACGCAGCCAGAGGCGGCCTGCTTCGGCCCAGCTCCTAAGCATGGCGGGCAGTCACACAGATCCAGCCCTCATCAGGGGAGCCTAGGGAGCTGGCAGGGGTTCCTGCCACTTCTACTGGGCTCAGACAGGCTTGGGAATAAGCAGGTAAGGAAGAGAAGCTGGAGTCTGAAACTTTCCTCTTTCCCCACTGGGGGTGGCACAGGGGAGAGAAAGTTGTCGCCTTTGGCTCCAGGCCCGCCCAGACCCACAGCGACCAATAGGGTACAATCACTGGGACCAATCACAGCCACTGGAGGTGGAGATTGTATGTTTAAAAACAAAAACAAAACAAATAAAAAGAGACAAAAAGGTTACAGTCTTCTTCAAGCACAGAGTTAAATTTCAAGATGTTAAAAAATAAGTTTCCTGGACCAGGAGACTGAACATCAGAAGCCAGCCTGGCCCGGCATGTGTGGCCCTGAGACAGGTCCACGCTGCATTCCTGTCCAGCTAGCAAGCACACACCCCTCCCATATCTGATGCCCACCCTCCCCAGCTGCCTGCCACCGCCGCCACTCTGGGAGGTGACTCCAGGATACCACGAAGACTCGCAGAGACACAGGGAGGTTGAGGGGAGCTTGGATCCAGCCAGGTGGTTCAGAACTGTCAAGAGAAGCGAGAGGCAGTGAGTGGTAGTTATTCTCTCTCCTGATGGGCTGGCTCCAGGGAAGGCATAATGGGAGAACCACAGTCATGCTCAGACCTGAGGGGTGAGTTCAGGGCCTGCAACACACTAAGGGACTCCTGCTTCAGCTAGCCTTCAGTGCTGTCCCACAGGGCAGCAGCCGTCAGCCTAGCACAAACAAGCAGAGAAGACCCTGGCCAGGTCGCACAGATGGCTACGCACACCCTGTCAAATCACACTTGGTGAGCAGAAGGTGTCTCCTTTAGACATGGAGTCTTGAGTTCCAGGGAGAAAGACAAAGGATTTGATACAGCGTGTCACATGTTGGGTGATCCTTCAACAGGAGGGGCCTGGTAATCTTTTCTGCCCCCAAGCATCCCCCACGGGGCCACACCCAGAGACTGGCTACCTGGTATTGGTCTGGTGGTGCACATCTGGAATCTCAATGCTGTGCAAGGCTAAGTCTGTGGGCTCCAAAGCTTGACCCCTGCCCAGGCAAGTCAGAGACTGCTAAGACTATTCCAGGGCCCTGGCCATAGGAGTCTGAAGCCACCACACATGGAAAGCTTCCTTAGTAACAGGTGATCTTCCTTACCCAACAGTCTGAAAGCTAAATAGTAGTAACATCTTCATCTCATCGATGAGGAGGCAGAACTTGGCTAAAGGGTCCATGACAGGCCTGACCAGGCAGAGAAACACACTAACCCTAGGGGCTGAAGGCTGAATGCTCAGTCGGCTCAACTGCCTCAGGAAGAGGGCAGGGATCACATGCTGTTCCACCCCAGGTAGATAACCCAGGGGAAGTGGGATAATCTCCATTTTTAGGATTCAGAGCTTCTTCTGGGAAGTCTGTAAGCTGTGATAGGAATAGTCATCAAATGCACGGTCTAGGGACTCTCAGTAGACTGTATCAATGAAATAGACTGCTTGGAAAAGGGGGGAAATAAGGCATATCCTGAATCTCTAAACGACTGTGTCGTCAGTCTCTCAATGTAAATAATTCCTTGTCTCCAGAGGACTGCAGTCCTTTTGGTTAAAAAGGCACAAGCAATTTCAGAGAGACCCAGAGGTCTGAAACCCTGAAAGTGATGGGAAAGCAGTCGAAGAAATCATGCCGTGGCCCCTGAGAAACAGAAGCTGACGAGGAACTGAAGTCTGTGCTAAGTAGAGTTTCCCCAAAATCAACTCTCCCACAACAGACTACAGAAGGGCCTTGCAGCTTCCAGGCAGCGGTGACCGGCCACGAGCCAGTGGGCCTGGCGGCCTCTGTCCTCAAAAGCCTGCTGGTACCACTGTCCCACCAGGTGCCAACTTCTCCACACCACACAGGGCCTCTCCTCAGCAGGAAACCAACAAGGCCCCACTTACGTTCTTGAGGAACTCTTCAGCCACAATGCGTGCACGGGCATTGACAGACAGCTTCATCTCACTGATCTCTTTGTCTATCTCCTCCATGAAATGGATCACAAAGTCCACCAACTTGTGTTTGTACATCTGCTCTGTGTGGAAGTTGGTGATCAGAAAACTGATGTCATATCCCTAGGGAACAAGGACAGGAAGAAGTAGGAGGAGAGATTAGCACAGCAGGGACACACAGTTGGCCATATCCTCCACGAAACACCTCCACATGCTTGCGGCAGTGACCTTCTGAGCTCCATGAGTTGCAATGAGCAGCCCATCCACTTCGAGGGGCAGGATCTATGTTGGATCCAAGCAATTAGACCCAGCTGAGAATTCTGTGTTATCAGATGTCTCTGGAAGACTGTGGCACAAATGGCTCTCCATTCAAAATGAGTCAGGAGAGAATGAGCCGAACTCAAAAACTTGTCATGCAAGAATCCAATCAAACAGTAAGGAACACTCAGTTCACAGAAGAGATGATGGCAGGGAGGGGGACTGCAGTCCTGCAGTTCTGGAGGACGTATAAGGAAGACAAGTCACACCAGGCAGCTGTAGAGGCGGAATCTAGGACTGCAAGGAGAAATTTGGCTCAACATGAAGAAAAGCCAGGCTGGTGGCTCACATATGTAATACCAACACTCAGGAGGATCATAGCAACTTTGAGGTCAGCCTGGGCTACAGAGTGAGTTCAAGGCCAGCCTCAACTATATAAGGAAACCTTGTCCCAAAAAGACAAAAAAAAAAAAAAAAATTGAGGAAGTTGGCCAGTACCTTTGGCATCTGATGATGGCCTGGACTGCTCTGTGGGCTGTGGCAGTCATTAGGGACATTTCTATCTAAACTGTTAGCAGTGTGTAGAGAGGGTTCCAGGACAAAGCCAGGCAACAGCTGGCCCCATGTTAACTATGGCTCTTTCAAGGCTCAACTCAGCAGATGGCAAAGCTGAGAAAGACCCTAACTCACTGTGCTCTCAGGGGAAGTCGAGGCACTGGGAAGATGAGCAACACTGACTCATCCTCCTCACCAGCACCCAGCCAACTCTCAACTCAGGCCAGAGGGCCAACTGCCACAGCAATCTTGGTTCAAGAAGTAATCTGAAGCCCGGCATCGTGATGCACACTTCTAATGCTAGCACTCAGCACTCATGAGGCTGAAGCTCATGACTGCTGTGGGTTCAAGGCCAGCCCATGCTACAAAGTAAGTTCAAGGCCAGCCTGCACTGCATAGGAAAACCCGTCTCAAAAAGATAAAAATAAAGAAATTAGTTTCAGGCTACTCAGTAGAAGAATTCTCAGAATGATGAGCACATGGATCCACAGTGTCTTACCTCAACTGGTTTTCTTCGAAGGATAAAGAAGTTCTCTGCTCGCATCATCATAAAGCGCATAAACTTGTGGCATAAAATCTTCTCGATCTCATCAGCCTAGTGAGAGCAGAGGAGAAGGATGGCTCTCTCAAGCTGATACCCTAGGCTGGTGGTGGTGAATCTTTGGCATCTGTGCTACAGCAGGTACACGTCGACTCACAAGCCAGGGGCCCCAGCAGCCCAGTGTTGGGTAACAGCACACACATAGGCAGTGCTGGTACTTAGTGATAAAGAAGTAGGTTTTGGGCTGCAGTTTAGGCACTTGGTCTCAAAAAGGCTCCCATCACTGTCCTAGTCCTAAATCCCAATAGCTTGGGACTATGATTTTCTCGAGCCTTGATGGAGACAGCAGTTGGGAACAGGAACTCTGAATTGTGGGACTTAGCTGCCCAGTGAAGGGAAGAACTCCCGCAGGGCCCACTTCATTCAGACCCATTTCCCCTTTCTCCTTTCACTACCGCTGCACCTCCCAAAATGTGTGGCAGGCCCTCCAGGTGTCAGAGCCACGCGTGGGTAAGCTCTGCCTGGTGACACCAAACACTGAACAATCCTCAAAGGGTTCCTCTTTCTACTCTTCCAGTATCTCGGAAGGCAGAATTCTGCAGCCAGGGGCTGGAACACCAGGGATTACCAGGAATACCTTCCACTGCTGCTTTACCTTCCTTTCTCCAAAGACAGCAGGCCTCAGAGCAGCTTCCCCTAGGTAACAGTACCCAATCTGAATCTAATAATTTTGTTTGCTTTTGTATTACTCTCTACTATGCAAAGTAATATCATCTTTCCATTTAGAGCATGGTTTGTAATTTCAGTAAAAGGAAGTCAAATTTCAGTAAAAGGAAGTCAATACTAACTACCTAATAGTTCACCCCCAGTGGTACTTGGGTAGCATGTGTGTTTACTACCTGACTGTCCTGATCTGACAATCCCCAAGGATCACTCAGGCAGGTGTCATTTCAACCAGTTATCTCATTTGTACAAGATGCACTCATATGTCTTATACTAAATATTTTTAGCATACTTTTAAATTTAAAACATTGTATTCACATTTGATGTATGTTTGTAGTAAAATCTAATCACTTCTGATTATTTTACAACGTTGTATTTTAGTTGTGAAAAAAAAAACCCTATAGTTTTTTGCATTACAATCTATAAAAACTCTTAAAGAAGTACATTAGCTATAATTTTTATACTTTTTCAGAGCTTGGTGATGTTATCAGTATAAAACAGACATTTTTGGGACACTGAGTGTGAATAGGAAATGCCAAAAGATCTAAAAAACAAACAAACAAACAAAACTGGAAAAACAGCAGGGCATGGTACCACAGGCGTATAATCCCAGTACTCAGGAGTCTGGGACAAGAGGATCATTGCAAGTTCCAGACCAGCTGGGGCTACAAAGTGACCTCAAAAAAACCCAAAACCAAAACCAAATAACCTGAAAAAAAGGAAAAATGTTAGCATATTAGGGACAAAAAGTCTAGATTATAAAATGGAAAGACAAAAAAGATGTCTCCTGGGGCTGGGGATTTAGTTCAGCGGCATTGCCCTGCAAGCAGGCAGTCGTGAGTTCGATTCCCGATACCGACAAAAAGGAAAAAGATCAAAAAAAAAAGATGTCTCCTTATTGTCAATTGTTCGTAATACAGAAATGGAAACGACAGAACTTGAATGAAGAAACAAAACTAGAAAAAAAAAAAAAAAAAAAGAAAGAAACAAAACTAGGGTTTGGGGATTTAGCTCAGCAGCGTAAGCGCCCACCTTGCAAGGTAAACGTGCAGTCGTGAGTTCAATCCCTGGTACCGATTAAAAAAAAACACAACTAAGTTCCAACAGTGGTCAATGATCATAATAATTCTATGCGTGGTATTGACAGAACTTGATCAACATCTAATAAGCTATCCTGTAACGAAAAAGTAGGGGAAAGTCAGTGCGGTAGCACATGCCTGTAGTCCCAGAAGTCAAGAGGCTAAGGCGGGAGAACTGCTGTGAGTTCAAGCCTAGCCTGGAGTTCAAACCCAGCCTGAACTAAGTAGCAAGACCCTGTCACAAAAAAAAAACAAACAAACAAACAGGAAAAAAAATCTATTACAAAACATTTATGCACTTTGTAGACCAAACAATACAGAAGTTGTTCCTGAAAACAAGGGAATTCACAAAGTCTGTTACAATTCAGGTTAGTTCTAATAGACCAAATAATTGAAAAATACGGGATGGTGAAATGTGAACCGTAACGTCCATTACTGACATTTCGTGGACAGACATTTTATTGAAAAAATACCACCCACAGGGAAAAAGGAAAGGCCAACAAGGCAATGTAAAGTCCATTGTTCAAAGAAAGACAGTAATGTAAAAAGAATCTGGAAAGAGGGGCTGGGGATTTAGCTCAGTGGCATAAATGCCTGCCTTGTAAGCAGGCAGTCGTGAGTTCAATCCCTGGTACCAATAAAAAGGGAAAAGACCAAAAAAAAGACAAAAAAAAAAAAAAAAGAATCTGGAAAGAGACTACACATATCACTGTCCAGAATGTAACCTTGTGTTATGTATTAAATATTTTAAAAATATACCATACCAGAAGAACTGTTGAATAAACTTGATAAAACTATCATTATGTTACCTGTTATTTTACAAAAATTAACAAAAAATATGCAATTTTTGGTCTTCCTGATTTTAAATTATTGGACTGGCAACTGGCTAAGTAAATAACCATCCAAGAGGTACAGAAATATGGCAAGAATGTTGCAGGCAGTGTAAAAAATAGGCATTTATGAAACATCAGCTAAGGAAACATACAAGATGTGGCACTCAGTTTCTTTTTTTTTTTTTTGTCTTTTTGACAAAAGTGGCCTTGAGCTCACTTTGTAGCCCATGCTGGTCTGAACTCAACAGCCATCCTCCTGCCTCAGACTTCTGAGTGCTGGGATTACAGGGAAGCCTGGCTCTTGGCACTTTATTTCTTAAACTAAGCGATGGTTTCTGAAACTACAGATCTCAAATTGGTACTGGTGCTGCCTACTTTTCTCAAGTGGACATGTCCTCCATTCATTTGTGTTATGCTCTGGATCTGAACTGTCTACCCAGAGCCTTGTGTTTGGAAAGCCACTGGATCATGGAGCACCACACACATGGACCCACCCCATAGTTTCACAGTGCTGTGCCAGGAGGGGTGGGGATGCCTGGAGGTGACAGACTGCAGGGACACGACCTGAAAGCCTGTGACTCCCTCCCGGCTCCTCCCTTTTCTATTTGCTTCCTGCCTGCTGTGACAGGGTCGCTCTATTCCTGCGCAGACCATTCCACCATTTGGTTTTTGTCTTGGAGCCAGGTGACTGTGGACTGTAACCTCAGAACCATGAGCTCCAGTACACACCAACTTTAAACTGTGAGTGCTGGAAATCTGTCCAGGGACAAGAATATAATGAAGTCATTTGGAAATGGTTCTGTGATCTGACACGAAATTGGTCCTGCAGCACTGGGATGTTACCTTTCCCACATTCTAATCCACAGCAAAGTCTATTAGACGGAGTTGCTGTCTTTTGATTCCACTGACTTGCTTTATTAATCATTTCCTAGTACATTCAAGGAAGCAGAGCCCAGGTTCCCTGGCCCCTTAGTCTGCCACACTCATCTCCTAGGAGATCTTGGCTTGGAAGAGAGCTCTTACCTAATGATGGTCCTCCTCTATGGCAACTCACCTGCTTCACAGCAATGCTGACCCGGACAGAATTGATGGAGCCCTCAATCAGCACCTTCTCCTTCTCATTCCTGCTGATGGTAACAGGCTGCAAGAGGAGCTCTTTGCTACTCCTGAAGAACACAAAGTCACAGAAACTTCCATATCACACAGGTACAGAACAGCCAGGGCAGCCCCAAATCACTACCCAAGGCAAGAGGAATGAAGGAACCTATCTGAGCAGGATGGTCTATGACATTTGCAGATGTGCTCCACAAAAAGAGCACAGGTTTTAGAGTGAGGGTGAAAAGTTTTTGCACCTCAGCCTCCTGGGACGTCTCTTGAGCAAGAGCCTCTATGAGATCTCAATTTCTTCATCTGTAAAATGTCCATGATTCCCATTGCACAGGCAAGAACCAGGAGAGATCCAAAAGGCTCAAGGGTCTACTGGTGTCCCTGGCATGAAGCAGGAGCTTGGCAAAGACAGCTGACTTTGATAACTACAGACAAAGCAGTATGCTTTGAGGAATGAGGGAAACACCTGCTAAGATAGCCTAGCCTCAAGGGAACAAGGGAAATACCTGCTTAGCAAGGAAGACAGCTAAACTGAACAAGCTGACCTGCTATTTATTTATTTATGATTTTTGTACTGAGGATTGAACTCACGACCTCATGCTTGCCAGGCATGTGTTTTTGCCACTGAGCTAAATCCCTGGCCCTTTTATTTTCAAAAGGCTCTTAGAGTCAAACCCAGGGCCTCATGCATGCTAGGCAAATGATCTACCGCTGAGGTACAAGCCCAGCCCTAGACTCCTTTAATTATCAATCCAGAATTATTTACTTATTTATCACTGAGACCTTTATCAGTTCAAGGCACAATTTAACATCTCCTGAATATCTAGGATATTTATAAACAAAGTTAATTATGGTGGTCGGTAAGCTGTGACTATTTTAAATTGCTGTGGAAATTACATATGTTAACAACACATTTTAATACTACTTTTACAATTCAAATCAAATCAAATAATCATTTACTATTATGATAACATGGCCTATTTCAGTTACTTGTTTCAGGTTACTTTTTTTTTCTTTATGAGGCAGGATCTCACTATGTAGTGCAGATTGGCCTCAAACTAAGGTGATCCTCCTGCCTCAGCTTACTGAGTACTGGGATTACAGGTGTGCATCACCACACCTGGTTCAGATTACAGTTCAAAGGATGAGCTAGGAACGTAGCTCAAAGGTACAATGCTTGCTTATCATGTCCAAAACCCTGGAATTGAAACCCAGTAATCAAAAAAATTTTAAAAATTAAAGAATTTATGAAATGAAATTAAAACTAGGCAAGAAAAAAATCTTGCCTTACTGTTTTACCACTTTGCTATCTTTTCTGCCTTCTGCATGCCATGGACTGTTTCTCTGTGATGCCCCTCTGCCAGGCCATTCTGCCTAAAAGCCAGCCAACTGTGGACTGAACCTCCACAAACAGTGAGCCAAATAAACCTCTCCTTCCTTAAAAAGAAAATTAGAATACTGAATATTTGAAGTTAGAGGATACAGAATGTTAAGGGGGAAAAATTCTTGATCCTTCAATTAGAAAACTATAGAGTTAAACTCAGATATCTTTGGAAACTTACAGTGGGTTCAGTGATGAACACCGCAGGAGTCTTCCTCACAGCCCTACTCTAACCAGTCACACCTGGGCCAAGTGAGCTTGGTGCCAGAGGAGCGTCTCCCCTGGGTCTCGCCCTGCCAACCCACTGACCCTGTTTTCTTATTCCAAATTGGGAACCACTGTTCATCTGGCAGCAAAACAAAATATGTCAACTGAAGCTGACACAAGGACCGCAGGGTCGATTCACGGCAGCCTCTAGGCAGCAGCTGTCCCTGTAGCTGCTTCCTCCTCCCCACCCTGACCCTTCCCTACCTGACTTCCACTTCCGGCTTGTTGTGTCGTTCCACAACCTGGGAGGAGAAATTCTCCAGGCAGAGGGCAGCCTGCAGCGTGGCCCGCACGGCACTCAGGTAGGGGCGGAGGGTGGCAGTCTGTAGGAAAAATGCCAAGGGTCAGGAAGAATCAGAATCTGCCTTGCTAAACTGACTGGTCCCAACTCCAGCTCCCACAGAGCCAGGCAGTATGAGGGGCACCCAGGTCTCGAACTCCAGGGAACAGCAACACTATGCCTCTAAGATGCTGTTCAGTCTTAAGTTCAGAGCAGTGGTTCTCAACAGGGAGTGACCATGCCAACCAGTGGACATGCGGCAACATCAGCACCTTTTGTATTCTTGTGAGTTGTTGGGGCTGTGTGACTGGCATCACATGGATAGGAGGTCAGGCACGCTGCTAAGGACCCTATGGTTCACAGTCCTAAGTGTCAACAGTGCTGAGCTTGAGGATCTCTGGTCCTTTACCTGCCTATTTTTCATTTGTTCACTCATTCGTTTATTGAGACAGGGTTTCACTATGCAGTTCAGCCTGATCTCAAACTCACTTTGAAGCCCAAGCTGGACTCGAACTCTCAGCAACCTTCTTGCCTCAGCCTCCAGTGCTGGGATTACAGGCGTGTGCCACCATGCCTGCTTTGGCCAGCCTACTAGCCAGCATACGCACTGGTCACCTGCTAGCCAAGCCAAAAACTCTATCTGCAAACAGTTCAAATGGGTAGGGGTCATATGATACAAAGGGGGTAGAAAAGTGAAATATTTACACTTGGGGTCTCTTACCCTACAACAGAAACAATGTACTATCTACCTGTGTGTCCAATTTATGAAATGTGAAATAATCTGTATTATAAGTAATTGTATTGGAAAAACAAAAAAGGTATTATCTGGAGACAGGATCAAGAGGATTTTATGAATAAGAAATAAAGCAAGGACATTCCAGTAAAGACATCAGTTTACAGTTACAGTAGTCAGTCAGATTACTCTTTTAGTCAAATTCTCGTTTTAAGGCATTACACATGCTCTCTAACGCAATCCTTTAGCACTCAGCTTATTAGGGAAAGTCTCTTCCTCCTCACAATCCTTTTTTGACTTCCTGTCATGCAATTATTCTAATCTGCAGCAATCCATCTGTCGTATGTCTTTTGTACAGTAATTTCCCCTCACAGTCAGCACAGATCATGTCTACTTTATTCATTTGCACAGCCTATACCTACTCAGTATCTAACACATACAGTGTCTCACTAATTTTACGTAGAATGAAAAAAGGACTGATTGAAGCAAAGCCCCAAGTCAGGGGTGGTTATACATACTTTTAATCCTAGCACTTGAGAGACTGAGGCAGGAGGATTGAGATTGGTCTGAACTACATAGTGAGATTCTATCTCAAAATGAAAAAAAAAAGCCAAGTACAGTGGTACACACCTATAATCTCAGGACTTGGGAGGCTGAGGCAGGATTGCCTCAAATTCCAGGTCAGCTGGGATACACAGGGAGTTCAAAGCCAGCCTGAACCTCATAGCAAGAAAAAACAAAGCAAGGCTACAAAACAAAAGGCAGTGAGAGTTCCAGAAGCCATAAGGAGTACAAAGTTTCTGTACATGAGAAGCAGTCTGTACCACTGAGGTTCCTGCAGTGGCAGGCTAGGAACAGGGTACTGGGTTAGCTCTTCGTGTAGTGCAGCAGGAAGCACTGGGGCTTTCTGGGGAGGAAGTTACACACTGCGGCTGCATGTCTGCTCCCCGGAGAAGGGACTGGAGAGGGAAGTGAGATGTACCAGCAGCGCTCATCGGAGCCTAGATTAGGGTGGTGAAGCAGACAAGCAGAAGGCACACAGGGACTGGCGTGACTTTAGGTGCACGGCATAACAGAATCAAAAAATAACTTCCAATAGACTGTGGCCCACTCATACAATGAAATAGTATTCAACAATAAAACAAACTACTAACAAATAGATCTCAAATGTATTATGGCAAGAAGTAACATTTAAAAGCCCACACGCTAGTGGTCAAGGTAGAGTGCTCACCTAGCACATGCAAAGTCCTGAGTTCAACCTTCAGAAGAATAGTTACCATTTCTTTAAAAAGCCTACATACTAAAAAATTCTACTTACATAGGAGTCTGGAAAAAGTAAAATGATGAAGACAAGACATCACTGGTCGTCTGGGGGAGGTAATGGGCGATTGAAAACTTTTGAGGGTCACAAAAATGTTCTGTATCTTGATTACGACTGGTTACATGACTATTTTATCCACATTCATAGACTGGAAATCTAATGGTGAATTTTAGACGGCCAGCCCTATGAGGCTGGTAGTTTCACGAAATAGCTCAACAAACGTGTATTCTTTCAGACTCAAGAGGCTAAAGGAGGATCGCAGAGCTCAAGGCCAGCCTGAACTAAGTAACAAGCGCCCGTCCCAAAACAATGAAAAAGACAAAAAGGGGGATGGGGTGGTTGAGGATGTAGCTCAGTAAATGTTCAGTGTAATCCTCAGTACAAAAAAAAAACCAAAAAACCATGTCCTCAATCCGACGAAATGCCCAGGTTTCCAGACGAGATTAAAAAAAACGCAGGCAGGATGAGTACCAAAGAAAGAAGAGCAAATTTAGAACTACAGTCCCAATTTCAAGATGTCTTCAAGATAGCCGGTAAACCTTGAAAGACAACTAGGAAAGCAGCTGGTGGAGTCACCATAGGTCATCCAAAGTTGAAACTAGATAAGTATCACCAGGAAATTCGCTAGGAGGGGAAGGGAAGCCAAGCCACAACTCCCAAGAGCGGCCAAATACAAGGTGCTGGAAGAGAAGGATCAGCAGTGTCAAAGTTTACGCACAGTGAGGTCAACAAGGTTTGGCTCTGACCAGGAAGGGGCCTGAATGGAGGCAGGAAGATTCTTTATTCGGGTTGAGGCAAGGCTGAGAGTACCGACAAGAGGCTATGGAAAAAGAGGATATCTGCCTAGGCAAACTGGGGCTCAGAAGACAGGCCAGGAAGGGGGGGGGGTGTGGTCAGCAGAGCCCTACCTTGGACGAGAAAATACTACACACCTCCGCAGCCTCAGAGGCCCACAACGTGCCTTCGAGGCAGGACCGCAGGCCTGAGCGACCCGCTTTCGAATCCCGCGCGCCTCGGTGCGATATACCTGTTTCGGGCCACAACTGTGGAGCCGCCAGGCCGGCCCCTTACCAGGAGTCTCCCAACCGCCCCTTCCTCTCTTCGGACGCCCCACTTCAGCCTCCCACCCTCATAGTGCCCGCACGTCCTCGGGCATCCCTCGGCCTCTGGCCTCTGCGGCAAGGCGGTCTCGTCCCCAAACCCATAGCTCTGAGGCACAAAAGACAAGAGTCCCGGACCGGGTCCCGACTCTCACCATTGCGGGCGCTGGCTGGGCAGGAAAGCGGAAGTGCAGAAGTGGCCGGCGCGCTACGCCTGGCCGTTTGTAACGCGCAGCCGCACTCACCGCCCGGGCTTCTGGACGGTACCATCTGTGTTCTGAGAGGGGACATTAGAGACTATTAACAGTGGGATCCTCAGGCAATGTTCACACTAAGCCTCGCTTGGTGTTTTTAAAGTCATAAAATTGCAGATCACTACTCAGCCTTCTCTGATACTCATGCGTCTTTCGCTTTGGTCTTTCTATTTTTAATCCTCTTTTCTGTAGCCTCCCCCAGTCACGCAATAGTGCAGCCCCACTTTAGGTTGGGCACCAAATTAGGACAAACCGAGGCGGAGGAGCCTTACGTTCCTTCCGGTTCTGCGCCTTCATCCTGTCCCGGCCCCTCCCTCCCTGCCGCCCCTGGCTCGGCGGGGTACCTGCTCTGCGGAGATTTCACCGCTGGGCTCCGCCCCCAGCCCGAGCAGTTCCCTGGGGCTCACCCGCGGCCTGGAAGCCCCCCTCGCTGCGGGCTCATACCCCCCCCTTACCCGCAAGTCGCAGTGGGCACACCCGCCGTCTCCCCGCCCCGCGTGCGCGGCAGGGGCCGCCCATAACCAGTTCCGGGGCGGTTTCTCGGATTGACCCGAGCTCCTCGCCCCCCCTCCGCGGCCCCGGGGGCTTTAGGAGGCCGCGGAGAGGAGGTAGAGGGGCGGTAGCTGCGTTAGCGGATCCCTAGGGGGCTGGGACTCTGGGACGGGACATTTGGGCGACCCACGGCTTGCGCCAGCCATTAAGCAGTCCCCCTTCTGTGCCAGGCACTGAACTGGGCTCTTGACGAGCAGCATCTCTTAATCCTCAGAACGTCCCGGGGAGGTAGGTACTGGTGTTATCCCCATTTTACAGATGCATAGTTTCTGAGGGGAAACAGACATCTTTTGACCCCATTTTGCATACAGAGTTTAATTAAGGTTAATTAAGTTCTGTGGGACCTACTGACAAAAAGGGGGCATGAACCCAGTTCTGTTTGTCTGACCAGCTCATGTTCCAAACCACTCTTTGAGGCATGGAGAAGGGGAAAAGGTGGAGTGGGGTGCACAGGGAGACCGGGAAGCACAGAATACAGAAATGTGTGCAGCACCCAGAGGCTTTGGAGAGCCCTGGAGAAAAGAGGAAAATGAGCTCAGTGGTGTATCTTGGTGGTTTCGGCTGCAGACACAAGACTACCTGGGTTCAGGTTCTCGGTTTCCCTTTTTGTGAAAAGGAGACTGTCAGGTTTGGGTGAGGAAACTGGTGAAATGCTAAGCTTTGCACCTGACGTGGTTTGCGCTGGGTGCTCTCCGATTCAGAACTGTGCGCTCGGCCTTGTCAGTAAGGGTGCCTGGGTCTCTGATTGAGGCGGTCTCCCGAGGAAGAAGCCCTAGGACTCACACTACTTTGTCTCCACCAATGGCCTTTTCTCCAGCTCTGCAGGGTCCCACCTCCTGGGCCATGAGTGAGCTGAAGGACTGCCCATTGCAGTTTCATGACTTCAAGTCTGTGGACCACCTCAAGGTCTGTCCCCGTTACACAGCAGTGCTGGCCCGCTCTGAGGATGATGGCATCGGCATCGAGGAGCTCGACACCCTCCAGCTGGAGCTTGAGACCCTGCTGTCCTCTGCCAGCCGGCGCTTGCGTGTGTTGGAAGCTGAAACCCAGGTGATACCCCAAGCAGGGGACATCACCAGAGATGGACTGTGTCAAGTTATGGAATGGGTCATTAGGTTAGCTCAGGCCACGAGACTGACTAGAAAAAAAGAGCTTAAATTGGGCTTCTTGAACACATAAAATGTACATGACCCAGATGTGGTGGCACATGCCTGTGTATTTCAGTCCTTGGGAAGCTGAGGCAGGAGAATCACCATGAGTTTGAGGCCAGTGTGAACTACATAGGGAGACCCTACCTCCAGAAAAAAGGGCCATGAATTTGTGTGATTCTCATCGTACCCACCATTATGTTCTGAGTCAATAGAAAAGTCTCAGAACACTTTGGTCCATCAGGAACTTGTCAGCTAAAGGGAATGGGGAGATCTGAATTTGAACCCTGACCTTAGGTACTTATTAGTGTTGCTGTTACTAAGTATGTGACTTTCAGAAAGTTATTTTATTTCTGAGCTTCCATTTCCCTACCTCCAAACTGGGCTGAACCTATCTTTATAACTTTTGTGAGAATTAAAAGGAAAATTCTGTCTGGGCTCTGGTGGCACAAGCTGTAATCCCAGCTACTCTAGAAGGTGAGGTAGAAAGATCAGAAGTTCAAGGCCATCCTTGGCTACATAGCAAGTTCAAGCCTGGCCTGGACTACCTGGGAGACTAAAATGAACAGGGATGTAGCTCGGTACTCTTTGGATTCAGTCCTTAGTACTGCAGGAAAAAAATTTTGCAAAGACTCAGCCCAATATCTGACTCTTTTTTTTTTTCAATGTCTGACTCTTAAAAAAGCACTTCAGATATTACTTACCGGTACTACTTTGATTTTTTTTTCATGCTTGCCAGACAGGTGCTTTGCCACTGAGCTATATTCCCAGCCCACTTTATTTCGTTCACTGCATAAGCATCCCTTGAACCTGTGTGCCAGCCACTCTGCTGGATCCTGAGGAGCAGGGTGCTGAAGATGTGCATCCTCTTCTCCAGTAGCTTATAGTCCACTTGAGCAGTGTGCAGGTGTGCTGTTCCTTCAGGCATGTCCAGCAACATGACTGGGTCTGCAGTGGACACGCGAAGTGCCAGCAGCTCACAGAGGGAAGCAGCAGGAAGTGCCAGCTCAGTTGGATCTCAGTGGACAAATAAAATTCACATGTAGTTCTGGAAATCCATGGAATCTTCCAAGGAAGCGATGGCACAATCCGTTGTATTTTGGCATCTAAGAAGCCAGGTTACTGATGAGGAGAAGGCATTCCAGATGGAGGTCTGAAGTAGACGTTCGCTGCAAATCTTGCTTGCCTTCACTAGAAAGTGTCCACCAGCAAATTGCAGGGCTAGCAGGCACAGGTGTCATCTTTCCTTGACTTCTGTGCTAAACAGTTTGTGACTATCCTGAGTGAACAGAGGTGAGTCAGAGTACAGACAGAAAGTGAATAGAGTGGTAAGAAGTATCTGAGTAAAGTTTTGTGGGGTGAGACAGAGCCACAGGAAAAAAAAAAAAAGAAAGGAAATGTTTTGTCTGGGCCTGGTGGTGCACACTCATAATCCAAGCACCCAAGAAGCTGAAACAGGAGGGTCACTTGAGTTCAAGTGGGCTACATAATGAGTTTAAGCCCAGTGTGAATTACACAGAAAGGAAAAAAGAAAAAGAAAGTTGAGATTTGAAGAATGGGTGCAGTTTCTTCAGCAAAAAGAAGACCTTGGGGCTGCCTTAGATTCTCATTCACTGGGGAAAGGGTGTCCTGTGTGCCCTTCTTCACCGTGACAGTCTCTGTACATTTCAGATCCTCACTGACTGGCAGGATAAGAAAGGTGACCGGCGACTCCTGAAGCTAGGTCGAGACCACGAGCTTGGAGCTCCTCCCAAACACGGAAAGCCCAAGAAACAGAAACTGGAAGGCAAGGCGGGACATGGGCCAGGTCCTGGCCCTGGGCGACCCAAATCCAAAAACCTTCAACCCAAGATCCAGGAGTATGAATTCACTGATGACCCAATCGATGTGCCACGGATCCCCAAGAATGATGCCCCCAACAGGTTCTGGGCCAGAGAACAGAGTGGGGTCTCAAGATTCTGCTATTGGGGGTGGTGTTGGAGGGTGACAGGGATGCCCACTCTATTTCTGCTCCTCCCCGTAGGTTCTGGGCCTCTGTGGAACCCTACTGTGCTGATATCACCAGCGAGGAAGTGCGCACGCTAGAGGAACTCCTGAAACCACCAGAAGATGAGGCTGAACATTACAAGGTAGAGATCCTGGGCCTCCAGAGAACAGGACAGATGAGAGAGCCAGAAGGCCTCCAGATCACAGATCACAAAGCCACATGTCCTCCGCCTTTGCTGACCTTACCAAGCCTCTTGGCTGGTTGTTAGTCCATCGGACACCCAGCCCCAAAATGGTCCCCACAGCTTCAGGCGTGCACACCGGTGAGGTATACTCGTGTCCCTTCACCTCCATCCGTGCTTGGTTGTCTCTTAGGACTTGATTTTTTTTTTGAGACATGATCTCACCATGCAGTTCAGACTGGCGTTGAGCCCACTGTGTAGCTCACTATGTAGCCCAGGCTGGCCTCAAACTTGAGGTGAATCCTCCTGCCTCAGTGCTAGGATTACAAATGTGGGCCACCAAGCCCAGCTCCCTTGTGACCCTTTATCCAAAGAGTCTCTCGATATTTTCCCCACTTTTAGGTCTCCAGAGGGGTTTTTCTTTTACTTACTTCATTAGAGAAGAGTAACAAGGTGTGATTGTGCACACCTGTAAGCAAAGCATTGTGAGAGGCTGAGGCAGGAGGAGCACAGTCTGGAGTTCAGACTGAGCAACTTAGTGAGATCTTATGTCAAAAACTTAAAGCTGGACTGTGGCCCACCACAAAGGCTTCAGATTTAGTCCTCCAGTCCTCTGCAGCGGGGGCAACAGGCAAATGTCACCGACCTGGTTTAAAAACATTGTTGGCTTAAAGTCTGCTTCCTTACAAGGCATGTCTCCGCCTCCCCACAGCCCCCAGGGTAGGGAATGGGACTCACCCATCATCAGCTCCCATTATCACACGGGCTCATAACTGAGCTTGGCTCCCACTTGCCACAGATTGAGTTCCGATGCTCAGTGTTTATGTCACAGCCAGTGCCTCTCTCTGTTTTCATAGGGGAGGCTCTAAGTTCCATCCCTGGCACCAAAAGCAGAACAGAACAGCAACAAAATAATTTAAGAGCTGGGGGGCATTTATACAGTGGAGCACTTGCCTGGCACACAGGCCTCTGGGTTCAGTCCCCAGCACCGTGATTAAATAAATAATCCATGTAGGCCATAGTAAATTGAAGCAAGGCAAGGAGTAACTCCCTTTCCCTCCGACCCAGAGGCCTTTATTTCTTTTTGCTAGTAGCAGTAGCTATGGCTAAAAGGACATGGATGTGCACAATTTTTTTACACCTAGATCTTGGCATTGTTTCACGTCAGTTTCTCTGTGTTCTGGGTCTTTATGAGCCTAGCTCTCTTTCTAGGAGAGTAAGTGTGGAGATTTTTATCTCCTCTGTCTCTTCTGACCTGTCTGTATGCTGGCCTTACCCCTGGGCTAGGGACTAAAAGACAGGTAAGGGAACAGGCAGAGGAGGAAGCTTGAGCTCAGGGAGAGGCCTGTGCGCTCTAGAGCTTGCAGGCTGAGTGGCCACCTCCCCACAGATCCCACCCCTGGGAAAGCATTATTCCCAGCGCTGGGCCCAGGAGGACCTGCTGGAGGAGCAGAAGGATGGGGCCCGAGCGGCAGCCGTAGCTGACAAGAAGAAGGGCCTCATGGGGCCACTGACTGAACTGGATACCAAAGGTAGGCCCCTTCCCCTGCTTGTGCCAGGCCAGCACTTTGAGTTCCTGGAGCTTCATCTGCCCCTCACCCACTTCTCTACACTTTCAGATGTGGATGCCCTGCTGAAGAAATCTGAGGCCCAGCATGAGCAGCCAGAAGATGGGTGCCCCTTTGGTGCCCTGACACAGCGCCTCCTTCAGGCCCTAGTGGAGGTGAGAGCTTCTACTAAGATCCAAGCTGTGTTTCCTTCCTGTTTTTTGTTTTGTTTTGTTTTTCTTTTTGAGACAGGGTCTTGCTGTGCAGTTCAGGTTGGCCTTGGGCTCACTTTGTAGCCCAGGCTGGTCTCGAACTCTTCAGTGATTCTCTTGCCTCAGCCTCACGAATGTTGGGATTACAGGTGTGCACCACCACACCCCGTTTACCTTAGGGTTTTAACATTTCATGGCTGTCAGTTTGATGAGCTTACAAAATGTTTCTGTGTCCCTCAGACTGCTTTTGTGCCCTTTCTAGTCTCTGATCTCCCCCAAGATAGCTGCTCATCAGTTCCTCATGCTGTGCCCTGGCTGAGCATGGGTCCCCGTGCAGCTGCTTCTCCACACACCCTCATGCTGGAGTCCAGGACAGTGGTGGCTCTGCATCACATATAAGGAAACAGGGCTCAGCCAAGGCACTCTAAGTACCTCACAGCTGACAACAAGGGTGGGGTCCAGACCTTCAGCATCTCCGTCTTTATACCCACTGCCTAGCAGTAAGCAACCTGTCCCACCTTGTGGACACTCACATTTTCTTCTGGCTCAACAGTACTTTATTTCTCTGTCTGGGGCATATATTCCAGGTCAACTAAGGCAGATGTAGTGGAGGTCTCTGTCTCACACTCTCAGAGATCTCACCTGATGGCGTCTTTGCATTCTGGGTGTGATTGTCACTCCAAGAAAGTGAACAGAACGATCTAAGTACAATCCTGGCTACTTGGGAGGCTGAGGCAGAGGGACTGAGAGTCTGAGTCAGCCTGAGAGAGACTTTGTTGCAAAACGTATTTTAATCCCTGTAGTGGGGCAGGGGACCGAACAAGTATGGGGAAAGCTTTTGGGCTGTGACTCACTGTGGCTCTTTTCTCTTGATCTCTTGTCCTGTGACCACAGCTGATTGCAGGGAAACATAGGAAACAATGCAGCCCTGCTGCTGTGCAGAAAGGAGAGCACGGTGCTGGGACAACTCGCAGTCCCTGTCCCTGTGTGCTTTGCAGTGCTGGGGACCTTGCAAATGCTTAGGACACCTTGGCTGTTCCCATTTCCGCTGCCGAGTACTACTGTCTTCCAAAAAGAAAAGAATTTCTAGCAATACTTCACAGAGGTGGTGGGAAATATCACAGGGTATTTCTGATCTGTGATATCACCCACAGGCCCACAGGCCAGGAAGAAGCAAAAATATGGAAACAAGCTGGGTGTGGTGGTGCACATCTGTAATCCTAGCATTTGGGAGGCTGAGACAGTTGGATCACTGTGAGTTCGAGACCAGCCTGGGCTACCAAGTGAGCTCAAGGCCAGAGTGACCTGCATAGTGAGATCCCGTCTCAAAAAGACAAAAAAAAAAAAAAAAAAAAAGCGTATGAAAACACTAGCTCTTTCTCTTTCTAACCATTGCTGTGGTCTTCCAGGAAAATATTATTTCCCCTATGGAGGACTCTCCCATTCCTGATATGTCTGGGAAAGAATCTGGGGCCGATGGGGCGAGCACCTCTCCCCGCAATCAGAACAAGCCCTTCAGGTAAGTAATGTCACTGCACTCGAGGCGTGGCCATCCTGACAGGAAATCTTCCTTAACGGGGAGGCAGAGGTGGGCTGCTGAGTGCCAAGTGCTGAGTGCCAGTCTGGCTGTCAGTGCACATGGGCTGAATGCAGGCTGGCTCCTTGCATGTAAATACCCTGGGCACTCACCAAAAGGAAGTGGCTGGATAAATTGTCATAACCGTAACATCCATGATGAAGTAACCTGCAGCTGTTAATTGTGTCTGAGAAACACGCCTAATTGGCATAAAAGAAAGTGGACCATAGATTACCAAATGGGGAAAATGTTCATTATAGCCCAGTGTAGGTGGTTTGATCTTACCTTTACTTAAGATAGATATTGCGGTTTAGCTCAGCAGCATAAGTGCCTGCTTGGCAAACTCAAGGACGTGAGTTCGATCCCTGGCACCAAAACCAAAAAAGATATTAATACATGCATGTAGAGGAAAAAACCTGGAACAATATATAGCATTATAATTACTGCTAACACAGTTTGGAGCACACACAGATTTGGGGATGGGCAGTTCCAAAGCAAAAGGTAGATGTCACTAGGCTCAGAATCCTGGGGACTGCTGAGGGCTCCCTGCCAAGCTGGCCCCTGAGCTGAGGGGCTGTTCCCTGGATCCTGAGGTGTCTTCACTCTCAGTGTGCCCCATACCAAGTCCCTGGAGAGCCGCATCAAGGAGGAGCTGATTGCACAGGGCCTGCTGGAGTCCGAGGACCGCCCTGCAGAAGACTCAGAGGACGAGGTGCTTGCTGAGCTGCGCAAGCGGCAGGCCGAGCTGAAAGCACTCAGTGCTCACAACCGCACCAAGAAGCATGACCTGCTGAGGTGAGTGTGAGGAGGACAGCCCGGGCTTGCCAGGAGCCTTGGTTCCCCGGGGGTCGCCTTCCAGGGCTCTGACAGGCTCCCCAGGCCTTGAGGACCCATAGTGCTGGGCACCATTCCCCTGGGCGCACTCAGATTCTGAGCCCCAGAGTGGGGTGTAGGCACCTGGCATGGATCGACTGAGTGTTCTGTTTTGGTACTGGGAATTGAACTCAGGACCTTGTGCTTGCCAGGCAGGTGCTGTGCTGCTGAGCTATATCCCCAGCTTGACTGGGGTTTTTTACATGTGAAAAAATGTAAAATTTACACTCACTCAACCATTTTAAGTGTACAGTTCAGTAATGTTGACTGTATTCGTGTTGCATTGTTTATCTTTTAAGTCTTTCAGGTTTATTTTCATTTGTCCTAACAATTTAATTTCACTTTATGAAAAATTAGATCAGAAAAAAATGTAATAAATACAGTGTACTCTTTACCAGATCAGCTTAATAGCATTTTGTTGGACATTATGATTTTTATTGGCCTAACGTGAAGGTGATCAGTGTTTCAGGAATCAGTGTCACTTGTGTTATAACAGCTTCCATCTACAGTAAGTAGCACAATGTGCACTGCCTTTTCGTGGGAGATAACTCACACTAGACTTGTTGCTTTTCCAGACAGAGGAAAGTACAGAGATGTCCCATAAGCCCCTGCATCCACACAGGTACCTCCTCCCGCTTGAGGAGCTGGAGGTTGAACCCAAAGCCATGGACATGCTCTACCACTGAGTGTAGTCCCAGCCCTTTACAGTTTTTTGTTTAAAATGGTGCCGCTAGCTGGTCGTGGTGGCGCACACCTGTAATCCCAGCATTTGGGACTGAGGCAAAGCGTTCAAGGCCAGCTGCATGGCGAGAGCCTGTCACAGAAAATGAAAAAAAGATCTGCTTAGTGGTTGAGGACTTGCCTAACACACGCAGTGCCCTTGCCCACAAAGTGCGGAACACATGGTACCACATGAGCGTGCTCAGTGATGTGTTGCTCTGGGACAGTGGTGCCAGCCCAGAGGAGGCTCTCTACAGGCAGTGGGGGCCACGCTCTGACGTGACTGGCTGGTCCCCACAGGTTGGCCAAGGAAGAGGTGAGCCGGCAGGAGCTAAGACAGCGAGTCCGCATGGCAGACAATGAGGTCATGGATGCCTTTCGCAAGATCATGGCTGCACGGCAGAAGAAGCGGACTCCCACCAAAAAGGAAAAGGATCAGGCCTGGAAGACCCTGAAGGAGCGGGAGAGCATCCTGAAGCTGCTGGACGGGTAGCTCGCCGCCCCCCGGCTGCTGCCCTGGCCTTGGGGAGGCCCACTTCCTTCCACGGTGCCAGAAGCCGTGCCTGGGCTGCCCGTCAGAGGGGGGCAGTTTGGAGAGGACCGTGGCCTCCTAATGTCCTCGGGCCCCCTCAGTCTAGGCAGGATGCAGGAGGCCCTGCGAGGCTGGCCTGAAGCCCAGTTTCTGCTTGGCCTCAAGATGGGGCTTTATGTCTGGGGCTTCCTCTTTTCCCTCTTCCCCATTCCTCCTTCCCTTCTTGCCCTCAAGGACTTCTGCCTTGTGGTTTTGTAAAGTGCAAATTTAAGAATAAAGTGACTGCTGTGGTTTTGCAAAAAAAAAAAAAAAAAAAAAAAAAAAAAGCACTTTTTGCTGTTGTGGGGAGTAGGGAGGGACTATGGTTCTTGGTGTTGTGGCAAAGACTGAGGAGGCGGATTGGTGGCTTTCAGCTGTGTTCACTTACCCCTACCATTCCTGCAGGTGCCCTTTCTGAGCTCTGCTTTCTGAGGCTGCTGTGGCTGTATAACAGAACACCCCGAAAACACACTGGTTGGGGCTTGGCAGTCTTGGGCCAGGGTTGGCCAGCACAGCACTCAACAGAGCCATGCAGGGACCAGGTTCTTTGTTTTTTATGGTTCTGGAGATTGAACCCAGGGCCTTCAGTCTTTTCTTTTTTGTCTCTTTGCCTTTTTGAGACAGGGTCTCACTGTGCAGTTCAGGCTTTGAATTCACAGCAGTCTTCCTGCCTCAGCCTTCTGAGTGCTGGAGCTAGAAGCACGTGCCCTCATGTCCCACCTTCTCATTCTGAAGTGCACCGTCAGCCCTTGTTCATTTTTTGAGGCAGAGTATTGTAAAGTTTCCCAGGCTGGGCTTGAACTTGCCTCCTATTTCAGCCTCCTCAGTGCTGGGATTACTGGCGTGTGCCCCCACACCTGGCCAGATTGGGGTCTTTACCTGTCTCTACAGCATGAGTTGCCTGGCAAGGTGTGTAAGCCTCTAGCCCAAGGTGGTAGGCAGTAACAGTTGGAACCACTGTCTCCTTATGTATGCCCAGCTAGGGAGAGGGCAGGAGCCAGCTGGCTTCCATGCCCACCAAGAAGAGCGCAGCCCTTTCCCAGACAGCCTTCTGCCTCAGTCCCCAAACCAGGTCACACATGTGGCACCTGAAACTGTCCTTGTGGTGAGAGATGACTAGGGTTTAAACTAGTTGGAGTAGATTCTGCTACTGCCAGTCCACAGCAGTGAGGAGACCCAGCATGTGCTGGACAGGCTACCAGCAGTGCCCCACTGCTGGGCAGGAAGCCAGGCCTGAGGGGCTGGGGTGAAAATACATGTTACCATGAGTTCTTCCTGGGGTGAGAATGATTTGCGCTCTGTGGGAAGCTGAGGTCCACATGGGGTAGAGGGGATAATCCCTGAGGCAGTGACTCAGCTGTAAAGAAGATGCAGTCTTTGTGTTGGGAAAGTGACCCCACCCCACCACAGAAGTCTCTTGTGGGACTATGATCAAACTGGGGTGAACACATGGCCTTGTCTTGGCTGACCACAGCATCCCATCTCTAGAGCCACCGTGATTGACCCTGGGGATGGCCACGTGGCCTCATCTACACTACTCAAAGGCCTTTCTAAGAGATGCTTTGTGATGCTGAATTTCACATGCTTTTGGAACACAAGTAACGGACCATAAATTTAGACCAAACAGTGACTTGCTTCCCTGTCAGGTGGAAGACTGTCCCTCGTAGTAGAGCCCGCTGGAGATACAGACAGGACAGGGCAGGCGCAGTATCCTGACGATGGACCTGAGGCTCTGGGCCAGTCATTCCTGAAGCTACCAGGTCCCCCACTGGGCTTCCTAGGGATTCCAGTCACAAATGGCCCTAGCCGAAGCCAGTGATGGTGAACCTTTTAGAGACGAGTGCCCAAACTACAACCCCACACCCACCTACTACTGCAAACTGCCAGCTCTGCATCAGACCCGAACACTGAAGTTTTAAGTTTAGAAAAAGAAACTCGCCGCTAGGGATTTAGCTCAGCAGCATAAGTACCTGCCTTGCAAGCAGGCAGTGGTGAGTTCAATCCCCGGTACCAATAAAAAGGAAAAAGAAAAAAAAAAAAAGAAAAAGAAACTCATACATCAACATCTTTTGTCTTAAAAATAACTCACAAGCTGTAGGTTCACCACCCCTGGCTGAGCTACTTTGCCCTGCAGTTTTGTCATTTGTAACTAAAAAATGCCTAATAAAAGTGGATTTTGGCAAAAAGAAAGAGTGAAGTGCTGAGAGAGGAGACACCATGATACCCTGCCTCCCACTCGGTTCAAAGTCCGGCGGCTTCAGTTTTTCAGTGATGCACTGTCCCCAAGTTGCTCTGTAGCCTTCTCAGAAAAAACAGTGAGAAACCAGCCATGACAATGACAATGAAATCAAGTGCTCAGGGAATGTTACCCAAGTACCAGGAACTGTTTTGTTGTTGTTGGGTTTTTTGGGTTTTGTACTAGGGATTGAACCCAGCTAGGGTCTTCACGCTAAGCTACAACCCCTGACCTTTTTTTTTTGTCTTTTTCCTTTTTATCGGTACCGGGGATTGAACTCACGACCGCCTGCTTTCAAGGTAGGTGCTTATGCCGCTGAGCTAAACCCTCAGCCCCAACCCCTGACCTTTTGAGTGTTTTTTTTTTTTTTTTTTTTTTTTTAATTTTGAGACAGGGTCTCACTGAGTCACTAGTTCCCCAAAGTGGCACCAACTTTCAGTCCTCTGCCTAAGCCTCCCAGAGTGCTGGGATTACAGGTGTATGTCACTGTTCCCAGCTCCAGGCACCAAAACTTGCTTGACTATTTAATGGTATGGTACCAATAACATCTTACTTATGTAATGAAGAAACCGTGTCAGGAAATTTTCATACCTTGCTTAGTCAAACCGTTTGAGCGTTTGAGTTGTTAGATAGCTTGGGGGGAACCCTATCCTACCACAGTCTGCATGAACAGTGCACCCTATTATGAGGGAGGGATGGTACCAACCTGTGCAGTCATGCACAGCAATCCTGCGTGCAGACCCGTTTCTGACTAACCACCCACCTGCTCACCAGGCCAGACCATAAGGTTGGTAGGTGTAGTGGAAAGAGCTCCAGGAGGGAAGACGGCTTTGTGGGCAGAGTGAAAGCCTATGTCCCAGAATCGGGCAGAAAAGGAAAGAAAAGAGCTGCAGATGGAAGAATGCCAGAAGGGGGACTGGGCCTGGTTGGTTGGGGAGCAGACTGAACTTTGCAGAATCCGTCCTGAGCGCTCTAGTTATTTTCTATTGCAGAGGCTTGTAGGTGCTGGGCCTCCAGCTACACCTCCCTTACCTCCCCAGCACTGGGGGTTTGCATGGCCTTCGTGCTGAGCTACATCCCCAGCACTTTTATATTTTGATTCTTGCTAATTTGCCGTCTCCTACCTTGGCCTCCCAGAGTGCTGGGACTACAGGTGTGTCCCACCACACCTGGCAGCAACCTGATCTACTTGATGGCATTAGTTCCCCACAAGATGAGTTGTATTTCTAGGTCTAAAGGACACAAAGCCTCCCAGAAGTTACTGCCCCAGAGAGCACCATCACTGACAGCATTCTCTGGCCCATTTGTGTCTGCCAGAGCAAAAGCAGGCCTCTTTTACTGGTTTGTGAAAGTTGGATTCTTGCGTGTAGAGGAAGATGAGTCCAACACAAGTCTCCAATTCTAATTTGCAACCATCTTGACTTTTTCTTTGTATGTTTTTGGTTTTCTTGAGACAAGATCTTGCTATGTAGTTCAGGGTGGCCTTGAACTCATTATGTAGCCCAGGCTGGCTTTGAACTCACCATAATCCTCCTGCTTCAGCTTCCCAAGTGTTGGGATGATAGGGGTGTCTCACCATGTCCTGCTCCTTTTGCTAGTTATGGAGGAAACACTAGTATCCACCGTGTAGAGGCCTAGATGCCTGTAATTGCCCTTGAAAAACATAAGGGTGCGTGAGAGCTGGGAGATGAAGCCCTGACCAGGAAGGGCGCCCAGCCCTGTCTCCACCTTTGCACTCTGGGGGCCATGCACCATGGTCTGCTGCAGGTACTACTGAGAAGGACCAGAAGGCCAGAAGTTTACAGAAAGGTGGCCAGGGCTGGGACTCGGATTCAGCTCCGTGTGACCCCACCTGGGTCTCTTCGCCCACCCAGGTGGTATCTGCTCATCTCTATTTCCTGGTTCATACTTTGGTTCCCCAGTTGGTGATGCCGCACCCGACCTGGGAGCAGTGGAGCACCTGAGCCTGCTAAGGCCGCCGCTGGACACACTACGCTGGCAGTGGGTGCTGTGACAGGATCCGAGGCGGTGTGCAGGCTCAGAGAGAGACCTCGCAGCAGCCTCAGCACCAGGAGGCCTGGGAAGATGGGCAGGGCGTTGCCAGGCAGAGGCTGATACTCCCAAGAAAGAGCAGCGGGGAGCTGGGGTGCAAAGAGCCAGCCACTGGCTTGGAGAGGCAGGTGTGGCAGCGTGAGGGGCACCAGGGGCTGTGGTCTCCAAGTCAGAGCTTCTCAAAGTGGGTGCCTGGGCCAGCAGCGTCCCCTTACCTGGGCATGTGAAAAGGTGCTGAGCCTATGCCCCATACCTCTGAGCTTCAAGCTTGTTCTGTTGCAGACCTGGCTACTCGGTGGCTGGGGGCAGAAGACTACTTGAGCCCTGGGCCTGAGTCTGGGAGTTTCAGGCCAGCTTAGGCAATGCAGGGAAATGCCACTGCAAAAAAAAAAAAAAAAAAAAAAAAAGTGACAAAAATGTCTTTTAGCTGATTCCTAGTGTACATTAAGTTGTTTTTATTTGTTTGTTTGTTTCTTTTCCTTTTTGAGCCAGTCTCCCTACACAGTTCAGGCAGGTTTTGAGCTGACTTTATAGTTGAGGCTAGACTTGAACTCGCACTGATCCTCCTGCCTCAGCCTCCTGAATGCTGGGATTACAGGCATGCACCACCATGTAGGCTTGAGAATCACTTTCCTGGATTGTGGGGAGCCAGGGTGGACCGTGTAGAGAGAAGCGCCATACTAGCACTCCAAGTGAACATGAGCTGTGCTCTAGTAGCAGAGAGGAGGCTGGGATGATCAGAAAAGGCAAGACAGACGTCCTCCTGAGAGCACAAACACGTACAAAAAGACTAGTGGAGGAGCTGGTGGCCGCGCCACTTCCTTCTAGAGTGACAGTGGTCCTGACTTCTGTTTGAACACATGCTTCTGAAAGACTGAACGCATCAGCTTCCTTCGCAGCGAGGTGTGACCGTATGGCTGGGTTTTGGTCAGTGACTTGTGGATGGAGGTGGAAAAGACTGCTGTAAGAACAAGGCCATGGGCCCCGGTCCCAAGGGGTGTGTGCCCTCTGTGTGGCCATGTCCCTGGGGAAGGGATGGAAACTGCCAGCCTCGAAATGTGGTCAGAGAGCACCAGAAAGACAGGAAGGAGGCAGCAGCCAGTGCCACTCTGACCCTGGGACTGTTTATAGTCAGATTGTTATATACTTCCATTTTATTTAAGTCTCTATTATTTTAGTTGTCTGTTAGAGAAACCAAATCTTTATCCTGGCTGATATAGCGAGCACATTGGCAAGTCAAGCATTATTTTTAAACCATATTTTTTTTTTTTTTGTCTTTTTGAGACAAGGTCTTGCCATGCAGTTCAGGCTTGCCTTGGGCTCACTTTGTAGCCCAGGCTGGTCTCGAACTTGCAATGGTCCTCCTGCCTCAGCCTTCCAAATGCTGGGATTACAGAAGTGTGCCCCACATCCTGGCTTTTTTTTTTTTTTTTTTTTTTTTTTTGGTCTTTCTCTTTTTTATCGGTACCAGGGATTGAACTCACAACCACACACTTGCAAGGCAGGCGCTTATGCCGCTGAGCTAAATCCCCAGCTCCCACACCTGGCTTTTTAAACCATATCTTGCTTTTTCCTTCCCTTCTCCTAGGAAAAGATTTAAGATAGCATATAATCAAAGATATGTACAGTGATTTTCGTAAAACACATAGCCTACTAAGTTTAATGGAGCTGTTCTCCTTAAGCACTAGATAGTGCTGTGATGCTTGAAAGCCAAGGCAAAAATGGAAAGCAAATAAATTGACCGTAGAAAGACGGTGCTTGCCTAGCCCTCTTATTTCTTTTGGGCAAGAATATTTTGATATTAGAGGAAAAGGCAACTCCCAGTTTTACTGAAAAAAAAAAATCCAATGATTTATTGGAATAAATTGAAAATGATTCCAATATATTGAAAAAATCGAAAATTATTTTCCCTAAATTTGACATCAAATGAAGATTGAGCCAGGCATGGTAGTGCACTCCTATAACCCCAGCACTGGACAGGCTGAGGCAGGAGGACTGCTGGGAGTTCAAGGCCAGCCTGGGCTACATGGTGAGTGCATATGAACTATATAGCAAGACCATTTCTTAAAAAACAACAAACAAAAAAAAATGGCAATTGTTTAATAGAACGATTTTTTCCCTTTTTAATTAAAGGGATGATTTCTTATCACAACTTTGAAAGCTCAGAGCATATTGTTGAAACAGTTCTGGGAGGGCGATTCTGCAAAGAATTCACCAAGGATGATACCAACCAGGTGCGTGAGTTAACTCATTTGTCATTGCCCCAACCCCACGTCAGAAAGAGCAGCAGTACTGCACGTATTTTATGGTTGAGGAGACTGGAATTCCAAACGGGAGGGGCCGGATCAGATAGCTGGTGGTGAGGTTTAAACTTCAGAGTTCAGTTCTACACATCTTCCTCCAGGCTGCCCCCACTCTCAGTGACAAATTACAGCACTGGCATCTGGGAGGATCAGAGGAAAGGCACAGGATCGTGGCCTCAAAGCAGGCCCATGTTGGCCAAGGAAGATCCATGAGATCTGTAAATGTTCCGAGCCTCCTGAGAGGAGAACAAAGTGGGAGCAGTGGGAGGTGCTGTGAGGCAGCGGGGAAGCCCCACAAGTCTGGAGCCCGACTGGAATAGTGGGAAGAAACTTTGTCGTGACTTAGAACTGTTTCCCCAAATCCACTCCCAGAAAAGGAATTCTTGGATCAAAAAGCCTGGACACTATTAAGCTTTAACGTGCATTGCCAAATTGCTTTCCAGCAGACCTTGTTCAGCAAGTCATTCCCACCAGAACCTAGGAGTACACAGACAAGCCTTTGGTATTAGCAATTTTATTTTTATTTTTTTGGTACCAGGGGTTGAACACACACCCTTCCACTTGCCAGAGAGGTGCTTGTGTCACTGAGTTAATTCCCCAGCCCTACCAATATTTTAAACTTCAAATTTGAAAGGCTATAAACGACCTCTTCTTTTAGTTTGTACTTTTTTATTGCTAGTGAGATAGAAAATGTCCCAGGTTTATTGTGTTTCACTGTATCCTTTGACCATGTTGGAGATTCTTTGTTATGGATTTTATGTATTTATATAATAAAAGTATCCATCGATTTTTTTTTCAGCTGGACTTCGGCAGAACAAAAAAAAAATTTGTTTTTTTTTGTCTGAGACAGGGTTTCGTTATGCAGTTCAGGATGGTTTTGAACTCACTTCATAGCACAGGCTGACCTTGAACTCGAAGTAATTCTCCTGCCTCAGCCTCCAAGTGCTGGGATTGTAGGCATGTGCCAAAACACCTGTCTCCATAATCTATTAAACATTTCCCCAGTCTGAAGACCTGAAATTTGCCTTTCACTGTTGGCTATGATTTCAGAATAATGTACGATTTGACTTTTTATTTACTTATTTTTAAAGAGGAAAAAAAGCACAGAAAAATTAGAAGGCAAAGGAACAACAAAAGCCAAACGATGACAACAACGAAGTAGTGATACTGGATTTCAAAGTCAAATGATAGGAATGGTCGATAGGAACAACTGTGGTTATATTACATATCACTATCTTCAAAAAATTACTCAAGTTAGGGCCTGGGGATTTAGCTCAGCAGCATAAGCGCCTGCCTTGCAAGCAGGCAGTCGCTAGTTTGATCCCCGGTACCGATAAAAAGGAAAAAGAAAAAAAACTGCTCAAGTTGACTTTTTTGTTTTCAGCAACAGAGAAAGTTTGTTTGTTTTTAAAGATGGAGTCTCCTCCTGTTGCTCAGGCTGGTCTAGCTCTCACATTTCGCAGTGTGTGCTAAGCACTTCCCATGGGCCGTCAAATTCTCCAGAGAATTTTAGACGCGAATATCCCCATTTCCAGGTGAAGAAACACAGGCTTGGGCATTAGTAAAGCATGATGCACCTCAGCAGCTTCCCTTTGGCCTGAGAGGAGGGTAATAAACTGACCTCCTACAACAAAGGGGCCGAGCCCGTCCCTTCGTGGGCCCAGCTCTGTGCTCTCCACTTTCCCTGCAAAGTGCAGGAATCTGGGAGAGGCCAGGGGGTGCTGGAGGCAATCCCTCCTCAGTCCCCGCCTGGGGCCAGCACTGAGCCACTGCCCAGGGCCCCCGGGCGGCCAGCACTGAGCCACTGCCCAGGGCCCCCGGGCGGCCTGCGGGACCTCGTTGGGTGCGTCCCGGGGGCCACCCCACCCCGGCCCCGCCGGGCCCAGGCACGCGGCCCTCGGTGCCCTCTGGCTCCCTCCCTCCAGTGTCCGGTGCCTCCCTCGCCCTGGCCTCCGGGCGTCACGCCTCCTGGGCCGGGCTGGGGTCTGGCCCGGCCTGTCTGCGGACCCAGGCCTCAGCTGACCAGCGGCCCGGACTCCTGGGGCTGGCGGCTCGGCCCTGCCCTTCTCCTGGGGGCCTCGCCCTGCACCGGGCCCAGTCAGCGCCCAGTGCCCTCGGGGCTCCGGGGTGGGCGCGGCGGTGCGCCCTGAAGCTGCGGGCGGGCGGGCGGCGGGCCCTCGGAGCCGCGAGTTCGGGTCCCGCCCGCACGCGCCCCCTCCCGGACCCCGCCGGCCGCAGGCGGTTGCGCGCCCGCCGCCCGCCGGCGCAGACTCCTCCCCGCTGACATCAGCGCGGCCGGAGCCGGAGCCGGAGCCGGAGCCGGAGCGCACACCGCCACCTCGCGCCGCGCGCACTGCAGGTTCGCTGCCGGGCCGGGCGGGCGGCGGTGCGGGGCCGGGCGGGGAGCAGGTGCGGCGGCGGGCCGGGCGGGCCGGGGTCTCGGGCGCTCCGCGCGGGGCGCAGGGCGGGCGCCCCGGGAGGTCGGCGGGGCGTAGGTGCCGGGCCGGGCGGGGCCGGTGCGGGGCGTCGTGGGGATGCCGTGACCAGGTGCTGAGGGTGCTGAGGTCTCACGGGGCTGGGGGTCAGCCTGCACTGTGATGGAATCGGGTGTGTAAGAAGTTGAGATTTGGTTTGGGGGACGGGGGAGAGGGGACTTTGAGGCATAGAGGAGAGGAGCAGGATGGGGGCAGGTGCGCAGCAAGCCGGATGCCTGGCTTACAGGGATGTGCTCTGCTCATTTTGTGCAGGTGTGCATGGATGTAGGTTTTGTCTTTTTTGTTTTTTTCAGCAAGGTCTGAAGCCTGGCCTTGAATTTGTGATCCTCTTGGCACAGCCTTGCCGCCTGGCTGGAATGTGTGCTTTTTAGTGTAAGAGTCTGAGTGAGAACTCGGGATGGTGGTGCAGGCCGGTGATCCCAGCACCAAGAAGGCTGAGGCAGGAGGACTGGTGGGAGTTCAAGGCCAGGCTGGACTACATAGCCAGACTCTGTTTCAAAAAAAAAAAGAAGAGGAAGAAGAAGGAGGAGGAGGAGAAGGAGGAGAAGAAAAGTCTGAGTGAGGGGCATTGGGGGCAGGTGTCAGGGTTAGGGTACCTAGGGAGGCTGTGTGGACATGTATGCTGACATCTAGGTATGCACAGGAGAGCAGGTGATGTACTGTCTGGATACAAGACAGGTCCTGCAGGCAGGTGTCTGGGTTCAGGGGTGTGGATGAGGCTTGGGGGGTTTCTGGTGCAGGGATGTATGTAGAAATACAAGGGTTCTGTCTACTGGGGCTGTGGGTGCCCCTGAGACTGCTGCTGGAGCTTGCCATCAGGTTTCCTTTCTCACTTTGTCAGTTTCTGCCCTGGAGCCGAGTCCCAAAGGAAGAGTCCTACACCAGGCCCTCTTCCTGGCCGGGACGGTGAAGGAGAACCAGCCAGAGGCCATGCAACATGCTGGGCTGTGTTTGGCTTTGCCCTCTGTGGCCCCTGATGGGGCTGTGAGGCTGTGTTGTCCCAACGGGGCCCCAGTTAGAAAGACCAGCTGGGCGGATGGCTCTTCTATGGCCTCTGCCCTCAGCCAAGTTGCCTGGAACCCCCACTGGTGTCATTTGGGCACCTACCCACCTCTGACCTCAGTCTTCCCGTTTCCCATCTGATAAGTAGGGAGAGAGCTCATTCTTTCCTACAGGATGAGCAGAGGCCTCACAGGCAGAATCAGGGTGGGATGAAACAAGGAGGGAAGACAGGGTGAGAGTACTCAGCTGCCAGGACCCAGAGGAGGAGTCCGCAGGGAGAGGCCTGGGGAGTTCCAGCTGTGGCTGTTGTTGCTGTGGTAACAGTGAGAAGGAGCTATTTAAAAACGTGGCTGAGATATTGCTGGAAGCCCCAGCTGCCGGAAACCTGATTTCCGAGAGGCCAGGGAAGGGAGGAGGAGGGGGAGAGAAGACACCCCAGCAATTCCCAGGGTAAGGCTAGGACACTGCTAGTCTCTGAGACAGGGCATCTTCCAGGGCCCTGTACCCCCACAGGCTGCTCTGGGGTGTCATTACTGTCCTCTCAGAGAGCAGGGTTTCCTTGGGTGTCTGAATTTGGAGCAGGAGTAACTGGGAATCGAATGTCAATAAAGACATAAAGAAATGCATGACTTTGTTAAGTAAAAAAATTACGTTGCCATCATGAAAATACTTTTTCTCTGGGCCGAAGAATTTGCAGAAGGAATGTTCTTGAATGAGCACATAACTGGAGAATGAATGAATGTCAAAAGATTTTATTAAATGAATGGATCAGGGGTGAGTCTTTGGTGTAGGTTGCAGGACCGAATGGGGGATGTGGTTAATTTCTGGAGGGAAGGCTGGACCTGGCTGAGTCTCCTCCTTCCTTTCCCCTCAGGAGCCCTGGCTGTGGCCAGGGAGCAGTGGGCCATGCCGGGGGCAGTGGAAGGCCCCAGCTGGAAGCAGGCGGAGAACATTCGGGACATCTATGACTTCCGAGATGTTCTGGGCACGTGAGTCTTGGAGCAGGGTGGGGATGGAATTGGGAAGAGCCTCACTCCTGAGGCGCCGGGAGACCAGGGCCAGGTGCTGCTTCCTCTGCTTAGCTGGTCAACACTTCCTGTTTCTACAGCCTAGGCCACAGCCCAGACTGACCCAGGCTTTTCATTTCTGGCTGGCAGTAGTTGGGTCAGGGGCTGCTTTTGCACAGCCAGACGTTCCTAACAAAGAGAAGGAAGTAGCAGAGGATGAAAGGGCCACTTACCCAGCTCGTCTGCAGGACCTGGGCTTCCTAGCCTGGGTTTGGAAACTGAGGCTGGACATGGCTCTGTTCTTGGTGCTGGGAATCCAGAAACAACTAAAACGTGGTCTGTGCCCATCAAGTTGGCCCTGGACGTGTGGGGAAGGCAGAAGCACAGAAGGTGACACGAGTGTGTGCTGTGCTCTGCTGGGGCTGGGGATGAGGCCTGTGTGGAGCTGAGACAGCCTGGAGAAAGGGCATTAGAACTGGGCTGAAGGACCGGAGGCCTTCAGAGAGGAAGAGGCACCCGGGCAGAAGGGAAAGAACGGGAAGTGCCAGCTGACTAACGGGGAGTTCCATTCCAAGAGAATTTTCGTGAGCTGGGTTTGTTCATAGCTGACAGTCTCATACAGTACTGCTGTGGAATTCCTGGGCTGCGACCTACTGTACAAGCGATGGGTCAGAGGCACGATACATGTAGGAAAAGGTACAGAGCCTGATAGGGCTTAAGATGGAGATGGGATGGAACAGAGTGTGCAGGGTTTTGAAAACCAGGCTAAGAAGACTGGGTGTTTTCCTGTGGGCCATAGGAAGCTTTTTTCAGTTTTCTTTCAAGACAGGGTCTTGCTATGTAGCCCAGGCTGGCCTTGAATTAACCCCCAGCAGTCCTCTTGCCTCAGCCTCCCAAGCATTGGGAGTGTAGGCATGGCTACCACACCTGGCCATAGGAAGACATTCAAAACCTAGTGTGGGTCTTCAATTCCAGACTATCAGACCGGCCAATGTGGAGGTGGACTGGGGAGAGCCAAAGCTGGAGACCAGTACCGTGGTGACGCAGTTGTTCCTGATCCCTGATGGTTAAAGTGATACCACAGTGAATACTTTTCATTATGACTTTTATGAATCAAACTCAGGACTTTGCGTTTGCCATCTTTATGACTTTTTACAAAAATGTCTGTGGCGCTGGAAATTGAAACCAGATCCTCATACATGCTAAGCAAGTATTCTACTACTGAGATTTATAAAATATATTTTTAAATTTTGAGGCAGGGTATTCTAAATTGCTCATACTGGCCTTGAACTTGAAGTCCTTCTTGTCTCTGACTCTCTAGTAGCTGGGATTATAGGCATAGACACCAACCTGGCTGATTTGACTTTATATCACTAAGGGAAAGCAAACAGATGGGAAAAGAAAACCCTAGCCAATCCTTCTTAATCAGTGAGTTAGAGTAAGTGAAATTATTTGCTCCTTTCTAGAAGCCTGTTTCCTAAACTTCAGGGAACATACTAACTGAGGGCCTTGCTCAAATGTAGATTTTGATTTAGGAAGTCTGATGTGCTGAGAGTCTACATTTCTAAAAAGTTCCCAGGCAATGATGATGGCTCTTCAGGATTTTGCAAGATATTAAATTAGCTGTGACCCAGATTGGCTTTGGCAGGAAAAGGATGAATCAGTCACATGTATTATCTAAACGCTCAGGGTAGACTTCAGGCCTGGTTGGACCCAGGGCCCCCGTGATGTCCGGAAATGGTCTTTGACCCTTTTTCAGGTCTGGTTTCCTTTGTGTTGGCTTCAGTCTCAAGTAGGCTTTGCCTCTGCACCAGGCTTGCATCCTACCAACTTCACAGGAGAGAGTGCCTCATTCTCACAGTGCCAGTAGGTGGCCCTGCATCACATGGCCAGTGCCCACCGCAAGGGGATGAACTATGGTTGGTCACCTCTGGGTTGGTGGCCCCCACTGGAGTAGACAGTAGACAGGTGCTTGGGGAGACTCATCACACTTCCTAACCCAGAGGTGTTGACCTAATCCACAGGGGTGGAGTCAGGCTGAGGGATGTGGCAACCACGGTCCTCACCTCCTGAACCTTCTTCCCTGCAGGGGTGCCTTCTCAGAGGTCATCCTGGCAGAAGATAAGAGGACCCAGAAGCTAGTGGCCATCAAGTGCATTGCCAAGAAGGCCCTGGAGGGCAAGGAGGGCAGCATGGAGAACGAGATCGCTGTTCTACACAAGTGCGTCAGCCACAGCCAGTCTGGACCCAGACTGACTTTGCCTCGACCCCTTCTGCCCTTCTCCTGCTTTGGACAAACTATTTAAGCTCTCTGGTCCTTGTGGTCTCATTTATAAAATAGAGATAAGACCTCCACTTGACAGGAGTATGGGAACAATTATTTTGAGTGGCTGGGACAACAGCTAACAAGGGAGATTCAACTGATGTGCCAGGATTTATTTCCAGTGGGCTGATCTGCTCAATCAGGTCCAAGGTCAACCCTCAAGCATGGTTTGAACCCATGCCTCAGCCACTGCTATATCTAGACCTGCTTCAGTTTCTGCCCACACATTCACACATGCGGCAGAGATGTGTCTGCTGACCCTGCTGCCCCTAATTGCAACGTCTGGCTCACACTGGAAAGCTTGTAGAGAACCTTCACTTCCGTTCTCTCCCCTGAGCTTCCCAGCTACCCCAGACAGGAGAGAAATGATCATCTCAACTATCACGGAGTGAAAGTGGGAGAACAAGGCCCAGAGAGAACCAGGGACTTGCCCAGAGCCACGGTTTCCTCTCCAAGATCAGTCTCCCTTACTGGTCTGTCCACTGAGTGTTGACTGCCCCAGGCAGCTCACCTGTGCCACCTGTGCCCTGGGAAGAAGTCCTGTCCCTGGCTGCATTTTAGAGATGACAAAACTAAGGCAAAACCCACATTTGGCTCAGTGAGCATTACTGCACACCCGTACTACACACTGGAGAGATGGTGATGAGCAGAGAAGGCTCAGGGTGCATGGCTGACCTTTGGGGTGCAGGCTGACATAGGTGTAACACAGGTCTTAGGTACCTGCTGTCCACTGGGGCTATTGTGCAAAAAGGCTGGTGCACGTAGCGTCTTACAAAACCAGGATGTGGACCTAGGCCTGCATGCTGTCAGAGCCCTGACTGCTCCTTTCTCTTTACCTTCCAAGAAACTAATTCATCCTATAAATCATCTTTTTCTGGTGGTGCCAGATCCACGGTTTGTCTCGCCAGGGGTGCAGGCACTGGGGTGGTGGCTGGGCAGTACTCGTTTCTCTTTTCAGGATCAAGCACCCCAACATCGTGGCCCTGGACGACATCTATGAGAGTGGCGGCCACCTCTACCTTATCATGCAGCTGTGAGTAGCACTGCTGCCCCTTACCCCCCACCCCTGCTCCCATTATCCCCTGGCCACACCGTCTGTTCCCTGCTACAGGGTGTCAGGTGGGGAGCTGTTTGACCGCATCGTAGAAAAAGGCTTCTACACGGAGCGCGACGCCAGCCGCCTCATTTTCCAGGTGCTGGATGCCGTCAAGTACCTGCACGACTTGGGCATCGTCCACCGAGATCTCAAGGTGGGGCTCACAGGGTGCCCCGGGTGGGACTTCTGTGAACACCTCACTGCTTACTGTGGAGCCATGACCAGCCACCTGCAAAGTGCCCTGAAGCACTGCTCGCCATTTCAGATTAGGGACTGGTACTGTAATTTTACTAGGTAAGGTGTCGTGTGCTTTTCTATCATGTAAATTCCCCTTGCTCTTTGTAGACAGCCTTGGTCAGGACAGCAAAGCATAAGCAGGGAGGCCTGAAATCTGCTCCCAGGCAGGGATGGGGCATGTGTGGCAGTCTCAGTCTGGTCCAGGAGGTGACCAGCTCTGTGTTTGACTCTGGCCTGTCTTGCTGTGTGCAGTAAGCACGGTCCTGCGTCGGACACAGTACTGTGTCGGCATGGTCCTTGCTTGGCCGAACACTCAGGCAGGTCACCTGGCCTCTCACCTGGAAATGGGCTTCTTCCGGCCGGCAGGGGATGTGGCGAGGAGGAAACCCATCAGGCCCTCCGCCAGTGCTGGCACACGGAGATGTTCCAAAGGGTTCCTCTGGCTTACAGAGAATTTCCTCCCACCTCCCCTGGCCCTTGTCCTGGCTGAGAGCTTCCTTGAGTTCCTTCTGCCTTCAGCCAAGATGGAAGCCATCTGGCTGGCCAGTGGCTATTGGGGTTCGCCGTTTCCCAGGCAAGCCGGCCCCTGACTGTGGCTTCCCGTCTTCCCCGCTCCAAGCCAGAGAATCTGCTCTACTACAGCCTGGATGAGGACTCTAAGATCATGATCTCAGACTTTGGCCTCTCCAAGATGGAAGATCCAGGCAGCGTGCTCTCCACAGCCTGTGGGACCCCTGGCTACGTGGGTGCGGAGAGCCCTGGGCTAAGGCTGTGGGCAGGGAAGGAACCAGGAGCTGCAGGCAAAAACTTGTTACCACCCTGTCCCCATTCTACCATAGCCCCTGAAGTGCTGGCCCAGAAACCCTACAACAAGGCCGTGGACTGCTGGTCCATTGGGGTCATCGCCTACATCCTGTAAGTGGGGGCATGGCCCGGTGCACCGTGCTCCACAAGTGTCTCCCCGACCTCCCCCAACAGTTGTATCTGCCTGTTAATTACTACCCTCACTTCATTCAGTAGATACTATGTTTCGGGCACTATGTCCAGCTGAGGACTTAGCAGACCACATGCCTGCCCTGGAGAGCTGACACTATAGTAGGGAAGCAGGAAATTGGAAAGTAGATTGATCTATAAAGTGCTGTCAAGAGATAACATGAATGCTGTGAAGAAAAATGCAGGGCAGGAGTAGGAGGGGGTGGATGCCGTTCCAGGTAGGCCAGGGCGGCACTCTGGAGACGGCGAAGTGGCATCTTGAGTGAAGTGAGGAATTGGACATTTGAAGTTTGGGGGAAGAAGGGGTTAGGCAGGGGCAGAGGCCCCAAGAATGGCAAATGGTGGCAATATCGAGGAACAAAAAGACCGGAGTAAGCCGCGTGTGGTGGCGCCTGCAGGAAGATTGCCAGTTCAAGCCCAACCTAGGCAGCTTAGCAACTTAGCGAGACCTTGTTTCTGAAAGAAAAGAAAATTACAGAGGGCTGCGGATGTAGCTCAGAGCAAAGGGCCTGGATTCAGCCCCCTTACGGGCAGGGCGCAGTGTCGCTGAGGAGGCAGGAGCAGCTTCTGCAAGGGACCCTCTTCCTGTGGGCCCTCCTCTCCCCCGTCCTGCCCCTGAGCTAGAGCCTAGAGTCCAGGGTGCCGCTGAAATGGAAACGAGACCAGTTTCTCCCGCCCAGGCTCTGCGGTTACCCCCCCTTCTATGACGAGAACGATGCCAAACTCTTTGAACAGATTTTGAAGGCCGAGTATGAGTTTGACTCTCCTTACTGGGACGATATCTCTGACTCTGGTAATTTGGGGTTCACCTTCCTCTCCTGGGCCCTGCTGGTGGTGTGTCCTTTATCTGCTCTGGTGCATCCTCACCGCCTGCCTTCCTTCCGATTCCCCAGCCCAGATAGTGGGCTGAGAGCAGACACCCATCTGCTGGGGTGCAGGCCGAGAAACTATAGGCAGTCAGTCAGTTAGCCAATCTTCAAACATAGTATTTTTGGAAATATCTCCCCCGATTGACTCCCTAATGCCTAAAACACTGCCATAAACATTTCTATCCTTCCATTTGTGTCCCCTCCTCAGAAGCACTCCGGTGGCGGTGTTACCAACTGTGAATACGTGTGATCTTGACCATGCTGAAGGGGAGAGGACTTTGAGTTGGGGTGGGGGCCCTAGAACAAGACAGGGTGCTGCACAGGCAGATCTGGCCTCTGTCTTGGTGTGTGCAGTGCTGCCCTGGGGAGTGAGTACTGTGTTGGGTGTTCACAGGCACTGACCTGCTGTATCTTTGCTTTTATCTTGGGGTTCAGCCAAAGATTTCATCCGGCATTTGATGGAGAAGGACCCAGAGAAGAGGTTCACCTGTGAGCAGGCCTTGCAGCACCCATGGTGAGAGCCCCCGCATGCTATGGGTTGGGTGTGGCCTGGCCCAGCCTGTTCTGTCCTCATAGGCACCCTGCATGTCCCCCCACCTCAGGATTGCTGGAGATACGGCTCTCGATAAGAATATCCACCAGTCGGTGAGCGAGCAGATCAAGAAGAACTTTGCCAAGAGCAAGTGGAAGGTGAGCCCAAGGCCCTGTGTCCCAAGCCAGCCTCCTCAGGCCACCCCCCAACCAGCCAGGCAGCCTGCACAGCTGCTGGACAGAAGTTACTAGTCTGGGATGCTGTCCAAAAGACCCAAGGTGTTTGTTCATTCATTTAATAACCACTGTGTGATACTCAATTCGAGAGAGGGTCCCAGACCCTCAAGTTTAAAGGCATAGCCTATTCTTCAGGAGGCAGCGACTGACCCAGCCTACGGGGCAGACCTGTGGGCCAAGCAGGGATTAGCCAGGCAGAGAGAGCAGCAGTGCAAAGGTTCACAGAGCAGGGGCCTGTGTGGCTTCTCAGGACGTGCTGGTGGGAGCCGTAACGGCCTTGAGCAGCAGCACCCCAGCTGGAGAAGCGCGGCTGGGCCAGTGGCTCAGGTCTCGAAGCCACAGGGGAGCACCAACTTGATGCTGGGATGTTGAGGAGTCCCAGGACGATTCGAGGCAGGAGTCTGCCCTTTGGAAGGGGCTCTCAGGGTACAGACAGCAGTGGCATGAACCGTGGGAGACCCCGAGAGGGGCTGGGGCAGAGATGCAGGAGAGAGACACCAGCCTCCCAGAGCAGCAGCAAGACAGACAGTGGGTGAGGACAGGACAGCCTGAGGAAGCGGAGCACAGAAGTGCTGCAGTGGACGAGGAGCGGGAGGCACCTGCTCAGGGACCGGAGGACAGCAGGACCATCACTCTGGACAGTCATCCCAGGAGCAGAAATGCGTCTGGAGAGGATGACTGTAGTTTTGGATGTGGTAAATGTGACCTCTCAGGGATAAACTGAATAGAAAATCACTCACACACACACACACACACACGTAAATTATTTAACATTTCTGCAGCTCAGTTTCTTCCTCTGAAACTCTTAACAGTGCTTGCCTGAGGGTTGTGTGTGGATTAAACAAGTTACCATTCGAGTGCTTTGCACACTGCCTGATGCTGCTGTGCAGTTTGGAACAGCAAGCTGTGGGCATATCAGCGTGTGATCGTGAAAGTGTGACCAAGTTTAACTTAACAGGCGTGCAGAGGTTTGGGTGCTTTCCGCAGCACCACTGCATAACCCAAATGAAGAGAGCAGGATCCCGTTGAGAGCCCGGCCTGGCCTGCCAGCTTCTCCTCCCCTCTCCCCTGTCCCCACAGCAAGCCTTCAATGCCACAGCTGTGGTGCGGCACATGCGGAAGCTGCAGCTGGGCACCAGCCAGGAGGGGCACGGCCACCTGGCGAGCCACGGGGAGCTGCTGACATCCCCGGCGGGAGGTGAGGACCAGGTCTGTGGAGGGGTGGGCTGGGAAGAGGCCTGGGCCTGAGAGGCGGCCTGCCACAGCCAGCTCTGCTCTCTCCAAAGCAGGGCCGGCAGCTGGCTACTGCTGTCGAGACTGCTGTGTGGAGCCAGGCCCAGAGCTGTCCCCTACACTGCCACCCCAGCATTAGGCCCTAGTTGGCGCCAGGTTTCCTCCATGGAAAGGGCTGGGGGCAGCCTGCTCCCCTTTCTCCTTGAACTGGGGAGACACTCTGCCCCATGCCTTCTGTACCCCCGCCCTCTCACGCATCACATTTTCCATATAAATATTTCTATTTTATTGTTCCTTCTTATAATAAAGGGAAGAAGATAAAACCAGACAGCTCTGCCTTCCCAGTCTCTTCCCACCCCACCTTGTTGTGCAAATGGACGATTTGGGGGTGCCTGGCCCCTGAGGTAGTTGCAGGGATCCCTTCCTGACCTGAGACAGGGTGGGTGGGGGACGGGGTGTTGACTGACAGGAAAGCCTTCTGGAGAATTTCTTTGTCCAGGGCCCCACTATGCTCGATCTCTAGAGTGCTCTCTTAAGCTTTGCTGGCGGCTCCGGAGCGTGGTGGTGGGGTCGGCGCAGGTCAGCACAGAAGAGCACCTGTAGGGGCAGGAGGCGGCTGTGGGAAGGCGGATATCCTGGGCAGGGCTGTTGGAGCTGGTGACAGCAAGAGGGGGCACAGCTGCAAGGGTCAGGGGAGGGGAGGCTGGAGAGTGCTTTAGGGTCACTGGAGCAGGGGCACAGTCCATGGGTCGTGACTGGAGACTCCTTTAGGGACTGGGCTGGAGACCAGGGGAACCTAGGCACACTCACTGCTTGGGCCCAGCCAGCGTAAGGTCCCCACAGGCACCGGAAGAAGTCCCCTAAATCAGAAGCAAGGAAGCTGCATGAATTGGCCCCAGGGCTGGAGGAAGAGTGGGAAATTTCTTTGACCCCTGCTCAGTGCCCAGCACGCCCCTTCTCACCCAGTTCCTTGTTGGCCTTGGGACTTGGGCCCTTGGCCCAGGACATGCTGGGGTGCCAGCTGTAGTCATGCTGGGCAATCTGCCACATGTGGACGTCCACAGGCACAGCCTGCGGTTTGTCTAGAGCCATGAGGCAGATGCAGTCAGCCACCTTGGAGAGACAGATGTACAGTATGGAGGGCAGCAGGACCCAGCCAGCCGTGCTTCCTGACTCTGAGGTTACTACTGCTCTGTGTTCTCCAGCAGTATACATCACCCGTTAAGCACTCTCGTGGTGCTCTAAGAGCTGCCACTAAACACCCTCCAACCTGGGCTTCAACATGCTCTCATCGTCAGGGAGAGCAGACAAGAAAATGGAGGCTTTGAAAGGGCCCAGTCACATTACTGGGAACAGGCAGTACCAAGATTAGCATCAGGCCTGCACCCAGGGTCTATTAAAAAGCCTCTTTAATGAAAATTCATTTTTTAAGCTGCAGAGAAGAATAAAGAAGAACAAAATAATTCCCAACTTCCAATCATCTTACTGTCAGTTAACTTACAATGAACAAGACATTCTTTTTTTTTGGTACCGGGGATCGAACTCATGGACGGTGTGCGTGCAAGGCAGGTGCTTACACCACTGAATTAAATCCCCGAACAAAATGTTCTTTAAGGACATAATTTCAAGAAAAGGAGGAAATGAAAAGTTTTTCTCCCCAAAAGTAGCCACTGTGAACTTCCCTACAGTTCCCCTTGGTAATTTCTGCATAAGACAGCAGCACATATAATTTGCCTACACAAATGGGCTTTCTAAAACATCATTAAATATTCACTTTCAAGTTTTTCTGCACTCTGCTCTTTTCCCTCAGAACATGTTTGTATCCTTTTTCCTCCTGGCTCTGCCTCCAGAAGCCAGGCATCCACCAGCCTCCCCTCTGCTTCTCACGGGATTACCTCCAGCTCCTTGGGACTCACCTTGGTGCCCACCCCAGGGAGGGTGCAGAGGGCCTTGTGGGCCTCCTCGTAGGGGGCCACTTGAAGCTGCTGCAGCCAGGCTGGCCCACCCCGTTCTTCCAGGATGGCTCGGGCGCTGGCACTCACGTAGCGGGCCCGGTAGCCCAGGCCCAGCTTCCTAAGGCAAGCCTCCACCTCTGGCCCTGTGCAGTGGGTAAGCGCAGGGCTTAGGTGTGTGAGGCACACGTCCCACAGGTACCCATTCCCTAAATTCCCACCCCACACCCCCAGGGCACAGGAGGCTCTTGTATGACAGAGTAAAAGGTTAAGGGCTGTGAGTGTATGTGTATGTGTGTGAGAGACAGACAGACAGACAGACAGAGGCAGAGAGGATCTTGCTGTGTAGTCCAGAATGATCTTGAACATCAGCCTCCCAAACACTGGCATCACAAGTGTGCAGTACCATACCTGGCAAGTTCCTTAACTTTTCCCAAGATTGTTCATAGCCATGATCTTAGTGATCAAAAGTTTCTATTATTATTATTTTTTATAGTGCTGGAGATCAAAGCTAGGGCCTCGTGCATGCAAGGAAGGACTCTAACACTGAGCCACATCCCCAGCCCTAACAGCTTCCCTTAGTAAGTGCTGGTACCGCACACTGGCAAAGTGCATAGGCGTGTTATCATGCTTATTTTTCTCAAGAACCCCAATGACAATGCTGTTTTGCCTAAGTGCCCTGCCTGGTCTGCTCGTCCATCATGCCTTACCCTTATGTCTGAGCGTCAAAAAAAAATGTGTTTTTGAGGTGGGCTAGCTCCTTGCTGTGCAGTCCTCAAGTGCTTTGCCTTGTGTGGTTCTTATATGTGCCAGCTGATATCTGTGCCTCTGTGTAACTGTGCTGTTCACAGCATACAAGTGCTTTGGGTGAAAAACTGTTTTATTATAGTGACACCAGCTTGAATTTTCCACATACTTCCTGTGGGGTAAGCACCCTGCTAGGTGTCAGACACGTCTCCTTTTACTGTACCTCATGACAGCTGTAACAAATGGATGCTATTATCTTCATTTCACGGACATAGCCACTGCAGCATGGAGCTGAGGCAGAGACAGAGCTGGGACGCAGCCTGTCCCCATAACACATGTACTGACCCTCAAACTACTGAGCAGTACACTCAGATGCTTTCTTTGATGAGGCACTGGAGCTACTGATGAGCAGCTATACTCAGACATGAGGGCAAGCATGATGGGCTGTGCAGACTGGGCAGGGTGGTTCTGGACAGGGGCAGTACTGGGGCAAGTGGCAGATGGTGACGAGGGAGCTCAGGGCTAAGGGCTCCACCTACTCACCAGCTAGGGCCTGCAGGCTGGGAAAGCCATGGTAGGAGACACCGTCGAGCTGGACAAGCCGAGGGCCGAGGGCCTGGCAGAGCCGTTCCACCATGCCGGTGATGCGGGCGATGTTGTTGTTGGAGGAACAGATGAAGGAGAAAAGGCATTCGATGGGGTCCTGGCGCAACACTCGTACCCCTGAGGACCAGAGGGGGCCCCAGGATACTGAGGGACAGCACTGCTACAGAAAGCAATGCCAGACCGCTCATTCTTGTGGCACTTACGAGGTCTACATCGCTGTCCCATTTCACTGATAAGAGTCACAATGAAAGCACCATGAAGGCAGAGGTTTGTGTCCTGCTCTATCACCAGTCATATACTGGATGCTCTTACGTCTTTACAAAATGAATAAAGTTAGCCGCTCCAGGCCACACTACCAAGATTAGGCCCCATCATTTCATAATAGTGATCAATATGATGATAACAAGTGCCAGGCACTATTTTCGGCTCCTTTATTCCTCATAAATCCTATGAAGCAGAGAGAAGACCCATTTTTATAGAGTCACAGCCAAATAACCAATGTACAAGTACCCGGACCTCCACTCGGCAGTGTCCTCACCTTGGAATTTCCGAGCCACCTCCTGGAAGTGGGAGTCCACGGCACCCCAGTCTTTGTACAGCTGGGCCAAGCTGACATCCAGCTGGAAGTACTTGCACACGGTCTCCAGCTCCTCTGGGGTGGGTCTGCCGAGCCAGCCCTTGTTCCCGCGGTACACAGTGCAGTGCAGCTGCTCCTCGGTCTGCGTCAGTGTCCACACCTGGCCGGCCAGCACGCCGCTCCAGTGTGCAGGGCTCTGCTCTCTCCACCTGCGCCCGGGTGCAGATGGGCCTCACACTGCTTCCCTTCCTTCACCCTTTGGGTCCCTCTCGTCCCTCTGATGCCTCGTTTACAAAGCTGACCTACTAATTACCAAGTAACCTGTCCTCACAGCCCTGCAGACTTACCACCTCCATTGGACAAAGCAGTGCTTATTTCCTTTTCTAAATCTAAAGGTGCATTCTCTGTCATCCCCAACATTCCTCTGCCCCTTGGACAGCAGCACAAAGCTGGGGAGGGGCCCCTCAGATGAAACCACTCACCGGAAGGACTGTCCAGAAGCTAACACCAGGTCCAGGCACAGCTCCGCGCGTGGACATGGGATAGAGGCCCAGAGGGCCGGGCTGCAGGCGAGCGTCCTGTGCTTCATACTGCAGGTCGAAGGAAGCGTGCTAGGGTTGCAACACAAGCCCCGTCCACTCCGGATCCTCCGGCCGCCCAAGGCTCCGCCCACAGCGTGGCCACGCCCCGCCCTTGCCCGCGAGGCCCGCCCGTGCACCGGCCCCGCAGGCCCCCAGCCTCGCCCCTCTCGCTCGTCCCTCCGCCCTTCCGCCGGTCGGGTCGGGCCCTCTGACGAGCCCTCCCAGCCCCAGAAGCGCGGCTCCGAGCGGCCTAGACCCAGCAGCGCGCGGAGCGCCCGCGGCCCGTCGTGCCGGAAGTGGAGCGCAGGCGCCGCTCTCTCCCCGCGGCGGCAGCCAGTCCGAGGCGAGGCGGCGCCGACGGGGGGCGGGCCGGGCGTGGCCCTGCGCGGGTGGGCGGCCTTCCTCAGCGTCGCGCCGACCCCGCTGTCCTCCCGGCTGGTTTCTGCCCAGTGACCCGCTGGGCCTTGGACCCCTCGGGGTGGCCCTCTTGGCGCCACACCCTCCCCTAGCGCGACCTCCGCCTGCCTCCTGCCAGGTCGCCAGGCTGGAAGCCCAACCCGGTTCCGGCCCCTGGGCGCCCCCGGAGTCTCCACAAGCGTCTCCGCAGGATTTATCCTCGAGCTCTCACGGCGGCTGCCCAACCCCTTCCCAGACTTTACATCTGTCCTCACCCGGTGGCCCCGACTCAGCGGAGGGACTCGTAGTGCCAGGCGCAGGCTGGCTCCGGGAGGCGCAGCCGGGCGGCCACTGCATCCGAGTACGCATGTGTGGCCGGAGGTAGCCCACCGGAAGAGGTGATGTTTCTGGCTTGCAGGAAGAGCCTGAGTAAAAGCAAAGATCGGAGGAGACGTGACTCGGAACAGGACTCTGGGACATCTTTCACCCTCTAGCATAGTGATCTGGGGCCACTGGTAGCTAAGTGATTGGATTGCACGTTGTTAAAAGGCCAGATCTGCTTTACCTGCACATCATGCACAGGGCGCAGCCGCTAGCAGGGCATGCCGAGCATCAGCATTAAGCCGATAGGGTCATTGCCTCAGTTTTATTCCTTAGTGGCTACAAGGTCTTGGACGACCATATCTATCCGTGACTGTCCCATGTACAGCAAGGTACCTCACAGGCACCTAGTCCTTTTACTTGGGTGGCATTCCTGCAACAATTACTGGTTGGACTGCAAATGACAGTTGGTGAAATGAAAGCGATGCTCCATATGCCCGCTGTCTCTGCAGTGAAGCAGAGGGAAGAGCTGCTACAGTGACTGAAGGGCTTGGGCCAGGCTTCTAGCAGAGAACTCGGCTACTGAGCTCGTATCTTAGCACTTGGAATTCCTAGTTGTTACTGAACTTTTGCAAACCTCAGTATCTTTTTTTTTGTCTTTTTCCTTTTTATCGGTACCAGGGATCGAACTCAGGACTGCCTGCTTGCAAGGCAGGCGCTTATGCCGCTGAGCTAAATCCCCAGCCCCTGACCTCAGGATCTTTGTGAAGATACTCTACCTATTAACAACTGCATAGGTACTGTAGGTGTCAGATGAAACCACTTTACTTACAGGTACTAGCATCAGACCTGCCGCTGTAAACCGGTGGGAAATGGAACTTTCATCATTATTTTTTTTGGTGGATTAAAGCCAGGTATTTCACATTGAACTGTACCCCGAGCTAAGGTCGAAATTGTCCACAGTGCACTCACACTTGGAATCCTCCTGCCACAAGCTGTCAGCATGCTGGGATTACAGGTGTGCACCACCATACCTTGCTGTTGTGTCTTATAAACTAGTGCATAGCAGTGAGCAACCACTTGGGCCCAATTACATACTATCCCTGGGCACAACCCCCTCTTTGAGGGCTGGTAGAAGGCAAGAACAAATAATTCTAAGTAGACTTTTATTTTCTAAGAATCAATATATTTTCTTCCTTTGAAATAAATACAAACCAGCTCGAAAGGTAGGGGAAAATCTACAGGAAAGAGAAGTGGGGACAGGCCCCAGTCTTTTTTTAGTACCAAATGACTCTGGCGCGACCCGGAAACGCAGTTACAAATGAGAATAATTTAAATTCTCTGATAATTACATTATTTACAGTAGCAGGGGAGGGGGTCACCTAGTGCCCCATTTCCACGCTGGACAGACATCAGTCCCACTGCTAGGCTGGTCAGATGCCTGCTCCCTTCTCCACCGGGAGGGGCTTCAAGCCTCTAGGCAGTTGTGGAGTCTCCTGGGGCGAGCAAGCGACAGTGGTGGCCTGTTCAGCAGCACGCTGACGCTGGCCTACACCCTGCCCAACACACCCTGAGGCTTTTGAGCTCTCTTAAGCTTTTGAGCTCCCCTCCTTGCACTGAGTTGCTGTGGATCCTTGGAGTGTTCTGTACAGTCCAGCTGCACTCAAGGCAGGAGGGACCTCCCCTACCCAGCTTCCCCTGAGACTGGCCCCAAGACCAGGAATGAGTCAGTGCAGAGGCCGGAGCCACTCCAGGACAGTGCGCACGGGAAGGAGAGGCACGGGGCTCTGAAGGCTAGTCTCTGCCAGGCAGGATCAGTCACTGTCGCTGGTCTCGCTGCTCTGCTCACCCTGCACTTTACTGCGGTGCTGCAGTGCCCTGTGGTAGGCGATCTGGACTGACTTGCGGATGTTGGACTTCCGGCCTTCTAGCATCTTTTCTTTGTCAAGGTCCTGGTTCACACCCAAAGGGACCAGCTTAGTCCTGGGCAGCCACTGCCTGGAGGACAAAGTGAAGATCAAATAAATCGTTTCAGGGAGAATAAGCACCAGCCTTCCTCCACTTCATTCATTTAAGAATACCTCCAGAGCTAGTATGGTAGCACAGACCTATAATCCCACACTCAGAAGGCTGAGGCAGGAGGATCACTGAGGGATTTAAGTATACTCTGGGCTATGTAGTTTAAGGCCAGCCTAAAATACATATCAAGACCTTATTCTCAAAACAAACAAAAAACCCAAAACATACACACACCATTCTGAGCACCCATACTGGCCAGACTGCTGGGCACTGCAGTGACAGACCAGGAAACATAGTCCTTATCATCACGAAACTGCTCAGTCAAGTTGCACTAGAGGGGTAACCACAGGGTATTTTTAGGTGTGAAAAGAAGCCCTGACCTAACTGGAGGTAGCTGCCCTGTATCACAGACTCCGAAAAAAGAGCTTATGTACAAGGAATAGCATTAGCTGTTAGCTGGGCGTGGTGGCCACACAGCTGTAATCCCAGCCTTTGGGAGGCAGAAGCAGGAGGATCACTACGAGTTCAAGGCCAACCTGAACTACATAGGGAGAGCCTGTCTCAAAACTTAACAGAAAGATTACATATATAAATGTGACAGAACAGGAATTTAGTGTCTAAATTTTTTGGTCTTTTTGAAAGAGTTCCATTATGCAGTTCAGGCTGGCCTCAAGCCCACAGCAATCTTCATGCCTCAGCTCCTAAGTGCTGAGATTAGAGGTGTGTGCCACCATGTCCAGCTAGTAGCCATGCTGTGTGCGTTGTCTACACCTGTGCCCCAGGAGGAAGTAGTGGAAAAGATAAATCTAGAATGGAGGGTCGGTGGGGAACCATTCTGGTATTTGACAGTCACTGCTGGTCTTTTGATTTCACGCTACCACTGCCTGCCAGCTACTGCCCACACATTCTGTCAGACCCAGGGCTCAACTAACCCGTCTGCAAGCTATGCCCAAAGCCCTCCCCCGCTATCTGTGGCAGTCTAGGCTCTACTGGTTTCCTGGCAGTCTGCCCCTACCACAGAGGCCCGTACCTGCAGCTAGGTCACACCAACTACTCCCCTCTTTCCTTACCAAGTTCGTTTGTTGTCAAAGAAGAGAACGAGGTATAGATGCTCTCGGGCTTCCTGGGTCATCTGCTCCCCGAGTTTTAGCACCTCCAGTGGGGGTACAGGAATGGGCACGCCATGGTGAAACATACCTTCTCGGGGCATCTTTGGGTCAATGATCTGAAGGTGAGACAGGAGCCCAGTGTGGTTCAGTTCATTCTCTAGTGCTTACCCTCCCTAGTCTGGGGACTGCATCTCAAGTGGGGACCGAAAGCGGGAGTGCTTCGGGAGCTCCCTGCTGGCCCTTGGTGTCATTCTGAGCTGAAAGGCAGCAAGGGGCACGCTGAGGCTGTACCTGCCGAGGCTGTCTCCTGAGGGAGCCCGGGCCAGCAGGAAGCAGGGGAGCCTGGGGTTGGGAAGCGAGGGGCAGGCAGAAGGGCACTGCCTACCAGAGCTGGGTATGACGGGTACCCTCGGCATTTGGCCCACACGAGGTCCAGAGCATCCAAGGGAGAGTCCTCATCCTCCGACAGCCAGCCAGCTCCCCGGCCCAGACTCTTCCTCACCACTTCACAGGAAAGGGAGAAAAGAGATGGGTCAGTGGCTGGGGTGCTGACCGAAGGCCCTGATGCTGGGTCCCCAGCATCTCTGGCTTCAGGCAAGGGTACTCACTGCTGTGGCCCACACCGCGGCCAGTGCCCATGGAGTAGGCCTCGTTCTCAGTGCCTGAGGTGTCCTCACTGCTGTCCTCCGGGAAGGTGCCCCTGGAGAAGGAGGGCTTGCCTCGGCCTTGTTTGGAGGGTGTGGTGCTAAAAACAGAAGATGGAAACTGGGCTCAAAGGGAAGAAGAAATGGGGCAGCGAGATATATGTACACCCTACTTCAGGCCTCAGGTCTAGGCTTCTGCAAAGCACAGAGGAGAAGAAAAGTTTCAAAGTCACACTCTTAGGGGCTGGGCTGAGAGCTGAGGGTAGTATGTGGCCTGCGTGAAGACCAGACTGCCACACCCTCCGACGTGAAAGAGAATACCGGGCCTGGGAGTTTTATGTGGCCTATCTAGACTCCTATTTTTTATTTTTCCATGCTGGCCACAGTATGTTGGTAGGTGAAATCCAGGTTGTAAGGTACCAGAGTACCTGAGCAATCAACTCAACCCAGAACGGTTTCGTCACGCAGCTACTGACTGAAATTATTAATCTTGCAAAGAAACTTGGGTTGAGCCACCCGATTCCTGAGACCATCTCCAGAGGCTGCTGAAGGCCGCAGGGCTGGTACCTGGTGCGGTCTGAGGCGGCGCTGCTGCTGCTGCTGCTGCTGGACTCAGAGTCAGAGCTGCTCCGGGGCAGGCTGCAGTCATTACGGTACACCAGGAAACTCTTCTTCACAGGCTGGTTTCCGCTGCTGAAGCCATTGGCTGGCAAGTCTTGGAGGGAGGAGGGAGGAACTGGTCAGGAAGGGGTGGATCAGAGACAGTACGGGGCAAGAGGGACTCAGAGTTCGGGTCACGTTCTGCTTCTGGGCCGCACTATTCCTATATATGTGGCTGCAGCTGGCTCTGGGCAGAGCCTGTCACAGCAGGCCTCAGCCCCACCCTGCCCTTGGCTTCTCTGGCAGTTACTGGCCTCAGGACACAGACAACTTAAAGGGCAGCAAATCCCTGAGAAAATGAGAGGAGAGGTAAAGTGATACAATGGACAAAGCCCTGATGGGGCTCTGGCTGGTCCCTGTGTCTCTGGGCCTCCATCTTCCCAGCCACATAGTGGATGGGAGGAAAGGGCACCTCCGAGCCCTTCTGGCTCTGCCTTTTGCAGGAAAAGGGAAGAGCAGCAGGAAGGATGGCAGCGCTGCAGCCTGGGAGCTGGTGGTGATGGAAAGCTCACCCATCGAGGGGTCTTCTGTGGACTTATCACTGTCGCTGTCTGAGCTCGAACTGGGCCGGGGGCTCCTACCCCGCTTGCGCTGTCGCAGGGAGCCCATGATGGGGAGCTGGGGGGGTCCCACAGGACTGCCTCCGTGGCTAGGGGTCATCTGGCTCTCCCGGTTTTTGGGGGGCCGGCCCGGCCTCTTGGGCGGTCCAGCTGTCTTCGGGTTCTTTTTGGAGAAAAGAACTGAGGTTCTCCTGCCCACCTCATGTGCGGGAGTTGAGGACAGGTTGGGACCCAGGCCTAGAGCAGAGAGAGACAGAAGGGGAGCTGGTGAGGGGCCTGATGTGAGAAGAGATGTCCAGGGTCAGGTTGTCTACCTAGAGGGGGGCAGGTGATGTGGGGGCCGTGACATTTGGACATGGACTCGCACCAATGCCAGAGAGGCAGCTAAGAGATCACCCCCAACTGTGGCCAAGGAGAGTGCAGCTAGCTGGGCAGCGACCTCCACCTGGGGAACACAGGGCTGAGTGCTTGCTGCTGAGTCCAAGTGTGACTAGCTCTGGGGTTCAGCTGCTTCGGGATTCAGACCTTTGCTTGTCTCCTGGCTGCTGCTCTCCTCCGTAGCACTGTCTGTCTGGCCATCCTTGTCACAGGCTGCTGGGTGGGGTGTTAGACTGCCCCGGCCAGAGGCGCCGTGCCGCTCGGGTCCATCTCGTCCAGCTTCCCGCTGGTGGGCGAGCTTCCGCCTCAACGCTGTCATCTCTTTCTTGATCATTTTCACACGCCTCGAGCGGCCCACGCTCTGTTTGCTTGCATTTACCTCGTCTAGCCGTTCCAGCAACAGCTTCAGCTGCTCCTCCACTGGCAGGTGCTTCTGGCTCTCCAGGAGCAGCAGGCGCTCTTCCTCCACTGCGAGGGAAGGGTTGAAGGGTGTGGGTCAGACCCAGGGGGGCTACTGGGTCCCTGGACCCGGGCAGGCATCAGGAAGGCCCCTTCCCACCCTGGCTGCTCTAGGAAACCGCTGCAGCAGAGCAGCGTCAGGATATGGCATGCAGGCCCTGCTACCCCCTGCCCAGGCTAGCTTCCGGCAGCGGTCCTGGAGACAGCATGTCACTGCTCGGCCACACTGCTTTCTGCCTGTGCTGCCTGTGCTCAAGGGCACTGCTAGCAAGTTCCTGGGACCAGGCTGTGTGTGCACACAACTTATCACCCACCGTCCTCAACATGGTGTGGAGCCTCGTCTCCAGGAAGGCTGTGTGGGATATGCATGCCTGTCTCAAAGTCAATGCCCATTTTTTCTGCTTGGCGCCGGGCCTGACGGAGCACAGCACCACCCTGCTCTCGGAGCCGTACTGCTGCCCTGTAGAAGATGGTGTCCTTGGCATTATATTTGAGGCAATTGCTGACAATGAGATTGAAGTCCTCCTCAAAATCATCGAAGTTCAAGTAGCGATAAGCCTCCAAATTCTGCTTCATGGTGAAAAAGTCCATAGGCTTTTTGATGTGGTCCAGGTAGTCAGGTACCTGGGGGAGCGGGGTGGGGGTGTCTAAGTGGAGCCACATTCTCACTCCCCAAGTCCTTCACTAATAACATTCCCCAAGATGCGCCCAGAGGCCTCCTCCCACCTCAGGGGAAGGCATGTAGCACAAGGCAAAGAAGTGGGGGCTATTCCTGGCTAGCGGTCACAAGCTGTCTGACCCTGGCAGGTCGGAAACTCTCTGGACCTACTTCTGCTCTCCTGGAGATGATGGGAACAAGCAAATGGACCCCTAACGCCAGAGGAGGCTTCCGTGAGAAAACATCTAGAGGGACCCTCTGGAAAAACCACCACCTTCCTGTTGCTCTTTTTATCTACCACCAAGATGAATGAGAACGGAGACGTCTTTAGCCTCTCCTTTTATACCTTTTAGAGAAAAGAGTCTGCCAGTCAGGACCTAGGGCTTCGGAGCTGTCCTGTAGGTAGGTGCTAAGCTCTCCTATGCCTCCGCTCTAGGGTGCAGCACCCTCAGAAGGTCTCCCTGCCTTGGATTATTCCTTGGGCACACTCAGTCCCTGCCTTTGGGCTGGGGTGCAGTCTGCCTCCCCTTCTGGGCCCTTGGGGCTGGAGAGGGACAAGACGGGGTCCAGGTGATACCCATCTGGAGCATCCTCCCTGGCACCACCAACCCCTCTGCAGGGTCCCCGGACAGTCCGTGGCCCAGACCTGCAGTAGGGGTCCAACTGGGAGAAGAACAGAAAGGAGGGGTGGAGGGAAGGGGTTCTTACTTCGTCCAATTCGGTTACCTCAGACAGAGGGACCGGCTCGCTGAAGATGTTGCCTGTGTCCTTCTCTTGGAGTTGTTCCAAGGTTTTGCGAAGCAGGATGAGGAAAGGGGTCAGCTGCATCTCCATGGCAATCTGCTGGACCTTGATCTGACATGAAAAAGCCTGATCAGCCAGCCTTGGCCAGCCCCTGGCACAGGTCCAGGAGACTGGCCCGGCCAGCCTGGGCGCCCATCTGCCTTTCTGCTCCCACATCTGTGGCTGCCCACTCAGGCCACCTTGCCCAAGGTCCCGGCCAGCAAGGCCTTCCCAGTGCTTGAACCCCCACTGTGAGCTCTAGGGTCACTAGGCTGGGACTCTGTTTATGTCTCCTGTGACACAGGCCCTCTCTTGGGCCCATGCGCAGAGCACAGGAAGACACGAGTCCAGCACTGGGCCCGACCCTGGCCAGGGAAGCCTGCTATTCCTTCCAGTCCCAGGACTCACCGTCTCCCTTTTGAGCTTCTCCCGCTTTCGTATCAGCTCTACCAGCAGCCGAGCGCGCTCGAGGTCATGCCGGAGCCGCTGCCACGACTTGAGCTGTTCTTTGAGAGCCCAGTTCTTATCCTCAGACTCTCTCTGTAGCGGAAAAAAGAGATCAGGAGACGATAAGAGCCTAAGGATGGAACCAGCAGTGAGGGGGGACCACAGGGACCCTGGGTGAAAGGCATAGAAGCCAAAAGTGGGTGCACAATAATTTACTGCTAGCCCCAGTCTGTATGTACCCAGGGCCTGGCACAACGTAAAGGCTCACTGTGTTTGTGGGAGAAAATGAATAAACTTAGAGGCGCGGTGCCTTTCTGTGGAGCTGATGATGCAGACTCCCCCAGGCCTGTGAGGGGCCAGCACAGCAGAGGAAATGGCCTATGTGCTCTGATAGGGAAACCAGTTCCTATAGCCTGCAGGATGCTGGACACAGTACCCCTACTTGGTCACAGTTCCTCTGGGACTGGAGGTGTGTCTGCAGGCGACGCAGCAAAGGGACTCCGTTCCGTGACTGCCTCTTCAGTGTCCAGTAGCTGTGCAGTCTCTGCATGAACTGGCTCTTCCGCTGGATGGTCAGCCGGTTGGTGATCTTACTGAGCCTGGGGCCAGGAAACAAAGAGAAGACCTGCTGGTGCCGACTCTCTTCAGAGCAGAGGCCTGGCCAGTAGAGTTCCTGACTAGGGAGGAACAGAGTCATTCTCCAAGGGAAAGGCCCGGGGTTCAGAGCCGAGGCAAAGGACAGTGACTATAGCCATCAGTGGAACCGCAGCAGACAGGCACCAGGCCCTCAGCACCAAGCAGTCTTTCTTGTTTTTATCAGTACCGGGGATCAAATTCACGACTACACACTTGCAAGGCAGGCACTTATGCTGCCGAGCTAAACCCCCAGCCCCAACCAATCATTCTTAACCTATCCAACTCTGCAAGAGTCAGACAGCTCAGCTTCTAAGACGCCACAGGCAGGGTAGCCTGGGGCACTGCCGAGCCCTGAGACCCCCACTGGGAGGCTTCAAGATAAAGCTCACATCACTTCTTGGCCATTTGGCTAAGATCAAGGAAGATAAAGTACAACTCTACAACAGAAAGCTGTGTTGAAACAACCACAGAACAGGAGGGGAAAAGGTAACTGGAGGTCCCAGCGCAGGAGCGGCGCTCACCGTCTACAGCTTTTCTGTGGCTGCTGCTGGTGCCGGGGAGGAGCCAGGGCCTCTCCTGCACACTAAGCACACACTGCACCTCCGCACTCTCCTGGGCCTTCCCCTCCCCACTTTCATTCCCTCTCTCTTCACGGCCGTAGCTGTCCCTCCTCACTCTTCCTAATTAAACACACCCCACCACCATAAGGGGTGGTTTCCAGCACCTGTTAGGTTCACCAGACAGTTCACCTGTTCCTAATGTAGTAAGAGTTTGGGGACTTGCTAGTGTTGTAGTTCCTGAAGGAGAAAGGAAAGCCAGCCCAGCCCCCCTCAGGGGCTATCCACTCCTCCCTCGGGGGCCTGCTTCACCCCGCCTGCTCCCCATTCACCTGTGTGGCGGGATGCAGGGCACTGACACCACTGGTGCTGCCGCCCGCTTCTCAGCCAAGATCTTCCGCGCCTTCTTCATCTTAATGCGGGACTTGGCCTTGGCCTTCTTCACCTTCTCGGAGCTCCAGCCCTTACCCTCCTCTTCCTCTTCCTCCTCCTCCTCCTCCCCCTCACTGTGGGACAGGGCAGGCAGGCGGCGTGCAGAACCTGGGGGCGTGTGGATGTCACAGTAGGCAGTCTTGCGGACGCTGAAGGAGGTGCCGTTGGCACCTGTCTCTCGCACAGGCTCCATCTTCATGTACAGGCCGGCCTGCTGGGCACATGTGACGTGGAAGGCTGTGTAGCAGTTGGCTTTGTGACACTGGATGCAGGCCCCTGAGCCACGCTGTTTGCAAATGTAGCAGGTGAGCTTCCAGCGAGCTGGGGGGATGTGCTCGATGCTGTCAATGGGCTCCAGGAAGACCGTGTTGGCGAAGCAGACCTCAGGGATCCACAGGGCACACACCACGTGGGCCCAGCGCCCGTCATCTGTCTGCTTGAAGGCACCACCCTTGTTGGGGCACAGGGCACAGTCCACAGCACGGGAAGGTGACTGCAGGCAACGGCGGCACAGCCACTGGCCCTCAGGAATGTAGGGGACACCATAGCACTCCTGGTGTACCGCCAGGTTACACATGTCACAGAAGAGGATGACGTTGCTGTTCTGGCACTCGCCATCGTTACAGATACAGCACACAGCATCCTCATCCACCAGGGCATTGGGGTCGCCTTTGTTGTGACTCTCAAAGTAAGACTCCTTCTCCAGCCGGTCCATCAGGTACTCAAAGATCTCCTGCGGAATAGGACTCACGCCCTCCGTCTTCCGCCGCTCATTCATGATGTCCAGCCAGATGTAGTCCTCCTCATCCATGTCATACTCCACTTCCTCGTCCAGCTCTTCCGCGGACTTCTCAATGTACCTGCAGTGCACAAAGGAGCTCAGCAGCCCGCAGACAGGCAGCGCTCCCTCCCTCCCTCCCTCCCTCCCTCCTTCCCTCCCAGGCAGGAGTCCCAGCTGCTACCTGCTTCCTCTACACTTGTGCCCGAAAGAGTTCAGCTCTCAGTACCACTAAAAAGAATGCCCTAAGTCAAGCTCCACACAATAGGGACTCAACTCAGAGCCCCACACATGCCAGGCAAGTACAACCCTAGCCTGGAAATCATGCTTCAGCACAAGCTGCCAGGGCCTCGGCGAAACTGCCATGTGTCTTGTCTCATTGGCTACCAGTGCCAGATCCCAGACACTGTCTGAGTTCCAAACAAACTTGGGAGCTAACACTCAGAACAGCTCTGAACAAATGTAGTAATGTGGCCCGGGGCCACGTACTGTGGATGCAGGCTCACATACTGCAAGCTGGCTCATTGCTAAATTGACTACTATATTCATGCTTACCACAGCCATAGGGTCAGTGCTCTCACATCCTTGTTCTGAAGCACCAAAGCTTTGAGAAGTTAATTAGGTGCCAGACACAGGCAAGTCACACAGTACGGAACGGCAGAACTGGCATCTGGTCCCACCCCCATGCTCCACCTCTTCCCTGCATACTGACCAGGCCAGTGGCCTGAGCAGAGCCCACACCAGGTACCTAAAAGTGCATGTCCTGCAGGTGGAGTGGCACTTTGGGAGGCTGAGGCAAGAGGACTACAAGTCTGAGCCTCACTTGGGCATCTCAGTAAGACCTTGCCTCAAGGGGCTGGGGATTTAGCTCAGTGGCATAAGCACCTGCCTTGCAAGCAGGCGGTCATGAGTTCGATACCCGGTACCGATAAAAAAGAAAAAAAAAAAGACCTTGCCTCAAAAAAAGAAAAGGGTTGGGGATGTAGCTCAGTGTGATTGTCCTGGATTCAAATCCCAGAACCACAAAAAGGAATGTTGTAAATTAAGAGGCACACAGTAGGTCCTACAAAATTTTGTGGCTCATTTCTGCTGTCTACATGAGAAATGGATTCTGAGCAGGCAAGCTGCACACAGGCTCTGCAGCCACACTGCATGGGGCTGTGTGACAAAGGGGAAGGAAGCCAGCTAAGCCTTCAGGCCTTGCTTTCACGTATAAAGCGGTGATGCTAATTCAAACCTGTGTCACACTGCTGTTATGGGAGAGGAATGAGTAAATATGGGGACGTTCTAGGAACAGGGCTTGGCATGGAACAAGTACTCAGTACATGTGAACCTTTATCGGCCTCCACACAGCCGAAAGCCACCTTGCTGTGCAGTGCAGCTGTCCGAGTGTCTGCCTCTTCTGCTACATTATGAGGATGAAGGCAGAGATTATGTCCAACTTACCACTCAGAGACTGTGCTTGGTGTTGTGCATTTGAAAGGCATGCTGAGAGTGGCAGGGAAAAGGATGTTGTCTCTAGGCAACAGTTTCCCCCTTCATCCTTAATCTCTTCCCCAGGGTGACTACACCCTTTATTCTTTGAACAAAGGGTGGGCATGAACCCTCTAGATCCTTCTAGAAGCTCTCTTGAACACCTGGTCCCATCCTTTCCTCTGCCATGACACACGTGACGTTATATGGTGGGACATGACACACTCCCACAGACTCCCAGATTCCAGGCTGCAGCAGATAAGGTAGGCTGTGTGTCATGTACAGTTCTGGCTCATCAGCTGACATATTACTCACCTCCCCCTCACAGAAGCGCATGACAAGCAAGTGAGAGACAGCGCTATACTGCAGGGATGGCCTCAGCACTTCTGGAATTTATGGAGAAAGTATATCTCTTCTAAAGCTTGGACAACGTCGTTAACAATTGTGATTATACTCAACATACCTTGCAGCTGATTGCAATGCACCAGCTGCAAACTGCTCTCGGCTCTCCCGGAGAAGAGCAGATCTAATCCCCAAAAGGAAAGAGTGAATCTGAGCAGAGGGAGAGACTTGGAGCTGAATAAGCAGGGCTAGGCAGGACCAGGCTGGGCTGCTTAGCAGAGGAGAGCTGCAGACCCAGCAGGAGGACAGGCCTGGTGGTGAGTGGACAGGGCGGTCAGTGCTAACAAAGGGACAGAGACCGTGGAGAGCCCGGGGGAGATGGAACTGCGCTGAACAGACAAAAGAATAAGCAAGAGGAGAGAGACACACTAAAACTCAGATGGAAAGCGGGCAGTGACACACCGGTCTCATCACATGTATCCCCCCCAACTTGCTCTTAAGAACTGAGATTTAATATAACACGAGTGGACTGCACTTGTGTAAAAATCGCTTTTCGTATGAAAACCTTCATGAAAAATCTTTCTAATCAGGCTGATTAGGTAACCATCAGAAAGCTCTCTCGACTTGGAAGCCAGGCCTCTAGGTTTTACCCTGGTTTTCGTAGCATCCTTGAGCTAGAGTTTCTGTGTGTAGCTTTACATGTTTCCCCAGCTCCATTGTCATTCACCTGAGGTTATGAGAATGTAGTCTTACTATGCCTGTGATTCAAGAGAAGCTACTGGGAGAAATGGGGTACAAAGAGACGATGAGATAAAGAAAAGGGTTGTTGAAGAGGCCCAAAGCTAAAAGCTAAGGATAATAACAGGACAGAGTCTGGAAAAAACCGCTCCACAGACTCAGGAGCCGCTTTTAGGACCTTGTGAAATCAGTAACTCGTCTTCTGCTCTTAGATGGGCAGAGGACTACTGCGCCTGCTCTGAGACAGAGCCTCCGGGGCACGGGGTGCAGGTGCAGCCCTGAGTTCACCCAGTAAGGGAGTGGAGAAGGTCAGCAAGCAGAAGCATGATCTGTTGGAACAGGGAAATACAGTGCAGCTTTGGGGTCAGAGGAATCTGGGTCTGAATCCTAGCTCAGCTACCTACTGGAATGTGACTTTGGCTGAGTCTGGTATGTTTTCTGGATCCTGAGTTCTTCATCTGTAAAATGAGAACAATACCTGGCTGAGCGCTGTGAGGCTGGAGGAGTGGCTAGAAAGGCTGAATCTGGGCCCACGCATGGCAGTGCGGAGTGAGTATCACCCCACTCCTGTCTGGCAAGGCTCGCTTCCTTCTGCTATCCTTTGTCCCGCATCCGCTTCCCTGCTGAGTCTTGTCTGGCTGTTTTTCCGGGGTGAGAGGTAAAGGCAGCCTTACCGGTAATAGGAAGTGGGCCGGGGTGGGGCGTCAGGGGTGTCCTGCTCCAGCTCCCGGTACACCACCTCTGGCAACTTGGGTGTGGCACTTGTGGAAGCATTATGGTGGTGGTGATGGTTGGAGTCCTTGCGCTTCTCCTTGTTCTTATGCTTGCCCGACTTGGGGGTCGCTGCCGGCGTCTCAGTGTTCTCCTTGTTGCTGCCGTTCTCAGGGGTCTCCTCGGGGGCCTCCTCATCCTCTGACACCACATCCAGGTTGTCAAAGATGCTGATGCGGTGGACACGACCATGCAGGTCCACCTCCACCATGCGCTGGGCCTGTGCGTAGCTCATCACCTCCCGGCCTGGCGACTGGGAGACTTCTGAAGGGTTGGGGGACTGCTTGTTGGTGGGACGTGACTGGCGCCCCTTCTTCTTGTGCTTGCGGAGTGGAGTCTGCTGTGGGGGTGGCGGGTTGTCGTGGTCATAGTGGTACAGGTGGTACTCAATACCACTGTAACTCTTGTAAACCTTGCGACAGGTCTCCACGGGGCACTCATACGGTGGCTTGGTTGCCCGCAAGTTATGGCAGAAAGTCTTCACATCAAAGTCTACCCCCATGCTGTCACATCTGGAATACACAGATAGGTTAGCACAAGCTTTACAGAAGAGCACTTGCCCACCTGCATCAGAGTCCTACTCTCTCCAGTCTTTGTCCCCAACAGTCACTGGGTCCTGGCCAGCACACCTTTCTAGCATCTCTAAAATCCATCTCCACCAGTCTTGGTCTGGAACTTGGTACCTCCTGCCCCATCATCCTGCCCAATGTCTCACTGCCTTTAACCCAATTTCATATCATTCCATCAGATTGATCTTTGTACTAAGTAGCAATGATCATGTCAGTCTCTTAAACAAAAGCCTGCTGATGCTCTCCACTTATTTCAGGATAGAATCCAAGTTCTGTGTTACGACATTCTGGACACTGCTTTCATTGTCTGGCCCATTTTCCTTTTTAGGCTCTTTTTTATCAGTTATAGTCTTACTATCTATGCAAAGCAACCTGAAAACCCCTGAACGTTATTGCCTCTCAAGGGATAAGGTAATCTCTACTAGTGACGCCTTCTACCCTCTCTGACTGGTGGGCCACTAGTCATTCTTCAAAACCCACCTCATGCTGTCACATTTGTTATATTTTCCCTGACTCCACAGGGAGCTGTCTTTCCATATCCTTCCATTCGCATCTCCAGCATGACACTTAACACACTGCAAGTCGTCCTATCACTGGACTGAGGCCTATCACATACACCCACTTCTATATGTCTGCATGAGATGCTACTTCTGGCAAATGAATGAATAGCTGAATGAAGGGATCATCAGATTTGAAGAGAGATGGAAGGAAGGCTTATATTAGCCTAGACAGAAGCTAAAATGGACAGCCAATGAGTTAGCCAACATAATTCAGTGGACTACAGAATTAGCTTATTTCGGAGGTGTTAATTTGGATCCTTATCCTTTTTTTTTTTTTTTAAATTTTTTTTTTTGGTCTTTTTCCTTTTTATCGGTACCAGGGATCGAACTCACGACTATCTGCTTACAAGGCAGGCACTTATGCCGCAGAGCTAAATCCCCGGGCCCTGGATCCTTATCCTTAATTAGACCCTGACTGTGTGCTGTGAAGCCAAAGAGAAAGCTAAGGTTATTCACTCGGGGACAGCAGCATTTAAATTCCTCATTTACCCATTCCTTCAGCATTAACTGAGTGCTAAGGAAGTGCCAGGTCCCACAAGTACAAACAAGAACAGGACAAACTAGGCACGTTCAGCTCCAGGCTGTTTCTCAGAGGTGGCCCTTTCCCCTCCCCAAGCTTCCTGGGTGAATGGAAACGTCAGATGGCACCAAACTCCAGGACATAGGCTTGGGCAGAGACTGTCCCAGTTTCTCTCGTCCTAATTGTGCTCAACAATTTAGCCAGGGGCTTAGCAGATCCCAGGCAAGGCCAACCTGCTCGGGATAAACACTGACCCCGCTAGGCCTCTCTTCTTCTGAAGCTTAACTGAGCAAGTGGGCTGCTCCAGCCCCTCTTGTCAGCAACTCTGGGCTTCCACAAAGTAACACTATAAGTTCAAGCCAACTCCCTACCTGCGGCCGTGTCTTTAAACACAAACCAACCAGAGGTACAAACAAGCTCTCCTCTCTCCAAGCAGGGTCCCAGGTGAATGGTCCTGGCCTGCTGCCCAGGCTCCCCAAGTGGCAACCCTCCCCACAACAACGTCCCGCCGGGACTCGGCAGCACAAGCACAGGGATGAGGGAATTTAGACCTGAACGCCCTCGGGGAGCGCCTGGAGCCCCAGGGTTGGGCAGCTGTCTCTGCTCCCAGCTCCCTCGGCTGGAGGAAGTGGAGGGCGGGGCGCCCATGCCCGGCGGGGCCGGTAGCCTTCTCTTCCGGATGTCGCAGGGTTTCCCTTTGTCAAAGTAGAGCAAGTTAAGCAAGGGCCCCTCCTGCGCTTGGCACAGGCAGCCCGAAGGAGCCGACGCACTGTCAGTTCCCGGGCTTCAGCGCCGGCCAAGCTGCTCCGCCCAGGCCCGCACTCACCGGCCACCTCGAGTCCGGGCTCATCGCCGGGGCGCCCGCCGGGGCCTCGACTCCCCTGGGGAGGCCGGCGGGAAAGACGGGCCGGGAGGGCGCCCCGATCCGGAGGCCGCAGAGTTCGCCTCCCCGCCCGGCCGCCCCGGCTCCCCGATTCCCGCGCTGACCCCGCCGCCCCGGTCTTGCCGACGTCTCAGCGTCTCGGCCTGGCCGGCCCTCGCTCGTCCCGCGACACTCTGCTGGCCTGGCCTTGGGCCTTCGCCGCGGGAACAAAGGAGGCGCCGGTAGGAAGCGGAGGACAGAGGCGGCGGACACGGGACGGCAAAGGCAGTGGCAGCGGCGGCGGAGGCACGGCGTCTGCGCAGGGTAAACGCAGCATCCAGGCACGCCGATCTGCACTTTCGCCACGGCCCTCGCCGGTCCGCTGAGGCTCTAGAGGCCATCCCGCGGGACCGGGAAAGGCCCTGGATGCCCCGCGGGGCTCAGCAGAGCCTTCTTCTCAGAACTGGGGTGTTGGAGACGGGGGACGCCGTATGTAGGCTGCGGTGGTCGGCCCGTTCGTAGCGAATCTGCGGCCACGGACGGCGAGCGCGGGCTGCGTGAAGAGCCCGCCTCCCCTCGCCTTGCCTCCCTCTCCTCCTCCTCCTCCTCCGGCCCCTTCCGCCCGCCGGCGCGGCCTCTTCTCTGTCTCCGCCCGGGAGGGAGGCAGTGGGCGGGGCGGGGCCCGCGCGGGGCGGGGCCTCTGAAGGAGGCCCAGTCGGGGGTGGGGCCGAGGGCGGGGCGTTGCCACGGGGGGCGGGGCCTAGGCCGGGAGAGGGGCGGTGCCGGGAGGGCGGGGCTGCGGGCTGGGGAGACCAGCCGGGTGCGTTTCGGGCGCGCCCCGGTCGCGTGCCGCCGTCGCTAGCTGCTGGCGGGGAGCTGGTGTCAGAGCTCAGAGACACCGTCAGTGACCGTACTCCTCCTAGTGGGCGAGCTGTGAAGTTCCCCTTCGGTCCTCCTTGCACAGAAGACCTGGAACATTCTGTCCGTTCCGGGTTCTCAGAACTGGCCACGCTTCAGTGGCCACTCACGCTTTGGGTGCCGCACCCGTGGGCACTTCTTGTATCACCCCCCTAGTCCGAAACGGTGACCCTCCAGGAATAAGTTGCTGATTAAGATTTTGGGGTCTGAAATTAAACTGAGTTCTAAGAAAGTAAATTATCGGGGCTGGGGATTTAGCTCAGTGGTGTAAGCGCCTTCCTGGTAAGCATGAAGTCATGTGTTCAATTCCTGGTACCAAAAAGTAAATAAATAAGTAAATAAATAAACAAGTGGGTACCTCTAGTCCTAGTTTAAAGAAAAAAAAAAAAAAGCAAATTATCCATTCTGGGCTGGGTTCACACCCCAACATCACACACCCGAAAACGGGGAGCATATCACTTCTCAAAGAGTTGTGTTAAAAGAAAGGATGCTCCTAAATTACCCAGTCTGTGTCTCATATGTAGTGAATACTCAAAAATATTTTAAAAATTAAGAGCACGATCTTAAAATGAACACTTTTTGAAGTCAAGAATTCCTATAGGGATTTGATGAAAACTTTTACTTTTTTTGTGGTACTAGGGTAGACGCCAGAGCCTTTTGTATGCTAGGTGTTTTAAGATACTCGGTCACATCTCCAGCCCAGCTTTTCTTCTTTTTTTTTTTTTTTGAGACTGGGTCTGACTATGTAGCTCAGCCTGGCCTTGAACTCACTATGTAGCACAAGCTGGGCTCATACTTGTGAGTCGCACTGTCTTAGCCTCCTGAGTGCCCTGATTATAGGCACCACTATCTACTTCCCTCTTGGTGTTTAAAACTCCAAGGCGTTGCATGAATGTGTGATAGCAGAAGGGTGAGCCCCATTGAGGCCCCCTTTGTTTTGCTTCCTAGTGTGACCCAAGTCCTGACCCTGTATTTTCCTCTTGAAGACCCAGAGACAAAATAGAGCAAAGACCAGCTTTATTATTGGATGAGGGCAGGGGAGATGCTGCTAGTGCCAGGCCTGCTGCAGGGAGGGGCAGAGGGCACGCCTGCCAGCGCTGATGCCAGCAAGGTCCAGGGCTTCAGGTACCCCTGGCTTTCAGCAGGAAGGAGCAGGTGGGCAGACTGCCAGGCATGGGACAGTGGGCTGCTTAGGGCTGCTCTGGAGCTGGGGAAGGGCTGGGGTTGGCTGGAGGCGGGGGCCGGGGCTGGATGTCTCTGGTGCGCATGTAGGACAGCAGCTGCTCTGGGATCTCAGCCAGCACATCCTTAGCCAGTCGGGCCATGCTCAGAACCTGGTTCCCCGAGCGGTCCACGTAGTCTCGGAACGGGACAAACTAGGGCCGACAGATAGGGAGGTGTGGGCCGTGGTCTGGGGAGGAGGTCTGCAGGAGGCTTCACTTGGCGATCCTCACCATCACTTAACACATATCACTGCCTCTTCCCTAATCCTGGGTGGTTTTTCACATGTCTTTACCTCAGCTACTCACCCTAAGCCCTCTCCAGTTTAGCTTCCCGCAGTCCATTGAAACTGCCCTCGCTAAGGTCTTTGGCAGCTCCAAGCAGTCCAACAGGCAGGAACTTTCAGTCCTCCCTCCCCTTTCTTTTTTCTTTTTTTGGTACCAGGGATTGAACTCACAACCTTGCACTTGCCAGTCAGTCCCCATTGTGCTGTCCTCTTGTGTCCTGTTACATGTGAACATGATACACCAGGATCTATATCCCTTCAACACCGCAGCATGCTTCTGGACCTGCCTTTGCCTTTCCAAAGCTCTTCCCCACTGTCCCCTGCTTCCCAACCTGTTTTCTGAAGTCAGCTTCTGCTTTTCAGCTGTCTTTCTGGGTGATTTTATACTCCTCTGACTTTTTTTGGTACTGGGGATCAAACTTACGACTTTATGCTTGCCAGGCAGGTGCTAGTGCCGCTGAGCTAAACCCCTGGCTCCTCATACTCTCCTGACTTTAAAGACTTTCCTTCCAGGGAGGAGAAGGAACAGGGAAGGGGTGGGAGGAGCCGGAGGAAAGAACAGGCAAGAAGCAGAAAAAAAGGACCCTGGGAAGGGGAAGAGGCCGCGAAGAGGGGGCCAGGGGGAAGTAGAGCTGGGCAGGCAGAGACCCTGGGCAAGAAGGGGGTGGCCAGGGTACAGGGGAGAAAGGTCAACAGAAACCAAAAGGAAGAGGAAAGCTATTCCTCATGATTCCCAAATATTTCTATCTATCCCTGGCTTTTAAACATTTTATTTTTGCCCAGTGTGGTGGCACATGCTTGTAATTCCAGCAGTAAGGAGGCTGAGGTAGGGTTGCAGCAAGTTACAGGCCATCTTGGGCTACATAGTGAATTCAAGACCAGCCTGAACTTGGGTTAGTAAGACCCTGTCTCAAAAATCAATAATAAAATTAATAAAATAAAATTTTGCTTTTACTATTTTGTTTTTAGTTGCAGTCTCACCCTGTTGCTCAGGTTGGTCTTAAAACTCCTAAACTCAGGGCCAGGGATTTAGCTCAGCAGCTTAAGTGTCTGCTTGGCAAACCCGAGGTCGTGAGTTCAATCCCTGGTACCAAAAAAAAACAAAACAAAAAAAAAAACAAAACAAAAAACTCCTAAACTCAGGCTGGAGATTTAGCTTAGTGGCACAAGCGCCTGCCTGGCAAGCACAAGATTGTGAGTTTGATCCCTGGTACCAAAACAAACAAAACAAAAACACTGCTAAACTCAAGTGATCTTCCTGCCTCAGCCTCCTGAATGCTGGGAATGAAGGCAGGCACGTCCCTCCATGCTAGTGGAATACCGGAGGCTTGAAGATCCAGGTCCGTCACACTGAGCTGCATCCCCAGCCCCGGCTTTTTTCTGAGGCAGGTTCTCAGTAGTTGCTAAGTTGTCCAGGAGGGCTGCTAGTTTGCGCCCAGCCTGGGCAGTGTAGGGAGAGCCTCTCTCAAAACAAAACATGAAAAGGGTGGTAATGCAGCTTAGTGCAGAGGCGCTGGGTTCAGTTCTCAATGCCACACACATATATGCTCCCTTGCATATGGGAGTGACCATCTCACTCCCTTGTGCAAAATCCTTCCACAGCTTTTGAGCAAAACTCCAGGTCTTAGCCTGGTGTGGTAGCCCACACCTGTAATTGTAAGTAACTTTGAAGGCTGACAGGGTTGGAATGCAAAATCAAGGCCAACCTGAGCAGCTACCTTAGCCAGACTGTCTCAAAGACAATAAATAAATAATGAATCAATGAATGAAAGAATAAAATCAACTTTTCCCAGGACTGAGCCCCACTCTGTGTGATCCTGCCACCCTGGGCCAAGCCTCTGTCTTCCTCCAGTGCAGCTGCTGGCCTGTGCTTCTGGTCGCTTTCTTTAGTCCCAAGTGTCTGTGACACCCTCCCCACAACTGAGCTCCCAGCCATGGAGGGCAGCATCCCCTTTGATCCCTGGGGTTCCACGCTTGCCTGATCAATAGATCGGTATGTTTCTCTGCTCAGGTCACTTGCTAGCTAAAGGACCTCCTCCCTGACCAGCTGGGTCCACCGCATGAGTTCCAGGAGTGAACAGGGAAGGGGCCAGTGGGTGGGGAAGGCACCCTCCAGTCAGGGGTCTGGGCTCAGGACTACCTGAACAATATCCCGCTCTGCGAAGCGCCCCCTGGAGGACACACGTACGTCATCGCCATCCAGCTCTTCCATTGCTGTGGAGAAGATGCCCTCAGCTGGCCTCTCCAGCTGGACTGTGCTGCACTCTCTCTTCAGAGTCATGACATCGCTGAACAGCTGTCCTGAAGGCCTACACAGGCTGCTAGACCTCGATACAAGTTATTGGGGGGCGGGGGACAGGGCCTTGCTAAGTAGTCTAGGCTGGGCTTGAACTCACAGGGATCTTGCTGCTCAGCCTGCAGAGCACCGGGATTACAGGCATGTGCCACCACTTTATTATTATTTCATTATTATCGTGGGTACCAGGAATCAAACTGGCGTATTGTTATTTCTCTGCCTTTCTACTCCCTCAGGAGTTACTATGTCTGCTTGATTGGGAAGAGGGCCCCACGGGGTGACTGGGGCCTCAGCAGTGCCTGGGGGTGTTCACCCAGCCTTCCCCGAGTTAGGCCTGTGTGTCAGGCCCAGCCAGCTCCGCAGGCCTCACTCCTGCCCCACTCACCCTCGAACATGGCAGGCCCCACTCCAACGATGATGATGGACATGGGCAAGGAGGAGGCCTGCGAGAGAGACAGCTGCGAGTGAGTGGCGGGGCAGAGGCCACCGTGCAGCTCACTGCCGACTTCTTTGGAAGGATGTGTGTGCATGTGTGTGTCAGGCGACCCTGAAGCTAGTACCCTCTGAGAGCAGTGGACAGGTTCACATATTACCCGGAACTCTTTGAGTCTCCCACAGGACAGAGACTGTGTGTGCCTCTTCCCACTGGAGGACACCAGCATCCCCAGGCTTAGGCACTGCCCCATGATGCCACCTCCAGTGGGCACAGTGTCACCTGGCCATCTCCACATCCTCCTGTGGGCCCAGCCCTTAGGCACAGTACAAAGGCCAGCAGTGCGGCTGCCCCCCACCTCTTGTTGGGAGGCCTGTATCCTCAGCCTGCATGCACGAAGCTGGTGGGCTTGCTTTGTAGCTTTTTTTTTTTTCTTTGTATCAGAGATCAAACTCACGACCTTGCTTATGCCATGCAGGTGCCTATACCACTGAGCTACATCCCCAACCCTCTTCACAGGTTTTAAGAAGGACAAAGCCTCCAGCCCGCCCTTGGTGCTGGCAGCCGCCCTTCCCTGCAGGCCTCCTCCTGGGACTCACGCTGACGATTGCCTCTTTGGTCTGTATCATGTCAGAAATGACCCCGTCCGTGATGATGAGCAGAACATAGTACTGGGAGCCGTCGGAGATCTTAGCTGCAGCCCTGCGTGAGAGGCCAGGGTCAGAATCTGGCCGTGAGCCTGAGGCCCTGAGAAAACACCAGCCCACAGTGCCCGCAGCCGGCAAGGAGCAGGGCAAGACCCAGTGGGTCACCAGACCCATTGCCCACCTGCCTGCTTCACCCACAGGGTTTACTGAGCTCTTCTAGGAGGCCCTGGGGATGTGTAGGGAAGAAACAGAAAATCTTGCCAAGCCTTTGGTAGGAGGCTCATCTTCATCTGAAATCGCACAAAAAGCTATGGAATGACCACTGTAAGGGCCCTGGGCAGGTTCTGAAGGTGAGGCTTCGAAGCCTCTGTCCTCAGGAGGAGGACAGGCTACGGGGAGGAGACTTGCTCTGAGCAGAGGGCATGGTGTGGAACAGCCCTTGGTGGGAGGAGGCCAAAAGCCCACCTGGTCTCGGGATGGGACACTCGGGCAGCAGAGTGGACCGTGTGTCCAGGGCACAGGGACTAGCTTGAAACATCCTGATGTTTCCACAAGGGAGGCACAAGCAGAAGGCTCTGCCTCCCTGCTTTCCTGTTGAGTCTCTCCCTCTGAAGCCATTCGCTGCAGCTGGCCTGATGGACAGCGGTGCCCAGAGTTCCTTTTCCTTCCCTCTTATCATTCTTTTTTAAATTTTTTCCTCCCATCGCTCTGTTTTTAGAAACTGGGGATGGAACCCAGGGCCTGGCACATGCTACACAAGTGCTCTACCACTGAGCCACATCCTCAATACTTTTTTAAAAAGTATTTTGAGACAGTGTTTTGCTGAGTTGCCCAGGCTGGCCTTGAGTTTGTGGTCTTCTGGCCTCAGCCTCCTACACACCTGGATTACAGGTGTGTGCCACTGCCCTGTTCCATTTTCCATCTGAAGAGGACCTCATAAATCAAGAGCTCAATCGTCTTATTTTACATATATGAGAAAACCTAGAGAGGGCAGAAGGCAGATGCAGACCCTGTCCTTGACTCCCAGCCTTAGGACTCTGTGGATGACAGGGATGCAGCTGTACTCTCTGTTAAGGACACTGAAATTTAAATTAACAATGTTAAGTAGAACTGAAGACTGCACTTCTTGGTCGCCCTGGTTTACCCCTCCAGTGCTCAATTTTACATGAGCTGTGGCTACCCTGCCAGATGGAACAGACATAGAGCGTGTTCACCTCTGCAGAAGTCTCCAGGACGGCCCTGGGTTTACACCTGACCTCAGAGGATGAGTGGGCCATGACTCTCACACTCCTCTTCCATAGCCCAGTCCCCTCCCTGAATCTGGGCCTCTCCTCCTCAAAGGCCAGGCCTGGCTCACAGTTAGTTGCTATCTGCCATTCATTGGGTCAGCACCGAACTTGGTGCTGGGCAGCAGCAGCAGCGAGCAGTAATTGCCTGAGCAGAAGCAGATACTGCACAATTTGCACGCCCTTGGGGAAGGGGAAGGGAAAGGAAACAGAGGTCCAGAGGGAGAGACTGGGGAGTGCAGAGGTGTGCCCTCACAGAACAGCTGCAGAGGAAGGCTGAGCTGGCTCAGCGGGGACCCACAGGAGGGACCTGAGTGCCGGGCTGGCAGCAGGGGACACCCTGCAGGGACCAGGGACACGGAGGCAGCCTCAGGGTGCTCCTTTGTGGGTAACTGGGGAATCGTTTGTGATCACCAAGTCAGAGGAGTGCTCCTGACAAGTATGTGTGCCTTCCTCCTCACGGCACTCTAGGGGTGGGTTAGGCTTGCTTCCCCGACCCCAGGGTCTTCAAAACGCTACGCCACAGCCCCTCCCCTCTTTTTAATTCTTTGAGCTGGGACTTGCTAAATGGCCCAGACTGGACTCAAAGCTGTGATCTAACTGCCTCCACCTCCCAGAATTCTGGGTCTATAGGACTGCAACCACCAGGCCCAACTCCTATTTTTAAAATGAGAAAAGTGGGCTGGGTGTGGTGATCATGCTGTAATCCCAACACTCAGAAGGCGGAGGCAAGAGGATTATTGCAAGTTTGAGGCCAGCCTGGGCTACATAGTGACTTCAAGAACGGCCTGAATTATAAAGTGAGACCCTGTCTCACCCCCTGCTCCCCCAAAAAGAGAAAACTGAAGTTCAGAGGCTTTAGCATTCCCCAGGGTGATGAAACTGGACTCCAGGCCTTGCTTGACCAACTGAGCCTCAAGCTCCAGCTCTCAGCCTCTCCTCTCCTTTTTGGGCCGGCACTCTGGTGGACACTTCATCTACCCACACAGACCTTTCAGGACCTGAGCTCGCTTCTCGGCCTCTGTGCTCTGCACCCTCTGCTCCTCCTGCCAGGCCGCTTGCTCTGCTCCCTCCTGGACCCCCTGCAAGTGCCCCTCCTTTCCTTTCCATTACCCCTCCTGGCAGGGTGCTGAGGGGGACTGCAGTTGTATCTTTCTCCTGCTCCACCAAAAGGTGACTAAAGTTGGATGACCGAGAGTATTTACAATGCAAATACAGATACAGATAAGATATGCATGAATTTTTAAGATGAAATATGGAGACTTCAAAGACTTTGTCGGACTGCTGGCTTTCAGCTGGTTCCCAGGAATCCACAGGGGAGGAAGGGCGGTTTGTAGAGAAGTCTGGGAAACTCTGGCTACAGAAGGGAATAATTATTTATAGGCCTGCCTCTTGCACCAAGGCAGGAGCTCTGAAGGGCAGGACCAGGTGATCTACCTTCAAGTCTCCAGGGCCCTGCCCAGAATGAAGCAAGGCCATTGCTTTGCAAATAGCAGTGGAGGGGACAATAGTAACAGCAGTGGCTAATCCCACCAGGACTGGCAGCATCCTGTCTCACAACAGCCCTGGGATCATCACCCTCATTTTACAAATGAGGAACAGGCAGGGTGGTACACACTTGTCATCCCAGCACTTGGGGAGGCTGAGGCAGGAGGATCACTGTGACTTCAAGGCCAGCCGGGGCTACAGCCTGGGCTAGTGAGATCTTGTCTCAAACAAAACAAAGCAGACACCAAAAAACTCTAATATTGGTGCTAAAAAGGAATACTAAAATGTTATATGTAACTTGATTGCAATTATAAAAGTATAAACACTAGCCAGGCATGGTGGCTCCTATAGTCCCAGCACTCTGGGAGGCTGGGGCAGGAGGATCCTAGCTGGATCATAGACTGGGTAGCTTGGAAACTTGCTAGATACTTGGAAACTTGCTAGACCTTGTTTCAAACACACACACACACACACACACACACACACACACACACACCCCACATGCATGAGCCCACACGATAAAGATTAAGAATTCTATATGCATTGAGGCTAGGGATTTAGCTCAGCAGCACAAGTACCTGCCTGGCAAGTGTGAGATCATGACTTCAATCCTGGGTACCAAAAAACCAAAAACGAACTGAAAACACTCTATGTCTCTGCATCCCAGGGGCAGTACTCAGGGTGATTCCTTTCTTTTCATTCTTATTTTTGCAGTGCTGGTGATTGAACCCACACCACTGTGCGTGCCAGCCAGTGTGTGGCATTGAGCCACATCACCAGTGTGCCCTTCCCTTTAACTTGGGAACAGGGTCTCGCTAGGTTGCCCTGCCTAGATTGCAACTTAAGAGTCCTCCTGCCTCAGCCTTCCAAGAAGCTGGGACTACAGGTGTGCACGACCGTGCCTGTCTGTGATTTCTTATTTCATATTTTATCTTTGAAACAGTCTATGGCAATATTATATTATTTTCATAATCGGAGTAACTATCAGCCTCACTGTGAATCAGAAAAATAAATGTTTATTGGAGAAAAAGGAAATCTGGGATGTATGAATCTGCCTGAAATTGTTTAATTTTTATTGCCCTGCTTGGTCTTTTCATTCCCTTGCTCCCTGAGGTGCTTTGTTTTAGCCAGGTCTTTTGTAGCATATAGTGGAATTTGCTTTTTAAAAAAAATTAATCCAGGGGCTGGGGATTTAGCTCAGCGGCATAAGCACCTGCCTTGCAAGCAGGCAGTTGTGAGTTTGATCCCCGGTACTGATAAAAAGAAAAAAGAAAAAAAAAATGTAACATAAAAAAAAATTAATCCAAACCTTTTTTTAATTTATAAAGAACAGATTCTTAAATTTCTGGAGGTAAGAATCTCTTTTAAGCTCACTCGTTGCTTATCACACTTATATTTATAGATAAATGCTTGGTTCCAGTTTTGTCATTAATTTGTTTTTAAAAATCGTTTGAGATTTAAAAAAATCGTTTGAGATATGACCTGTGTTTTCTGTGCTTTGCACATTTTTGAAAGCCTGGGTAGTTTTAAACCTATCATTTCTGAAACCCTTCCTGCAGGCTGACACTGCACTAACCCTCTGACAGCAGCCTTCTGGTGATAGCAGTCTTCTGTGGTAGGCACAGGGAGGCCCTGGGAGGCTGAGGTTGGGCTTGCTGGTGCCTTCACCCCTGGAGGACGGTTTCTTTTCTCTTATGCAAGCTCCAGGCCAGGTTGTCACCCCAAAGGAGCAGCTTGGGATAGTTCACCCATAGTGAGTGACTGTGTCACCTCTCTGTCCTAAAGCCAGGCCAGTGTGGAGCCTGGGGAGTGGGTCCCCTGCTTGGGTCCCCAGTCTCCGAGTGGCCCTTACCTGGCCACCTGATTGATGACTGGAGCGAAGTAGGTGGGGCCGTAGAGCTGCACGGTGCGCAGGCTCTGGAAGTAGCTCTCTAGTACCCCCTCGATGCCAGCGCAGTTGGGGTCCTCGTCGTTGTTGTTCTGGGGAGGAAGACATGCTGGCTGCCCAGCTGACACGTGTTCAGGAGTCTCGATCCATCTTTCCCCTTCCCACGCTGCACAACCACCCCAGCCAGCCTCTGGCCCCTGGGCCCTGCCCTCCCACCGGGGTGCCGTCCACACCATACCAAGGGGAACTGGTGTGAGATCCGCCCTTCGGGGGGCAGCTTGGCTCCAAAGCCATAGGCTGGGAAGAGTTTGTCGCTGTCATAGTCCTGGATGATTTCTCCCACTGCCTTGAGGGCCAGGGCATAGGCGCTGAGCTGATAGGGACTCATGTAGTGCAGGGAGGTGGGCTGCAGAGGGTTTCCTGTGGGTGGAGCAGGCTTCTGGGTTCTGCACCTGCTCCCCTCACTGCCAAGGCACTGTCCCTCCAGCTCTGCCCTCCACCGCGGGACTCCCTCGGGTCCTCGCCACCCCTCCTGCCCTCTACCTGCTCACCAGTGGAACCCTCTGCCCACACAGCCACCTGCTCTGCCACCCGGTAATAAGTCCCCTTCACTTAGCTGTCCCTCCCCACAGCTCAGCTGGCACCCAGCCATCCGCATGGCCACCGGCCATCTGCTTGTCCACTTGCCATTCCTTTCTGTGCCATCGTCCTTCGAGTTGTGTCACCCTGAAGCGGCCAGCCAGCCCTGCTCATCTCACTCCCACATGCGTCTACTCAAAGAGGCATCTGTTTACCTGGCCCCTGGCCACTCCCTTTCCTAGTACCTGTTACCTCCCCGTCTGTCCACCTGCTGCTGTCCATGCATCCCTTGCCCTGGAAACCTGTTGTCCTCACCATGTATCCACTGTGTCTGCTCGCTGGTTTAACTCTCCACCCATGCACTCACCCACCGCTCCTCACAGTCGCTTCCCTTCCACCATCTGTCCACCTCTCTGGTGAGCAGTTACAGGAAACCATCTCTCCTTTACTTTTTGTATTGGGAACTGAGCTCAGGGCCTCGTGCTTGCCAGGCAGGCGCTGTGCTGCTGAGCTGCGTCTCTAGCCCCTGTCCATTTGCTTTTTTGCACCTTGTGGCCCAGCTTCGTGCCAGTCTCTTTTTTCCTACACACCTACCTGAGCGTCACCTGAGGCCTGAGGCTCTTTGGCTACGTAAATGCATATCCTCAGGCAGGAGTCTAGGCCAATCTCGGGAGCCCCCCTCGGAATCCCCCCACCGCTTGTCCCGTGACATAGGCCTCACCATTGGAAGCTGTGAAGTCAATAGCTACCGTGAAGTTCAGCTGCGTCCTGTGGAGAAGCAGACGGGTTGAGCGGTAAGGGTCAAATGGAGTTCTCCTCTGTCTGTATTTTTGTGTCATGGATTGAACCTAGGGTCTTGCACATACTAGGCAAGTGCTCTACCACCAACCTACATCCCTACTTCCTTTTTAAATTTTTGTTTGTTTTTGAGACAGACTCTCACCATATAGTTTAGACTGGCCTTGAACTCACGTTGTAGCCCAGGCTGGCCTCGAATTCACAACAATCCTCCTGCCTCAGCTTCCCCAGTATTGCGATTACAGGTATGGACCATCATGCCTGGCATTAAATTTTAAAAAACAGTCTGAGAGAGTCTTTCTAAATTGCCTAAGGGGCTACAACTTGCAGCTGTCCTGCCTCAGCCTCCCAGGTGGCTGGGATGACAGTTCTGTGCCACTGCATAGCCCCCTCAGTATTTCTCAAATGTCACTGTGTACCCAGAACACCTTACTGGGGCTTGTGTTAGAATACAGAGTCCAATCCTGGCAGTCTGGGTGGAGTCAACAAATCCCAAATGCTGCTGGTCCAGGGGGTGAATTACTTGCTTACTCTGTGACTGTGTTAGATGTCATCTAAGTTAGCCCTCACTCCAGCCCTGGGGCAGTGATTCAAGTCGCCATCTTACACAGGGGAAAAGTGTTTGAGTGAAGCACAGTACATTTCTCGGGGCTGCCTGCCTGCCTACCTACAATGAGCAAACCAGAAGTCCCTTCTGTTGGCAGTCAGCTTGGGTCTCCCTCTCTTGGCCTCCTCCTGTCCATCTGTAACTGTGTGTGCTGGTGAAGGGGCCCAGGACCCTGCACAAGCTCAGCCCACTATGCCCCTCAGCTGCCGGCCTACCCCCACTGCAGCCACAGCTGTTTGTCCGCCCCACTCCGGTTCCTGAGGACCTTTAGGCCGCCCTCCAGGAGGGACCCAAAGCTGAATTCAAGACAGCGCTATGAACAGAACTCAAAGGGGGACACTTGTGCACTTTACAGAACACTTTACAGTTTGCCCAGTACCTCCCAGTTCATCGCCACAGTCTCACTCATAAATAAGAAAACCTGCCGTGTGCGGGAGCACGCGCCTATTGCCTCGGCACTCCAGAGGGAGGCTGAAGCAGGAGGATCACATTGAGTTTGAGGCCAGCTGGAGTTACCCAGTGAGTTCAAGGCCAGACTAAACTACATAGTGAGGCCCTGTCTCAAAAGACAAAAAAAGAAAAAGAAAGAAAGAAAGAGAAAAACTTGACATGTCACTCACCCTCCTTTGATGTAATCAACAAATGTGAATTCCGAGTCCACCGAGAAGGACAGCAGTGTCACCTGTGGAACAGAAGAGGTGGCCCTTCTACTTAGGAAGAGGGAGCACAGCAAAGCTGTGGAGAGTTAGGGGTGGCGAGAACATGGCTCCACCCTGCGCCCTACCTGCCTCACCTTTCACTTTTAAAGGCAGTATTTCAACTGAACTATTAAATTTGGCAATGCAACCCCAGAGGTTTTTTTGGTTGCTTCTTTTTCCCCGGCCAAAGGGTAAAGGTGAAAAAAGAAAAAAAAAATAAAAAAACAAAAAACCTACACACAAAAACAACTGCGGCGGCACCCCCTGGTGGCCACCGTTCCCACAACCTAACCATCGGGCCAGCGGCAGCCCCTGCGCGCGCTCGGGTCCGCGCGGGACCGAGGCTGGGGGGACCCGCGCCCGCCCGCCCGCCCGCCCGGAGCGCTCACAGTTCCCGAGTTGACGTATTTCTTCTTCTTGCACTTCTTCCGCGGGTTCAGAACCTAAGCGGGAGGCGACACACTGCGGAAGGCCGCGGGCTGCAGGCCCAGGCCCAGGCCCGGCGGGCGGCGGCGGTGGGCGGGCTCACCTCGTACACCGTGAACTGGCTCTGCGCCCTGCTCAGCTCCCGGTAGCTGGTGGTGAACTCACCGATGAAGTCGTGGCTGCAACGAGGTGGGGCGGCTCGGGCGGCTGGCACGTGCTCCCCGCAGGCGGGCTGCAGAGCAGCGGGCTGGGGCCGGGCGGGACGAGGAGCTCGCGCGCCAGAGCCGGAGAAAGGGCCGGAGGGCAGCTTTACCTGCCGTCTCGGTCCCAGTCATACACGTCAATCTTCACAGTCCTGGGACGGAATGAAGGGGTTGGGGCCGCAGGACCCCAGAGACTGTCTCCCGCGCCCCCTCGTCCTTCCATCAGCCTGGCCGGTCTTCCTCCCATCTTCCCGTTCACACGCCCATGCACACACACATCTGTCATGGCTAACGCTGCTGCTGCTGTTAGAGCCACAGTTCCCAGTTCACCGTGTTAGCGAGCCTTACTGTATCCAGCCATTGTTCTTAGCACTTTCACGGGTGCTCATTTTCTGTCCCTTCCCACCTCCCTCCTCTCTTTTATTTATTATGGTGGATTGAACCCATGGCTTAAAGGCTGAGCTCCATCTCATTTCAAGTACTTTGTATTTTTCCCTTTAAGACAGGGTTTTGCTAAATTGCTCAGGCTGGCTCAAACTTGTGATCTTCCTGCCTCAGCCTCCCAGAGTGCTAAGACGACAGGCGTCTGCTATCACAGCTGGCTAGATTGTCTCATTTAATTTACAACCACTTTGCATAAAATAAATACTATGATTCATGCTTTTGGGTATGGAAATTGAAATACAGAAAAAACAATAACTTGACTAAGATCCTATCACTTGTAAGTGATTAAGCTGATATTTTTATCTTCTGAGACAGGGTCTCACTATGTGTTTCAAGGGCAGAGCCTGAACTCACTAGGTAGCCCAGCGTGGCCTCAAAGTCCTGGAGATCCTCCTGAGTGCTGGTATTACTGGCGTGTGCCACCATACCTGGCTAAGTTGATAATTAAACTCCCAACATTTTGACTCCAAAGACCTGTTTTCACTACTATGCCCACATGTCTCTGTTCAGTCCATCTACCCACCTAGCCACCCATTTACCCAGATATTTGCCAACACAATTACTCACTACGAATCAATCTCTTTATCCAGCTATGCCTGCAGTCACTCACAGACTCACTGATACACAGGAGTGCCCTGTGTTTCAGTCTGTTCATATACTCAAGCAAACACCAACATCTGGCCATCTGCTCATTAGCACAGCCGCCCTTCCACCTCCTACCTATCTACCTACCAGCTTTTATCCGCCCCATTCACTGATCCTCTTGGTCAGCCTATCTTCTACTTTACATTCATCCACCAGCTCTCCATCCATCCTTCCTTTTACCACCCACTCATCTGTCCACCTGCCTGCCACTCCACTGTCCTTCCTATCCACTTGCCTTTGTATTCATCCACCGACTCTTATGCACTCGTTTATCAGCTCAGCCATCCATCTGTACTGATCACGCCTTTGCACATGCGTATCCACAGGCGGCCGTTTATCAGTGTGCCCGTACTTGCCACACATCTCCCTGTCCATGTCCTCATCAGCCCACTTGTCCCCCCGTCCATCATGTGGAGGCCCAGAAGCCTCAGTCCTCAGTCCTGGTCCTCCTCCCCCCGGCCTGTGCTGATGCAGACCTGTCGTAGTCTCCGTTGCACAGCGCCCTCACGGGGATGCTAAAGGGCTGCCACACAGGGTTCAGTGTGTTCTTCACCACCTCGGTCTTGTGGCAGATGGTGAACCTGGAGGGAGCAAGAGGCCTGGAACCTGCCCTGGGGTTGACGGCCCTCCACTCTCCTGGGTGTGCCACACACACCACACGCCCAGCTCGAGGGCAGAGCGAGCAGTGGCTCACGTGCCGTCTTCGTTGCTCCTGTAGAACACAAGGAAGGGATCCGATTTGCCGAAGAAGTCCTTCTTGTCCAGCTTGTTTGCACACAGCTGCATGGTGGCAATGTCCTAGGTAGGGAGAAGCATGGCCGTCACCGTCAGACAGTCTGCCCCAGGGCACAACAGTAGGGAAGGGAGCTCCTGGGACTAGCACAGGGCCCTACTGACCCGACAGTTGCTGAGCTCCTCTGCAGTTAGCAGGATGCTCCCACACTTCTTGCCTGGGACACCCCTAGAAGCAGAGAAAGCCACTGAGTGAGGGCAGGGCGGGAGACACAGAGCTGCGGTGCCGGGCTCTGGCTGGGTGGTAGCTGGGCTGTGACCTGGGAGTAGTGTGTATCTGGCCGGAGGGGAAGAGCAGCTTAGGGGGGCCTCTCATCACCAGAGGATGAGGGAGCTGGATTGGACTCAGTGGCTCAGGAGATCATGTCACAGCAAGAAAGAAAGAAAGAAAGAAGGAAAAAAAAGAAAGAAAGAAAAGAAAAGGAAATAGAAGAGAAGCGAGGAAAGGAGAGGAGAGGAGAGGAGAGGAGAGGAGAGAAGAGAAAAGAAAAGAAAAAGTCAAGTTATATTCCTCTCAGCCCAAGGAAATTCCACAAGATTAAAGTGCATATGCTTTGTGTTCCGAGCAGGAAAAGCTCGTTCACCTTGGCCTGTGAAACCTGGTTCACTGTTGTGACAGAGAGAGCAGGGTCAGAAGGGTCTTGGGTTCAGACCTTGGTGCTAACCTGCTGTTATCTTCCCTAGCTTTAAAATGTCAGCATTTCTGGGTGTGGTGGCTCTCAGCACTCTGGGAGGCTGAGGCATGAGAGTCACAGGTTCCCCAGCCCAGGCAACCTAACAATTTGAGATCTTGCCTCAAAATAAAGGGCTGAGATGTAGCTCATTGACAGGCTGGAGAGAGAGAGAGAGAGAGAGAGAGAGAGAGAGAGAGAGAGAGAGAGAGAGAGAGGCTATTTCTCCGACACCTTTGAATCTTGATTCTGTGCTCTGATAAGCAGGAGCAGGTGAGGCAGACTGACCCTCAGTGTCCCCTCCCACCTGGCCCTGCAGGAGCTGCCTGCAATAGAGGAGACAGTTCCTCCTCTGTAGGCTGCCTCCTTTCCTGAACTCTGCCCAACCCTGGCTGCACCCAGGTAACGAATGTGGCCTGAGCAGCACACAGCCCTGTGGACACTGCTGTGTTCAGTGTATAACCACTAACCTCCAGGCCCCACTGCACCCTGAGGCCTGGCTCTCTGCTGCCACTGGTCTCCTGCTTCCCTTGGCCCTGAGCTCCTTCTCCAGCTTCGCCACGACTTTATTTCCTATTCACTGGCAAAATGGAAGCACCCAGAAGAGAAAATCCACCCATTGCCATCCTACTCTGGTGTCTGCAGGCACGCAGCTGCGCATTGCTGTGGCTGGCAACGAGCTGTCCCTGTGTGACACCCATGTGCCTAGCAGTACTTGCTACAATGCCTCGCCCACACCAGGACTTCACCCCAGGGCTCCTCCCCCTCTCAGGAGACCAACTTCTAGGGGCCACTTGCTCATCAATATACACGTGATGTAATTTTTCTCATGTTAAAAAAATTACAAACAAGCATTTGGAGGCTTCATTCCTTGTTTCCCGTGGCACATGGGTGAAACTCAGCGTCTTGTGTGCACTCAGTACGCAGGCCCACTAAGCTACACCCCCAATTCCTTCTTTGTTTAAATAAAGGGCACAATTTTTATTGCAACATAGTCATTTTTGTAGAGTAGGGTCTGTTCCTTAAGCACCATTCCATTTAAGCCCCCCACCTTTTATTTTTAAACAGAAATTACTATTACGGTGGATATGAAAAACATCTTTAGTGCTGCAAAGCTCCAATGGCAAACATCAGACTCCTGTACTGGCTCAGTTGTGTGTCCTCAGTAGAAAATAAAAAGGCTTGACAGCGCGGTTTCTTAAGAAGGGCAGGAAACAGGAATGAACAAGTCTCATGGAGACTGCTGTTTCCTATTGCCCATTGGATACCACCGCTCAGTGTCGAATAAAATAGGCCCACAATCTGACTGCTTCTCACCCTGAGAGATCACCACCGCCTGCTAATTGGCTCCCCACAGCTCCCTTCCTGGACCAGGCTAATTCTCACCTGGGATAGCTCCTTAGCGGTCACCAGAGCCCTGCAGTGCCCACCAGGCCCTAACTTTAGCTCCCCTACTTCCCTGGTCCTGCCCTCCCCAGACCCACTTCCATGGGACCACCGTCCCTCGAGTCCACACCTCCTCCTCCTCCCCTTCAGGCTGCCCCGCCTCCCTCCCACCTGGTGTTTCCTTTCTCCTTTTTGTGTATGCGTGTGATTTACTCACTATTCAGTCTGCTTGTGGTTGGACACCTCTCCTGCACTACAGCCCCAGCTCCCCAGGAAAAGGAAAGACCCTGGCGCTATTCACCATGGTGACCAACCATCAAACACTGGCTGAGAGTGGGTGCGGTAGGACCGCTGGCGCAGGTCGATACCAGGTGCGGACCAGGCCAAGGAGACTTTGACTAGCCGGGGAAGAGGGGAGAGGGGCTTGGAAGAGGTGCTCTAAATGTTGGATCAGATTTAGAAACCAGGGGGAGAGTGGCCGGAGACGGGTGTGAGCAGTGTCCTGGAGACAAACTTGCTCAGGGGAGTGACAGGAGCCAGGGACAGGGCCGCCCCAGCCCTCCCGGGGGAGGGGGTCACCGCGCCGTGGGGAGCTGTCCGGGGGCGCTGCCCCTCCCGACCCTTCCCCTCTGCTCACGTGAGAGGCCGCTCCACACGGCTGCCCTGGCCTCCGATCACCTCTCCCAGCGCCAGGAACGCTTGTCCCAGGAAGTCCTGCGCAAGACACGGGGTCAGCGAGGCCGGTGGCGCTGCGCCACGGGACCGCTGGCGGGGTGGGCGGAGGAGGGCTTCGCGCGCCCAGCACCCCGGCGCCCCAGCCTCACCTTCTGCGCGTCCGAGGGGAGGCAGGAAGGAAGAGAAGCGGGCATGAGGGGCCAGCAGGGTGGGTCGAGGGGAGGAGGCTGGGCCGTGTGAAAGGCCGCGCCCGCTTACCGGCTTGGAGATGTTGGTTCTGGAGTCCACGTTGTACCTGGGAGGAGAGGGCGTGGGGCGGGGGGAGGCTGGGTCACACCGCGGCTCGAGGGGCCCTGGCCGGCCTCGGGGGCCACACCGCAGCTGGGGGAGGGCGGCGGGGGCCGGACTGAACCGGCGTAAGGAGGTCAGGGCTGGGGGCGGGGCCGGGGGCGGGCCCGAGGGCGGGCCGTGGGCGGGGCCGAGCCCAGCGCAGCAGCCCTGAGGGGGCCCGCGGGCGGGCCGGGTGCGGGTCCGGGCGGGGCGGCCGGGGCCTCACACATCGAAGCGCAGGTTTTGCTTCTCCTCGAAGAAATAGTCCAGGACGAATTTGCGTAGGAAGTCCGGGTTGAGCGTGTTGTCGATCACCTCGGTCCGTCCGAACTGGTGGGGGGACGCAGGTCAGCGCGGGCCGGGGTCCCGGGCGTCGTGGGGGGGCGGCACTCACCTCCCGCCACTCCTGGCTGGCGCGGCTCTGTGTGTACAGCACCACCACTGCGGGGGGGTCGTCAGCGCGCCCGCACCTCCCGCCCGCACCCTGGGCCCTCCCGCCTGCGGCCGCTTACTGGGGTCGGACTTGGAGAAGGTGTCCAGGTCCAGGAGGTTCCTGCAGCGGAGCGAGGGCGGGCACGGGAGGACGGTGCTGAGCCGCCGCCTCGACGCGGCCCCAGCGGGCGGGCACTCGGGCGGGATGGAGGCGCGGGATTGGGGTCGCACCTCCCGGCGAGCCGCCCGGAGCCGAGCGGGGCCTGCGGCGTCAGCACCCCGGACAGCGGCGCGGCCGGGGCCAGGAGCCCCTCTGCAGCCCGGCGCCTGCGAACCCACCCCGCCTCCAGGCCCGGGGGAGGGTTCGCCCCAGAACTTTGCTGTCCTGGGCTCAGCGCCCCCGCGCCTGGCCACATCCCCGGAGCCCCCTGCCGGGGCGAAGCTGCCCGAGGCGCCCCCAGCCCGGGCCGTGCTCCTCAGAGACCCCCTCCCGGTCCAGCCCTGCCCGCAGTGCCGGAGCCCTGCCCTGCGCGGCCCGCTCACCGGCAGGACACGGTGATCTCGATCTTGGTGGCTGGGACGCTGCGCTCCGAGGCTCCGCCGAGGGACATGGCTGCTGGAGCGGCTCCGCCGCGCGGGCTGCGAGCTCCGGGCCCGGCTAGAGGCGGCGGCCAGGCCGGCCCATGTGCGAGGCTGCGCTCCGCCTGCGTGCGCTCCCGCCGCTCGCCTGGCCACGTCGCCGCCCGCACCACGCTCCAGATGGCAGCGCAGCCCCGCCCCAACTGGAGCAGCAGGACCTGGCGGGGAATCTCAGCGATCGCTGCAGCGGACACCTCCAGGAGGTGCGACCTGCCCTGTGAGAGGTCCCAACCTCCTACCTAGAGTGTTGATGGTCCTGAAACGCGTGGGGCCCCCGTGGAGCGCTGCGGTCATTACCTCTTTCCTGAGCCTCTTCCTCAGTCATCTCTCTCTCTTCTCACTGTAGGCCTGCCTAGAGCTCTGCAACGTGAAGTTACCTTGTTCTTATTAGCTTGTCACTGGTTAAGGTAGCCACTACCTCTCTCCTGGAAGGTCACACTAGCAAGCTACCTGAATATATAAATGACCCGAGAGAGGGGTATAGCACACTGCCAGTGCTCAGGGACCTATCATAGTATCATTTGGCTTTTGGGTGTCCACAATGATGACCTTATGAGTTATTGTCTTTTTCTTTTGGATATTGGGAACCGAATTCGATCTTGTGCTTGCCAGGCAGGTACTGTGTCACTGAGTTACTATCCCTGTCCCTGAGTTAAGGTCTGATTAAAGGACCAGGAATGTAGCTCAAGAGAGCACTTGGCTACGATGTGTGAGACTCCAAGATCAGTTCCCCAGCATCACCACCACCCCCACCACACACACACACACACACACACACACACACACAAAGCCATTTAAGATGGCTTTTAAAGGTCTTTGCAGCCTGGCAAGCACGAGGTCCCAAGTTCAATGCCCGGAACAAACAAAACTGTTTAACACCATCTGCTCCTGCCCTTATATCCTCTTGATGTGACAGTCTACACGATGACATTAGGAGGAGGGTGGTGGTCATTCAGGCCTCCCCATCTCACACTGTGCACAGTGAGGCTTGCCTCAGCTCAGCTGCCAGCATCTTCACTATGGCAAGGGAGAGCCCTCAGCATAGGGGCAGCAGGTCATGTTTGCCCATGTCGCTTGGAATTGGGATGTCCGTCAAACCCAGCAGGCCTGAGCCTGAAATGCAAGGACTCTTGGCAAAGGCAGCCCTTGCCTGGGTCCTATCTCCCTGCCAGGCTTAGTCTCCTGTTTCCCCTGCCCCCTACTTCTCCAGCACAGGGATAGTAAGGTCCCAGACAGCTCCATCAAGACAGCAACCAGACACAAGACAAGAGCTGCGAAAAAGAATGATTTTATTTTGATTTGTGTCAAACAGCCTCATTTTCTGCACAGGTTGATCCTTCCTTCCCAGGAAACTAGAACTGGGATCCTTCACAGACCCCAGGAGATGCCTGTGCATTACTGAGAGCTGGTGGGTAATCTGCCCAAGATGCTGTGCCAGCCATGAGCCAGGAGGCTGAGTGCTGGAAAGCCCCGTTCTTGGTCCTGTTCAGCTTTGGGGCTCCTGTGTGCGTGACATGAGACAGGTGTGAGAGTCCCAACCTCAAAGTGCCCCATGGCCAGGCATGGCTTTGATTCCACTATGGGCTCAGCTGGGTGAGGAGCAGGAAACTGCTTCAGGGCAGGGACTTCACGGGGCGCTGGTGCTGGCACCCCGAAGTCCCACTCCACGGACGAACTGTTCCAGCAGGCCTCCAATGGCCCCTGAGGGGCTGGGAGCTGCTGTCCGAAGCCCTACTGTGCTGCTGTATGCAGCCAGGAAGGCTGAGCGCACCTCCTGAAGCCGAGTTTCCCGATCATTCAGGGCCGCAAGCCTGTGGGGAATGAGGGAGAAGATAAGCATGTTACCCTGGGAGGCACCTGGCATCCTCACCCATCCACAGGGCCCATCTTTCATGTCCAACTTGCCAAGCTAGGGCCCAGCCTGTGACCCCCTAACCCTTGTGATTTAGGCTCCAGGTGGCCCTGTCCCTCTTCGGCTACCTTCCCCTTACAGCAGTGACTGCAGCTGAAGCATCTCCCCAGGCTCTCTGCTGGGAAGGTAACTACTTCTGTGACAGATGGCAGACACTGTGCAAGGGGAACCTGCCCTGACAGCTGCTGGCTTCTGTTCCTCAGCAAGAAACAGCAGTGAGGAGGCTGAGGAATGAATGGCTCCTACCCTGGAGCTGTGCAATCAAAAGCCTTCATTTGTCCTTGCAGTACTAGACTGAATCTGGTGCCTCATGGTTAACACAATGAACCATATCCTCGGCCCTTTTAAAATTTTTGGAAGAGGAGTTGGAGGGTAGGGGAATGGGGAAAAAAATATCAGGTTGTATCATGTACAGGTACAAATTCACTATAATGAATGTGATTATGTATACTTAAAATGTACCAATACATTTGATTAATAAAAATTCTATTTTTTAGGGCTTGCTAAGTTGCCCAGGCTGGTCTTGAACTTGTGATCCTCTTGCCTCAGCCTCCAGAGCAGCTGAGATTATAGGTGTGTGCCACCTTACCCAGCAATGTCAGCCACCAAACACATCATGGGAAGAAGCTCTGCCTTAGGAGAGCCCCGAATGCCCCGGGGAATCAGGGCCTAATAGTGAAGACCACTTGGGCTCCAGCCACACCTCTACTTCCTGTGGTCCCCACCATCAAGAGTTTGGAAGCGTGCTGGCTATCCCACCAGGATACGGGCTCTGATTCTCTTCCCATTGTCTCTGCAGGCATTGATTACAGAGGAGAGATAGTCAGTCCCTCTTGCCTCCCTTCCTTGAAATTACAAGTCAAGAAGAGGAACATGTACAGACTCAGGCTTACCACACCGTGAACTCCAAAAGAGGCTGACATCCAACGTGTCTTTCATGGAAGAGGCCCCAAAATGAACTACACCTAGTCTTTAGACTAAGGTCAAGCATGTGCAAGACGTCCCCTGGAGATGACCCCCTCTCCCCAGGAGTCTGCCAGCCCGGTAGCAAGGCTGACACACAGGGCCAGGGAAGCAGGTGGCGGTCCTGAGTCCTGGGCAAGTGTGGAAATAAATGGCACATGGGACCTTTGGGAAGTAGACTGGTTGGGGGCAGTGAGGCAGGCAGAGTAGGGGCTGCAGGGGAGGAAGTCAGACAGCTGAGGAGATGAGCTGTGTGCTGGATTCCCACGACACCAGTCGCTGCTGGCACTTGGGGGGACACGGAGGCCTGAACTTTACTTTCTGGTCAGGTTCCACATAGACTGGAGGCCACCTGTGGCTTCAAAAGGACTCCTCTCTGCTCACAGGAGCAGCCGAAGCTCCTCACAGAGGCATGCTTGCTGTCCCTGTACCAGGAAGCAGAAGGGGCAGAGACTGACCTATCTACATGAGAAAAACAGTGCCCCGAGGGGATTCGTGACCCACCTGGGAGACACACAGGGCACAGGAGGGCACGGGAGGGCAGGCGGCTGGTGAGCAACGCAGCTGGGTTTCCCTGGTAGGAAACCCAAACACTGAATTCCCTACTGTGTGACTTCACCAGGAAGTGATATGGTCCCCAGCCCACGATCTTGCAGGCTTGAGATTGTACAAGCTGGCGCCATCCTCTGGGGTCGCTGGAACTGCAGAGTTGGCTAGGGGCCTACAGCTACTGCACTTGGCTTGGGGACCTGGGGACAGAGCGGCCTGCCTCCAGGGCTAACTCCAGGGGAGGGAAGGGCAGCATCAGACCTGCAGAAGTCTCTGCTTCCTCCTGGAGCCCTGGGGAGGAAGGCCCTACAGAAGGCTGCAAGTGCTTTTCTCATGCTTCCAAAGTCTAAGGGCTGGAGCAGGGTATGGAGATTTATGGCACCAGCACCTGCCTGGCAAGCACAGGTCAGGAATTCAGTCCCTCACACCAAAACAAAACTCTGCGAGCTCTTGTTTCCAGAGGCCGCAGGACAGCCCTGGGATGGTGGTGTCCTGGAATCCACTTCTCCTTTCTCTCTACCTCCCCAGGGTACTGCCTCTGGTGGCTTTGGCTCCCCAGCACTTGCTATATGACCATGGTGGGCAGGGGAGGGCACGGCTTGCAGAAGAGCCCTGCAGGCAGCCACATCTGAGGGCAGGCCCTGCTCCCCAGGACCCCGGAGGCTCCTCCTGCCTGACATCCAGCAAGCTGCAGAACTCGCAGGGGGCAGGAGGGTTCGACAGCGGCAGCTGCTCAGGTCAGGCAGAAGCTGACAAGAGGTGGAAGCCATTTGGAGGCTTAGAGGAAGAGGGTTCCTGAACAATTGTCTTTCTTGCCCAGAAGCAAAATAGCAAGCTAGGGTGTGGGGGAGGTCTGGGCTCTGCTGAGGATGAGCACAGGCTCTGGCCTCCAGTATACACCCGCCTGCCTGCTCACGTCACCCACTGTTCTGCCTTCAAAGGGCTCTCACATCAGGCAAAGCTTGCACAGAAAAAGCATTGTCTGTAGTTACAGCCCAGCTAGCTTTGTCTCAGGGTATGCCCTGGAGGCTAGGAAGAGTGAACAGGACGACTAACAAGCTTGCTGAGCGGCCCAAGGGTCTTCACACCTCAGGGGCAGGCTGCACTGGGCGAGCAGCACTGCCTTCTTAAGATACTTACAGACAAGTGTTAGGGAGCTCATCTGGGAAGCTGACAGGGAGAGAGGAGTCTGTGTGCAGGACAGCCCGCTCCTGAATACTGCCACAGCCCGTTACCATCTGCCAGCTGCCAAAGTCTGTGGACAGAGAGGATCCGGGCAGGGGATGGTCCACTGACCTGGGGCAGAGACAGGGAGGGGAGATGATGCAGTCAGTCACAGGCCTGACAGGTGGCCGGGCATGGGGAGCATTTGAAGGCCTGCCACTTAAAGTACAAACAATACTTGCTAAGTAGTCACTGAGAAAGAGGAGACTGTGGGGAAGGCTCTGTCCAGGAGGGTGAATGGTACAGACTTCAAGAAAAGCCTGGTGACAAGAGAGCCAGATCCAGAGCCCGGGACAGGGTGCCTCCAGGCCGACAGTAAGTGGCATCTCCAGAGCCCAAAGAAAGGCGGACTGCTCTGAGATGTACAGATCCCGCATTAAGATCTCACTGGCAAGAACAGCTGCTGGGGACTGTGGAGGTGGTGACCTAGATTGCAGAGGGGATGCGAGTCCTAAGGTCCCCTTCCTCCGCAGCGCCTTCTGGGAGCTGCAGCTTGTATTCAGAAGCATTAGCCCAGCATCAGCCCAGCATCAGCCCAGCAAAGCCCAGCAAAGCCCAGCAAAGCCCAGCAAAGCCCAGCAAAGCCCAGCCACGCCCAGAAGGCAGGGATGAGTCAGGGCGGCAACTTGACAGCTTCCTCAGGCCTCTTCTTGAGGAGGCCTGGGGTGCTGGGAGGAGAGCCGCACTGGCACTGCAGCTGCCACCTCCTCTCCTGTCCTGGGTGGCAACTGGCAGCCAGGGCAGGAGTCAGAGATGTTAGCACCCCTACCTCCAGGCCTCAGGCCCCAGGCATGGAATGTGTCACTTCTGAACTCATGAACAGTGGAAGGGGCTCCTGCAGAGACCTGGACACGGGGCTGAAGCACCAGCTGTGGCAGGGCAGGGAGCCCTTGCTGCCCTGGGTTCACCCAGCTGTGGAGTCACGGGCCCCAGGCTGAGGTGACAGCCCCAGCAGCCCCTGAGCCAGGTTTCCCCTTGAGCAGGTGTCCAAGGGCAGCTGTAGTCAGATGTGTGGCACTAGTGAGCCTTAATCACCTCTTCCAGATGGGAATGGCAGCCAGACAGGCTGAGGGCCTTGCCCGAGGTCCCATGGCTGGAGAAGCCATGTTCATCTGTCCTGAAAGAGCCCCCTACAGATGAGGAAGACACTTTCCATACTCAAGCTCCCAGGAACTAGAGCCCTCCACAACACTCAGCCCTGACACATACATCTTTCCTGCTGTGCTCTGGAGCAGTCTGAGGCACTACAACTGGGAACAGGGTGCGCTCTGCTGCTTAAGGGAAGCCCCAGGCCCCACAAAGCAGAACTTACCAGTTTCTACAGAGAAAGCCTGGCCAGCGCAGGTAGTCTGTGTATCTGAGGGCCCCAGGGAAGGCCTGCCTTCAGCTTCCTCTGGGGTCTGCTAGCCTGCAGCCAGCACCACCTCCTGGAGGCACAGCCACCTCCGAGTCTCTTACCACTCAGCTGCAAAGACAGAGCCACATCCCAGCTCTGGCTGGGGTTGGGTGGGCTGGGGAGACCGTCTCCAACAAGTAGAGGTAAGGACGCTGGCTGGATGCGGTACTCGGAGTGGGACATGGGAGTTTCTTACACCCCAAAGCCACTTCCCAAGCTTGTCTGAAAGGACTGCTGCTCTGAGGAAATCAGGTCTTGGGACCGTTACAGCTGTTCTTTGGGACAGCCACCTCCTTTTCTCTCCTACTGCCCCAGCAGTGGCACCAGGCCACAGGAGCACAGGATTCTCACCTCTGTGGGACTGAAAGCAGCGCTCGGTGAGCAGCCATTTTTGGTAGATCCTGAAATTTTTCAAGAATAAACTCACAGGTTCCAAATGAGTTTTTCTACTTGAGGCTTTTGTCAAAGAACAGTGGCATAGTAATCATGCAGCTTCCAGTTTGAGAGCAAGGGACAGTGGGAAGCAGAGAGGAGCTCTCCTAGCAATCTGGGCTAGCTAGCTGGAGAGGCCCGTCACAGAGGCGAGACCTGCGCCCACACTCTGGAGGGAGGAAGTGCTTCCAGCAGCTAAGACACAGCTTCATGCATCACACAGCGGCTTTAACAGGATCCCAGGACATGGACCCTGCACCCCTTGCAAAGTGCATGCAGAGTGGAGGTGAGCTCCGCCTTCTCTGTTATTTCTGGATGGATGGGGAAGCTTCTGGCTGGGAAGCCCGGAACGCTGGGAAGCCAGGGTGGAGGTCTAGACAGCCACTCTGGATGGGGCTCCCTGAGACTGCCAGGACCTTCCTCCATGGGCCAAGAGGGGAACTCAGGGTGCAGGGTCTTCCAGCCAGGCCTTTCTGGAGGGGGTACAAGCATGCTGAGGTAAGAGGCAGAGGTCTGGGAGGGGTGCTTGTTGTACCCACCTGCCCAGGGATGTGGCCCATGCAGCTGTAGGTGACTGATGCCAGGTTTTCAACTACAGCTACGGTTACTGAATGTCTGTGGATAGGCTGAGCACTTTCTGTGTAAAGTTCTTGCATTTGTTCCATTCAAACCCAAACTAATGGGGAACAGATCATTCCCACTTTAAAAATGTGATTAAAAAAACTGATTTCAGAAGAAAAGGAATTTTTTTCCAAGTTACACAGCTAGGAAAGACAAAGCTATCACTGAAACCAAGTTGACCCCATGTTGGCCAGTAACACATTCATCTTTCTTCTTAATACAAGCTAGGCACCTCAAGGCGTGGCCTCCACCTGGCATAAAGCTTGGATGTTTCCAGCCATGATGACAGAGTGGGTTCTGGGGCTGGGGCAGCAGAGCTCCCTCTGAGAAGGTACACTGAAGACTCTTTCCGGCAGCGTTTGACATACGCTCCCCCTGTTTGACCTAGTCTGAGATGTGCTCTCTGCTACTTGTGTTTGAAATATCTGTCCTAACAAGGCTGCACAAATGGCTTGAGGCACACAACTAGGGAGGGCGTTGGAGTCCCCACTTTCACCTGATTCCACAGAGCAGAAAATGGAAATCCATAATCAAGTGATATGTCAGGAGTCATGAAAGGGACCATGCTTAAATCCTGTAATCCTGTGCTTGGAGGAGGCTCTGTACCACCCACCAAACCTGGCCTTCCCCCTTCAATGCCCACACCCAGGTAACCAGCCTGGGACCTCATCAGCTTAGCCTCAAATGGTGCACACGTGCACATGGCTCTCATGGCAGCCCTCAGAGACGCCTCTGGGTTCCATGCTGTCTCTGCCAGGCCTGTAACTGGGACTTCCAGGCCTGGAACGGTGGCCCTCCTGCACTGCTACAGACACAGCCCACTGCTCATCACAAGCAGGAAGCAGGCAGCACGGGCTGAGAGCAGCTGCCCACGGAAGGGCCACGAAGTTGGTTCAGCTATTTACTCAGGCTGGGGGGGGGGGGTTCCCCTCAGTCAAGCTC